CACCATTTTTACATGGATTTCACGCCATGTCAGCTGAGTTTGATCTCTTGTTGCGGCTGCACAGACAAGGGGTGCTAAAGCTTCATCTTGGAGACTGTTGACCTGTGAAAAAGTAAACCAAGGGTCTCGTGCTGGAGCAAAGGCAGAGTGTCCTCTTTGTACCCGCTAGCAGAGACCAGCCATTAGTGGGGTCTTTGATACTCTTTTGAACAAACAGGCTAATAGCTATTGGCTAATGAAGCAAGGAAGAATCATCCAATCAGCAGCCAGGCCATTTTCACTGAAATGAAATGCAGAACGAGCATTTAAACTAAACGTGACTGTATTTATTACCAGCTGGAGTCTGGAGGGAGTCATTGGGATTCAAATGGGACTTCTTTGTGGGGTCCAGGTCTACAGAGTAGTGTCTCATTTTAATCAGTTACTAATGATAAGTTATAAAACTAACCAGAGAAGTTTTGGAGAATGAATGTGTTTTGAAGGAAATCAAATACCTCCTGAACATGAAGATTGTCTGACTTCAAAAACAGCACACTGAATGTAAAGAACCTTTTTGGTAAAACTCTCTTCAAACATTTAACCACTTTTCAAAATATCCAGGTAACTGTTTAAATATTTGATACTCACACTAATGTAAAAAAAAAGACTGTTGGTAGTGAAAAATGAAAACTGCACTCTCGTTTTCTTGTAAATATTGTTACAGAGTAAGTTAAAAAGGTTATCATTACTAAATAAGTGTCAGTATAACTGACTCTGATGTAAGGTGTTAAAGTGATTTTGAATTTTGCACTGTGGGTGACAAATATGACCTTGAAATGAGCTCTTTTTATGTTCCTTTTACTGCTGGGAGTGTTTCATGGTGACATTAATTAAGTCTTAATGATGATTTCTGTAATCCAGAGGAGAAACATTGTACATGCTGTAGACGACCAAACTTAAAAGCCTTGGGAACAACTTTTGAAACAAATGAAGATTTGTGAATCTTTGTGTCATATTATATTCAATGTGAGTGGAAAAATACAAGTGAGTCAAGGAATAAATAATTTTCAAAAACACTTTGGGCTCTATTTTTGTGTACGCCGGTGAGCAGGCGTAGGGTGGCGGACCCGCGCAGTGGTATTTTCGTCTGGCGGAGCCCGGCATCCAGCCAGTTTGGTATTTTTGTGGACTGAGGCGCACCAAGGTCCGCCAAGCTGGGCGTGGTGGCGTGGCAGAGGGAGGTGACACGGCAGTGACATTTTTGTGCTTGTCGGTGGCATAAAAGGTGCGCTGAAAGCTTGCCGATTCAAACCTGGTCAGCTTTCTGCGTAGGCGGAGTGGAAGCCAGTCTAGTGGTATTTTGGTAGACCGGCGGCATATCGGCATACGTCACCAATGCCTCACCTGCAGGTTTCCACAGTGTCAGGCACATTTCAGTGCAATAAATAATTGTAACCCAGGTCCCACGGATTTTATTTAAAACAAATTACACTTTCACAGTGAGACTGGGTCTGGGCTCGTTAATAATGACCACCACAACGACTGTGTAGAGGCAATAATCCTCAAAGGGTATTTATTTATTTTCAAGTGGCTTTTTTCTTTTTTTTTTTCTTCAAATTTAAATAATATTGCAAATTTTCATTTACGTCACAAATTACATTTATTGGCTTTGAAAAGGAATAAAAGAAAAAAAGAAAACGGGGACAGAAAATGTGTTTTGTTTTTCACCTGCTATCTAAATACACAACCGGATTCAATATTCATACACCCAAAGCTAACAAACCCACCCACTCATCTCACCAACCGACCAACAAACACACGCACACAGAAAATGGAGGAAACTCGTTGCAGGCCTGAGGTCGACGCTTGGGTGCGTAGAGGCCTAAAACGAATAAGGCCACTTCACTCCGAGTGGAGCAGAAACAAAAAAAAAAAACACGTGCATGCTCTGTACTCATTGATTTTTTGGGGGTATTGGTTAGTAGTAAATCCACTCCACGCCCTCTCTCCTCCCTCGTTACGACTTACACTGCTAGGAGGTGCTGAGTTAGGGAGAGGGGATACTTACGCCGGGCTGTGATGCTCACCGAAATACCAAACTGTGCTTGGGAACGCCTTGTCGGCGCGGCGGACCTGATTTACGCTGCGCCTGTGCCACGTCTCCGGCGAAACACGAAGATAGAGCCCTTTGTTTTGTGGGCTAGAATGAAAATTATTTCAGGCCAGGAAATAGTTCAACAACTTATGTTCCCCTCCTAAAATTGCAAAAGGAGTTTGGGATTTTATTGTGTATGATAGTATCAAAAGATTCATCAATAGGAAACCAAAACTGATTGGCTTTGATCATTCAGCACTGCATAGAAAACAGATATGACTCTGTAGTGGAAATACATGAATTAGCTCAAAATCCCTGATGCGCTTGCATACATGGGACTATACTATTAATGTTGAACAATACAGCTTTTGGAAGAAAATATGCTGCCATCCAAACAATGCTTTCTTTGGCGGGGAGAACCTACCATATTTCAGCAAAACACTGCCAGATTATAATTAAGGGTGGGAGAAAAAATCGATACAGCATAGTATTGCAATATTTTGTCTGGTGATGTATCCTATCGTCTCATTGACCAATTGCTAATGCTATTGCAATTGCTTATATGAAATCAAATCTATGATAATGGAAAAATAAAATCAACTGTTTGTCCAGTGAGGTTGGCAGAGGTGATATCACAGAGCAGGAAAACGTTAGTGCAACAAATATAGCAGCACCAAGGAAGGGACGCTAGGAATGCAGGCAAGGCTCAAATGAGATGGACCTGACATGTAAGGTTTGCAAGAAGAAGTAAATAAAACAAACATAAAGGAAAGACAAATGCTAAATTTGCCAAACACTTGAACTATTGTATGGATCACAATATATTGTATAGCAATACCCACTGTATTGCAAAATGTTAAAAGTTGTAATAATGTTGTATTGTGGCCCAAGTATCGTGATAGTATCGTATTGTGGGGTCACTAGTGATTCCCACCCCTAATTATAATGTGCATGTTCTACAACAGCATGGCTCTGTAGCAGAAGGTATTAGGTGCTGAACTGGTCTGTCTGCAGTCCTGAAAATATACTCGTCCCAACTGAAACATGTTGCTAACATCAAGTTTTTTTCATAAACCATCAAAATACTTTGATTTGATTTGTTGATTTGTTGCTTTGGTGCAAGTGCCGATTGAATAACCAACAAACAATTTCTATTTGTTGACATTTCACACTGACCTATTTTTCAAATGTTATAAAATCAAGGTTGGGTATCATAACTCTACCTTAGCATATAACCACGGAGCCTTGGGGTTCCCCCTTCAAAAGGAACTGAAAATCCCTAAAAAAAGTAACAGGGAGGGAAACTCCCTCATAAAATGTCAGAGGTTTATAGATATGAAATGGTACAGTTACTAAGCACTGTGCCTTTGTGAGTCTGAACTGCTCACTGGAGTCACCAGATCGTCACATAGGTCAAAGAGCCATGACATAAATGTGTGTTTGAGGTAAAAGCAAGTTGAGTGAAGCTTTAACTTCCTAAATGCCTTATTTTATAACTTACACAACTGTTTGTGTTGGTTTTGCACAATTCTCTGTCTTGCTACAGCAAAGCAGCCTTGAACAACCCCAACAAGTTTCCTTGGGGGCAAATGCTAACGTCTGCCAGAATAAAAAAAACTTTCCAAGGGCTCCTTTGTTTAGGGTTTGAGAGCACGGGGCGGGTGGTGCGGGTTGCTGTGTTGCAGAGCTCAGCTTACTCAGCATGTTGCTACTAGAAGTAATTGCTTCATTGCAAGGAGCTCAGCGAAGAGATTTCCACTGGAAACATGAATCAGGAGGGATAAATAGAGGAGGACGGGGTGTGGCCATGTGTTCGTTGGTGGTTTTTACTGTGAACAGCAATTCATGTAGTCTTCACATATTGTAACTACATGAGAAAAAGAAAAACTACAGATGAGTAATAGCTCTACTTTTCACTTCTTTCCTCCCTGTCAACCTTTTTTTCTTGTTTCCGCAGGTCGTTCACTGTTGAAGCGGACCCCCCTTCCCTGGGCCCCAAACACCCTCCTAACCTCCTCCCACCTCTCAAACTTTTATAGTAGTAAGAGGAGTTGATAGAGCTAGCAAAGTGTGACAGTGGCAGAGAAGACGCTTGTGCATGTGCTGGTCAGTTTGAGGAGGCACTCCGATTGGCTGGAAAGCTTCTGCCCTTCATCTGCTCTTCCCCCTCATTGGTTTTGAACTTGTTTCTCAACACACACATTTGTCTGTAGGCAAACTGAGGGCTAATTCAGTACTGGGCACTCATGTTACTCTGCAAAGGGGGAGAGGGGCTTAAGGGGTGTGGGCGGAGGATGGCCCAGGGGAGGGAGGGGAAAGCAGAGAGGGAAGGCTGAGGCTCTGGACAGAGAGGGGTGGAGAACCGGAGGAGAAGGAGCTCTTGCTTTGGGACTTCAGAGCGAAGTAGTGTACTAGTGTGTGGACACATGGGGGAAAAAGAAGGAGAGACAGAGGAGAGAGGATGGATTTGATTACAGGGACAAGACAGAGACTGAAGAGGAAGAAGAAGTATGTGGAGCTGCTGCAAAAGATTCATTTCAGCTGACTGGGACTCAAACAGGAAGAGAGGAAAGAAAGAGGTACACAGAAGAAAGAGGACTTGCCCAGACAGGAGGGCATAAAAAAAGAAGACTGAGTGGAGGGGGAAGCGGGTGAGAAACTCTGAGTCAAAGCAGACTGACAGACAGGAAGAGTGAGCGGAGAAGGAGGAGGAGGAGTGGGGGGAGAGAGGTAAAAAAAAAACAAAAAACTTAAGAAAGCAGAGAGGCAAAAGATTCACAGTTAAAGAAAAAGACAAGGAAAGGAACTAAGCTGAGCGAGGGGGGAGGAAAAACATGACGAGTGTTGGGACAGTGACAGAGAGAGGGAGCGACAGAGGGTGAGAGAGGGGGGCTAGAGGGTGAGGTTTGCCAGAGGGGAGAGAGGTATGAGGGGACAGCTCTTGAAGTCACTCTTCTCTCTGGTGATCACCCTCCTGTGTTTGGGGAGCCTGCTGACCACACTCATCTGGTATATGTTCGACAGCAAGTAAGTGTGTGAACACACACACACACACACACACACACACACACACACACACACACACACACACACACACACACACACACACACACACAGAAACAGAGAGAGAGACAGAGAGAGAGAGTACAAACACACATTGGTGGTGCCTGGTAGACTTTGACCAAAGTGCTGATTTAGCAGTTTATCCATTTTCTTTTTTTTTTTCTTACTAAAATAGATTCAGAAAAAGCAGCTGTCTGCGTGATTTTACAAAATAGTACCTAAGGCAGAGAAAATATATCTGGGAAAGGATATTGTTCAGACTTCAGACTCATTTTATGAGTGAAACGGATGTCATGTCTTTTAGCACAGTCATTCAAAGTGATGTCAGAAAAGTTTGACAGCAGCAGCCACAGTTGGTAAGGATATGGGTTATGTTGTTCAACAGATGCTTACGACTTCTTATGAAGCATTACAGGTCTTGAACTTGACCGTAACTCAACTTTTTAAAGCTCTTCCTGTAGAAACAGAAGTTGATGACAGCTGTAAAAGCAACATGCCGCAGACCGCAGACATTTGAACACACTGACACAAACAGACAGACAGATGTCTGCAGATGACATGTAGCTACGTAGCAAAGGTCTATACCTGTGAGTTTGTACACTGGTTGTTCATTCATGGTGCATGAAGCTGACATTTTCACTGCCCTCCACTGCAGATACTGTAGATTAGGTGAACAATGAGTACAGAAGTTTGCAATGATTGCTGCATGTGCGTCATTGATGTCAGTTTTATTAGGAATCTACTTGTTGGACTTATTTCAGGGTTTTGTGTGCAACACATACAGTCGTGGAAAATTTTTTAGACCACTCTTGTTTCCTGGAATCTCTTGTTCATTTTAATGCCTGATACAACTAAAAGTGCATTTGTTTGAACAAATATAATGATAACAACAAAAATAGCTCATAAGAGTTTAATTTAAGAGCTGATATTTAGCCATTTTCCATGGTTTTCTTGATAATAGCCAAAATCACATGAGTTCTTACATCAATAGCTGTGACATTGTTCTGGCAAAAAAATCATTTAGGCAATCCATGTTTTCTCCTCTGTCTGTTGGTCACATGATATACACAGGAGCTAGTACTTGATTGGATAACCATTGTTTTAGTGCGATGGCTTGAATGTAAGGGGTAAACGAATCCAGGCCTTTGCATGTGCAGTGCTGCTAATGACATGAAATGGCCTTTTATAAACCCTTGGAATACAATTAAGCTTAAGCGTGTCAAGTAGGACATGAAATATTATGGAATCAGCTGCATTTTTAGTTACATTCATCGTATTCTTTAGGTAATATAACTTTAGTGGTATCAGGCATTAAAATAAAGAACAAATTTAAGAAAACAAGGGTGGTCTTATAATTTTTATATGACTGTTTACCTGATAATGGCCAATAAAGCACATTAAAGCAGGATTTTGCACTTCACATGGCTGTAAAAAACATGACACAAAGCAGATAACTTTCCAGTCTCTTAGACTGAAGGGTGTAGGACTTGGGGGTTATCTTTGTGCATCTTTGTGAGGAGGGTCCATCAACAAAGTTACTAAAAGTAGCTGTAAATTCAGGGAGTGGTTCTGACAAGTATCTAAATATAGGGTCCAGAGTTTTGTGCTACACCCCTGATTAGATTATCTGCTCGGCCATTGCCTCTGCTTTTAACACATCTGTCCTGTTTATTCTTTTGTCTGCTCCACAGTCATGTGGACCCTCGCAGACCGGCCCCTCAGAAGAAAAGCGCCCCTAAGACATCTGACCTTTGCAAGGGCTGCAAGTGAGTGCAAGCAACATCACCAGGACTGCTTCTCCTGAAGTGAACTCAGTGTTTACAGCTCCATCAAATCAAGGAATGTCAGTGTTATACAGAGATCACTTAACTCTGTGTGTGTGTGTGTGTGTGCACGCGTTTGTGTGTGTGTGTGTGTGTGTGTGTGTGCGTGCGTGCGTGCGTGCGTGTGCGTGCGTGCTACAGGGAGGTTATTGAAAAAGTGATGCAGCGTTACTCTCAACCCTGGAAGAAGCAGGAGGACAATTACCAAAAGTCCAGGTAAAATAAAACATCCCATCTCCAGTTACATGTTGTTACACTCATAAAAGCTACCACAGTTAAAACACATAGCTGTCTAATGAGATCACTTCATGTTGTTGAATGTTTGAACAGTTTGAAATCGGAATTATATAATAATACTATTTTAATCGTATCTAGTGTTTGCTACTGTGCCACTACTAAAGTATCTAAACTTTTAGCATTTGGCAGCCCGGCAGCATTCAGCTGGTGCCCTTTTGTTTCTTAGACAGCCTGAGTCTGCCAGAGTAGATAAACAAACTTGAAAGCAGCTGTGCCCATTTGCTTTGTGATGTAATTAAAAGAGGGATACCCAGTCTTCACAAATGTACGTCCTGAGTCAAAAAAGGAGAAACAAAACTCCTCCACAAAATGAGACCAAATCACTTCCTGAAAAAAGAAAGGAGCTGGATTTACACGTTCTGAAAAGTCCTGTTTTAGTTATTATAGACTGGTTAGACGTGTTCTAGACCAACTAAAGGGCTGCTTCAGAGAAGCTAAAGTAAACAATCACACAGCCAAGGTTAAGTTTGTATCTCAGCAGTCTGAATGACTGAATAAGACTCTTCCTTCCTACATGTTTGACTTAAGGACAAGCTCAGAAATCATGAGTCAGAATGCCCTTGCCTGACTGTCACAAATAGCTGAAACTGATTGAGTCATCCTATTAGGTCTGCCCTTGAAATATGGATGCAATGCATGACCCTAGACTGTGTAAGCATGAAATATTTCCACACATTTACAATGAAAATCTACATCGGATTTCTCTTAACATAAATAGGAAGTAGAACAGCTAAATAGGAAGGAGAAGTGGAAATAAGGAGATGCATTAGATTAGAGGAACTCAATGCAAAAGTTTACCACACACTCTAAATATAGCACACACTGAAGTCCCATGAGTCCCTGTAACATAAAGGGTTCTCACCCGAAAAACCCAAGACTGCTTCAGCTCCCTTGGGTCAGTTTTTGGAGTCAGTATGTCTGCAACAGAAGAAGACCCTTTTTAAGTATAAGCTGTTAAAATGTACCTGTTCAGTCAGCCCTCTTTTCTCTCCTGACACTTTTGTCTCTATTTTTCCAAAGATCTCAGCTGAACAGCAAATGTCATGGTTTTGAGAAGGCCATCATTACCCAGGCCAACACTCCAGTGGGAACCAAGCTGGTCTATGATGGAGAAAAGAGGAGGAGCCTCCAGGTGACACCAGAGATTTCCAGCACTTTTACAAAGGTACTACAATGCTTTTGACCACCAAGCTGGTACAAGGACCTAATTCAAATTCCTTTGATGATTGTTTTATTATTATTATTATATCTTTTGTTGTGATTTTTTGAGGACCTTACATGCTAAAAACTCATGAAAGAGTGCATGTGCCTCAGGTGTAATGAAAAATAAAATTCATATTTTTTGGCATTGAACATTAGCAGAAAATGTTGGCTCAATGGGTTTTGAAAATACAGCCCCTCCCAACTGTTTGATGTACAAAGATATTGTTTGGTAAACATATCCAGGTTCCTAGGGCTAAAAAATGTCTTTAAGTGTCATGGTGAATTGTCGACAGGAAGACAGGTAATCTAACAAAAACTGGTAAAATTTCCCTCTTTTTAAGCCAGGAAGTAGTTTTTTTCTCAGCAAAGCATGCTTTAATCGGATCTAAACTCTCTATGCATAATCAACGTCTAGACCTTAACACAATTATGAACAGATATTTTATTCCAATTATAGCACCTCCTAGTAGATTTCTGAAAAATTGGTCACAGGGCTTAAGAGACAGGGACATACATAGTTAGATATCACTTCCTATAGCATCGTTACTAACCAGTTACAGATACCTTCATTTAAAGCCCTTGTGAGGAGTTTTTAGATCGTTTGGCCATTCTGAATTCAATAGCAATGCATCTCTTTGACCTGCAAAAGCATTCAAATCCATCAGTAACAGGGCTGTGGCAGAGTGTGGCAGAGTGATACATCTGACAAAAATTTTCCAGTAAAATACTACTTACACATGAACAGGATAAATTAAGAGTTGTGATGCATGGTACTGTATTGCATTGTGGTATTGTGCGGTCCTACTGGCTGTAAAACATTTTTCCCTTTGGTATAATAATGTCCCTGAACCTTGATTTTTGATCGTTTTACACGCATATCATTTCCAGGAGCATCCTTTCCCAAATAAAACATGGGACACATGTGCAGTGGTCGGGAACGGAGGGATCCTGGCTAACAGTGGCTGTGGAGAGATGATTGACTCAGCTCAGTTTGTCATCAGGTGGGAAAGGTGTTCATGAAGCATAGACTGAAAAACTGATAACAGCATCACTCAGATCATCACAGACCTTTTTCGTTGTTTGTTCAGATGCAACCTACCTCCACTGAAAAATGGCTTTGAGAAGCATGTGGGGGTCAAGACCGACCTAGTCACAGCAAACCCGAGCATCCTCTTAGAAAAGTGAGTAAGACAACAGATTGTCCAGTATTTTCATATTACATTTTTCTGTTTTTAATCACTTTGAATCTGCTGCTGATTTTCAGGTATGGGGCTCTGATGGGGCGTCGCCGTCCATTTGTGGAGAGTCTACAGATTTACGGCAACTCCTTACTGCTCCTTCCTGCTTTCTCTTACGGCCACAACACTCCTGTATCTCTGCGGGCTGCATACACAATCGAGGACTTTGGTAGTCCCATCAGGCCTGTCTTCTTTAACCCTGAATACCTCCAGAAATTGGCTGCCTTCTGGCGTGGACAAGGCCTGCGGGCCGTGCGGCTCAGCACTGGGATAATCATGGCTAGCCTGGCACTAGAACTCTGCAGAGATGTGCATCTGTATGGATTCTGGCCCTTCAGTAGTCACCCTCATGGACTCTATGACCTGACAAACCACTACTATGATGACAGAAAAACAAAAACAAAATTCCACGCCATGCCGGCTGAGTTTGAACTCTTGTTGCGGCTGCACAGTCAAGGGGTGCTAAAGCTTCATCTTGGAGACTGTAGACCTGGGAAAAAGTAAACCAAGGGTCTGCTGCAGGAGCAGAAGCAGAGTGTCCTCTTTGTACCTGCTGGCAGAGACCAGCCATTAATGGGGTCTTTGATACTCCTTTGAACAAACAGGCTAATAGCTATTGGCTGATGAAGCAAGGAAGAATCATCCAATCAGCAGCCAGGCCATTTGCACTGAAATGAAATGCAGAACGAGCATTTAAACTAAACGTGACTGTATTTATTACCAGCTGGAGTCTGGAGGGAGTCATTGGGATTCAAATGGGACTTCTTTGTGGGGTCCAGGTCTACAGAGTAGTGCCTTATTTTAATCAGTTACTAATGATAAGTTATAAAACTAACCAGAGAAGTTTTGGAGAATGAATGTATTTTGAAGGAAATCAAATACCTCCTGAACATGAAGATTGTCTGACTTCAAAAACAGCACACTGAATGTGAAGAACCTTTTTGGTAAAACTCTCTTCAAACATTTAACCACTTTTCAAAATATCCAGGTAACTGTTTAAATACTTGGTACTCACAAATATTTTCACACTAATGTTAAAAAAAAGACTGGTGCTGGTGGTGAAAGATGAAAACTGCACTCTTGTTCTCATGCTCTGACACTGACAATGCTTAATGTGATACAGAGATTTAATTTTATCACATCTGACCCCAGAGGGGCTGCTGAGTTCGTGGCTCATTAACATCAGCTTCAAACCAATATGGCTGCCATCTGTGGTCAGAGATGTCATGGAAAAGACACAGGAACGATAGGTGATTAAATATAGGTTGCAAGGGTGTCATCATCTAAGAAAGCAGACAGAGAGCGGTACAATCGCAAAGTGTTGACATGCAAATATTGGTACAATATAAGTTGGAAAAAAGTATCCTCCACATGATATTATTGCTAAAAAAAGTGCCAATATAACTGACTCTGATGTAAGCTGATAACGAGATTTTTAATTATGCACTGTGGGTGACAAATGTAATCTTGAACTGAGCTTTTTCATGTTTGTCTTTTTTCATGATGACATTTAGGAAGTCTTAAAGGTCCCATATTATGCAAAGTTCACTTTAAATTGGTTTTCTAACCATAATATGCATCCCCAGCCTGTCTACAAATCTCCCCAAAATGAGACAATGCTATCCTCTCCTTCTCTTGCTTGTTCCACCTTTCAGAAAATGTCTGCTCAAATGGGCGGATTGAAACTCTCACCGTCCATGACAGACATTATTTTTCTCTTTTGTGAACGCTGGCTCGAAATGGCAAAGGTACAAGCAAGGCACGGCAGTTGCTCTGTTGTTGGCTGCACAGATGTCTGTTTTTACCCATTATAAACATCTCAGCTCAAAACATCACAAAACTTTACAAAAATAAGATTTTTAGTTCTACTTTGTCAGCATCGATCAGTCTTGACATTACAAGCTTGTAGCAGTCTAACTGAGCATAGGCTAGCAGTTGAGGCTAGTAGTGGTCCTCTGACGACAAATCTTTTTTCCGTAGACTGCAAGAACATAGTCACGAGAGATAGCTATACTTACAATATTGCGCATTCCCCAAAAGAGCTCAAAGTAATGAGAAAACAGCGGAGATGTAACCGTTAGCAGGAGCTAAAGTTACCCAGCTACATGTAAGTCACTGTGTGCCAACCATAGACTGTATATAGAATGGACAGAGTCTGCCTCCTCGCTGGGTGAAGCCACTCCAAGAACAGCACCCTCTGTTGATGGGCTGCAGTATAGGTCATAAATCCCGCCTCCACCAGCAAAGCTTATGGGGCTGTGGACAAACTATAGAATTTTATTACACAGAACATACATTTTTCTCCCCCGTGCTTGTGATGTTGACATGTAGTTATTGTAAGACTGGTTTGTGCTCAAGTCCTCTTTTTTCTGTGAAGCTCCGTTTTTAAAAGTTATTAGGGGGTTCATGTTTTCTTTGATTGACACCTGAAACAGCCTACGGGCGTTCAGGGATTGCGTCACTCACCCAGGGGAATACGCCGTTTGAGCCAAGCGTCATCACCGTGACTCTCGGTGACTGCACGGCCGAATGCGCGCATTGCTACTGCGCAGCGCTGGTTTCAGGAAATGAAGAAAAATCCCGGAGATACTGAGAGCTTTTTGGCTTCAAATCCGTATACAGAAGGTAGGCGGAACCAAGTTGTCCATCTGATATACAATCTATGGTGCCAACACACAAACAAAGTGAAAAGAAAAATATTAAGACACATATTATTTGTAACTAACCATTTAAAAAACGTCCTGCTGCAGCTGCACAGAGTTGGAATTTCTTCAGGAGCCTCCCCTTCTGGGTCAGACTCTGAAACAAACGCTTCTACGAGCCATGCCTTACCATCTCGCAAGCCTTGCCCCCCTCTCCCAGAGAGACAGGGAGGGAAGTGGCTTGTGCTGAAGGATGTGTGGACAGGTGCAGCACATAGAAACGGCGGGTTCTCGGTAGATCTCACTAGAGAGGGTTTTCAGGCTGGCTGAAGTCCAGGAAAAAACTGGATTTTTAGACAACAAACTTCAAATTGACTGCTCTAGGACCTCTGAGACCTATGTGAACCTGCTGAAAAGGAGTATAATATGGGATCTTTAACAGTGATTTCAGTAATCCAGAGAAATGGTGTACAAGTTATAGATGACCAAACTTGTGAGCCTTGTGAATCTTTGTGTCATAAACTACTCAGTGTTAGAGGGAAAATACAACAGAATCAAGGAATAAATACTTTTCAAAAACACTTTTTTTTGTGAGCCAGAATGGAAATACTTGTCTGTGGAGGAGGTGAAAGCTTTTTCCCAGGCATCTCAGCTTGCATGATTTAGTGTACTTAAGCCCTCAAGTGTCCAAAATCTGCCAAGAATTGTCTTTAAAGTGCAGCATTTCTGCTTACAAATGGTGCTGAAGCTAGTTAGGGAGCACACTTTGTTCTTTGTGATTATGACATAATAAAAAAATCCCATGATTCACTGGTTTATTAAAATGGATGTTCTGGTTGCAATCTTTTGAAGCTCCTTTTAACTTGTGTTTTAACTTATACAATAGCTTTAAACCTGACTGAAGTCTAATGCTAGTTCAAGCAGGAATCCATAGTCATTTAATATTCTTTCTTGATGTGATACAAGAAGCATGAGTTTTACTGCGCCTCTATGCAGTCTATCTTGTGTCCCATTACGAGACTAGCAAAGGTTTTGGTGATGCATTTAATGACCGTGAGAATACAATCAGAGAAGTCTCGAAGGCCTTTTTTGTTTTTGCCTCCATTTCCCGTCCCCAGATTGCTAATAGTAGCATGTGTTAACTGTCCCTAAAATTACATGTGTGTGGTGTTCACACATTCAGCTAATTAGGCCATTAAAAGGAAAATTGTTTGTTTCTTTTTTTAGAGAAAATAGCCCGCTGCCACAAGTTGCCATCCCAGACGTTGCTCATGGGATTCCACTCATATCAGCAGTGACCCCGTTGAACATCCAGCTGCAGCACTCTGCTCATCCCTGCTGGCTAGTCTCTCTGGGGAAAAGTGTTTTTTTTGTCCAGAGAATCACTAAAACATACTTTTCATTTCCTTTTTCCGATGTTTATTCCACAGGCTGTTCTGCTGTGAATCTGCTAATGCAGACTGACAAAGAGATGGAAAAAGCGAGGGGACTCCATCCTTACAGGCACTGACAGATCCCTCTGTGTCTCTGCTTTCTTCCACTGTGGACTGATTGAACAAGTGATTGTTTTATGAAGGACAGTTTAACTCAGAGGCTAATTGGAACAAAAATTTAGCTCGTCATGCATTAATGTCATTGAAAGCCTCGCAGACTTGTTTGTTCTCTCGTCACGAGCTGAAGTTCAACTGTCACTGAATGAAACCGCTAAAGTGACAAACAAAATGACACGGCTGACGTGAGCGGAGGTGGCATCTCGTCGGTTTCCTGTGACACAACATCAGCCTGTGTGACTGTAATTCTCCTGATGGGGCTGCAGAGACCCCCCTGATCTCCAACAATCAAAATCAAACAAAGCTCTTACACTGACTTCAACGGGAGGACAATACTCAACTTTTTAAGAGTGCAGAGTCTTTTTCTTTTGGACTTTTTTCAATGCTGTTATGACGTCTGTATAAAAAAAGAAGCAGAGATCTTATTTAATTTGTATTTCTGCTTTTATTTTTGTAGGAAAATACGTCTTTTCACATGCAAAACAGTGGATTCATCAAAGAATATGAAACAGATTTTTGCCCGGGGATACCAGAATGGCACTCAAAAGAAATGTACATTTTACAAAAGGCTTAGAAAAACACAAACACACAAATGCATGTATGAATCAGAGTTTTTACTGGTAATACCACTGGTTTTATTGTCACACCCCACACAGATAACTCGAAGAAATGTTAAGAGAAACAACAGGACCATACTACGGTCTTTCTTCTGAACACTGACATTGTTTTACACAGACGCATGGATGTTGAAACTGGATATTGTGGTGTCCCTGATGAATAGACCCACAAAATGTTCAGCATTTCCGGAGAGAGACTTCCATATTTCTTTTATTTGTTAGGTATGAGGGCTTTGAGTTCAGGGCTGGGACTCCTCATTGAAGTAAAAGTTGCATATTGCTGCTGCCAAGTAAAACATTGTTCATATTCAACAGATTTTCTTGCATTCCTTATTCATGAAAAATCCGGATTACTGCAAACAAACTGTTAAGAATTAACAGAAACTGGCTCTCTTGCAAATTATGTACACAACTTCATCAACAGTCAATCCTTTTTGGGGTTTTTCTTTAAAGCCCTATTGACATTTTGGGGACAGCTTTCACAGAAACAGCGACAGTGTGGAGAGAAGAGTAGTCTCCCCTAAAAGTAGCCATTAAACCCCCTTTTTGTCCTGTGAGCACAGTTTCTCCCTACACTATCCTTCCCAGCCATTTGGTAAAAAAAGAAGAACTGGCAGATACAAATACATATAACTATGCCACAGGGTAATTCTTCTGACCCGGATAGCTGCCTGAATTCTTTACTTTGCCCACAAACAAGACAAGACTAACCCACAAGAGTTTTGGAGACATAAGGCCAAGCTGTCAGTTATGATACAAGGAGCAGATGGGGTCTCTGACTGTCCCCATGGCACGTCCTCAAAACATCCTTTTCCTCACTGACTGAAGTGCTCCTCTTTTGACAAAAGGTCGCCCTCTAGTGGCCTCTGCTGGGTCAAACTTTGATGATCTGTTCTCCAGTTAAACCTCTCTGTTTCTGTCTCAACTAAAGTTCACAAACTTTGCTCACAGTGGAAAGGTTTAATGAGAGCTGATATGCCTTTGAGGGAAAGAGACTGACACTGACAGGGAAACTCAGTAAATCACCTGTGGCTTTTAGCTGACAGGGCGGTGTCAGTGCAGCCAGTGTCAATCAAGTCTGGACAGCTGCTGACTGAATACCCTCTGAAGTTTGTGAAGTTTGTTGCTAGCTAGCCTGTTGAATAGAAGCGGTGAGCAAATCAATAAGAAATACTTCAGCCATAATCTAAAAAGTCCAGACTTTTACAATCTAGGACCCAGTGTTGCTGGCTCTCAATGTTTTGCCTCCAAATTCACCAGAGTGGAATAAGTAATCAGTATTGCTATGCATTGGCAAAAAGCTGAAAATGGTTTCAATAATAAGACACTTCCTGTCTTTTCTTAACTTAACTCTCTTGGTCAGTTGATCTCCATACACAGCTGTTCAGGATCATTCAGAACGTAACAGGGAAAAGGAACAACACTGACATTTAATACTGTTACTGTCACATACAAGGAAAAGTCTGGCTTTTTTTTTCCATTTAAGTCACTGTAGCCGACATAATATAAAAATATACTGTATCATATTTCACATTTTTTACAGTTGGAAGGCAATTCAAAACACAATAACCATAAATAACCATACAGCTAGGTGATCTTTAAAAAGAGCTTCTTCTCTGTTTCTTTATTTTACAAAAACAGTCATAAAAAAATGAATGTTTTCATATAAAACATTGGCTCCAACATAAAAACGTTCTCAACTTATGAGTTTGTTATTTTAAAACTAATTTAAAAAAACAACACACAATTTAATACAAAAAATGAGAGGCTTTTACAAAAGGGTTGGTCTCTTGTAGGCATTTTCTTTTTCCAAAACTGGAGTAGCATGGCCACGGTATTCCAAAACTACAAACAAGCAGGCTTCATAGCAGCCTTGCATAAAATCTTGGCACTGACACTTGCATCACACAAACAGTGTTTGGTCTCAATTTATTGTAAAAATGGCTTTAAACCTTTCCCGTTACGATGTAGTGATATTGCAGCCTTGTGCATTTTACACTGAAGGTATAGTGCTGGGAAGGCTCAACCCACACAAGGCCTGAAGTTTGATAAGGAACACTACAGCTGGAAGCAGGTGGCAGCCAGGATCTACTCCCAATAAAGGAAGCCCCCAATGAGATACCACCAGGGGGCAGTCAACTACAAGAAAGGTGAGACACATGCAAGGTGCCGCGCACCTTGGTCAACAGCCGTAAAGAGCCAGCGCAGGAAACTAAAAGGTCAAAAGGTCGAGGCTGGAAACTTTTATTTGCTTTTGCACCTCAAAAAAAAAAAAAAAACTCAGGAAACAGAAGATGCAGAGCTGAGAAAAAAGCCACCTGTTGTTAGGAGTGATTTCTGAGCGGAAGCTTTTGTGGCATATTTATAAAAACATAGAGAACAAACACAGTGTCAAATGCAAAATCTGAATGATAATAAAACACTATGACAGACAGAACATGACAGGACACAGCCTTCAGGAAGTTGAAATTATCCCTTCATTATAAAGTCACTGCTTTAGGCGCTGCCATTGAATTTAGTTTCATTTTATTGCATTTATGATGTTCTCCCTTTTAAAGCGTTATCACAGCACAAGGTCGGGTTTCTTTAGCATATGAGGCCACAGAGATAGCATGGTACCCCTTTGCCTTTGTTCTATGATGACTCCTTATCTCGATGCACTTTGAAGTCCCAAGAATTGGGATGCGAATGTATGAGTACAGCCTCTCTAAGGAGGAGAGACCGGAAAATTAACCAAGCCAAATCTGGGATCAATCTGGTCCACAACAGAAATCATTATCATTCATTTAATTTCCTAATTTCAAACCCCAGAGAAAGGATCAACAAGGAGACAACAGAGGTCGATAGTCTCCTCTCGGGCTTGAGGAGAACGAGACATGTAAACGGACAGACTGTTGCCGTACAGTTTGTGTTGGTGTGATCTTTCAAGTTTAACAGTGATAGCCCTGACAACACAAGCTGTCAGCTGCAACATCACGTTTCATTTTTTACATGACTGAATACATAAACACACATCTTCTCCAGCTTGAAGGAATCTTTAAGGCACTGTGGTGTATAAATATCCAAGGAAGGAAGATTGCAACAGCTCGTCTTCCAATCTCTGTTATCTACATGGTTTCACTACATGCCCCTGTTTCTGGATTTAAATCCATACAGAGGGCTTCCCTTCTCCTGATTTGCTGCTGCTGCTGTTGCTGCTGCTGCCTCCTCCACTGCTTCCTCCTTTCCCATGTTTGAATCTGTGCTTTCGCTCTTTCTGAGGCTGAGGCTGCGGCTGAGGTTGGGCCTGGATGATGTTACTTTGGGGCTTGTCATCTTGGTTGTCCCCAAGCTGCTCCTCTGCACGGTGCTGCTGACTGTAGGCCTGAATTGCTGCCTCCAGTTGCTCATGAGCCTGCTGGATCATGTCTTTGTTCAAAGCTACACGGGCCTCCCCTCCAGTGGGAAAGTTATCCTCATTACTACCAAATTGTTGCTGTTCCTCTTGGGCAATGTTTGCCCGGTTCTGTTTGCACGCCATCTTAGCATTGCTAAGGTCCGTATAGGGCATCTGCTCTGGCTTTACCACAATATTGTAGCCAGGGGGAGCAGATGGAGTGTTCCACGAAAAGGGGTAGCCCACATAATCTGCAGCACCATCTCCAGCCCCCCCTCCTTCAGAACCTGCCTCTGGTCCTGTGCCCCCTACTGAGCCCTCAACACCCCCATTGGTGCCTAACAAGCCCAGCTGGTACTCATCCTCCTGAGGTGGGCAGCGCCGACGTCGTAGAATGTCACAAATGGATCCAATCCCCAAATGAAGCATCTCCCACACATTGAGTGTGAGGCAGAGGACAGTGACGCCATACATGATGCGCAAAAAGATGGTCTTCTCTGTAGGCCGTGACACAAAGCAGTCCACGCTGTGAGGACAAGGTTTCCCAGAGCACACGAACACAGGCTTCACACGAAACCCATAAAGTAAGTACTGGCCTGCAAGGAATCCTGCTTCGAGCAAGGTACGAGTCACCAGCTGCAAGACATAGACCCGCATCAGACCCTCATCTTGGATACGCCTGCGTCCATCATGCCTGATTTTGGGTCTGGGTGTGGGTTGCAAGGGATCCCGTGGTCTTTTAGGGGGCTCAATCTCTGGTACCTCATAGATCATGGGATCATCCTCCTGATCCTCCTCAGTCTCCTCGATACCCCGGTGTTGCCGAGCTCCAAAGCAGATTTTCCTTGGCTTCCTGTGTGTGTAGCCTCCTCCTCCTGCTGTTCTAACTGCAGCAGAACCGGCTCCTCCTTTGGCTTCATCTATTCGAGCGATCTTTTGGACAGCATAGCCCATGTACATGAGGGAAGGCATTGCCACCAGGATGATCTGGAAGACCCAGAAGCGGACATGAGATAGAGGGGCGAAGGCATCGTAGCAGACATTCTCACAGCCTGGTTGCCCCGAGTTGCAGACAAACTTGCTCTGTTCGTCGTAGTAGATGGACTCTCCCCCAACAGCAGTGAGAACAATGCGGAAGACGATGAGCACGGTGAGCCACAGCTTCCCCACGAAGGTGGAGTGGTTGTGGATCTCCTCCAGCAGCCGCGTGAGGAAGCTCCAGCTCATGGTGTCGCTGGACAGTGGGGCAGACAGTGTCCCTCTCTCACCTGCTCACAGACTCTGGAGAGGAAAAAAGAAGACAGCCAACAATTAATGCCACTTTGAAGAAGATTTATGCAGATATTTCATGTGAGGCTCATGTATTCATTTTCCAAGTTCAGCTACAAAATGTGAAAAGTGTTGACATGATAATTGCCTTAATTAGGGTAAGTGTTCCTCTCTGAGCTCCTCTCAGGCAATCAATACACCCTTAATGTGATCTGTTGCTTCTTGCAGCACAAAGCTGAATTTGGAGCTAAGTGCCTCAGTGAGGTGGCTGTCAAGTTTGGGCTTTTTATGGAATTAGAAGACCAAACAGGGTGGAAAGGATATCGGTATTAAAAAATACCATCAAGCAGCACTGAGAAGAGAGGCGAAATAATCCAAATGGGGACTTTGCTATCATCAAATGTGCACTTTGCTATCATCAAATGTGCACACACACTTTATTTAACAGCCTATCTCTTTTTGAAGAAATAAATCCTCTTAGTGAGCCTTCTTCTGTGAGAGGTGCAGTTTTCAGGATTGTATTAACTTGACTGGTTTGTTCTGGTTGTGAGGTAAACGGCATTGTGCTGTGCTGTGCTTATATGTGCTTGCATGCGTGTGTGTGTGTGTGTGTTTGCATTGGAGCACAGTTTAGAAAAGGGACACATTGCCAATGTAGGTTAGGTCTTGGCTCCAGGCATTCCATCAAAACCAGCAGAATCAGCAGGTGGCTGTGCACACACCACTGGAGCAGGGAGGCAGACAGCAGACCCACATTATCTCAGGCGGTGGAGCTGAACCCAAACACTTCTGTCCCTCAGGGCGGCTTTGGGGATGACTATGACACCTCCACAGAACTTTCCCCTTTTTACGAAGCAGCGCCAGTGCATGGCTTATTGTGAGCTAGACTGAGAGGAAAGTCCAACCATGAATACTGGCTTAGTTTGGGGTTTAAAGGACCGCTGGTACGGCAGCCTTACCGAGCAGGTTGAAAGCTTAGCTGGAGCAAGATGAAGCTTGGAGAAGAGAAAAATGTGGCTGGAGGAGGCGAGTGGGTGCTCCCAGCCCTCTGCTTTGTGTCTCCAGTAGGAGCGGGGAGGGTGGGAATGTTTTGAGGAGGGTTTTCCATTAAACATGTGTCATATTGATTACAATGACCATATAAGGGCATGCAGGGAACACAGGAGGAAGCTGTCAGGAATCCTCTCTATGTGTATGCATAACAGACCAACAGTAAGAGGGCCTGAGCTGAGTAAAGTCTTGCTCTCAGTCCGAGTAGTAAAGTCCTCGTGAGAGTGCTAACTATGAGCGTCTGTGACCGACATGTATGAGTAAGCAGCAAATGTCCGGAGCGGAGTGAGAGGTTGCCACAAGCAAACAGAGTCATAGCAGTGTCCTTCCGTGGTTGAGCTCCGTCTGACTTTTCCTGCATTACATCAGGTCACTCTTTTTACATAACACTCAATGTGCAGGAGAGTTGTCCTACAGACAAACAGCTGACTGCAAAGCTTTAACTGCTTTGTCGTTGTAGGACTTTTCTGCTGTTGAGGTGCACAAATATTTAGATAACTTTGTTTTAACTGGTATATTTATACTTCAAGTGCATTACCTTCATAAATAACTGTAATGTTAGGGTGATTTATGGGACCGTAATGTAATAGATTCAATGCAGGAGTTGAATCTATGTTTATTATTTCCATTCACATACAGTAAACACTCACAGGGGGACACTGCGGGTTGTGCTTTGACCCCCAACTCTTGAAAGTTGCATGTCGATGCGGTCACGGGGAAGACCATTGGCATGTGAATGGGATTAGTTAGGCTGATGGGCTCTATGTATTGCAAGGTCTACTCTAAGTGTGTGAAAGAGTGAATATGACACAGTGTGAAAATACTAATTGGAAAGGCATTTAATGGTCAAGCATGGTCTGTTTACCTTTAATGATACAATAATTCTAGAGTTAATCCAAATGTTGTTTAGGATGACAAGGAAGGGTCACATGAAGGATGAAAAAAAAAGATTTTGGTTGTAAACAAATTTAAAAGAGGATTATGTTAATTTACAAGAAAAAATATTAAATTATATTGAAAAAGTCACAAAACAACGATAAAATTTGCAGATTCAAAGTCATAACCTCACGAGTATGACGTTGTCATTATGAGAGACTAAAGTTTAGTTATAAGCTATAATTTATCTATATGGAAAAAAACAGTGTGATTTCAGTCATCCATAAACAGCACTGAAATGGGGAATGTGGATAAGGTTGTGAAGCTGACGTGCTCAAAGGTTGCATTTTTTAATTTATGAAACAATATTAAACTATAAATTCACAAAATCCTCTAAGCTAGCTGCTCCTTTTATTTTCTCCTCCACAAAAACATGCAGACTAACAAAGCCTTAAAATATGTTATTTTCTCTTAAATTCACAACTTTATTCTCATGAATTCACACTTTTTTCCTTCAAAGACAGTGAGGATTTTTAACTGATCTACAAACAGACTGAAACTGGTACTGATGCCTCTAGAGTATATATAACCTTCAGAAGCAAACAAGACCACTAGAAAGAAGACTCATACTTTCTCTGTTGGGATTTTCACAGCCTTACCCCGCTGTGAGGGGGCAGGTGTCACACCGGATGATCTTGAATCTTGGCGCAGACTTAGTAGATTACAGTTTTACACTTTATCTGTGCCATTGTTCTTCCCCCATTGTTCCATTGACAGTATTAATGCAGTTTGAGAATCATTTGTTTGAGTTTTGACTCTTTAACTGTGGAAGTTTTTTTGTGCTTGCACTTTATTCAGGAATAAAACCTGAGTCAAATTTTAATGGTTCATCTTCCATATGTTCTCTGCGTGTTGATTGACACCAGGCAGTTTGAGAATCATTTGTTTGAGTTTTGACTCTTTAACTGTGGAAGTTTTTTTGTGCTTGCACTTTATTCAGGAATAAAACCTGAGTCAAATTTTAATGGTTCATCTTCCATATGTTCTCTGCGTGTTGATTGACACCAGGAGAAATGTTTGAACGAGGGTTAGTGTTATTCCTCACCTTCATAATGCAGAAACTCAAAATATATTTACATTTTCATATTATGTAGGACCACCACTATGAACTAGAGCAGATGCATTATGGGTTTTGTATTATGTTCTGCTGTGCAGCAAAACTCTGTGAAGACTGACCTGCTGTCAGAGCAGAGCTGTTCATAATTTCATCATTTCGCTGCCAAATAGTTTTGCAGTATTTAACTCTGATGAAACAGGGACTTTAGTATCTGGGGACGCAGCTGAAAACGGTCCCTGCACACTGACAAGATGAGAATTCCTTCATTGTGTCTTAATGAAGTCTTTTATAAGGTCCCATACGATCGTGCACTGGGTACTGTCACTCTCCTCCAGCCAGGATGCACAGCTGCCTGGGCTTCATACTCCCACAGCCTTTGCCACATATAACCTGGCATTCTGCTTTCTCATCCGATTTGTGTCTGTAGGAGCTAGTGGGGCAGTTAGGGGTAGGAAGCTGACTCTGTGCATCAAGTTACTGAGGTGAGTCACCCTTATGAGCAGCACCGCGAACACACACACAAACAGCAGGCAGGCTCGCTGCTACTGTTTATTACAAAGAATGAACATCAGAAAAACACACCAGATTTGGTTCTAACACAAGAAAAACTCTGTTATTTAATTGAATATATAATTTAAATCATACATCACTGTGATCATCTTTGAAAGAGAATGAGCTTCAGGATCAATAGCTTCGTGGCCACTGGCTGAAAAAGGTCAAAACTTTGAAATCACAGGTCATTACATTAAAAGACTCTGATACATCTAAGCCCTTGGCATAGCTCATAGCTGTACCACAACAGTGCAGGGTCAAAGGTCAACTGGACGGGCTCCTCAGCCTTGTGCATTGATTCAGACAGTCACAATTACGGTCTGCGTCACTCGAGGGATCCCCTCAGTCACTGCCTTTAATCCCTCTGAATGCACATGGACTCGCAGACTAACTGACAGACGGATGTACAGACAGACAGTCACATGTGCACAGCTTTATAAACCCACAATCTTTCTGCAAACAAACGCAACATGAATATGAGGGGCACTACATCAGGGTTAGCCGAGGTGCTCCTTATTCACAGTAGTGACTCATTATTTGGACCCAGTGCTCCAGCTGGAGGGGCCTCAGGCTCATGAAGAACACCAGGGGAATGAGCCCCACTGTGGGACAGACCCCCAACTTGTGCAGGGGGATCTCTGCTGATGCACAAGGTTTATGATTGTGTGGTTAGAAGATGAGCTCAAACTGGAGGCATCATCATGAAGAATTCTTAGTGCAGCAACACATAAAAATTCACCATCAGTGGTGGACCAGGTCAGGACTAAAATAAAACACAATTTAGCACCGTCAGTGATTTTGTAATTATTATCTTTTATGACTTTAAAACATTAAAAAAAATTACATCCACATTAGCCAGAAAGTATGATAGCCACAGAGAGCACAACATCGAGATACTTGAACCACAGGAGCAATTAAACCCAGTTTTTTTTTTTTTAATTGTGCAGGTACACTGTGCAGTTTTTAAAGTATTTAGCTGCAGCTGTAATGCCATCCTTATAATACAATTATTAAATGCACAGCAATACAAAATACTCACAGACAGCAATATGCCTGTACTGCATCTTAACTGATCATCCACATACCACACATTGCTGCACACATGCACACACAAAGCTACATAAATATTAACAATCAGGCTAAGGGCAGTTGGGATAATTAACACACTGTAAATGTTGTTAAAGCTTTGATAAATGTATGTAGATATAATAGATTTATTAGCCTCCGGATGCAATGAAACCAAGCAGAGCACATTAGTATGTAAATTTATAGGCAAATGTATTTAACTCTATGGGTTAAACTATCCTCGTGCATGATAACAATGCATGGCTTGTGAGGTCACTGCATGCAAAGTAAACACTGATTATATTGTTTAAAAGTTAATTATTTCCTTGTTGTTTTAAAACTAATTTGTCTCTACTTCTCAGCAAATCTCTCACAGACTCACTCACAGGCAAACATCCGTACGGATGCTGCAGCCGCTCTCCATCAGGCAGCTCACAGCGCGGATGTACTCTCCCCCCCTGCAGAGTACAAACGTCAGTGCAAACTCGACATAAACATTTGCTCAGTCTTCTTTCTTATTACTGTTTTCCATGATCAATTAGGCCTGCTTTAGTGTTTTTTTAAGTGATTAAATTTATTCTAAGATGAGAGAAACTCCTGCCAGGGCTGATTGAGTTACCATCCTGCTGATTCGCTGCTTCATTTAGACAATTTACTTTTTGAATCTTTGCTTCCACACAGTTCTGATTTATGACGTTCTTCTGAAGCCTTTGAAAACCCTAAATGATGGCACAAAGCATCCCCATACATAACCAATGCCCTATTTATTGAGCTCCTCAGAAATCTGAGATGAAAAACAGGCAATAACAGCGCAGCATTATTATCTCAAAGGGGAGTGCTTTCAACAGACTCCATGTGAACAAGTTTTTCTCAAAATTCTAGTTGAATAAAGTTTAAAGTACTTTAAACTTGGTGTATTAAATGTATTAAGGAATTTTTTTTCCACACCAAATTCTTATAGAAAACTAGGATAGTCCTGTCCACATGATAAAAATATCGCACTATTATCACACTTTCTGTCTGGTACTGTGTCCCATCATTTAGATTTATCTACTTTTTTTGCCTCACACAGCTGGGTTTGATGTTATATCTCATGCAATGTCATCATTATTGCACAAGGGACTGGTTTGACTGATATAAAAGGGACTGTGCTTAAAGCCGTCCTTGATGTCGACAATGGCAAGTGTGCAAAGATTTAATATGCAGTCTTTGTTAGGCGTAATCACATAAAAAACAAAGCCTTTTATTGAAAAAATAGCCACTAATTAACTGGAATTAGATGGAAATTCTGGTTCAATGTTATCTTTTGTTTTATAGGGGAATAGGAAGTCAATAGCCATCAAATTAGAGACTCATGGGTGATTAAGGTGCCTTTCATATCTTATAATTTAGTTAATTTTGCAGTTAATTTTATACAAATAGCATCAGAGAGCCAAAGGGGACAGTGCAGGTTCTCTGAGCGTGCTCTGTTTGGGTTGGTGTTGCCGTGACTGTCCTCACTTGAGGGTCATTTCGCTCAGACGTGACTGATCCTCCACCTCATCCTGCACACAGATCAAACTAATCTGCTCTCACAGTGACTGGCCAGACATCTGTGCATGATCACCCCCTGGATTGTCATATATGGGTTAAAATCTGGCTGTTTTGATGCGGACAGACCTCGTATTAAACATGTCATAAAAGGTCTCCAGCAGCCGCACATGAATGCCCCATATGAGAACAGATAACCGCCATAACTGCGGAGCATGGATGAGCATAAGCAGAAGGGTGCTTGACTTAAAAAGCACAGGGGGATTTCTTATATAGTGACTCCTCTTCTCTTTCTCTGAAGGCACAGGATAAGCTCCTTTGTTAGGCGCTCTGAAATATTCAAATAAAAAAATAGCAAAGCTAAAAATGGACTTCTTATCAACTCATCCTGATTGGCTGTTTTTTCCCCGTCAGCTGTAACTTTGTCTAAAATAGTCCTTGAAGCGATTAAAAAAAAGTTTACTTCATGGACCTGGAAGGTTATCAGGGCTGTTAATCACATCTATTTCATACACTTATCTTTATTACACTGTATGAAGACCGACTTGCAGCATGATGAATGCATGCAGCCATGAAATGAAAATATACTACAAATTCCAAACTCAAATTTGGGCCCCTGGCTTCTTAACCTTTCAGCAGGAGACAGAAATTATCTCAAATCAGAAAATCAACATGGTTAGAGATGGAAATAGAAACAGCTGGATGTTTTGTTGCGTGGTCAAACTTGACTCTAAGCCTGGAGAGAGTCTAGGATTGAGGACGTCTGGGTGATATGGATGAGTAAGCTCCTGTCGTCATTCTGCAAAGGGGGGAGTTTGGACCTGAAGAAAATCTCCCTCCCTGTGTTCGTGGGAAAGTAAAAAACTCCCTCATTAACATTGTCCAAAGGGGAAAAGGCAAAGTGGCTCCATATGTTTAAGGATGAATCTCTGGGGCAGGAGCAGATTCTCTGCATCTGTACGCTTTCTTCAAGCAGAATTGGCCACTAAAAAGTATGCAAATCTGTAGAGACATTTTACCCTCATCTGCCTCCATGATAATAATCTTTCGAATGAAGGATGTCTTAATCTGTCATCCCTCAGAGTTAACACATATGAAAATAAATGTAAAAACAAGCACATATGGTCAGGCAGCAAGGCAAAGTGAGAAAGCAGCATACTTACTCTACTCCCTCACTCCCAGATGCCAGGGACTGTGTCCTTTGTCCCTCAACCTGAGGCCCCACATCTCTGTCTCCCGTCTCACTTAGCCTCCGTTACATTCTCCTTAACCTCCTCTGACATCAGACAGCCCTGACCCGACATCAAAAACAACCATATGTCCATAAACAAAAGCCTCCAAAACAAAACAACACGTCTCCGCCGCGGCTCTCTCATGTAGAGCCTCAGTGTGTGTGCTTAACCAAGTGTGAGCGCTTCCTGAAAGAGAGAGGAATGAGGGAGGCAGAGCATCTTGCCTCTTTCCCCGTGGTACTCACAATGGTCCTGACTTACCCCCTTATCCCCTCCAAACTGGGTCATGGTAGGGGGTTGGGGTTGGGTGTGTGGTTATGATTGGGATGGGGAAGAGGTGGTGGTGGTTTAATACCCCTCTGAGGGCACAAGGGAGGGGAAGTCTGGGACTGACTTGCAGTGATAGGATGAGTGGAGGAGTGCGATAGGACGGGGCCTTCAGGTGAAAGTGAGAGAGGTAATTTTATAATGCTACTTTTATTACTCTGACGCTTTTATGGCAGTAACTTGAATTTTTTATTCATTTTTTGGCTGGGATTGGTTCACAAAAAAAAGAAGGAAAATAAACAGGAGGTGTGTATGTTGAAGGAATAAACCATTGTCGGATGTGTTTGTAAGACAAGATTTGAATGAATATAAACTACTGATAAGAGTAAGCACTGAGACAGAGAAGAGTTTTTCTAGCAGCACATACAAAAGTAGATCTCCCCTTAGTATTCACCATTTGTAACCCTGAACAAATAAATCCTCAGCTTTCACTCTAAAGTCTGATATAAGCACAAACATGTATATTTACCACAGCTGACCTTTAAAATGCACTTTCATCACCAAAATTCCTCAAAAACCATGAACAGACACTCATGGTCCCCACGGGATGACTCCCTCCAACTCTGGTGATCCTAAGTTCACATCCATCTCAGCTACAGTAGGTGGTTAAACCCTCTTTCCAGCTTGGTACTCTTTAGTAATCTCCCGGTTGATTATCAAAAACAGCCGGCTGAGGGTATCCAGGACGAATAATGACAAGATCATCACTTTACAGCTCTGAGACTTTTGTCTGAAAAGTTAAGTCTTTTTTACACCCTTTCTTCGCCTGACTGGGTTTTGTTTATCTGTCTACTACCCTAGAGATGCATCTATGCTGTTAAACAACTGGCTCAGAGCGTAGAGCATGTGTAGGATGTCTGACTGACATGACAGAGAACTAAATCTCCAAAGGCATTATCCATAGATAGATAGATAGATAGATAGATAGATAGATAGATAGATAGATAGATAGATAGATAGATAGATAGATAGATAGATAGATAGATAGATAGAACCTATAGTCTGATTTTAAGTAGTCTGATTTATTTCCGTCAGTTGCATGATTTTTAAGTCTGGCTCCGTCTGACTACTGCAATAAATCGATTTTCTTTGACTGCATGTAAACATATTAAATTCACGACTGTATTCACTCATGACTGTACGCAGTTTCTGTAGATGAAATGAACAGATATGCCAGTTTTTCCTGGAAAGGTGTCCTCATGTTGTTGGATTTTTCAAAGAAGTTACACTCAGAGCTCTCTGACTCCGCAGAGCTCTCTACAACTTCCTTCAGAACTAAATCTTACGTGCATCTGTTTTACTGGCACCTATACCTTCAATAAACTAGAAGACTTTGAAAACACCTAAAGCTCCAGTAAGGAATTTTGATTTGTGTTAACTTTGGCACCCCTTTGTGTCCCACCTTTACCTTCTCAGATCTATCATTGTACACAAGAACACAGGTCAAACATTGTAGTTCCCCCCATAACCCCACCGAGTCCTCCTCTTTTTCAAATATGTTCCTACCCTTGTGTAACGCTGTGGCTAAAATCAGCCACTAGGGGCAAAATTTAGCCACTAATTTTTGACTACATAACTTTTCTTTTACTGCAGCAAATGGGATGATTTTTTTGTGCAGATGCTTATATTGATGGACACTTTGAGAATATGACTTCAAAATTTCACCAGGTCAAAAATACGCGCTGGGCAAATTTTCAACCATTGTTAATGCTCAGTGGCTAAAAAAACCCACTAACTTTGACTGCTGTAAAAACATATTGGGTTAATATTTTTTTCCATTTTTTTTCATATATCTCTCAATTAACTTCTGCTTTGATCAAAACTAGTAAATGTTTCATCTAAAATCATTTTTTTAACCCTTTGAGGGTCCATTCAAAACATGATGTCACTGATATGGTAGGAAATGAATCTAATAAAAATCAGTCATTTTCCTCCCATTTCTTCCCAATATTAGTGACTTTATGTTTTAAATGGGTCCTTAAAGGGTTAAAATTTGGATTCTTAATGAAACATTTACTAGTTTTAAATAGAGCAGAAGTTAATTAAGAGATATACGAAAAAAAAATCTGGAAAAAATATGAATCCAATATGTTTTTACAGCAGTCAATGTCAGTGGCTGTTTTTAGCCACTGAGTGTTAAGAAAGGATGTAAATCTAAGGGTTACACAAGGGCTAACTCATTGTCATGTTTGTTTTGCTACTTCACAGCTCCCTGTTGGTGCTGGCAAGTGCACTACTGTTGGTTGTTACCTCCGCCAAGGAGGTTATGTTTTTGGTAGTGTTGGTTTGTTTGTTTGTGAGTTTGTTTGTCTGTTAGCAACTTTACAGAAAAAGTAACAGACGGATTGACCTGAAATTTTCACCAGTCTCAGCCCCAGGAGGATCCCATTACATTTTGGTGGTGATCCGGATCACCTTCTGGATCCAGGAATTTTTTGAAGGATTCTTTATCTGTGCCATCCATTGGTTGCAATTCCATTGGAATTTTCAATGCTGAAAGAAAACCAATGGGCGGCACAGTGGCATAGATGGGCAGCACAGTGGTGTAGTGGTTAGCACTGTCGCCTCACAGCAAGAAGGTCCTAGGTTCGAATCCGGGTCATGGCATTTCTTATTTTAGGAACATTATGAACAGTGAACATACCAGTTCAAACACAAATAAAAGTTAATAAAAGACACGTAACAGTAAAAGTTTTGGTGTGAATCACAATATAAGGGGGGACATGAGCTGCTTGGCGGAGGTCTGCGCTCTCTGAGTGCTTTTCTAGTTGACAATGCTTTTGTCATTGAACGACAGAATTTGCATATGACAAAACCAAATCCTATGATAATATTAGTGCTGTTAGTGGGCGTCTTGCAGTTGATCGACTATGACTGCATACGAAATTGATAACAGGTAAGAAAGTAGTGCGGACCAACCTATTTAAATGAAGATTTGCCTGTGCTACCAGCTGAGAGGGCAGGGTGGCCATAAACGAAAAGGGAAGTTTGAGGCCATGGAGTTCAACCTGTCATTGTGTGGAAGCCAGCAACTGCATAAAAGCTGTGTTTTGTGTCATTTACTGCATCCTGAGTGCGTGGGGACTGGATATACTTACCCATCCTGCATGACATGGCATTCAACACTTTAAACAGCACACCAGAAAAACTACTCTGGGAGACGCACTAACTGTGATGGTGCGTCGGAGTCATCCAGATGCAGGAAAGTGCAGCGTTACAAAGATATTTTCAATGGGAGATATGGCATGGATCATTTTTGTGACAGGCTCCAAATCAGCCCTTGGTCACCCAGCAGCTCAAAAATGGCATTGCTGGATAGATGATATGTCTCTACTTATTCGTCGTCATCTATCATCGCACTTTTGCCTCCTTCTCACCACAATGACCGCAGCGTACCACTGCGTCAGTTTGCACCTGACTTTTAAACATGCTAAATAAAGACGGAAAAACACAGACTGCAATTGGTATGATAAACCATATTGTGGGTGCTAAATGATTCCATTTGCATCTCCTTCTCCCAGTATTTTGCATGTTCTGATTATCTGCATACATTCTGCAAATTCATGAAGGCAAACACGCTAAAAGGATTACACATGGTATTTTGTTCATTTGACAGACACAATCCTCCAGTAGATCAGCTTTGCCCATGCTATCAAGTTTGCGTGTGTTTTTATAGACAAAAACCTTTAGTAGATAAGGCGCAAAGTGTTTATTTGACAATAATAAACAAGCTTCTTTTGCACCCAGTACTTTTTAATTAAATAAAGATTGTAGCATACTGGAGTTGTGAATTTGCCAAATTTCATACCCTTTTAAGCATTTCTGTCTGTTTAATAGAATTATTAACTGTCTTCACTGATAGTTTAGCTTTTATGTGGTAACCTGATGTAAAAAAATTGATAAGGCATCATTTTAAATTCAAATGTGTCCTTAAAATCCCTGTGTCTGTTGGGCTAAAGGGACAATGTGGTTCTGACCACAGGCAGTGGCTTTCATAACACAGTCCTAATAATTGATGCCCAACATGTTATGCATTATGGCTGCCAATAAATTGGGGTCTTTAAGGGGGTGGAAAAGAGCCACCTCTGAAAAAGTAAAATTAGCGAACTAGAAAGTTGTTAGAAACGCCATAAGAGAACTCCATGAACTCTGTTTAATGTCGAGCGTACATACTGTGGCTTCTTCCTGCAGAAACGCAGACACATAACTCTAATCCTCCTCATCACTTTCAGCCTCAGTATGCCCTTCTCCCTCCATCACTCTGCTCCACTCTCTAATGCTCTTACATAGTCATAATCATTCGACTCCAAGAACAATAAAAGATGACCGTTTGATATTGTCCAAATCCAGTCACCAGCGCTGGCTGCTGAAATTAGGACTGCACGCTATCTCAGCCCTCTTTTCTTATCTGCGTCTTCAGAGCCAACCAGTTGCTATCACCAAATTTCACAGATCCCAGGCTGAGAAATCAGAGGGTGTAAATCCTCTTCTGATTTATATCATGTCACTCAAAGTCCAGCGCTTCTGTGAACTATGTTTCTCTTTAGTGTACATCCATTGCAATTTGGCCCGTCCTTTTGAGAAGTCCCAAAGCAGTGAAATGCATGCTTCTGGATGTGTCAGTTTTGTAATAACCTTGAATAATTTGATGTTCTTTTCCCCCTTTTGATGTGAGGAGTTTCATGAATCACTTTCTTTAGTCATACTGATTTTTTTTATAGACATTAAACAGCACTAGATGTGATGATGACTTTGCTGCTACTGCTGATGGTTGAAAATAAAACCATTTATCCCAAACAGTAAGTGCTCGAATTTAGCTATAACAAAAGTACTGAGGGGAAATGATGGTAGCTATTCAAATATTAATCACACTTAAGAGCGTTCACTTTGTGGCGGTTTGACAGCTGAGTGAAAAATCTCCTGTCCAGCTCTGTGTTCAAATTCTAACTGTTGATTAATAAACACTAAATCGCTTCGTGAGTCACTTTTTTCCTCACTGTATGTGCTTGTTTATGCCTCAGCAGAGGTCATTTTTGCAGACTCAGCCGGCACTGTGGGAGGGATGATTTATGACTTTCATTTTGTGCTGACATAAAGTTGAACACCTCTCTGTTACTGTCACTGCTTGTCGGTACACAGGGGGGTTTAAGCTAAAAGGGAGAGCATTCATCTGCAGGGGTGGAGGTCCCCAAATAAGATCTGGATTTCACCTCAGAAGGGTAACAACACAATCATCACTCAGCGGTGATGAGAACATGTAACATACAGGATGTGCAGCATGTTAACTTGTTGTTTCCAGCTGTGGATCTCAGATGACACTCTGGCTGATGGGATCTGTAGTTCACATCTCCAAATAAAATACAGGCAATAAAAAACCTCTAATCAGAGACGTTTCAGTATTTTGTATTCTCACACTGTAACAGTACTCTAACAACATATCCTAAAAAAATAGACACACGAGGGCTAATCATGATGGTATTTAAAGTTAGGCCTAAAATGTGTCAACTAAAGAGTTTTAATCTGACATAGTGTATTATATTTGCTCATGTAAATGCTGTTCCATGTCATTAAAAGAAATCTAGTTCAGAGTTCCTTTTTGTTAAAATTTTCCAAACAGGACTGTTCCTTCAGCTGCTTCAAAATAGTGATATAAATATGGTCAGTCTTCTCCCTGCTGGCCTTGTTTTCTTTTGGATATCATGTTAAGGCATCAGTATGAATTTCAGTCTATTTGACAAATGTCAAATGTTTTTGAGCTTCTCCTGGTTGTCAAAACTTAGCAAGAAGTAATAATACCTTTTAGTAATTTTGGCTGAATGTGCATTCCTAATGTATACTTCTTTATCCTTACCTTATCTTTCTTAACACTATTAATATGAAACATCAGGCACTTCTTAATATCTCTGAGGACTTGGTTAACTACTGACAACAGCTGGAAAATACATGTTTTTCATATTTTTTCAGCTTTTGAACTGAACTAGCTCACTTTAAAATCTAGAGCAGAGTTTAAAATTATCCTCACAAAGCTCATAACAGTCAGGCCCTGTCATATCTGTACAAGCTTATAGAGCCCAGTCACCCCCAAGGACTTGATGTTCTGAGACTGCATGCCTAGTTTTGGTACCTTAAGTCTCCAGGAGCAGCAGTATGGGAGGCCAGAATTTTAGTTATCAGGCCACTCTCCTGTGGAAACATCTTCCTATTCTTGGAGGCAGAAACCCTCTCCACCTTTAAAAGTAGTCACAAAGTTTCCTTTTAATAAAGCTTATATTTAGGGCTGACCCAGGTCCAAGCCCTGGTCAAGCTGCTATAAGCTCAGACGACCATTGGAGGATGACAGAGCTCATGTCTCCTCTTTTTTATCTCTATTAGTTACTGACTTTATATCATCATTTCTCATTTACGGGTGCCTTTGCCTTTGTCTTGGTGTTTTCTCATGAAAAGTGGAGCTATACTCTTTAAATGCAACCTGAGTCAAAGTTCAAAAGGTCAAAAAACACTGCTCATGGAAAAGTTGATGCAACATGCCCAATGCAACATACAATCTTTGGATGTATTTCACACAGAATACATTTAAATACATACATGTCTGCAGACTCATCAACATTTCAGTGTTGTACATCTTCAGAGCACATACAGTATAAGCATCCTTCAAAAGCTATGTATATGCATAAGACAGACTGCTCATAGATGGATTGAGGAGATTGAGGGTTGCTTAACTCCCATAATCCCTTAGCCTGTCTGCATAAACCAAACTAATTTGGCTCATTTGACAGTGTATCGTCCTTGTAAACATCAAAGCGCTCTTAAGAAGAGGCTTGAGTGGCAGATTTGGCTTTTTTTTATAAATGGTTCCACTGGAGCCATTATCTCTTTCCAGTAGTAGACTGATGGGTTGTTGTTAATGATTATAAAGCCTCAGGCAGTGGGAGGCAGAGATATTTGTGGAAAGCTGGGGACAGGGAATGAAGAAACAGTCTTCATCAACCTTCAGCATCAGAACATGTGTGGATAGAAAGAAAAATAAATCTAAGAGGACTGAGCTCGAACAAATAAAACCAATCGGTTTTGAATATAAATTTACTCGATTTGGTAATTTTGGCTGTAAATTTTACCTACAGTTCATACGTATGTAACACTGAAACAGTAAAAACAAAGTTTTAGATAGATAGATAAATATACTTTATTGATCCCAAACTGGGAAATTCTCAAATTTTATGGGTCTTTACTGTCATCCTGTCTCCTACCAGCTCTGATGTCGTCGCACACTTACTGAACCTCTTCACCCTTCCTGCATATTTTACATACAGAGTCACAGGGAAACTGTTACTGTAAACTGCGTGTGAGGTATAAACATTAAAATGACTACAGGCATAAAGTTATAGTTTTACAGAGACTGTAAGAGAGTCGGTGCCTCTGCGTCTCCTTTTTAAAACTATGTGGCTTTGGGATGCAGTCAAAGAGACAGGTCAGGATAAACAGTGAGGAGAGTGTTTATAGCATGATAAAGCCATAAAAACAACTCAGTGATTCATTTCATGTTTGAAAGTCATGAAACAGGGATTCAGGATATCATAATTGTGTTGTTTATGTCAGAAAAACCCAACAGGAGAGGCTGATTTGGTGTCTGGGTTCAGATAAGGAGCTCCCATTTAGCTTGTTGAAAGTACTGATAATATTTACTGTCATCAGGTCAGGAGGTCACTTCCTCACACCTCTCAGTTTCTCTTATCTATAAGGACTTTTTATACAGTGCTTTCAAAACCACAGCTTCAGCAAACACGATAGTCAGTGAACGCACCGCAGGGTTAGAAAGGTTCATTCATCAACTGTTGCGTTACAGCTCATGTTTGTTTAGATGAAGGAATGAGGTCAAGTATTTAAATGTTACTTTATACGTTGGCTTTTTTGACTCATGTTACTGATTTTTTTAAAGTGGCTAACAAGACTAGCTTGGTAAGACGGGCAGTTTGCTTAACAATGTTTGGCGTCTGTGTTTGGCGTACACTTTGGTGGGAGAGGTCTACCAGGGAAAGCAGAGGTCATATGCATAGAGGGTTTTTCCCTCCTGAAATGTTCTATGCTTATTGCTATAATAAGGCCATAGCTATACCTGATAGTTAACCTAGTGTACAATTACCTGCATCATGGAATTAACTGTGCACATACTGTACGTGAATAGCAAGTTTCTACGTCAACTTCTTAAACCTCTCACCAGCTCTTTCAGCAGGCTGCAAACTGGCACTGACACATCATACAGATGTGGGTAATCGCAGAGGTCTATCAGCTTGTCTTAAAACCTTTCTGCCATTCTTGTCCTTGCTGCTGTGTTGACACAGTCCAATTTCCTTTGCCTACACTGCTCCTCTCATTCAAAGATGCTGCATCTTGCTTTCTCACTAAGTTAATATTTAAGTCTATGCAGAGCCAGTCAGATGGCAGAGATGCATGGCAGACCTCCTGTACACATGTATCATTAAGCAAGTGCAGCAAACTGTAAACCTTAAAAGCACAGTGATCTTGACATGAGCCAAAAAGGCACAAATACAAGAAAATAAAGTTTTATCCAACAGCATTAACTCTTCAGATGCATTTTGACAGAAGGACTTTTGCCCAAGAAAACGTCGGTAAAAGGTTTTTTTTACCCGTTTGTAGATATTAAAATAACCTGTCTTGTGTTTTATAACAGCTACTGATTATTGCTTTGGCCAGGACAGGACAAATTTATGTTTATTTCAGTGATTACCTGCAGTGTTCAGTGTTTAGTGTCTAGCTGAAACGGAAACCTGCAGACTTTCAGAACAAGCTTGTACACTGTTTGACACCTGTAGCTGGACTATTATGTAACACTTCGTGTTATTTGTGGGTGATTAACAGTCTCAGTGTTGGGACTCAGAGTCCTGCCGGCTTTATTTGAGACTTTCCAGCCTCTATATAATGGACAAAAACATCATTATTATGGCTCTGAGGCTGCAGTAGAAAGCAAAGAAAACTAAGCCTTATGCTTAGATATGCACATATACCATGTTTTCAAGCTATACTGCTATTAACTATTTCCTTCTGCAGAATTTGCTGACCTGCTGTATTTGGTAGTATGTCAACAGAGACGTTCACATTAGTTTGCATATGTAGATCCTGACTGGTTGGTCGGATGGATGTAGGGACCAAATATAGCACAGATACCACAAACAAATCACACTATAAATAGAGTTACACAATACTAAACAAAGCAACAAACTATGTTACGCAGTTTACAGAATTGATTGCAAAGACAGAGAGAGATTCCTGTTTTTTTAGACACACACTTCTGTAGAAGAAATTGACCATTAAACAGAAAATTAATGATGAAAAGATAACCCACTGTACTGTAAATAGGACGGTACAGCCCAACAGTAGATCATATGACTGCAGATTAACTAGCCCACAGTTTGACACTGGGTGCCCTTCTGTGTTTATGTGCAAAGTAAACATCCCTCTGTATATATTCGTTATCATACTCTGCAGCATGTTTAAACCATCATAGGAACAAATAACAGAGGGGCTCAGGAAGCCTGGAGCTTTAGAAGCTCACATATGTGCTGTGTCCTTTACATACTCATGTTATTGGTACATCTTTGATCTGTACTTTTTCATACAGCTACGTCTTTTCATTTTATTTATAAACTATTAAAACCGAAAGACTTTAAAAGATAAAATTTTATGTGCCGACCGTAACACCCCTGTCGTATAAACAGTATCTCAAGAAGTTATAGCTCAGCTTTGGATTAGGCTGCTGGGACATGGGCGTTTCTTTGTTGATAATAAAGGTTATTTACCATGAAGCATATATGAAATGCTACTCTCATTTCTTCACTGTGTTGCTCTAATCTGGGGCCCTTTAAATATGATGCATCTTTACCAACAGCATTACTTCAAATGTATACATATCATGTTATGCTGGTGTGGGACTTTTCCTAAATATGTCATAAATATTTTTAGACCACTATTACTACTATGACTACTTTTTGAAATATAGATGTCCCACCTTAAAGTTTGATTCTCATATGTACAGCTAGTTTTAAACTTCAAATGAAAATAAAACAGGAAAACAGGGACAATTTCATGTCAGTATATATATATCTGCAACAGCTCTGTTTCTTACACTTCTTGATATTTAAAAAAAAAAAACGTTTTACAGTTAAATTTTGTGTGATTTAGGCCTTTGGTTTTGTACTTGTGTTTGTATTTTTTGTTTTATAAGCAAAATATTATTCAGCAAGGTGTAAAAACAAAAACAAAGAAAAACTGACAATTCAAACAGAAATATGAAATTAATCTCATATCGTTTCATCTCATACTGTTTCATTTAGTATTGTATCAGCTGGTATCATAACATTTTATCTTGTATCGTATCATCTTGAATAATTTTGTATCATCTCTTTTAGTCTCATCTCATACCATATAATATCAACTCATATTGTATAATCTTATCGCATCGTTTTGTATTGTATCATCTCTCTTCATCGTATTATCTCATAACATATAGTATCACCTTATATCCTCTCATATCCCCTCATTACATATTGTATCATTTAGTATTGTATCACCTTGTACAATATACCAGTGTATCAAATTGTGTCATCTAGTATCATATCGTCTTGGATTGTGTTGTTTCATCTGGTATTGTATCCCATCACATCCCATTGTACTGTGTCATCTTATATTAATTCATCTGGTATGGTATCATCTTGTATCATATAATACAATATTATATTTTTGGGTTTTATACAGTGTCAAATTCTCTCTTATCATGTTGAATAATATCACCTTGTTGTATCACTGTCATGACCAATGTCCAATGAACCAATGTCATGACATTACATTTCATCACTTCATATGGTACCTGATTTTATCTCATCCTAATGTATCACATCAATTGTTATCATATTGTATGATATTATTATTTATTTTGTATCCTACTCTATCCCTGTATTGTTCTGCTTGATATCATACTGTATCACATTATGGTCTATTATAGGCATTATAATATATGGTTCGGTGTTTTTGTGTATTATTATGTGTATTAGAGGCGGCAGTAGCTCAGGAGGTAGAGCGGTCGTCCAATGACCGGAAGGTTGGCGATTCGATTCCCCCTAATCCAAGTCTGTCCGTTGTGTCCTTGGGCAAGACACTTAACCCACCTTGCTCCCAGTGTGTGTCCTCCACTGGTGTATGATTGTGAGTGTTGTGTGGTGGTGGTCGGAGAGGCCGTAGGCACAGAATGGCAGCCACGTTTCCACCACCACCAAAGTGTGACTGTGTGAGCGAATGAATGATGTATCCAATGTAAAGCGCTTTGAGGGTCTCTGATAAAGGCATTATAATATATGGTTCGGTGTTTTTGTGCATTATTTCTTTTCATTTCTTTAGAAACCCATAAAATAAAGTTCTGTTAAAAACCCTGAAAACTAAGAATGTTTTTGAGCTGGCAAAGCGGTGCTCATCTTCATCACATGTCCAGGCAAAAGAAGTCTTTTCTAACAAAGTCTCATCAGCCTTCAGATTCTCATCTCTAATTAGAGGAGAGGAGATGAGTTAACCTGAGGTGAATGCAGGCTCGTGCAGCTCTGTAAGCATGTGTACGTTATCCTCTGCAATCATGCATGCTGGGATGAACACACGTGGAAGCACAGCTATCAGCTACCTCCTCAGGCTCAGGTTCACCTGCACACTTTTGAAACTCATTAGTGGGAGGAGAAGGAGATGGAGGGGGGACGGTGGTGAAGGGAGGAAATAGGGGTCCGGGGCTTTAAGTGTAAATGAAGATAGTGTTAATGCATTAAAGAAAAAATAAATGATTAGAAATTAAATCTCCCCCTGTAACATAGTTAAAGGGCAGAAATGCCTGAGGGAACTAGCTGCCTCATGGTTGTGTCAGTATATGTACATACATATGTGTGTGTGTGTTTGTTAGTGTGTATATATGTGTGAGTCAGACTGAAAATGACTCAGGATTAGATGTTTCTTGCTGTGTCTCCAGGCAAAGATGGAGCATACTAGACATTTGGATGTGTGTGTGTGTTTACATACGTATGTGCATGTGCACAGCACCTATGCCTTTGGTGGCAAGAGAGCAAGAGCAATGGGTGTGTGTGTGTGTTTGTATGTTGGTTTAAAGCTCTGTATGTATGAATTTGAATTATACTGCACATGTGTGTCACTCTTATTCATATTCTTATGTTCTCCAGGGAAGTGGCCAGTCGTTCATTACCATGTGTGTTCATTCGTCTGACAGATCTTTTCCGGAGGCGACTGCTTCTGCTAAATATCACACACCTGGATGCACAGTGTGTGCCGCTCCCTCTCATTCCGTGTCTTCTAAGACCCTATTACCATGCTAATAATATCCAACAAATCATACAGCACTTTCACCTTGATGAGTTTTCGTAGGTGAGGGCCATGCAGTACATGCAGGATTAGGGATGACTTCGTCTACCGCAGTTTATCTCTAATACTGCAGGAGCCGAAAATCCGGGCAAAAGGAAGACGGCTGAAGGAGAGAAAGTTTTCTTAAAATAACATCCCCAATATGTTTTTATTCCACAGCTGGTTCCAAAATTATCCTCATGTACTGTACCTTGGTGAATGGGACTTTGCAGTATGCTGGTGACTATTTGTGTGATTGCACATTTGGAGTGGCTGCATGCTTGTTTGCATTTTTGCTGAGTTAATGCTGAAAAGTGCTCCCTCCAACATGACAAAAGCACTCACAACCCTAATCATTTTTTATATTTATCACTAAAATAATCATCAATTTTTAAATTTGGTTTTAATCTTTTAATCTGCTTTATGTGATTCAACCTATTTTAGTCCCAGAGTTATTATTTTGTGTTTTATTGCCCCTTTATTAATTTAATTTCTGTTATTGTTTGATTTTAAGACTGTTTTATTTAAATTATTTTTAATGCTTTGTCACCTTTAATTTATTTTATCAGTTTTATTGCTTTAGTCCTAGATCCAGTGTTTGCTCTTTATTTCCGCTGTCATCCGTGGCAAGTTAAAGAGTCCTCACCTGATTTTTTTGTGTGTGCATCTCTCTGTGTGAGCCTGTTAGTGCTGTATATGTTGAATGGGGGTTGGGAGGGTGGGTAGGGTTTGGTATTTGTATTTTTATTAATTTTTTTCATTGTTTTTAATATCCTGCTTGAATGGACAGCACTTAAAAAATAAAAATAAGGTTTGATTGATCACTTCATAATTGTGGATGTACATTTTAGGTTGATTTCTAAGTTTAACTTCATCCCTAGTGGAGATATGACATTACAGAGTATGTAAGGAACAAGAGAGTGGGTGTCCAGACTTGTTTTTTGTTTAGATATTAAAATTGTACACTCAAAATTATAAGGGGATAACCACACAGACAAATTCATTTAACTTTTACTTCCAATTCATAGTTTGATTAAGAAAAGATACGAAGAACTTTCCTGATGCCCAAAGGGAAATTCAGTGATATATTATATTTCAAAGTTAAGGTACAGAAAAGGTCTACAATAGACCAACAACTTCAACTTCTCTCCCTGAAATTTATTTATGAAAGCTAAACCTCAAACTTCGAACACTCACTGTCACACCAGTCCCTGCTCGTGAGCTGATGCTAGCTTTAATATAATGTGTTTATCTGTTAATCAGAATTCCTCAGAGTGAAAATTGCTGCCTGGAATAACATCAGATTTTAGCAGTCCCTCCGACCCTGCATCTTTGTGCTGATCTTCTCAGTTTGCTAAATGTATCAGTAAAGGATCTGACAGTAGAATAAATGAATCTGTTGTGGCCGTGAAGGCCTGCTGCATTCAGTGTCCTCGCCTGAGTGTCAGTAAAGGACTTTGCTAACCCATTTATGCAGCTGGATTTGCATCGAGTGAATTGAAGCGAAAGATTTAAATGGCATCAGTCTTGCTATTAAAGCAAAGCAAAACATCAGACAAACAGGGAGGAGCAGCTCTCCCCCCTCTCTCTTTCTGTGTGTGTGTGTGTTGTGTGTATGTGTGTGTAAAGGAGCAGTGGGAGTGCTGTCCCTTGCCTCTGCTCCGTGTGTGCAGCAGCTGCAGCTTTCAGCCCCGGTCCACACTGTAGGGGCCATTCTGCTGTCTGAAAGACTGATAGATACAAAGAGCAGAATGGTGATGTGAGATGACTCAGAGGGAAACGCTGATAGAGCGTTTCAAACACACTCATTTGCCCTCTGCACGTTTCATTCAACATGTGTACTATGAAGTGAAAACAAAGGGTACGCTCACAGGTCAAGGGTTCTGAGTTGGCTTTCCAAAACAAGGAGCGCACCATTTGAAGCAGAAGATCCTGTGGTCATCGAGCATGTGTCGATTTCACAACTGGCTTAAGGGTGGGAATATTTTGACTGATTATGGATGGAGTAGTTCATCCCCTCCATCCCTCTCTCTCTCTCCCTCCTACCCTGATGTGAGATCTTACCCTTTGTTGTCCTTTGTTCATTACACAGGAAAAAAACCCTGATACAGATGTCAGCCTTCGCCTGATGCACACATATGTTACATGCAAAAAAACCCTGCAAGCGATGCAATCAATTCTCACACTATAGAAACAAACAGGCATGCATGTGCACACTAACACACATAAATGAAACTCCACATGCATGGCGCCCACAGTCTAATGAGACAAAATCGGAGAGTGCATGAATGGAGCTGCCTGTTTCAGCACATGGCAGAAATACAGAGCTTGCATGCAACGTGCCCATTCATAGTCTGGCACCAAGGGCAGAAAATGGAGCTTGCTCACGAGCCAACACACACACTATGGAAGTATTATAATATCTCAAAGAGGCTGGGAGGGATGGGGAGGGAGGACGAGGCACACTAGTATCCTCCCAGTCCTCACCATCCCCCTCCTTCCTCCCCCGTGAGCCCTCGCTACCCGCCCCCATAAATCCCAACATGCCCTCACCCTTCTGCTAACCTTCTCTCGTTCTGTCCCTGTTACTGTTCTTCATCCCCATCCCCCTCTCCCAAAAATCTCCTCTTCCTCCTGCTCCTCACCCTCAGCCATAAGGACATAGACTCACTCTTTACACATCACAAACAGCACATCGCGCCACTGGATAATAATGATGGCTCATTAGAGTTGGAGGTCATGTATGTACAGTATGATGCATATGAGCTAGAAACCATCTACACCATGAAACCATGACTCAAGCTGAAAATCAGATTTGGGATTAAGAATTGAACTTGACTGCTTCAGAGAATATGGGACTGTATAATACAATTCTAATTTAAATATCATCAACCCGGGGACAATGACACACTTGACTTATTTCTATGTTCAGGTAGATTTAACCAGCCTTGACATCCATCGTGTATGTAATATTGGATTTATTCTAATGACTGTGCATGAACAGGTCTCTGGAGCAGGTTCTTTAACAACAAAGATGGCTGCCTCTGCTATGAAACATTTTGAATATGTCACTACATCAGGAATAAACGAACTAGCATTTCCCACAATATAAGAGTTTTAATTGTTGGCTGCGAATGTCAAACTTCATACTGTTTAATCTATGGACAATTGCTACCGTCGAGGCCTCAGGGTTGGCAATGTAGCCGTCAGAAGAGACCATATTTGGATAAGGGGGTGACATGGGACAGAGGGAAGGGGTTGATTAACACCAAGTTGTCAGGCCAACCAGCCTGTGGCTAATTCATTACCAAGCTAATGAGCTACTTAGCCGGTATGTTTCCCACATGTTTTTATGTTTATAACATGATTGTGAGGATGGGTTTTGCAGCACTGGAATAATTGCAGAAGCTTTGAAGTTTGAACTTTTGTTTGTTCAAAGTTCAAAAAGTGTGTGTGGGATGTGATTCAGAGAAACACATTTAACAGCTCTTTGGAGACCTCTGCTCCAGATGCATGCAGTCACTGTAAACAGATAACTAAAGTACCACTTTTATGACGTCCCGTCTCACAGGCCGGGAGGTGCAGCTTTGTTCTAGAGGAGTGTGTTTATGGAGAAAGCTCTGTTTAGACTTCCCAAGGCAGCCAATAAGAAGCACTCAGAGAGGAGATAATGGCTGCCAAACAGAGACATGACACAGGTGTATCGCTCTGAGGGTTTGCCTCAAGCTCCAAATATTTTTATACCTCAACCAGAGAAGATGCAGTGTGCATACATTTTTCTCTTTTTTTCTCTCTCCCTTTTGAAGGAATGGTCCTGGCCAAAAATTGAACCCCCTTTTCTGGGGTAAACCCCTCTTTGCCTCACAACATCATATTGAGAAAGAATAAAAGTATTACAGGGTAACAAAGGAAAGACAGTTGACAATGAACTGAAGGGGACCTGTTGTCGGTCATTATATACAGTTTTTATTCCAGATTCTGTGACTGCTAGCTGTATATATAACTAAAGACAAATTATTTGAGGTATACAGGGATATGTCCAGACTGTGGCTCTAAGTATGTGAGTTTACACAAACATGTATTTAATGTAATATACTAAATGTGATATTCCTTCAGATATTTTTACCGTCAACAGTCGACTTGCCTGTTGCAACACAGACCAAACTGATGTTTTTAACATCTATTTGCCAAGGACAGGGAAAATATCCAACCAGAGTTTAGTTTTTTTCAGGGTGGCCAAGTAAAGTCAAGAGGTCTCATGCCACCCCTGGTCGCTCCTCTTGACACACCCCTGTAATAATGCTTTTAAAGAAACCTGGAAGATACAAGTAAGATATAAAGTTTTCTTATGAACCCTCAGGTAAATGTATTCATCAACATGTTGCCTTAACCAATCCCAAATTTGTAGACAATCAGACAGTGACGATAGTTTTGTCATATATTTTTTTACATTTTGGACTTTGAAAGTGTTTCCTGTTTGCCAGTCACAACTTCAGTGCAAAACCAAAAAAAACAAAAAACAAATCACAGTTGGATTATTCACTTCAACTTTTTGGCTTTTGAAAGTCCGCATGCAAAAATCCTAATAAATCTCAACTGCGTTCAAACTACCGCAAAAATGGCTAAAAGAAGCAACTGAGTAAAGAAACAAAAGTACAGATTTGTACATTCAGGAGAGAAGGATACACAGAAAGAGAAATTGCAAAACACCTCAAGTTTTTTAACAAAGGAGTCCACTACACTCTGAAGAGACAAGAGGAACCTGGAAGTTATGATGATAGAAAAAGACCTGGACGAAAGAGAGTTACTACAAAAGCAGAGGATACACAGAGCATTGTCACCAGTAAGAGAGGTCGGCGAAAGTCAGCACCACAAATAAGGGAGGAAATCAACATGACAAGGTCGAAACCCATATCTCTGACAACCGTGAAAAGACGTTTGAGAAAGGCTGGTCTGAAGGGTTGTGTATCTGCAAAAAAACACTACTTCGTCCACAGAACAAGAAAAAGAGATATGAGAGGGCAAAAGCTCACAAAAATTTGACTTATGATGACTAGAAACAAGTTTGCACTGTTTGGTTCAAAACACAGAGTCTATGTCTGCAGACAAACTGGTGAACGTCTGAAAGCATCATGTGTTACACCCACAATTCAGCATGGAGGTGGTAGTTCCATGGTATGGGGATGTTTTGATAGAGTAGAAGATTTGTTTGACGTAAAGGGTATTATGAAGAAGGAACAGTACCACTTCATCCTCCAGCACCATGCTGTTCCATCTGGACTCAGACTTGTGGCTCATAAGTTTGTTTTGCAGCAAGACAATGACTCTAAGCACTCTGCCAAGCTCTGTCAGGGTTACCTAGACAAAAAAGAAGAGGAAGGTGTTCTTCAAAAGATGGTTTGGTCCCCTCAGTCTCCAGACCTTTCTCCAATTGAGCTTGTGCAGGATGAATTGGATCGATCAGTCAGAACAATGCGTCCCATGAATCAGCAGTATCTAATGAACTTAAGAAAGCTTGGAATGCAATCCCTGGAACATACCTTAAATAACTTGTGGAACGGATGCCTGGTATATGCCAAGCTGTTGTTAAATCCAAAGGAGGTTACTTTAAAAAAAGCAAAGTCTAAACAATAATAACTCAAATACCTAATAATTATAGTCAAAATGTCTTCTGATAAGTTACTCTTTACACAATAGTCATGTTTATTGTGTTGCAAATTATATATATATATATATATATATATATATATATATATATATATATATATATATATAAAACTATGATCTTTTTTTGTACAAATCTGATCTTGTCTCCAAACTTTTGGCCTGTAGTGTGTGTGCATATATATCTATATTCATCTGAACCTTGAAGCTATAATAAAAACATGTACTACATTAAAATAAATGAAATATTTTTATATAGAAATGTCATATAACAGTTTGACCAATGTTTGGAACTTACATTATCCCAAACTTTTCTAACAATGTTCAAACCAAGAGAAATAGGTTTAGTAATCTGATTCCAGGGAAATATAAAAAACAGGAGACGTAACCCCAGATACACAGCATTATTAGCATAATTTCTGCCATAGCTCCCAAATATCATCAGAACTGTAAAAGATAAAGATTTAAACTCCCACACCCCTTTACAGAGTAACTACAACAAAAAATATGACATAAAAGAAAAATTCATGCTGAGCTCAGAAAAGATGTCATATTTTGTCTTTTTGGTGTTGGACAGTTTTTGCCTTATGAAATCTTAATGACACTTTCTATTTCCATCTGTGCCAAGCTTCGATTGTTTTTCATAGCCCACAGCACACATGATTATTACGATACAGTGTTGTGTTTGTTTTCAGTGAAGTGAAACAAACTGCTAATAGGCAGAGGAGAGCAGAAACAACCCCCTACAGAGCCAGAAGATTTACTGACTTCAACACAGGGGTCAATTACTGCTCGCATGCCCGCACACAAAAACGCTCGGTTCCTCCACTCATTGATGAGATTGATTTGTGGAGCTCGGGGTAACTCCCTGCCGGCTGATGTGTACAGGAGCTGATTAGGGAGTTGATTTATGACTGCCCATGAATAATGGCTCTCCAAGCTCGGCAGGACTGACCCAAGAGGAGAGACGCTGGGGACGCATGGCGAAAAGACAAATGGGTTAAGCGAGGTAAAGCGAGACGGATGGAAAGAGATGAAGGGGGACATAAGAGCATTAGCCTGCTACTGTACAGAAGCCTGGCTTTGCTGTGAAGCTCATTGTCTCCAGCCAAAGCAGTCGTCAGACCTGCCAACCATGCTTAACTCCCCAAGGGTTTCCTCTGCGAAACACACAAACGACTTCAAACATCGTATTAACTGAGCAAAAATCTCAAACAGGTCCCTGAAGACGTAAAAGACACAAAAAACACCAACAAGTGTCTGATTAACAGCTGTGCTTTAAAGGCAGCCCTCTCTCACCACTCGACATTTCACCTTGAACACATTATTAGCTTAACATCTTTTAGTAGCTAGCGTCAAATTGGCCATGAGTTGTAAACATCTATTTAGGGTGTGACAGTGAGTCAATCAGTCAGCAACATGCATGACTTCCTCCCCAAATTAATTAGCATTGTCTAATCTAATGTGGCTCGTGCCTGGAGGCGGCGGCTGGATGTTTAAATCAGACATCTTATTGTATAGCAGCTGCTGACTCCAGGATCAGAAATCTCCATGATTGTGCATCCCGCTATGGCAGCATCCACACACACACACACACACACACACACACATTTGCGTATGCGCTTCCAGAAAGCAGCAAACACAGAGGCCAAATGCCACCGTCAGCTGAGGTTGAATTTGTTTACTCCAGATAAGTAGAGACATGCTTGCCATCACAGTGACTGAGCGCTGAGATGATGATTTTGGCTGAGCTCATGAGGAGAAAGAGGAGGGAGATGTCTGCGTGCTGAAGGCTCATGTTGACATGAATATACATGCATTAACACCGTAACGTGCAATGCAGAGAAACGCTGTATTCAGGGGAGGTTTGAAGCTGTTGACGTGGGGGCTCAAAAACCTGCGACTGAGCAATCCTGTTGACATGACTGATTCAGTTCAGACATGTGATCTCCGAACAGTGGAAGAACTAAAAAAAGGTTGTTCCCGTACCATTTTTTCTTTAACCACACAGTGTTAGGTATTAAACCTGCTCTACTGTTACTAGTTTGACTGCAGCGAGCAGGTCCACAGCAATTGGGCCAGTAGCCACCAGTATATCACTGCTTGTATCTTGACAAGCAAAGATGTTATCAATAGTAATTTGGGGTGTTTTATTACTGCTGCATACCACTGTTGATAAAGGTACAATCTGGCCGCCTGTGGTCGGCTACAGAAAAGGGGAAACTTGGAGTATAAGTTTAGTACCAATGACATGATTTCTTACCATATATTATCAATTTTGATATCGATACCGGTCCAATCAGCTGCATTTTCTTTAGCAACATAATCTTATCAATCTTCTAAACAATAAAAATTAGTGAGTCTGTTCCAACTGCTTTACAAATCTGTTCCTGTTCATGTGGCCAAACATCACTAAAGTGTGTGCATAACCAAGCGCACTCTGCTCAGTGTGGAGGAACAGGACAGCACCTGTCTGTTCAGATTTGCAAACATTGAATAATTGAACTCTCGTAATAAACAACACTGTTGCTGTTGTGTTTTAATGTCCTAGTTACTTACCTCAGACCTGTTGTTTCTTAGGAGCAATGCTTGTACTACTGGATCGGTGCCTAAGCTGACAAACTAGCCAGTTACCAATACTGCGTCTTAAGGAGATATGCAAGCCGATACTGCTATTGGTGGCAATACAGATAATGCAAAAAAACATTTAAATCGATACCAAAACGTATACTTATATAAGGCTTCATTCACCAATTATTCCTAAACCCACTTACCTGAGTGCTGACATGTCAGAGAAAAATTCACTTTACCGTCATATCACTAAATAAGTATTTATAAACACATGATTTAACAGTAATAGCTCTTATTTCAATCTTGTAATGTTTGGTTTAAAATGCAACATTCCTTTAGGAATATCAATTGAACACTTAGATGAGAATTAAAAAAAAATCAGACCCAAATCAAAGTCAGCTTCATTAGCCATTGTGCTGACCTTCAAGTGTTTAGGTTTAAGTCATTAACTAACATTCACAAGATCACATGACAAAACAATATGGGCTACAATCACTACAATAATATTTAAATTTGCTGAAAAGAAGAAATATACAAACCAATAATTGCCTGCTTTTACACAAGATGATTAATGACAATCTGGGATATGGTTACCTGTTCTATAGATGGAGCATTTACAGTAAATTACTGTAAAATTTTACAGTTTATGTAAAAAAAAAACTAAGTGGCACATTCTTTCCTTCTATATCAGAGGTTTTTCTGTTGCTCTCCCCTCTGCAGGGAACCGACAGAGGTTAAGCATCTTGCTCAAGGATGCTTTCACAGATTCCTCCAGTGGCGGGCTGTCACCCAATCAAAAAACGTACAGGCACGCTAGCAGACTCTGACCCTGACCCTGTTTCCTTTGACAAATCCACAGGACATCATTCATGTTTATATGCAGCCCTGGCTGGGCCATGAATGACGGGGGGCAAGGATCTCCCAAGCTACTCTGCTTTAATATCTGGGTAATAAGTCAGTGTCTGAGAGCATTGCATTCATCAGCCATCATCCACTTTCATTTGACTGCTCCACGGACACCATCACTCCACTGCCACCGATCTGCCTTAAGGAGCAGAGTGGGCTAAATGAGGACCACAGCTGCATGAGGGGCCAAGGTTTATCAAAGGACAGTACTGAGAGAAGAGAGTTGATCCAGAGTTCAACGTGAATTCATTAAAATGCTGCACAAAGGGCACCATAAAACTACTTCGAAGTCAGGATAAATGACAGACTAATACGTGAGAGTCGGGGGATAAATGGATAGTAAAGCGCTTCCATAAACCTAATTTTAGCCACGATTCAAACTGTGACAGTAAAGGCCTGTTAGATCTGCCTGCTGGTCCACTGCTTTAGGTTGTCATAACATTTCAGAGATGTAAAGAGAGCCTAAAGAAAGAATACTAATCGCTGCAGTAATCCTATGACTTTTCCTCTAACCTGACAAGCAGATTCCTTTTTTGTAAAGACTAGAAAACATGGATACAGTCTGAGTGACATGACGCTTTGGTTCAGTTTAAGAAGCCAAAAGATGGCAGTTTCTATCCTAGAGAGGCTTGGTGCTTCTCCACGGACTGGTCTTGTTTGGTTCAGCATAATTAAGCACAGTTTGAAAGAGTAAACCCTTCACTTGCTTGTGTTTCAAAACTGTCCACGCCCTTTTTTAGGTGTAGGCAGTCCATCTAAATGAATAGGGGTAAATGGGAATTCCAGGACCTTTGGCAACTCATTATCTTTAAACAAGATAACGGTATCATAAATCATGACTTTCTTGGGGAATGATCAGGGATGTAACGTTAGATTAACGTTAAAAGTTTAAGGGTTCCTGCGAGTGTCTTCTCAGTCTAGTTCTATCAGACTGGACCTCTTGTATAAACTTGAATCACATCAATCATAAATGTATTTTAATTGTATTGCCTGATCACTCATCACTGTTGAATTGCCTTTTTTGATTATAATATCTGGCACCACACAGGGCTATAATGCCGAGGTACATTACACAACTTAAAAAGTGCCGTTCACAGTGCTCCTTAACAGCTGGAGCTCGGGGCTGCCTCTGTCACCAAAGCCAAGAAAGTAATCCACAATTCAAATCTCATGTATTCATTTTTTATGAAAGTGAGTACTCCATGAAAGGTGCCCGCTACAAAATGAATACTGAATGTTTGCTTGTTCTCATAGAGATGGATTAACACAAAAGCTTTTTATCACCGTGTTGCATGTTGCTCATTTTAAACTATTACATTAATGAAGACTCAACCTGTCCCAATCTGACGAAATGCAAATGATTGCATACTCAACTGGACTGAGTTAGTCCAGTTTGTAATTGGAGATAATTTATGATCAGCCCGGTACAAATATAAAAGATGAAGCTGATAACTGACTAAATTCCTGTCTTTATGTTACACAGTTTCTCTAAGAATGAGCAGACCTTTATTCTTCAGCTTTTTATATTTTCACTCAGAAACCAGCCCCGGCTTCCTCTTTGTTATTGGTAGTTCAAGAGTATATTTTGTGAGCTGTCTACTATAAGGTGTCAAGGATTGGCTGTGGTTTGTTTACTGTTTAGAGATCAAAAACATGCAAGAGACCACAGGAAAAAAAGATGAAATGGAAGCTCAAAGGAACAGAGACAGCAAGTCAGTGCAAAGCTGCCAACATTAAGAATTGATTCACAGTTGCAGCCAAATTCAGCAGATGGTGAGTGAATGTAAACGGAACTGAGCAATCAAATTTTCCTACAAAACACTTAAAGGATGCAGAAAAGGGGAGGAAAGAAAAGCTTGAAAAGGCGTATGAGGGCTGGAGAAGCAGAGAAGGAAACATACTGAATGACTGAGAAACAAAAAGATCCCTTTTGCAGCAATATGTTCTCGCCTACGGTTACACTTGTTTCAATGCAACTTTAATCATGCAATCATGCTTGCCATGTCAACTGACAGGCCTGGTTGTGCAAAATTGGATTTTGCTCACATTCACACTGTATTCAAATCTCAGAAATGACAGAATCCAGGCTCACACTGTCATCAGCGCAGCCTGGACGCCGTCCAGCCTCAGTGAGAGAGAAAAATAACAACGGGAGAAGAAAAGGACAGAGGAAAAAAAATAATAATGCAGGAACAGACCTACACACACACACACACACACACACACACACACACACACACACACACACACACACACACACACAGGATCTGCACATGAGCTATAGTCAGGCCTACTCTGTATGTGTGGGAATGGGATATTCATAAAATTAGATTTTGTAAACAGCTTGTAAAATGCATGTATTCATAACCATAACAAATAGAAATAGAATAAATGAATAAAAAATGCAGGAAAAGATGTGTCTGATTAAGAGTCTTCTGGGAGTGGTGTGCTGCATAAATCGCTTAATGCCTCAGGAAAATCCCTCAGGCCACCTCACAGTTTATACAACAACCTGATGAAATTTCCAACATCATATTTCGGACTACACACATCTTTGCTTTCGTTTGCCTACACTGGAGTACAGACATGGTTAAATCTCTCCTGGTTTAGGCCCACACAGCGTCTGTAAGAAGAGATCAAATGAACATGTATGATGTAAACCCAAGAAAGATCTGTGTGAATTCATGGAGTAGAGAGGGTTTATTGACAGCTCTTTTTTTGATGGTATTCATGGTCTGCATGTGTTTTGCAATAGTCATTCTGTGTGTCAGAATCTGTTCAGCAGAGATTGATGAATAACTGCTGAATTGACCCACGTGACCTTCCACTAAACAAAACACATGTTAGGCAAATAGTTAAATCTTTTGGGGTGGCACACCTTTACAACAAACTGCTTCCTAAGTTAGTTCAAAGCGGTCAGTCATGGAAAGAGACTCCTGTGTTTAACTTTGCTTCTTGCTGTATCTCCTCTATCCTGTTTAGCTAGACTTCTGCATGAGCTGCATTTGTCAAAAGAGCTTTCAGCTCTGAAGTAATACATCTTTTTATAGCTTGAAATAACAAATTAAAAATGTACTTTTTCCTAAAGAATGGGAAGTTTACTTTGATTATCAAGTTGGACCGTTGCCCCATTTGTTAACCTTACGACATATACTGCAGCCAAGCAAAGTGAGGAAGCTCTGTTGGTTTTGGCTTCACTTCTTATCTCTTAAATTTACTACCATTGCAAATGTAAATGCAAAAACAGCATCATACTGTCACACTAAAAGTGCGCAAGTTTGGAGTCACCGAGTGACAAGAAAGCATGAAGGCAAACATTGAGACCCATCAGCCATCACTTTCAGCCTCTGACCCTGAGAGGTGATACATGCCTCAAGGAACAGATACAACTTTTAAGTGCCAAAACTTGCTTTTCCATACTACATTTAACTCTGTGAGTTAAAAACTTTTTCTTGGTCTACTACAGGGGTGGGGAACCATGTGCCATGGAGAGCCGAGAGGCTGCAGGTTTTCTTTCCAACCCAAACCTCCACCAGGTGATTTCACTGATTAGTCCCTGCTCTCTGCTTGGAAGTAAGGTAATCAGTGAAATCTCCTGGTGGAGTTAAAAACTTTTTCTTGGTCTACTATATCTCAAAGGTTTGCACTCCTTAATCTGTTTGTAGTACTGGTAGGTCTTAGTTTAACAGTATAACCCAGACACTTTAGAGTTATGGACTCAAAAAATAAAACAGTTTTATTATGATTTGCTTACAGTTCACAGGTTTTTGGTTAGCCAAAAATGATGCATTTAAGGTCACTGGGAAATCCAACTTCCGATGAGCTTTTGTACCACTGTGTCAACTAGATTTGTTGTTTAAGTTGATCTTGTGATTTTCTGCTCTTCCGTGGAGGTATTTATAGAGGGTCTCAGGGTGGCTAAAAATGACTTTTTAACCTTTAACTGTGTTAAAACTGTTGGGACATACAGATGTTAAATGATCTCATATATCTGTGTGTTGGCTTGAATACTTGATTGAAATTTAAGTGTACATCAGAGAAGCATTGAGAAAACATCAAGACTGATCTGAATTTCTTTCGATTGATCATACTTCTTCTATTGTGTAACTGCCTGAGCCTGGGCAACCCAACCAGTTATGAAACCTACAGTATAATGTCATCATACAAACAAAGCATCAACACATTGTCATCTCAGTGAGGAGCCCTCTGCCTGCTTTCGCTCTCCTTATGAACTATCAGTCCACTAAAACTTGATCGGTCAATACCGCTAACTACAAACATCCTACAAACAGGAACAGGAACAGAGAAAGTAGCCCATGAAGGAGACCTACTGTATCAGAACACAGTTGCTTTGTCATGGTCGCCATTGAGGTAATTCAATCTGAAATAATGAGGATTGTAAGTGTTGACAAAGGAAATCCTCAGGGCCAGTGTGTGAGGCAGGTTTGCTGACCTCATGGGAAAAGTGTGTGTCGGCTCTGAAGGTTACAAAGAGAGGTGGGCTGAAGCTGAGGCCAAACAGAGACAATAGTGATGAGATCCAGAGACAGTCATACTGTGCCAGCTGGGGAAGCTGCTGCTGCTGCCGCTGCTGCTGCTGCCGCTGCTGCTCTCCCCTACGGCCCGCGCATACAATCAGTAAGTCATTTTCATTCCCAGAACAAACACGATCTTTATGTAATCTTTATGTAAACAGTCAGTCTTCAGGCTTCTTGAGGAAAGTGATTTCCTTTCCTTAATTCTTTGCTTAATTCAAGATGGTCCCATGCAGCAGAGGCCCGAACCAACAATAAACAGAGAGAAGAAACAGAAACAGCACAGAGCTATTTAAAGCCAGGCCTAAAGCATTTCTGTCAAGAAAATCTTTTTTCTCCTCTTTTTTTGTGTTTCAGACGTTGAGTCTCGAAGTGTTAGCCTGTGAGGCTATCATCAAGGCTACACTGGTAGCACGAGAGCATCTGTGCACGCCTTTGGGCTTTTTCCTCCCCATCACACCATGGTGGGCTGTGGCTCAGATAATCCTGAGACCTTGTGGCCATGGAAACCCACTCGTGTATGAATGTTACTTTGTTTAAACGTGGCTCCAGGAGAAGAGACGGAGAGGACAGGAGGGCGCTGTCCTGGGAGACTCATCACGTGTCAGTGATGTAACAGGACGAAAAAAAAAGTGATGGGAGTCACTGCGCTGTTATTTTGTTGCCCCAAAAATATGGAGTCAAGAGGGGGCTGACAGGTTGTATGTTGAGGAATTCCTCGTTTCATGGCAGTAAAGCATCAGATTGGACAGATACTGAAAACCAGAGCTGGCATTCATCGTACAGCTCAATAGCCGTACAAAATCTAGATGGACACATAAGGACCAAAACTAACAACTGGGTTTCTTTCTGGGTTTGTTTTTCTGTTACACCAATCCTGATTATACGAGCAATTCTGACATTAATAATGAACAAACATCATCTCGAGCTACTACCATCATTTCTCTGCCTTCCACTTTTGAGTGATAGGACAGAAATGACCTCAGGTGGCGTGTATTAGCATTTTTAGCTCTTTTATTAGCTCTGATGTTACAGGCAGCAAAACCGGAACAGCTCTGAGGCGTATCAGTATTTACATACTAAGAAGATCCATCTCAGTCCCGCCAAGCTCACCTGAGTTGTACAATACAGTTCACAAACATTAGGGCACAAGGGAAAGGAAAGGTGCATTTGTCTTGGTAGTAAGTGGGATACAGATCTTTTCATCATTACTCTCCAAAGACAGAGTGATGAGGTCATGCACTGATTTGTAGATTTATTAATTGTAATGTATGAAACTCTGGACACCCTTGTTAAACCTCTTCTGCAGTGTGTACAGCACTGAGGCGTAATGGTGGGTAAAGCCACTCAGCCCATGATCCTTCCTTGGAGGTAGTCGCAGAGGCAGAACAAGGGGGCAACATGTAACAAAGGATCAGCCCAGGTAGAGCAGCGCTGCCTCTGAACACTGCAATGTGTTAACATGTTGGACCTCTTTCACTTCCACAGCAGCATTTTGGGATGTGAAATCTCGCACTGGAACAACAACACTGCACTGTTTTGGGTTGGCATAGTGGTGGTGGGATAAGCTCAAGAGCTGTTAAGGAATTGCTGTGTGTAAAATCTAATTTATATACAGTTAGCGAGCAAAGGCTGGCGACCAGACATAATGAGTGTCCCAAGCCCTTCCCATGATCATTTTTGTGTTAGCGCCCCTGAAAAAAAGGTGGAATGATGGCAAAGATGGCTTTTCAATCAAGTAATCAGTCAACATTTCCTCTTTTTTAATAACTTTGTGTTGAGCCTACCTATCAAATTATCTCTATGTCAACAGATCTGAAATCTGTAAATGATTGTCACTTCTATATGAAAAACCGAGAATTATCTTCAAATTGCGTGGCTGTACCCAATCATGTGGGCCACACAGTCTGTAAAACATGAGAAATATTAGATAGTGATGTCTAATTGAAGCGATAACCCCTGCTATGTCTAACAACGTGCTGTAACCTCAATCCACACTTTGCCTGAAATATCTCCCCTAAGCCCGCTCTTGTCATTTCCTCCAGTAAAACTCCAGTTAAATCTGGTCTGAGGGTTTGAGGTTTCCATTGGAGACCGTATAAACACAACCCCGGAGCATCCTGGTGTCTGCAGAAACATGTTGTATATGCAACAGAGGCTAAAAATAACCCTGTGCTCGCTCGTCTCTCTCTAACATTTTATTAGTGTCGACCCTTGTATTTGCTCAATTGAGTGAAATTATTCTGTGAGACATTTAAAGGGGCCACTGCGCTGCAGGTTCCCATGAGGGAGCACAAACACAGCACACTTTAAACAGAGAGACTGAGCTGATAGCATGTTAACATGACTCATAATGTTTGGTTTAAAAAAAAAAAGGCTTTAATGGAGACGACTAAGCGTACATGGTTTGCATTAATCATGAGGGAAATAATTGGCTCTGTGGCCCAGTGTTGGAGTTTGTGACCTTTACAATACGGTGAAAGGGAGTGAGGGGTGGGAGGTCGAAGGGGTCTGTAAAGCTGACACAGCACTGATGAAATGGGAGTAATATGAGAACCTGGGAAGGGTGAATCACTCTGAAAACAAAGAACAAAAACAGTCCTCTTTGCAGAATTTCACGCGATTCTCCCTGTGTCCTTTCTTACTTTCAGTCCAGCTTTCCTCACTTTCCTCTGTGTGCGTGTGTGTTCCTGCCTCAGTGAGTGGTCGAGTACGCCGCGCAGGACTGTGCTGACAGGGTGCCGTCCCCAGTCCGTGAACCTGGCTGCTCTGCTTAGCTCTGCTGCTGACAGAGAGCGAGGGGGACATTGCCCAACCATGGCTAACCCCAGCTGGGAAAAACAGGCGTGAACGCTCATGGCCGGATCAGCGCATACTCTCCGCCGTGTGCAGCGCTGTGGCACAGATCTCCTTCTGGATTCTAATAGGTTCTCCACAGTGTCAGCGCCGCTCTGCTGATCACCTGTGTGTGTGTGTTTCTGTTCAGATAATGAAGCTGGCTCTGTGTATTTAATGAAATCTCTGCGGTCTCCTTCACTGCTCGGAGGCTGACAGTTTCAGAGGATGGCATAATCACATGACAAAACACTGGGTTTGTTAGAGCTTAGGACTGCACGGTGTTTCTCAAGTCTGAATGTGCCTGATATTTGTTGATATTACCTGAATAATGGAACAATGACACAAATTTAGAGTACTACTCTCTAGGGTGTGTTTATTATAAAGACAAAACTTTTCCTGGATTAGCTGGTGTGGCAAGACCAAACACCCTGTGTTAGTGTTGATGTTTTTATGCTGACATCCACGAGTGAAATAGTCAACCTGCTGATTCAAGAAAATGCATTTCAGGCAGTATGAAAGGGTTTAATGTTACCCTTAAGTCCAAAACTATCAAATGATGATGTACTCTCTTTATTTGTTTTACTGCAGCAGTTTTGATATAAAAAAGACCTATATACAGTTTTATCAACATATTGTTACAGATAACAAAATTGCACCTTAACAAAATAGTTCAATTTAGCTTTTTCAGGCAGCCTTAGCAAAGATACTGATTACAGCTTGATGCTTATGTGACAATACATCACTTACAGAGGCTCTGGTATAGGGCTGGGCAATATAGCCTAAAATCAATATCACTATATATTGAGCAGTTCACCTTGATAACGATAAATGGACAATAACTACTCCACAACCTGCTCACACCCTCCTACCTTAACTTTGTCTACTTCAGCCACCGCTCCAGCCGCTACAACTTTTGAACCGTCCTCCATCTCCTCACCTGTCTTTCCCTCTTTGTTACAGACTGGATGGGGTGGAGTCACATCTCCGACGTAGGACAGCGTCTTAAAAGGTCGAGACCATAGCCTACCTACACACATCCAAAACCAACTTTTATTTATTTTATTTTTTTTACACTGAATACGGGCAGAATGGTTATTTTCTGTTTATCGGCCAGCCCTACTCTGATACCAGCAGGACAGTATGCTGTGAATATTTAAGTGTCTACAAGAGGTGAGGCTTTATTTTAAACTTTCTGTATACAGTGCAGCTGTTTTATTTTTGAGTATAACAATGAACACTAGCATGTTTTGGGAGTTTTAAAGAAGCTTTCTTCATGCAACAGGTTACATTTTTGTCCTGACTTTCCGTATGTTAAATTAACAGCTTTTCAAGTTTTTTGAATGCTTTTGTCACCACTACAGGATTGGACTTAATAAACTTAAAGCTCCTGTAAAGAGTTTTAGCTACTGCCCAGCCCCTTTTCCGCATGTTAACGCCTGCTTTTTTTGTAAAGAGGGAATTGAATTTTGGGCTGAAAAAGTCAGTCCACTTTTTTGAATTAATCCAAGTCAACAAACTTAACCAGCTCTGACTGCACAAGTGCAGACAAAGTTGAACACCAGGTATGAGTCACATGAGCGCACACTCAGCTGTGTAGGAGCCCAAACGTCCGCTCAGCCTGCCTGACTAAAAATGCACAGAGAGGTTGTGTCATTGGAGACTGACAGTGAATGAAAGGCAGCTCTCAGCCTTTACTCCTGTCACGTTGTAGCTCCGCCTCCCCCGGTGACCCGAGGGAAGCGGCATAAGACCTGTCAGCCCGCATCACAGCCCGCTCTACGACAGCCGGGCTGTATGTAAATGTGTCAGCAAGCACAGATTCATGAGTCTGATGTATCAGTTTGAATATGCATGTTCAACACTGACTGGAGCGTAAACAGCTCCATCCGGATCTCTCTGCATCCGTGTGTGTGTTCCCCGGCTCGCAGTGTGTATGTCTGAGCTGATCCCAGTTTGCTATAGTGACATTCCCGGTGGGAAGGAGCTTCACGACTGTTTTCATTTGCCAGACTGCCCGTATCTCCTCATGAGTCCAGGCTGGGCTGAAGTGACATCTGATTTCATCCACACTCAGCGGGGTTCTTTCTGTCCACCTCCATCTTTCTATACAACTGATTACACCTTATCCTCCAAGTGGGAATTTAGTGCCTTTTTCAACATGAAAAGTTTACACTCTCCTGCTTGTTGGACTGTTTGTTAGATGATATGACAAATATATGAAAAATATACTCTTATCACTGAAGATTCTGCAAAGTCAACAAGAACCAGCTTTACAATGTTAGGAGAGAAATATTTAAAGAAATTCAGAGTGACGTTTTATTGTGAAGAGTCCCCTCACAGGTTCACTTTTGGAGTATTTTATGAAACAAGCTTAACTTTACATGCACCATGAATGAAGTCTGGGACAAAATGTGTCTTTTACTTCTGTGGAAAATCTATTTATTTATAGATGTAAAAAATGTTAAAGTTAGCAAGGATTTTCATTTTTTTTTTTTTTTGTCCTAATAATGAAAAATCACCAAAAAATGTATTCTTAGTGACATAAAAAAGCACAAAAACATGTACATTTTGGAAGCTAAAAGTTGCAAGTATCTGCCATTTCTGGTAAGTGAAATGTGAACTATTATCTTATTTTTGTCAACATTTTATGTCTGATGTGTCACTCTTTTAAAGACTTATTGTTTAAGCACTTTGGCTGATAAATGGTGAAAATGGTGGAGAGATAAAGATGTAAGGTATTCTGAATAAGGTGGACTGAATTACACCATGATGGTCAGGACCCTGTTGTCACCACAAAATCAACGTTTTCCCTGCTTTTTTTTTTTTTTTTTCGTCATCAGGGACTCAGACATCTGCTGCGGTCTCCATGGGACACGTGCAACGACACAACTGAAACATGGTTGTTGGTAAAGGGTCAGGGCCGACTGCAGGGCTCGTTTTCCTGAGGAGTCATCCTGAGTCAGAGAGAACACGACACAGCCCTCCCCCGCTCGCTGGAATATTCAGAGTCTCCCCTAAAATATCAGCCGCTTTGGACGCTCAGCTGTACTCTACAAACGCACATTAAAAATTCATCAGCTGACTAATTTAAGGAAATAAATGAAGGTCACAATTTCTGTCAATTACGACTCACAGCATGGAGCTCATCATAAATTAATGGCGATTAATGGCGACATCTGAGTAGCTTCACCAATTTTCTATTTTTTTTTTTACATATTCATTCAGTCCAACATCAAACTATTGCACCAGAAAATTGCAATTTACTCATTCAAGAAATAGATCCAAAAGTACATTGATACTGTACTTAAGAAAGAGCCTCCACAGTGCAGCTGAGGCTGGCTTTAAATAAAGGGGAGTGTGCATGTGGAGAGTAAAAGTGGGTGCATTTGATGGCCTGTAACAATCCTAATCACCTGATAATTACAGAGTGAGTGCATCACCCCCCTCCTCCTCCTTTCCCCTCTCCTAACTTTAAGGTCGTTTACAGGAACTGGCAACCAGAAAATACCGAGCTGAGTGTCACGCGGAGGGGATCCAGACTTAGTTGGCAGGCATAAAGATGCCGTTTTCCCTCTTTGCACTGCACTCTGAGGATTAAGGCTGGCAGTGCTGCTCACATCTACTAAACAAGATATAGACATAATACATTGATATTTCATGTTGCACAAAGCCAGTTAGGAGAGGCTGCAGCACCTCCAACAGATGCCTAAACCCAAACACTCACTGTGAGACGACATGATATGAAACACCTGCACCTCATATACAAGTGGGAATGTTCTTCATGTAGTGGCTTAAAGCTTCATATTTACCTCTTACAGTATACTGGCTCCACATCACACATTCTGAAGGGAAGAATTGAGAAAAACAGGAAGTGAATTACTGGAAATTATTCAAAATAGCTACGTGCAAAGCATGTAATTGACTTAAACACAACCCGCAGACATTTCACTCCACAATTATGATAATTGAAAATGCCTGATTTAATTGCAGGTCTTTAGCATAAAAACATTTGAATAATAGCATAAAGATGGGGATTCAGAAATATTATGCTGGTATTTAAAGATTAAAGGATTTTATGGTGGAAATTAGGAAAATTCAGGATTCAAAACTATCATCCCTGACTGACGCTAGTGAATACTGCAGATTCCTGCTTTATGATCGTCTGCCTGAGCTTTCACTCTTGACAAGTTTTGAGGCAAACATCACACATTAAAAGTATACTTGATCACCAGCACCCCACAGAAATATATAAATATGTCATTTAACATAAGATAAAATCATGATTTTTTGATGTAGTCTGTCCTTAAACGGTCTCTGAAAGGTTGCTAGCAGATATGATGCATTTCTAACGTAATAAATCATTATTGATTTGGACCTCCAGGAGTGTGTCTGCAGATTAGAGCTGAAAAATGAAAAGAAAACAGCAAAACCTACAAGATATGTTCTATTGATCGGAAATGTATCACAAGTCATTAACTGTTTAATTGGAGGTCTTTCAGATGCGAGGTAACATGAAGCTGAGTGTGTATCAGGCTCACACTCATGGAAATTTCCAATTTCCCATCAGGATTTAACAAAGAAGTCTAGTGACTTAGAAAGAAGCCTACGTTGTAAAATGTTGGCTTCTTTCAACTCCTAAATTTCTTCATTCTTTAATTTCTCTTTTGTATTTATTGGTGCTGTAAAATTGGAATTTCCCCTTGTGGAACAAATAAGGGAATATCTTATCTTATCTTAAAAAAGGACATTTTGAGCCCATATTTGAGCCTCTAACATGTAAAAGAGATGTATCATATTATATCCTATCGTGTCAAAAGTCAATTTCTCTCTTTGTACATGTCTTTTTCCACCATCATTTTGTTGTATTGGGTATTGTGTATTACTTACAGCTAATATGATATGGTATTGTATCACTTATTATGTTGTGTTATATTGCTAACAGTATTGAATCATTCTGTCTTGTTTGTAAGTAAAAGTAGCAGAGATGTGATCTAAAATCAACAGTCACTTCATACCAATCATATAGTTTTTTTGTCTTATTCCAAATTTCTCTGTGCTATAAAAATATCTAAAATGTGCTTAAATTTGTCCCGTTATATTTATAACTTTTTTTAATTTAACTTTAAAATGTTTCAGTCCTGATGGATTATTATTTATGTTGCATTTTTTTAATGTCAAAGTGAAGCTGATATCTGATGTTTCTGTATTAATCTGAAAGATTTTCATTAAAAGTTTCTTTTTGTAAAACCTCTTTATTTTCAAATATCCTCAGTTGTTAAATAACTGCAGGGTTCATAGCCGGGTGATGTCTCAATTCATAACTATTTCTTTTAACACTTGACTTATAATCAGCCACAGAGCTCTAAATCTTAAGCATATGGGTATCCAACAAGTAAACTAGACATAATGTAGGAAAATAGATTTTTAGATTACAACGCATGAAGATTTCCATGAGTGTGAGACTGATATGTACTCAGGTTTATCAAGACCTTGTATTAAAAGGTTAATAGCTTATGATACATTTATGATACAGCAGCTCCCAAAGTTAAAGCACAGGATTAATGTTATTAATGTATTTTGATGGTGGGTTGTGAGTGTTGCTCTGAATTTAAAGAAGAATCACTTTTAAGTGTCTCCTCTTGGATTGATGATCTCTGGACCACTTGGGTAACACTAATGCCAAACTTTCACTTCTATATTTATTATTGGATGTGCCATTAATCAACTTCCCAGCCAGCTCAAAGGCTATGCGACATCCCTCAGACTTTTCTGGGACATCTCTGATCATTAAATAAACATCCATGCACAATTTATCACTCATATCTGCCAAGTCAGGAGGTCTGTGGTCGCAGTGTCTCAGATGGTGCTGAAACAAGCCAAATATTTTAAATTGAAAAAGAGGACAGGGGCACACTGGCTATGATACTAACTGAAGTGATGGGGCATTTCCTTGCTGCCACACAGAATCTGCTCCTCATCGCTCTCACTCACAGGGCTCCACTTCCCCTCCTCCCATATTGGTTTGAGTTCCACCTCCAATCCACACGGAGTGGAATAATGATCTTCAGAGGAGGATAGGGTAACAAGTTAGGGTACGAGATGGACCATCTCTCAGGAATAATTTCACATATCGAAGTTATTCATTAACTTTATAGTATGCAGGGCGGTGAAATGCCAAAACTGCACTTACAGAATAGAGATTAAGAAGGAAAAATAGAGGCCAAATGCTCCTCCTGGCAGCTCACCAAAGAATAAATTCTGAGTAAACACATAGCATCCATATGTGGAGGATGAAGCATTCACTGCGCTCTTTATGTTGGCAACATCCCAACCCATCACATTGCCCTTACACATAGTGAGGATTTTCTGAAGCACGAGGGAGAAACTCATTACAGTGCCTCATGTTTGAGCCAGTGCTTCGCTGGCGTTGACAAATGCTCTGCACAGAAAGCAATGTGGCACATTTCAAAGGCAGCCGGCACAATGAGAGGGTTTCTCATCACAGTGGAGCAGGCACAGGTTCACCACTGTGAGCAGGAGGAGGGTTTTTCTCTCGACTCCAGAAATGATGAGATAATCACTGAATCAGGGAAATTTGGTGTGTGGGGGTGCTGTCACATCAACAGCTTGTGCATTATGTTATTGTAAGAGCGGTGTAAGGCTGTGGAGGATGATGGATAAAGGTTTTTATGCTTAAATAGCTATGTTTATGTAAAGTTCAGTGGTTTTTAGATGTCAAGCTGTACCTGCTAAACCTTAAAATAAGACGTGCAATAATTTATACCTGGAATTGGGATTGATATCTAACATCAATGATTGCTCTGCTTGTTCAGCGACTGAAAACCTTTAAAAAAAAAAAAACCTACTGCAGTTAGCTTATTTGTCATCCAGTTTGAAACACACTACTGGCCCTCAAGACTTGAAAATGGCAGCATTGTTAAAACTATTAACAAAAACAAAAAACAAACAAAAAAAAAACTAATAATGGTAATAAAATCAGCTCCTCACTGGACAAAAAATTCTTTAAACCACAAGCTTACCAGCAAAGCTCTCCAGATCCTGTGAAATAGCATAATCAACTGATCTCAAGAGTTTTCCAATAAGTTTATGCAAAGTCTTCATTTGCGTCCGCTAATTCGAGCAGATCCTGCAGGAATAAACCAGATCCCAAGGAGATTCTCTGCACCGCCCACCTTCCCATTGAAACGGGTTAAGAGCATTTAGAGAAATTTAGAAAACGTGGTTCTATTTAAGAATTAGCATTTCGAAGCTATACCGTACTTGACTGGAAGCTGATGGGAGGGCAGATTGAGTGCAAATTGGCAGCGTATGTCAATTAGACGCGCCGGATGCACAGGATTTTTCTAAAGCAGATTCATACAGAGAAGTTGCTCTTGTTGCTCATACATCTTGGCCTTAGCCAACGACTAATATGTGCAAAGAAATGAGCATGAGTAAAATACATTGAACACAAATCGGACAACGAATCAATGCTATAGATGCAACCCCTTTCTGTGCGTTATGGCGCGTCCATGGGCCGCGACGTTCACTCTCACCCGGGCTCCAAAAGGCTTATAATTGAGCCACATGCACAACAAAGACGGAAATAAATTTCATCACAACATTGAGAATGAAAAAGACAAAGGACTCTTACCGCTCTGCGAGTCTGTGAAGATGCTTTAAGATGTAAGATGATCCTGTTCTTCGGGAAGGGAAGGTCGTGTTGGACTTGGTGAGGTCCAAACTTGAATCCCGTGAATCGAGGATCACCTCCAGGAACCAGCCGCGTGCTCGACTGATGTGTGATGATTTTTTATCTCATAGCATCACTACGAGATGCGGAAGGTTTCTTTGTCCATGTCAGCCTCACTCGTCTGCCTTGGGTCGAGAAACGTCGATCAAACTATGTGGTCTGCTGCGTAAAACCGGTGCCAAAATTCCTGCGGGCCCACTCCATTATAGCGATGCTAGACAATGGTCTGGTCATTTTGGCACGAGCTGAACCTTCTCCGCTGCCAGAAACACCAACATCGACTGATTAACAGCAAATTCTGACTGCTGGTTTGTTCAAACCTCTGAGACTGGCTCAGGAGATGTGGTGATAATTAGTCAGACGCTCACATGTGCCAGTTGTCTCCGGTATTGTCTTTCGAGTCTCTCCTCCTCCTCCTTTGCTTCGCAGGAGTGGACAGAAGACTCTCGGATCTGTGAACCACCGGAGGTCCTCCTTCGATAGGCAGGGTCCAGGTCTCGTATTTATCTGGACCGGGATTCCCGCTGCTCAGTCTGACTCTGGGTTGAGTGACAGCTGGATTCCCTGAAAGCTCGGCGACCCGTCTTTAGCAGGGAAGCTCCGAAGCTGGAAGCTGCGCGCACGCGTCGCTGACAGTGCGCGCGCCCGGCAGGTCACACATCTCGGGTCCACAAACATCTGGCTAAAAAAAAGGAAGGACGAGTTTTTGACCAATCACGAGGTTTGTGTTTGATGCCTATAGCGTGCAGCCTTGAATCGCCATCATATCATCGAAGCCTGTTTAGTCTGTTAATTACGGTAAAATCACTCATCGCAGTCATCCGATTTAAATAGCTGTAGTGCTGGTCTAATGGGTTACCAAATTCATAGATTTACATTGAATGGTGTCCCTATTGTACAGTGCATACGTAAAATACAGTTTTCTATTCATACAGGGCAAAAAAAAAAATCTGCTACACGACTGTGCTGCATTTCTTGGCAAATCTTGGAGCAACAAAAGTTTAGGTGCTTTTTCTGAAGAGAGGTCGAGTTCTCAACATTAAGAATGAAAGCAAATGTGACAAAAAAAAACAGAGTAAGGTATAGGAAATAATGAAAAGTATAAATAGCTGACAAAGAATCAGTTATGATGCCATATGACTCCATAGCCTCATTGGCATCTCTGGTACTGTTTTTGACTGGTTCAAAACATATCTCAATGACAGGAAATTTTATGTTAGCACTGGGGAATGCTCATCAAAAACATATGAAATGGAATGTGGCATTCCCCAGGGCTCAATTTTAGGTCCAACACTTTTTAATCTCTACATGTTGCCATTAGGGGATGTCCTCAGAAGGCACGGCATCAACTTTCACAGCTTTGCTGATGACACGCAGCTTAACATTGCTGTGTCTCCTGATGACTTCAGGCCCATTGATGACCCTTTTTAATTGTATTTTAGACATCCAGTCCTGGATGGCAACTTTTTGCAGCTAAATCAGGACAAAACTCAGGTTTTAGTTATTGGTACAGGTCCACAGAGAGAGAAACTGGAGCAAAAACTCAGAGCTCTAGCTTTTAATCCATGCAAAGAAGTTAAAAATCTGGGTTTTATATTTGATTCAAACCTCAGTTTTGAGCCACACATTCGAGATGTTACCAAAAAGGCATTTTATCATTTAAAGAATATCTCCAGAGTGCGCCAGTTTCTCTTTTAAGCCAATGCAGAGACTCTTTTTCATGCTTTTATCACCTGTAGAATTGACAACTGCAATGCTCTCCTCTTTGGTCTTCCTAAAAAGAACATTTCACAGCTTCAGCTTCTACAAAATTCAGCTGCACGCATGCAGACGAAGACCAGCAAGAGAGCCCACATCATGCCAATTTTAAAATCTCTGCATTGGCTACCTGTGCCTTTTAGAGTAGATTTTAAGGTTCTTTTATTAGTTTGTAAAGCTCTTAATGGTCTTGGTCCTTCTTATTTATCTAATTTGCTTTTACCATATGAGCCTAGTAGAGCTCTCAGGTCTTCAAGAAGTGGTCTTTCAATTGTTCCCAAGGTAAAAACAAAACATAAGGTTAATCATCCTTCCAACATTACGGTCCCCATTTGTGGAACAGCCTTCCTGCAGACCTGAGAGCATCACCTACTGTTCATTCTTTTAAAAGTAAACTCAAGACCTACCTTTTTTGGTCTGGCATTTAGTTAAATTAGTTTTAATTTTTTAATCTGCATTATGTAATTTCACCCTATTTAAGTTGTAGAGTAACAATTTTGTGTTTTATTACGTCTTTTTTTATTTACTTTTTTTATTGTTTGATTTGTAGACTGTTTTATTTATTAAACTTTAATGCTTTATCACCTTTATCATATTTTATTATGGTTTTATCGTTTTAGTCCTAGATCCAGTGTTTCCTCATTTTTTTTAACTCAACACAACGTTTCCTCAGTCATCTGTGGCAAATTGAAGAGTCCTCACCTGGTCTTTTGTGTATGCATGTGTGTGTGTGTGTGTGTGTGTGTGTGTGTGTGTGTGTGTGTGTGTGTGTGTGTGTGTGTGTGTGTGTGTGTGTGTGTGTGCTGTATGTGTTGAACAGGGGTTGGGAGGGTGAGTGGGGTTTGGTATTTGTATTTTTATTTTATTTTATTTCATTGTTTTTAATATCCTGCTTGAATGGACAGCACTTTGTACTACATTATATGTATGAAAAGTGCTTTAAAAATAAAGTTTGATTAGTTTGATCTATGATTTAAATGAAAGTAAGGCTAGTTTGGTTTGCTTTGGTTTGTGGTATTCCCCAAAGATCATTACCAGTACTTTAATTGTTTTAGTGCCCTTAGATAAAAAGCATATTTAACCATTTTAACCCCAATAGATGTCAAACCAATTAAAACAATATAACAACATAAAAGTAAAAATGGCGCATTTCACCACCGGGCTGCAAACCTTATTCTGCGATCTCTACAGTGAGTCATTTATATGAAATAAGATCTCCCTGTTGATACATGAGCGGACATGATATAGATGAGTTAAAGGTGCTTTACTATTTCTTAGCTGCTCTTTGTGTTTGGGCCACATCTGGCTTCAGTCTGCTGTAATGGAAGGCCTGGAGAGACACAACAGCCATGGTCTGATTGGCAAATTAAAACCCTGAGATACTCTAATCCTTCGGGTTGTTTCTTTTGGAACAATGTTGCACAAAATTTCCTCCACCCCTCCTCTTCCTTTCAGCAGCCCTTCTCGTGCATGTGCAGCCGCCATCAGTCAGTGAGCTGAGATGGACTGACCTCTGTGATTGCACAGTGATTCACTATTGTTGCTCCTTGTGGGGCCTTAGGGTGCAAGAGTCACACAGTCTTTTTTTTTTTTTTTCTTCCGTGAGTCTGCTCACAGCTCTGACCTTGCCAGACCTCAAATTGTCACTGACCTGCAGGGTTGTGGTGGCGCCCTCCTGTGTTTTAGAACATGTATAATACCCTGTGATACGGAGAGATGAAGAAAGTAGAAATGTCAGGGGGAAGAGATTAAAAAAAAAAAAATCTTTTGAATAGGAGTTCATGGCTCAGTTTTAGGGACGTTGGCATTTGTGAAATGTTATAAGATGATTTTTTGAAGCCTGGGTGACTTAAAAGATACACATTATTTGATGAAACCAAGAGCAGCTATCCAATTTTCATTGTGTGGTCTTTTTGATGACTTTGCTCTGCAGTCATTTTTCTGAGTTGGAACTTTTTGTGATAGTCTTACTCATAACTTTGTCAACTTCCATTTATATGCTGATGATGTGCAGCTTTACCTCTCCATCAGAGCTGATGACCCGTCAAACATTACAATCCTTCACAAGTGTCATGCAGAAATAAAACATAATGATGATGGACAACTTTCTACAACTCAGCAACAATAAGTCTGAAATAATTATGTTTCCATCTGTAAAAAGGACACTGATCATGAATAATCCAGACAAAGTGGTAAATTATGTGAAGCCATCCGCAGAAAACCTTGAAGGATCTTGGATCAGTACCTGTGTTGAACCACAGAGGGGAGAAGGTTGTGAGGTCCAGTTTTATCAGCTGAGAAATATTGTTAAGGTCAAGTCTATAATGACAGTTTAAGATATAAAAAAATCTATTCATGCTTTTATTCCCTCCAACCTTGACTACTTAAACTCACTACACGCCGGTCTTAATAAAAACCAACCCCCGTCTTTAGACCGTTCAAAACGCAGAAGCTCAGCTTTCCACTACAACCAAAAACATGTCCATATCCCCCCAATCTGTTTTTTGTGCTCAATTTTAAAGTTCTTTTAATTACATTTAAAGCACAACATGGATGTCTCCCTCCTTATATTTCTGAGCTTTTATCTTTCTATAAAGCAGGAAGCAGTCTGGGATCCTTTTGTAGTGCCCTGTTGGCTGAGTCCAGACTCAAAACTTAAGGCAACAGGACCTTTGCTGTCAGAGAACCCAGACTTTGAAACAATCAGTTCCTCCTTTTAATTCACTGCTCCACACACTTTTATAGAAAAACTTTTCCTCTGTGAACTGACTTAAACATGGATGATTCATCCTTCATTTTATTCATCTTTTGATGAATCTTTGCTTTTGTGTTATCATGCGGGGAAGCAATTTGTTTTGAAAAGTCCTTCACAATAAATAATCAATTATCTGATTATTTGCATTAATTTCTGCAGTTTTGTATTATTTTGTGATTTGCTTGTGCACATATTTTGATAAACTGCATTTTGTCTTTTTAGTTTATGCATTTTGCAGTTGCAGTAGAATGTCTTTCTGTCATCCTGTGTAACATTGCATATATTATAATTTTCTATGTACACAAACTTGATCCCTTTCTTTCTTTTGTGTGAATTTGTGAATGAAGTTTATTTCTGATATTTTCAAAAACAAATTTAAATGTTTCAGTTGTTGTTTTGTGCTTTTTTTTTATTGCAGTTTTGCATGTATGTGTATCTTAGATTTGGCCACTCATGTATTTTAAGAAAGAAACATGCTCTTCCTTTAAATTTTACAGGTCACCTTGGACTTTTGGCATTCTGTCTTTGTCGTCTTGATGTCATTTTGTCTCTCCTTGTAATTGTTATGCATCTCAGAAGCTGTTTTAACAAAAAAAACTATTAATCCTTTTGTACAGAGGCTTTGTCATAGCAGCCATGTTCAGAAATTACTCTAATTTTCCATTAAGCCAACTATTTATCTCCATCCAACTGAGCTTTTCGTGACATTATTTGGAAGGTGGCTCTATGAGTGAACCCTGCGGCCTGTGGCTTGAGGCTTGATGCTCTGTGGGCAAAGGTCTGCCCCTGATCTTAGCAGGAAGAGACAAGTGTGATTGAGTCACAGACACTTGACAGAGCCGGAGCGCTGAGTCTGCACTGATAGAGACAGGATAAGGAGGAGGAGGAGGAGGAGGAGGAGGAGAAGTAAGAGTGGAGGCAAAGGTGACTGAGGAGGTGGTGGAGAGCAGATGGAGGGGGGTGGAAAGGAAAAAGGTCTGATTTTCAGGAGCCCAGAGCCAGCCCTTTATACTGAGGCTCCTGTCTATATTTAGCACAAGGACCACAGATTGTTGGGATCGCTCTGGGGCCTTGTGTTCAGACTGGCAAGAACGCTGCTGCCATCAGTCTCAGCACCCGAGGCCAGGCACGACCCCGACTCACGCTAGCACAAGAGGAGACTGATGGAGACATGTCATCCCAGCACAAGGTCCATCCTGCATTTCTCTCATCCTTAATTGATCCTGGATCTCCTCATTTCTCCTTCCCGTAAGCATTTAAAAAGGGCACAGTACCCTGTCACTATCTTTCCCTGTCTGTTAAATAAAAGAGAAAGAAAACTGGTCATGCTGGTGAGGGTTGACATTCACTCCAAATGTCAAAGGAGCTCAAGCCATATTTGACTCCTGCTTTTATTTATTTATTTTTTTACTTTTTCCCATCTTAAACACCTCCAGGATGTTTGGCTGTTTGTCAGTGGTGACCTATGAGGAACTGAGCCGTCCTGCGATTGGTGACAAAATCACACATCAGGCCACGGTGAGGTGTAGTTACAGGTCTGGAAGATAAAATACCAGGCAGCTGCGGGTTGAAAGTTTGTCAGTACAATCTTTACAGAACAAAGAGTCTGAGGCAAACTCAGAATCAGGTCAAGTACAAAGCATGGAGGTTGTGTCCCAGCAGAATGAACCTGATTCAATTTTAAACATGCATTCTCTAGAAAAGAGCTGGACTATTGCTCATTGGTCCGAAGTCCTGCTTTCAGACAAAATCTCATTTGAGAATCAAGGAGCCTGGGGGAAAATGGCAGAGGCTCACAGTCTAAGATGCTTGAAGTCCAGGGTGAAGTTTCCACAGTCTGTGATGGTTTGGGGAGCCATGTCATCTACCGGTGTTGGTGTACTGTGTTTTATCAAGCCCAGAGCCAACACAGCCTGAAGTCTAGCAGGAGATTTTAGAGACCTTCATGGGATGAGAAGCTTTATAGAGATAAATTTATAGAGATAAACGGCACCAAAACTACCAGAGACTGGTTTGCTGACCATGGTGGTACTGTCACCATGCCAACCAGCCAACTGGTCTGACCCATAGACGGCATATACTTTGGACAACTTGGCTCCACCTTTCGCCAGTATATGGATTTGGAGCCAAAAAACTCTTGGTATTTCTGTGATTTTTCTCCACTTCCTGAAACCAACATTGCAGTTGCGTTGTACGCATTCAGTGGGAGAGTTGCAGACAGTCGCTGTGATGACACTCCGCTAAAACAGCGTATCCGCCAGGTGAACTATGCAATCTTCGTACGCCCATAGGCAGTAACTACATGTCAACATCGCAAGCAGGGGGAAAAAAATGTATATTCTGTGCAATAAATTCTCAAAGTTTGTCTACAGCTCCATAGGGATTGCTGGAGGAAGTGGGGTTTATGACCTTTACTGTAGCCCGTCACCAGAGGGTGCTGTTCTCACGGTGGCTTCACCAAGCGAGGAGGCAGATGGTGTCCATTCTATATACAGTCTTTCGCCTGACCTGAACCCCCACAGAGGATCTTTGGGGTATCATACAGAGACAGATGAATGAGCTATCAAAAAGGACCTGGACTTAAATCACACCCCATTAGAGACACAGACTGATCACCTCCATAATACATCACATTGATGTGATGATACATGTACAAGTATTCAGTCCTGGATAAGCCCCTCCGCAATGGTTTCACATCGTCACCCGCTATCCCCCCCTTTGTGGAGTCTTTCTCTCCAGCCATCAAGAATGTCCTGAAGATTTCTGGAGTGACTTTAAAAGATGCAGAAAGAGCCAACTCCAAATTTTCAGCAGAGATTTTATCACATTAGAGACATGACATCTTTGACACGCTGCATCATCCCTTACGTCTTATTTTACTCTGACACCCGACCCTTGACCTTTGCTTCCTCTCTGCCTGCCTCCGACGATCCGGCGGTCTGTCTATCAGTCAGCGCCCACACACAACCCGAACAGACATGCAGATCACTCAAACTAGCAGCAAAGTTCAGATGTAGAAGTCTCAACCGATCAATATCTCAGATACACAAACCTTCGACCGCAGGGTCACTGTAGCATACGGTGACCTCCACAGCTTCATCATGTCAAGATTGATTTGTCCACATGAAATACAAAGACATCTTTTATTCAGACTTACACCAAAATAATGACAGCCAAACAACATTTTTAACAAGTTTCCTGGTTATCATGTTCAACTGAAACAACATTTGTACATTTAAAACCCGATACAAAACGAAAGATACGTTTTTAAAAAGTAACGTAAGAAACGTGGTTTTGCTGTGTGACTTGTGAAGGTTCCCGTTTTGGTTACACACACAGTATGGGGGTCTCACATGGGGTAGTTTAGCACCACATCCTGTTTGGCCAGCTCCAACAACATAGGATCGTCGAAGAATTTGCTGATACTCACATCCTCGCTCAGACCCTGCATGATAAAAAACAGAAAATATCAGCAGTGATCAAAGAGGAGCTCAAGACCGTGAACACACAGAAAAGGAGGTAGAGGTAGAAGGCTTACCTTGCGCCTGCGGGTCTTGATCATGAACTCTCGGGCCAAGTGAGGGGCGGGCTGAGGTTCAAGAGGTCTGATCACGATACTCTTGTCCAGGGGGTCACCAGGGACGATCTAGGAAGAAAATCAAATCTAGTCAACCATAAAACACAGCAAAACACAGCTGTGGTCTTCATTTGAGAACCAGTTTAAGAACAGCATGATCATCCTTTTTTGATCTCAAACAAACTGAGCCGACACTTCTTTCAGTGGCTCCAACCTTTCAACACATATCTGATTTGGTTGCAGGTTTGTCCTGTTGTTCCCGAGTCAGGAGTGCGTCAATCTACACGATAGAAAGAGTGACGGGCAGCGCTGTCACTCTTTCTGGAAGTGACCGAAGCAGCACCAGTGCAGCGTTGGCAGGTTCAGTTGGCAGAATTTAGCATCCATGGGCTTTCTAAATGATTCACTTAGTCCATTATCTTAAGCAGCTCGTAGTGTGACCTTCCCAAAGTGATCTCACCTTCATGGATGTATGATTCATTCAGCGTAAATGCAAAGAAGTAAGGAAGAGGAGGAGCTTATTAGGAGGGCTGATGTGAGATCTGTAAGATCTCAGCCTCAGGGAAAGATTAAAGCGGAGGGAAAATAATCAATGGAGTGGCTGAAGTCCAATCAACAGATGGATGAAGGCAGCTAACAGCAGTAACTCAACACTGCGATGTTAGCATGCCGATACTGGCAGCACCTCATCAAAGTAATGAGGGAAGACGTTGTGGCCTCTTGAGTTTAATGTGAAAAACAACACAGTTTGAGAACTCAGGGGCGTTTTTTTTATTTTCTGGGGCAAATGAATCAATATATGCGAACAGGAAGTGTGCAGATCTGAAGAGCAGAATCTGTGTAAATCTACTCTTAAAAAAGGATGTTTATGGATAACAGAGGTGGGAAAAGAGATGTCATCTGGCCTAAACAGAATGATCTTTTTTAGATAACTTATCAAATTCTCTGTTGATCTCATTAAACTCCTCTGACAGAGTATAAATCACAAATTTCATTATGCTGCACACAAATTAAGGTAAAAAAAATGAGACAATACACGCATCACCAATCTGCGTTTGTTGTTCTTCCTTTCACAGAACGCTCACCCAGGGATGATTTACAGCTGTAATACATCTTTCTGCCAGTGTTTAGACAAGCGTGTGAATAAATAATTCATGTCTAGTTTCTTGTTGAACACTTGTAGTCTCACCTCTGGGGTACGACAAATCTGCTCGGAGCATCAAACACATTAAATATTTGCCGTATTTCTTATCCCAACACGGCTGCGCCTGTGCTGTAAACGTAATCTTTTCTAAGTGGAGTTAATTTTTCCTGACACAGCTCTGCAGAGTGCAGACACTAACACACGTCAGACATGGCAGGCAGAGACACAGACGGTCATGTTATACTGAAAACTTAATGACTCAACACTCCACATCAAAAGCTGTTTATGTGAAGTGGCAGACGTGTGCACGAGGTTGGTCGCTCTGTTGCACGAGCTGCCACAGTTTGGGGGATTTGACGGTTTGTGCATGCAAGTTTGTTAACAATAGGAAATGTTGGCACGGCTGTTTAGAAGACGTCTCCTTGGATTTGTTCGTTAAGGCATAACAATGAGCTCCTGTGTCGTGATGTGGGAAGGTGAAGCTGAGTTGGGGAGAGGATTCGGACACAAAAGCTGACGTGTGAGAGAAGCTCAGGCAATTTCACACCTAATAATGCAGTTGTTTAAAAATGACAAAAATTTTGGATCAAGTGACCCTTATGATAGTAAGAAAATATTTTTAAAAATCTCAATTATCGAACAGATGAACACAAGATCAAGGTATCTGCAGGTACATGCCAACTGCATTTGACTTAAAGGGATATTCCGGCGTAAAATTTAAGTTAGGGTCAAACACACCGTAACACTGAGTTAGACACCCCCTCAATGGGGGAATGTTGCTGACTGCTTGCTTCTCTAGTTATACGAACTTTAGCAACGACCGCATGATTAAAAATCACAGCAGTCTATGTCTCCATGCGCAAACTTCAACCAAATAGCCACAAATAATGCTCAGAACAGCACCTAACTTCATCAACAGTACATATAGGGTCCCAGCCATAGTACTAGCCATCAAGCATCTTTTTAACTTGGCCTGATTTCTTGAGCAAAGAGACAAAACACAACTTACCTACTCTCCTCCAGCAGCTGCTTGTTTGTGAGGGAGCCTTGACAAGTCAGTCACTGAGTGCAGTGGAGTTTCGCAGCTCAAGGAAGCACATTTTCCGATCATTACTTCATGGAAATGCAATTGGAGTTTCTGTGTATCTTGTATGTGCATGGCAGATGCAGTAGTTCTTCTGCCTTAGCGTCTCAGTCTGGTTGTATTTCCATTAAGTAATAATCATAAATTTTCCGCAGCACTCTGTGATCGACTCATCAGGCCCCCTATATGTACTGTTGATGAAGTTAGGTGCTGTTCTGAGCATTATTTGTGGCTATAGAGTGGCTATTTGGTTGAGGTTTGCGTGTGGAGACATAGACCGCTGTGTATTACTATCGTGTGGTTGTTACTGAAGTTGGTATAAACTGGAGAAGCAAGCAGCCGTCAACATTCATCTCTTGAGGGGGTGTCTGACTCTGTATTATGGTGTGTTTGACTATAACTTAATTTTACACCAGAATATCCCTTTAATCTGCAAAACTGCAGGTATTTCTCTGGATGTATCTCTCAATAGAAAGGTTGTTATACTCAACACATGCCTGAATAATATCACTCGCTCACTTCTGGGTGTAAATCTGGTTTTAAAAATAGACAGGAGGCTTTTTGTACCTGCCAGTGGTGGAACACAGACAGAGCGAAGGCCTGTCCCTGTGTGTGTGTGCGCAGGTCTGTCTCAAAGCCGAAGGAGTCGATGGCTGGAATAAACGCCTTGATGGTGTAGAGAGGGGATCCTGGAATAGGGGCATCCTGGGTGACATGACCTCTGTTGGATGACAAACAGGGTCACATTTGAAAAGTTTCATTAACATCCAAAAAAATTCACTTGAGAGAAAAACAAGGGAGAACTTTTGCCCGGGTGAACAAATATACCAACCTCCTACGAGCAAGCACTGTGTAAACTGCAGACACACAATCAGCTGGAGCCTGAACCTCCACAAAGTAATATGGCTCCATCAGCCTTGGAGTAGCCTGAGACACAAAGACCAAAGATTAGACCGGAGACAAAAGCCTGGAGACACAGTGTGGCCTGACTGTGTACATCTGACCCCAGGATTTATGATGAGAGTTGTGACAGGGCCGAAGAAGACAAGGACAGAAGCCAGAAATGAGAGGGAGGGAGGGAAATGTCATCACATCACAATTAGAAAGAACGCACGTCAGCAAAATCCCAGAGCCTAATCATGTTAATGGAACATTAACCGAAGTGAGGATGAAAAGAAACTCTGGGGGAGCTGATGGCTGATGAGGAGAAGAATAAGATGGAGCTGAGGGAGGTGAGGTGGGGTTGCAGTCTCACCATGAGGAAGGCGGAGTACACCACTCTCCTGGCTGTGGGGATGACCTGACCTCCTCCTCTGTGGAGCGGCTCCTGAGCAATGACCGCGTCCAGGATTTTAAACTTCACATTCCTGATTGCTGCGAGGACGAGAGAAAGACTTATCAACAGGGATGCATCACAAAAGGTAGATTTGTATGCCAGAGGCTAATATTGGAACAAAATAAAAGTTTGATGCCAAAACCAAAATATCTAAAAGGATAAAAAATAAATAAAATAACTTACGCTCGTCACACAGAGGTCCCTCCCTCGTTCCCCACTGGAAGCCCTGGACGATGCTGTCTTTGACTGAGCCCAGCAGCGCCTTGTCGACCTACAGAGGCAAATTACAAAAAAAATCTATCATCAGGCAAAAACCTGGACTACTCTTAACATGACTGATTCTCAGAGAGTTTGTGCAACTGAGCCAAAACACAAGGACTTCTGCAGCTTTGTTTAACTTCATGATTGTGTTGCTGTGAATTAGTGCAACATAAACAACATTGACTGATTGATACAAAATGTTAAGACACAATTATTTGACTTTTTTTTCAGACACTTTTATGTTTTTTTTGATTATCTGAGTCACGGTGTCAAAGGAGTGTGTGGCTAATACATACAAAGGTGTGTATAAAGTAAAAAAACAAACAATTGGTGGCGTGAGGTTCTCATGTGTACACTGTACACTCTGGATCACAGGCTGTTCTGATTGACTTCTTTTGATGTTTTTCAGATTGCATGTTCACATCATTATTTAGGCTTAGTGGTGCCCCGCTTGAACATTTTTACCTCAGATATGATACCAATATTGTGGCCTTCAGTATTTTCCGATACTGATATTGATCAGATATTAGCACAACCTCGTGCATGATAAGTTTTGCACTCAGCTACAACTTCTTTTTTGGACTTGAATGAAAAATAGTCCAACAGGGCCGACATCACTCCTACTCCTTGCTACTTTGTTAGTACCTCAGCACACACTGTTGTTGTGATTATGTGGGCTCTGCATACTGGATCAGGGCGCTGCTAGATAGAGGTGCTGGAGCAGAGTCTGGAATGGACTGCTTGTATCAGAGTGCTGATATTGGAGATTTTAGATGCAGGCTGATATAATCAGATATTTGATTTTTTTGTTGATAACGGACCCATATCCGATATCAATATCATATCGGGACACCCCTATTTAGGATAATCCTAGTTAAGCAGCAAATCTGTTTTTTGTCCTTGACTACATGAATGATTTCAAACATCAACTTCGAACACTTCCTTTCTCCCCACTTTGCTGCCATGCTGGTCAAAAACTCACTCACCTCAGAGGGCAGCGTGTCATCTACCAGGATGTTCGGTCCAGTGGTGTCTGGCCCGAAGGCCCAGATGGACCTAGCAGCCAGCAGATCCCAGTCGTACTTTGTCTGAAAGAACTCTCCCAGTTTTTTCCTGCAGTGATGAAAGACAGCAGCCGCCGAATTGAAAGGACTTACGCACATTATGTCGGCTGGAACATTAAGGAGATTGGTTGATCAGGGGGCTCAAGGGTTAATGGAAGAGGAGGAGTAGAGCGAAGGTTTCGTTTAATGGTGTGTGAAGTATGTCACTTCTCTGGCACTGCTGCTCCATGCTGGCACCGCTGGGTCCAGATGGCCTTAACAGATGAGCTGCAGACTGACAGGAAGCCATTCTAGGGTGAAACACACACTCGTGGCCGGCTTGTCGCGTCATAGGGACGGGAAAATTCATGCGTGCTTTTAGTGCATGATCCAATTAGAGTGAGTGGACTGATCAATAAACCGAGGAGGGCTTTAACGCACACGCACAAGACGGCTGTCCTTTTCTTTGATCCTCGACATCTATCTCTCAATGTTCATATGGAGATGGACACCAGAGAAGAACATTGCTTCTATATTTTACAGGTTTAATGCCTCTTTCTGACTGACAAAGTAGACAGCCACTATGTAAAGCTGTCTAAAAAGGTCAGAGTCACACATCCAACCTGACTTAAAAACTTCGCTCTGCAGTTCTGGACACTCTGCAGAACTTTGAAAACTGATAATAAATGAATTTGTGTTGAAAATAATTAGAGAGGGCACAGACTGATTCAGTGTGGTGGTTTTAAATCACAGCACATCGCTGTCACTTTCATGTCGGACCTGAAAATTAATATTAATGATAGGAGAGCCCAAGAGTGCACGCCTTTAAATTGGGTGACACACCTTTCGAGTTGAAGGAATCCAATAAGTGCGATAATTTCCCAGCCTTAGGTATTTCTATATATCTCTACCTTTTCCAGTTACAGCAGTTAATTACAGAACAGGTCTAACATGGCTGCTCATTCATCCTGCAAACCAGAGGTTTAATGAGAATGAATGGTTAGTCAGAGAGGCTTTGAAATATGGAGGAATTAATCAAGAGGCTCCTTAATCAGAGTGAAAAAGGAGAAATCTTTATAAATGTCCAACAGGGGGGGCACATTACGTGAGCATGTGAGTTAATTAAGAGATCAATTATAGGGCCGTGAGTTCCAGTGTGGCGGTCATAGCTTCATCATCATCATCATACCTGTTCCATGTGATCTGCACCACTTCATTCTCTATGTCCTCAGCCAGCCCCTTCTCCAGCGGCTCTGCGATCATGGTGATCTTGTTCCTGTCAATCACATCACACATCTGTCAATCACAGATTCTGGGTTCAGGAGACACATTCAAGCCAGAGGGGAGGGGAACAACTCAGATATGTCTCCAAACTGTGCATAAATTTAACTCCCGGAGGAGAAAAACACAAATTCAACACAACAGTTCACGCCAAAGATCAAGAAGTTTCACTGAGCTGGAAGTTTCCTGAAATATTACGTGAGGACAAGATAGCCAGAAGTCTGATGAGTGGTACTCACTTTTTATTGGGCGTTTCAGCAAAGCACTTAAGTGATGATGTTTCTACAACGGTTTCACAGAAAGTAACGACTGGGTCTGCAACCTGCAGGTAAAAACGAGAGCAATTAAGACACAAAGAACCAAAGAGAAGAAAATAGTTTGTAAATACTGTTGTGATTAAATATGTAATGATCTTTATAATAAGGGCTTACTTCAGCAGCTGAATCATAATTCCTCAATACAATAATAACCAGATCATCTACTTAAAAATCTTCTTCAAACTACTAAAAGACACTGTGATTAATTCTGTCGTTTTCAGTGATGTTATCATTTGCCGTCGGCTAACAATGAACAAAGCAGCTGTGATGGAAATTACTTTGATGTCGATCTCTGAGTACATCTTGCGCAAGTCGTGCATGACACAATCCAGGTAGAGTTCTCCTGTCCCCAAGATCACATGCTCTCCAGACTCCTCCACCTGAAGAAAAACAGACACAAACAAACATGAAAAAATTGTTTAAATCAATTCAGCAGCAACATCGACTTCTCTACATATTTTACTTTCTGTTGGGATCCAAAGTCATACTTTCAGAAAACTTGAACCTTGACTGGTCGATCACACGTTAACTTGATGATTAATTAGTCCCATATTGGAAGAATTTTTAGTTCTTACTAATTTCTGGTTTAGATCAACATTGTCACTGTACTTCAGAGGTGACTTACCTTTGTGGTGAGAGATGGATAACTCTTGTTGACCTTCCTCAGTCCGTCCAACATCTTGGGCAGCTCTGACGGGTTGACGGGCTCCACTGCAATCTTAATAACTGAAGCTGTGTTGAACTTGAGTGGTCTGAAGATCTGAGCCTGTCAGAGAAAACACAAACTGTTCATACTTTTTCTCATCTGAGGGTTTCTTTAAAGATGGAAACAGTGATTATGCCTCACCTCTTCGTTTCCTCTGGGCTCCGTGATTGTGGCGGTTTTTACAATCGGTTGGTCACAGCCTTCGATCAGAACCCAGTTTCCAGCAGGTACTCTGTTCACTTCAATTTGGTATCTTGAAAAAAAGAGGATAGAAAAGAAAGATTTGAAACATGCAGAGATTAATTTATACATTAAAAACTCTGGAAACCCAAGTCCTCAACTCACCTGGCCACAGAGATCCACAGACGGCCCACAGTGCAGACCTGAGAGTCCTCTTCATCTTCAAGGGTGTAGTTCTCTCCTAAAACCTTGACGGGCTGGCCTGCCTGAATGGTCCCGCTCAGCACTCGGCCAAACGCATGGAACTGAACCCCATCCTCTGTGCTGTACATCTTAGTGGTGTGGCACATCAAAGGACCCTGAGGGGGGGAGACGAGGTGAGCAGGAAGGTGCGATAAGAGAGGGACAGAAATTAGGGCAGGAAAGTCTTACTACTGGAATATACCCTTCCTCCCTAAAATAACATGATCAGGCTCAAGGAAGGAGCAGCAAGACCTTTAAGTGTCACCTGGAATCTACTGTTAATGCCCCGCGTTACATAACATGAGCACTTGAATACAAACATGATGTTGGTTTGATCTGTAATAACAGTCTGAACAGATGTCAGTCACTGCTGATTTCAATTCCGCGTCTCTCCTGTTACACTCACATCAGGGTCACACTCCGCCATGGCCTCCCCCAGGTCCGAGTCCAGACCTCCTGTGTATGTGTGCTCTATCTTGTTCCTGGCGCCCTCTTGAGGTGACGGAATGTGCTGAACACACATGTCCACAAGACCTAAAGGTGAGAGGTACATGCAGATATTAACAAACTCAACACTGTTTGAGCCTTTCTACTCATTTTCTAATACAAAGATTATCACACACAAAGTCATAAAACCCCTTCCAAGGTCTGTGGCGTTAGGATGTTACTCTTATTTTTACACTCCTTTGACGACTGCCATCTCTAAAATGAGGTCAGGATACTGTGTTTGGTAATTATTTCAATCCTTTGTTTCAATGAAAATAGTGCAATAAAAACAAACCAAATGTTTACAACGCCTTTTGATTTCAAAGGATATATTCATATAATCAAAAAGAGAAACAGCTGGAGGATGATCCCTAGCTTACTGACTCCACAACACACTACCAATGTGGGTTAATATGAAAAGGGTGTTTTTTTTTAAAGAGGCTGAATCTCTCATAAGGTTAAGATTAGCAGAGGTCCACTGTTCAGCGAGTTAACAGTTTTACAATTTCACAATCATGTTCCTCAGCAGGAAATTGTAAAGAATTTGATTTAGAGTGTATTTTTTCATTATAAGACTAGAAACCGTACTGCATGGCTGTGATCTCAAGGCATCACTGCACCAAAAACAGACATGAGTGTCTTTTTAGATCATTGTTACATCCACAGTGTAAGATAAAATTGGAACATGCAAAGAGGAAAGAGGAAACCATACATCAGTATGAGGCGGTGTGATTTCTCTGGGCCCGAGCCCAAAAAGGACTGAGTTAAATTGGAAAACTGCCCTGTGGTCGAACAAATCAAAACTTGACATTCAATATGGAAATTATGGACACTGTGTCTTCAGCTCTAAAATAGCAGAAAGAGACAGCATTTGTGATGGTAAACAGAAATATAGAAACCACTCACAGCATGGGGGGCTTACACATCTAGGGCCACGTCATTCATGCTAAACAATGCCTACATGTTGTGAAATAAAAATTACGCCATCTAGATGATGTTTGTTTCATACTTTCATATCTTGTATGTGGAAGAGTTAGGGTGTTTAACTGTCCTGCCTGAAGTCCTGACATTAAGCACTTCTTAAAACCTAAAAAACCACAAAGGAGATCTTGAATTGTTGAGCAGCTGAAATCCTATATCAGGTAAAAATGGGACATTCGTTCACATTCAGACGACAGAAATGTTCTTCTTGGTTCATAAATATTCAAAGCGTGGATTTATAGGAAGAGGTGCAGCACAATGGTACACATGCCCCAAGCAGAACTTTTTTTAAACATGAAGCTGACATCAGTTTAAATGAGGCTTTTTTCCCAAAGAAAATTTAAATTTTTCTGTTTCTTTTCCCTATTTTAATTACATATAGACTGTAAATGATTTGCAAACTATCAAAATCTGCTTTCAAAAACATTTATACTGTTCCAGATTTTAGGAATTGACACAGAGTTCTTTACAGACAGTAACAAAAATACTAAATTGGGTAAATAATAACTGAAAAGCTGGAAAGAAAAAATAGGAGGACATACCAGTAAACTCTCCAAAGAAGCGGTTACAGACAAGCCTTAGAAGAGGTCTGATGTTCAGCTTCAGTTCCTCTTTCGTCAAGTGAATCCCCAGCTCATCCAGAACTCTGGGCAGAGATGTGTCCACATCCCCGACCACCTACAAACCAAGATGATTTAGGAGAGGATTACTCAATACAAATCAGAGTCTGATGAGCCTGCAATGTTGTCCTAAATTGAAATACTGTATTTTTAGAAATAAACTACCTGTGAGAGGATCTTGTAGAGGGGCTCCAGGACAAATTCCACAAAGCTACGCTGAGAATTACTGCTGGGAGCTTTCTTTGTGAACTTTCGGCTAAAGACAAGAAATCACAGATGAAACAAGTGCCTAAAAAGAGAAGGATGAGACATTGGGACATGAAATCCCATTTTGGACTCACGTTTTAGGATTGAAATAAATATCTCCCCAAAGCCTTTTGGAAAACTCGTTGTAGTTGATGTCACCTAGAGAGGCAAAAAAGGAGTAAGTGAGAAAAGAGGAGTTATCTTACTAACTGGAATAAGTATGAGAGAAAAAAAAAGGTGAACCATCCTGTTTCTTTTAGAGCAAACAGTAAAGAGTCCCCTTACCGTAAGTGTCTGAGTAGATCTTTGCAAAGGACCCGAGGGTGAAACAGATGCTGTACTGAGAGCTGGCGAAGCAGACGTTTCCGAGCAGAGGAGACACCACCAGGTTCTCATCGGTGGAGTATGTGCTGAGAGAGGAAATACAATTAAAAGTCATGGAAAGTGTCTGATTTACATTTCTTTACTCAAGGCAAAAATCACAGTGACTTTTTGAGGAAGAGTATTTTATCTGTTTTAAAATGCACTCTACTCACTTTATAACCTCATTAACAAAAGTATAGTAACTTTACTTTCACCATTTTGACTTAAAAACAAACTTGAGTGTCATCATATTTCACTGATACCATAAAGGTTGTAAGTTTACAGTATTACCTGAGCAAACCATTAACTTCATCCACAATGTGACGTAGTTTATAATAAGCATCTGTGGGAGGCAGTTTGAGCTCAACAATGAGACGGTCAATCTTGTTGATGCAGATGGTGATGGCCATCCGCTCCTGAACTGCATGTTTGATCAGACGCTCTGTGTTCAGCATCACCTGTGCAGAAAAGGACGGAGGTAGGCATGATATTACAGAAAGCAGAAATATGATGCAGAGCGGGAGGCAAGGAGAGGACGGTTTTGGGAGATTAAGAAGGAAACAAAAAACTCACTCCTTCTGCAGCATCAATGAAGAGGACGACGCCATCCGAGATACGGATGCTTGATGTGACCTCGTCAGAGAAGTTCACATGGCCTGAAGGAGACAGAGGTAGACAAGAATTTCATTAGTTTGCACTACGCTACAAAAAGACATACAAGTGGGATAAAAGGCATCAAACTGGCACACGGTACCTGGAGTATCCATGATGTTGAAGAGGTAGGATTTGCCTCTAGAGTCTGGCAGGACCATTGTGACAGGGGTGCTCTTGATCCCGACTCCTCTCTGTGGAAAAAGCAAAAGATTGAAATCTTCTTTGCAGCAAAGGAAACATGATTCCCTATCATTTTGAAGATTCATTACCTAAAATGATCTTTTCTGGGGAAAAAAGGCCATCCAACCTCTTTGAAAAATTACGTTCAATGACAAATTGAATCTGACATCTTTTGGATCTGTAAATCTTATACGAGTTTTTTTTTAACATTCTCATACATGTCAATCTGGTCTATTGTGGGTTGTAAAATATTCACATAATGTCACAGTTCTACCAAATCACTCACCTCCTGTTCTGTGAAAAGTATGTCGGTGTATCGGAGCTGAAAAAGTCAAAGGTTCATGTTAGTTTCTTTCATCATTCACAGAAATTAACTACCAAATTGAACAGATGTGTTCATTGCTGGAGTAAACACTCACATCCACGTCATCTCTCTTCCTGATTTCTGGATGCGTCTGTTCGATCAGGCAGTCCACAAAACAGGTCTGAACAGAATACAAAACAAAATCAGATATTGCTGAATCACAAATAGATTTTAGAGCATATGAAGCTCACACAGCAGCAGCTCCTCATATCTGTCTTTTATCTTTTTATAACTTTCCAGCATGAATGCTCTTTTTGGGATGAATGTTACAGAAGCAGCTGGAAAAAGCCAGAAGGTAAAAGCTAACCTTGCCATGGTGAAGGTGACCACACAGGGTGACGTTGCGGATCAGCTCAGGGCCGTCCATCAGATCAGCAAGGAATCTGCCAAGAGAGAGGAGAAATATCACAGCTTTAACAACACACAGTGGACTGGTGTAAATACTTGATGTGTGGCGTGCACCATATGAGAAAACTCTGTGATGTCAATAGCATTAAATATACATTAAACATGGTTAAATCATACTTATCAGAAGAAGCTTATAGTATTTCAGTTCAAAGTCTTCCGCTTGTTTTACAAAATATCTGTGAGTCAAACATCACCTCTCGTGAATCCATAATAACCCCTAAAACAAAAGTGCTACACCTAATTTTTCTCTCAAGGTCGTCCAAATTCTTTTAATCTCTCCTCTCTGTTTCTTCAGACATTCTAAGCAGTTACATAAATCCATCTGCACTCGACTGATAACTAGCTGGGGTTCATGTGCTCCATATAATAGTTGAATGTTTTCGTGTTGATGATTGCAACTGTACTTCTGAGCTGTCAGGACACCTCAGTTTTGAAATTTGAAACGATGTTGGGGAATGTTTCAATACTATGATATAAAAAAGGATTGTCAGACGTGAACTGGTTAGTTTGGTTACAATTAATCTTAACACGCACACAGTGCTGGTGCAAAATAAGTTACTGAGTACAGACCTATATTTGACATGCAGTTTAACGCAATGAAAGCATTACAAAAGGTCAAATATATATATTTCCTATATCTTATCATTCATAATTCAAAAGAAATGTGTGGATCTGCACAGAGAGGCACGCTGCAGAAGCACGACTTCAGCTGTTAATAAACCAAATCTGGCACCATTTGCACCAAGGTGTGAACACACACTTCAAACATTGAGGAGAGAAGCCACTGTGACAAATTTAAAATAATATGACTGTTCCTGCAGCTTAACTTGGAATACACAAAAATCAATGTAGGTGCAGTTTTTCAGATTCCAGCAACCATGGTTAACATTTGTACTTTATATTATAAATATTTGTGGCAACACAGCAGCATGATATGTACATATTGAAGCAGATGACTTACTCCATATCATAAACAGTGGCTGGTAACTCCTGCTCCATTAGGGTGAACTGCTTGTTTTTCACAGGCTTGATAATGGGCTCTGGAGTGGAATAAAAACACTTGTGTTAGTGTGTTCTTCACCTTCACTCTATAACTTTGTAAGATGGTGTTTCAAGTCCCCCAATCCCAGGCACTCAAAGTCTGCATTTACACGCTCTCTGTGTCTTACCTGTAAGAGGTTGTGTGTCTTCCTCTTGCACGATAGTTTCCACTTCAGGACCATAAACCTCCTCGGCTGTGGGATAGTACTTCTTATCCTCATGCAGGACCACTTCCATACCCGGGACATCTTCATCAGCATCAGCAGGTTCATCATCATCATCATCATCACCCTGCACAAGAGGATAGTTAGAACTGTGATATACGAGGAAATAAAAGTAGCATACAATATTTGATAATTGTTCGGACTAGTTATGAAAAACACCTCGTCAACATCTCTGTCCTCTGCATCAAGATCTTCATCATCATCATCAGAGTCCAGCTCCGGGCCGATGTAGTTTCCAAACTCGTCATACAGATCAGCCTCCATGTTTTAGAGAGCTGTAAAGAGACATTTTGATAATTATTACAGATGATTTCAATGGGTTCAATTTAACAGTAAGATTTTAACGTGCCAGTGTTTAAAACACAGAGAGGAGGTATAACATCACGAGCTGCGTGGATGTGACCTAACACAACGGCTTTACCACAACTTCCACTTGAGAGATTAAATAATAGAATATTACTTACAATCGGTCTTATAATCAAACTTGAGAGAAGATGTCAAAGAAACAAATGCTAGCATGCTAACAAGCTAACGAGCAGGGCAATGAATGACCTGCAGCCAACGTCCCAGATACGTCGTTGTTTGTTTGGCTATTTAGCATACAGTGGCTAAAAGCGTCAGACTATTAATCAAAGTTCGCAAAACTCACATACCTGTGTGTTATTGTTGAGTAGAAAGGGAGTTTTCCGAAACAAAACTGAGCTGCGTATCAAATCAAAAGATAAATAAGTTCCCAAGTGCCGCCATGCGCATGAACTACTGCTTCCGTCTCTTCTTCTTCGGCTGCGTTGAAAGGCGCGGAGTGTTGATCATATTACTCACTACCGCCTCCCTTGCAAAAGACGACGAAATGGTGAGACGCTGACAGCAATCAGTACACATTTGCTTGACCACTCCTAAATATCACTGTACCACTGTAGATATCGTAGTTACAGTTTTTCTCAGTTTCTTTGGTACATTTCTCAGATCAGAATGAAAGTTCTCATATTTATTAGTTCAACCTCCACAACATTGAGTCATTTCTGCGCATCATCATAGCATTTTCTCATTCTTCTGAACAAATTGCAAATGCTCTTGGACATGTATCAGTTACTTTCATACAATTCTCTGCTGTTTTAATACATTATCATTTGCTCATGTCATGTCAGTCAAAATGAACTATACTTTTGAATGCTGGATAGTCATTCCCTTTAAAACTAATAGTCCTCATTTCATTGCTTGAGTCATTACATACAAAATTGTTGAACGAGTTCTCAAAATCTGTTAAGACAATTTACTAAATGTCTTAATAATTATTTTCCCCCCTGAAAATGTCCCCTAAATGCAACAATTGCTCTCAGGTGAACCTCAGCATTAACTCAAGAGGAGGTGTGTGAAGCATTTGTTGTAACCAATGACAAGCCACTTGTCTACAGTCATTTAGAGCTGAATCCCATGAACCCTCACTTGGCAAGCATATGTAGACCAGCAGGACACAGTGTTTCTACAATTCTGTGACACAAAAATGGAAGGTCAGTATCGTGGAGGAGGGGTGAGAATGCGGGGAGGAAGGGGAAGGGGAAGGGGACAAAGCAGGGGCAGAGGAAGGAGAGGTCAATTACATAGGCTTATGATCCCTGATGAAATTAGGGCTACACTTGTGGACCATGTTGTCAATCAGGGCCTCACTACGGCTGAGGCTGGTCGACAGGTGCAACCACATGTAGGGAGAACCACTGTGAATGTCCAGGAATAATTCATGTTCATTTTACAATCATATGTTCTGTTATATTGTTAATATTTGTGCACAGTGTTATCAAAATAGTATTTCTTATGTTTGTTCTAAATAAATGAATGTGAATTTTTTTTTTTTTTTGCACAATTCTGTAGAATTGCAGCAAATGCAGTGAACATGTGAACCATAGCCTACATGTATCTTGTATTCAGTTACCTCACTAAATACAGTGATGTGCAACTTAACTGTAGTTTCCAAATGGCTGTACAGGTAGTGTATACTGCTGTCTTGAGCATTTTCGGGTAGTGTCGGCAAGATCTGACTTTTTTGCATTTGAAAACACAGAGAAAGTAAAGTGTCATAATGAAAACATGACAAAGCCATTTAACTGTCTTGTTCATAAACTATGATGTTAGGACAAATTATTTTGATGACACAAACACTTTTATTGACATGAATACTTGCTTTTGAGGAATCAACTATTCATTTTGAGCAAGTGACGTGCTCTTGCTGGTTATCCATTAGATTTTGCAGTTTATACTAATTGTTCTGAGATATCTGTTGTGCAAATGTTAATAGTGATGTGAGAAATGCACCAAAGCAATTGAGAAAAACTGTAAACAAATACTTATACCCTCATAATCACAGCAAAATAAGTTTATTGATAATGAGCTAGAGGGTTTTCTATTTAATGCATTATAACATGCCCCGAATGTACCATACTCTCTCTCTGTCTCTGTTATTAAATTGTATTTAAAGGATTTTATTGCCATGGAAAACACACATTGATGTTGCTAAAGCAAGCAAGTAATACAATCATACTGAAAGCAATACAGTTATACTAAGTACAACATTTTTTTTTGACATTTTGCGAAAGAAAAAAAGTGTATATATAGCTGTGCAAAAAAGTAGCCTTATTATAATGTTTTTTTTTTTTTAAATTTTGAGTTTAAACTCAGAAATATAGATAAAAGTGATGTTCTTGAAAGATAGATTAAGGTAAAATAGTAAATTTACTAGTGAGGTGTGTACTCACAATTGAAGTGACAACTATCTTGACCCCACTTTTCTTGTTCTCTCTTCAGACAGACAGACAGACGGACGGTCGGACGGACAGATAGATAGATAGATAGATAGATAGATAGATAGATAGATAGATAGATAGATAGATAGATAGATAGATAGATAGATAGATAGATGATACTGTGGTTGTCCATTGTGGCCACTAGAGGGCATTATACACATCCTCTGTGTACTCTGAATCTCAGTAAAACATTTTCCAACCATGAGGTCTACAAAGTACTACAGTTTCCTTTTTGACACATATATTTGTCTAGTAGACTAGTTTATACATGTTTGGATACATAAAAATGGTTAATGGCTATAGATAGAAAGATAAAAATAGATATTGACTAACAGTTTCTCAGAAGCAGGATAAGATTTTTATTGTATTACAAACTGTCAACTAGAAAAGAGGAAATACTTATACATTTGAGATTAGCACAGCTATCCCTTATTTAAATTTCAGAATTATTTACCTCAAATTTTCATTTTCTTTCTATTTTTTTTAACAAAATATGATGCAGTTTATCAACGTATTGCTTTGTAAATGTCTTCCCAAAATGCTTTTGCACTTTTATGATCTCCTACAGGGTTCTTTCATCCTGCCCATTGTAGAAGTCTAATTGTATTTTTTCATTTCTTACACTTGGCAGCTTTCAGATCAGCTGGCTGTTCAGATGTGAAGTTACAGCTTCTGTGAGGAACTTTTTGAGTGTTTTTGTTTCAGTGCCCCCTGTGGAAAGGCAGTCTTTGCTCTAATTGTCCTCTACATGCTTGAGTTGTGTTTTCTGGCAAAAAAGCTCATTCCGCTGACTGTCAAAGCTGTCATCGTTTTTGGTGAATATCTAAAATGGCGTATATAAAACAGGGCTTTTTCTTCAGCTGCTCAGCCAACACCTACCCTCTAACACAGGTTTCAGGCAATAAAAAGTGAAATGTAAAAATAGTAAGTCTTGTCACTGACGGTCTTGTTTGCTTTTGTATATCATGGAAAGGCACTAGAATGATTTTGGATCAATTTCATACACATCAATAACTCATCGCAGGAGCTATCAGGTTTATTTGTATTGTGGAATGGGAGATATTTGAAAAATATCACTAAAGAGAGATTAACTTTAAAATAGCGCCTTTTTTCTGTAAAGACAGTGGACAAGAACAGCATGAAAGATGTTTTTATATGTCTTTATGGATATCAGTGAGTGCTGGAGATGCATTCAGACAGAGACCTGGTTTCAGTTGATGGCTTTATTCCTGCTGGTGTTAGATTCTTAAGTAGGCCGGGCCTACACAGCAAAGACACAACTGACAGACAGATAACAGATCATACAAACAAAAACAATCATACAATGGAGTCATAGCACCTAACGAAATACAACATATTCTGAGAATCCTTGCGATTAAAATATTGTAGGCTACATTTTCTAAAATGCCCAGTGCCATTAATTGGCAGCGTTGGTCTGGTTTCACATACTGAGACTAGAGCTTTAATATATTTCTATATATTTAAAGTGCAGTTTGAAGGAAACACACTTAGATATCTTGTTAATCAAAGGATACCACTCATATTGTCCATATAACATTTACAATAATTCTACTGAAGTACTTTTGCTGATTCCCCTGCTGATCCTCTTTCAAGGCAACACAAGTCATACTGAAGGACATTCACACACTAACAGCCTGTGAAGATGTATCTTTGCATAGAAGTATATATATACTTGCGTGGGTCAAGGATAGCCTGATTATGTCACGTGGTCAACAGGTTTAATTATTAACCTCTTGATAATAAACTGGGCCTGTGACCTTTGAACCAAAACGTGAGACGCTGAAGGCACGTGCAGGCTATAGGATAAATGGTTTTATTGCCTTTCAGATGTGTTTTGGGTAAGTTACCTGAGAATCTGACTGAAAAAGTCTTTACCCCCCTTAATCTCGCCTTCTTTCTGTGACCCTCTACTCTGTCACGTACTTCCTAAGCCGGTTCACCACTTCCTCCGCGTTCACCCACGGCACAGTGACCGCTTTGAACTCCCCGGGCATGGCCTCGTGGGTTTCTGTGATCAGCCGGTGCATGGGGAAGTCCCTCCGCGGGAAAGCCACGTCCCGGGGCCCGAGGGAGAGCGCCGGGCAGAAGTCATTGGCTCCGTCCCCCACGTAGAACACCCTCTGGTACGGACGGCCCCTCTCCTGCGTCCTGCGGGCCACGTAGTCCCGGACCACCACCTGCTTACACATGTTATCGGGGCACCGTTGGCAGTCGTGGGAGTGGAAGGGCCGCATCACAAGCCGTCCGTCCTTGTTGAAGGTGGACGGGTTGGTGAAGATGCGGTGGAAGAGCTGGCGGGCCCCCGCGCGCCGCAGCCAGGACTCGATGAAAAAGGTGTTTGCATCAGACAAGAGCACCACCTCAAAGTCTGTCTGTGGCCGCGTGCGCAGGAACTGGAAGAGGGTTATCATGCCGGGGGTGGCCGGCATCTTCTCCATGACGTTGCGTATGTCGCTCTCCGTGACGCCCTGCTCCGCCAGGTAGGCCAGCACGCGCTGCATGTACTCGTTGTAGCGGCCCGGCTGGTAGGTGTCCTTCAGCCAGCCCGGGAGGTGCTGACCCGGGGCGGCCTGCACCACCATGTCATCGCTGGTTTCATCCACGATCGTCTCATCGAAGTCGAAGAAGATGAGGAAGCGCTTGTCGGAGGGGATGTGGGAGGTCATGATGTCCGTGCGTCTGGACCTGGGGGGCTCCCTGTCGCCTGGGGGGTGGGGTGGGACATAACAGCAGTTGAAGATCGAATCCCCCATAACTGAATATGCCACACTTCTTACATAGGCAACTGTTGCCAAGTGGCATCAAATATCCACTCCTGCTCTCATACTCCTCTGCATCCCACTCAAGGTGGAGGCTACTGAGGATGGATTTCTGGAACACACTGATGCATGAACAGGCAAAGGGGTGGGTTTGGGGTGAAGGTGGAAACAGAATCGAATACATATTATATAATAAACAGACACAAGACAATGAACATTATCTAAATTCAAAGGATTGAGAACAATGCAGCCATCCAGCAGCTCTATCAGATGAGGCAGCAACACAGCTCAGGCTTTCTACAAGGCAAGCTGTGGACGTGGGGAGGGGGTAGTCCTGCTGCAGAAAAATGGACATTAAGGAGGGAAATTAAATTATTTGGATTGTTTGCATGCGGAGTAGGCTTCATGCGCAACCTGCAAGCAAGCAAGTACATTTTAAAAATGTACATGCACTTTGTAAACTTTAACACAGTAGATAAGTTTTGCCTGCATACCTGCGAGACGTCCGCTGATCTCACGTGTTTTCCCGCGAGGCGTCTTCAAGCTGAGCGGCTGGTTTTGTCGGCTGGGGGAGGAAACAATGGATGTCGAGTTTTAATAAACATTCACACAGAACAAAGGACTTGCAGACGCCTTAACAAAGACCCCTCATGTGACTTAATACAACTGAACTGAGATCATTTTAAACCGTGAGATAGTAAGACCCTTTTCCCAAGAACTTGTCAGCCCCCCAATCCTATCTGGACTGACCTGCTTTCTTACAATAACACAAACAACAGGAGCGCACACGAGATTATCTACAGCAAACTTGACCTCTTCAGAAATCGATGCTAAAAATGTAAAGGCTGTTAGTGTTTTACCGCCGCTGGTTCCGGTCCGGTCTGTCAGGGAGCAGAGGCAGAGATCCGCCGGTCGGCCGGTGGGACGCGCACTTTTATGTGACAGTCAAAACCACCGGAGCGGTGGCGCGCGTGACCGCGCATCAAGGTCCGCCCCTTTAATAACGGCCTACAGAGCGCGTTCACGATACTTTCAAGGAAAACGAAGGAGAGGGAGAGATGTGGGAGGAAAAGGGAGGAAGAAAAACAGGACCCCCGAAACAGACAGTAAACGCTCTGTTTCCTTAGTATCCGCAGGAGTGTGTGTGTGTGTGTGTGTGTGTTTGTGAGCAGGGTGACTGTGTCAGTATTTGCTCTGACTTTACTTTAACAAGATTATATTTTGTCTCACGGCAAGTTATACACAAACTTTGCTCACTAACATTCACAAAAGGAGCACACAGAGGGAGAATGACCGCTTACAGCTAAGAAAAGACCAGTGTGAGGTCTGCTCATTTTAGTCTGGAGCCTGCTGCAGGGCAAACATGGTGCATGGTACCAACTCGAGTTTTATCCAGTCACAGGAGCATATTTGACTGATCTCTGGTCTTAGTAGAGATTAGCCAAAAAATGCTTCATGTCCTAATACAATAGAATTAGTTTTCCTAAACGAGAGCTGAACTGTGTGATTCCTTTGCCTATATACAGCCTATGTGCTTGTTACTAGCATTAACTTATGGCAAATGTTTCCTACTTCAACAAGCTGATAAGAATTTGGGTCAGTGTCAAAGCCAGTTTAAAAACATACTGCACTTAAGGTGACCTCTGACCTCTACTTAAAGGGAAACACATGGTTCAATCACAGTGAAGAGCGGTGTTATGTTATCAGCCCTGTCTGCAAAGTAATGGTGGCCTATGAGGACAAGAAGTTCTTTAGTTATGATACTCTTTTACTGTCATATATGTCTGTGCTGACACCAACCCCCACTAACACTGCTGGGTATCACAAATAGTAATACAGAAATTTTCAAATGTATAGCCAATAGTCCTCATTACTTATGTAGCACATAAAGAGGTTGAGTATAAATTTGAGTATATTTAACGACATGATTAAAACTTTCACAGGAGCTTTAAACAAACCAAAACACTCTTATATTCAGGCGATTTCACACTCATTTTAACTTGTATATCTTACTCCATTTCCATAAATCATATTTATATGTATATGCTTGTTACTCTATACTCTAAGTTTTCTAATCCTTTAATTTCTCTTTTTGTACTTGTATTTCTGCTGCTGTAATTTGGAATTTCCCTCTGTGGGACTGATAAAGGGATATCTTATCCTACTTTGTAAAGTCTGTGCAGTTTAAAGCTGTCAAATGCTACACACTGTAACTTTAACTGAAGTGGTACACAAACTTCACAGTGAGAGACACTGGCTGCTTGTTTCTCCACAGGATGTTTAAGATCAAACTTCACAAACACACAGCGATTAATGAAGTGATCAACAACTTCCGCAGCAGTGAACGCCCCCCTGAAAAACCCCCGCGTGAAGCCCTCCTCTCCTTATCTGCCTGCTGACAGCCACAGCCTCCTCCCTCTGCTACACCACCACCACCACCAGGCGTAATGACTAACAGCTGGGGTGGTAGACTATTTTCAAGCCTCAAATGGGAATGGAGATGTTCAGACAGTATGTTATTATCTCCTGTGCTTGTGAAGTGAGCCTTGCTATACCTGACCACCCACTCACCATCAGTGAGTCACTCGCACTCTCCTCGCTCGGATACCTTACAGGATAATGTGACTCATTTAGTGAGCCACTTAAAAACACCTATGGTGATACAGGGTCTGCAGCATTTGAGGCTTCAAGCAACAAAGTGTCAATGTCTCCTTAGAGGAAAACTCAGTCAGATGATGAATAAAGCTTACATTAAAGGTGGAAGAAGACACTTTTGAGGGAACTCAAACTCTGTGTTTACTCTTGAATTCGATGTTAAATTGGTAAACACGGTACGGTTTGTTTAACATAAAAACACTGATGTTGTACATGACCTCACCTAATTATCTCGGCCTGAGGACACACAGAGAGAAGGCTTTGACCACAAGTACCTCTTAGCCTACTGCAATGCCTCTAGATCTTCTGCAAAACAGACCAGATTTATCTAACACGTGCTATCATTTTTTTCCTATTTGTACATCAAAAGAGAAGGAAGTGGTCAAAAAAGGAGGAACTAAGATTTCATTCGTCATTTAAAACCTTTGACGGCTCAGCAGCTGACTTTGTGTTTTTCATGTGTGGCTAGCACACATTGTTTACAGGTTACAGGTGAACTCCATGAACCCAAAACAGAAAAAAAGGCTCCCTGTTAGTTTGACAGATACCTGACGCCACACCTAGCAGCCTGCTCTCCAGGGCGAGTCCTCTACAGTTTTCATATATGACAATTTTAATCATTTGCTCCTGCTTAGAAATCTCTTACAAACTCACAGCATTCAGATGTAAAATAAGGCACAGAAATCTGTGATAATCATGGCTACTTGTTTTTACTTTCAAAGTTAGCAGTCAGTTAAATGTACATTATCAAAAAAGGCCCAACTTTTTCACTTCTCCCCAATCTCCAGATAACATACAAAAAAAGACAAACCAGGACATTATAAAGCTGCACATTTTTGTACCAGATACAATAATAAAATACGCAATGCTACATTAAGTGGTTAAAAATACAAAGGGGAAAAAAGTATATTGATTTTTTTTAAAACATCTTTAAAGAACATACAATGTTATTTTCTTAACTAGCCAAGAATTTTAGTAGAAAGTGCATTCTATATAACAAAGAAAGGAGGAGGAGAATCACTCTGCGATCTGTGAGACCAAACAGGACATGATAAAGAGGAACTCTATGAATGAAGACAACAGAAGAATGTATTTCAGACAGTTTGGAGGGACTAGTGTGAAGTCACCAAAGCAAATAAATGTTGCTTTAACTTTTAGGAGAGGTCTATCATAGAGCAAATATGCCTTTATTTAAAAAACAGGAAATTCAGTTTCTTCATTCGCTTTAGTGCCCTCCACACTACCTGCCTCCACCGGGATTCTCCTCCTTTCCTTGCCTAAAAACATCCACTCAAAGTAATCGCCTCCACCTTTCCCTGTGCAGCCGTGACTGCACTCTGTTCCACAATGCATTGTCAGTCCCTCCTTTCCCTGCGCCTCTCCTACGCAGCAGTAAAGTGCAGAGAAAACACACAAATGAAAAAGGCTTTCAAACAAAATAAAAAAAAAAAAACAGGACAAAAGATCTATACTGCAAAATGCTGGAGCACAGCAGCCAACCAGAGGGGACAGGGTGAAGCAGATAATGCGGCGGCGGCAAGACCCACGGAAATGGCAGGATAATTGCAGGTCTCGAATACAGAAGGGGGCATCCTAACCTACTGAGCTGAACCACTTCAGACGAGACTCTGTTTAAGTGGTAAGAAGAGGATCACGTTAAACTTACTGCTGTTGTCCATCTCTGAAATCCACTAACACACCTAGATAATGGGGCACACTGTGTAAAAGCAGCTTTTGGTACAAGAGCACTGGGAACAACCAGACAGACTGGTAGAGTAATGCATGCACACACTCCTTCTCTCTCTCAAACGCACACTCGCGCACACACACACACACAACACAAAGCTTGATGCTACTCAGAATGGGTAAACAGCTAACAAACAGGCAAACCAAATTCATGTCAACCATTTCTGCATCCTCAAACAAAAACATTCACACCATCGGCTCTTACATTAATAATGTATATCTCACGCTGATTTGATCACATATTTGCTTATCTATACAAGAAGAATTCAAAGTATTAGAAGCTGTATCACTGCCTTTTATCCTGACATTTCCTATCGTGTGCTAACAACAGTATATCTACACTGCAGAACCATTCATTAGCTTAAAACTGAGCAAAATATCAGAGAATATTACAAAAAATAAAACTTGTGAATGACTCATCGGCCATCATTTCTGCGTAGGCAACATTCGACAGGTTGAGACACTTGTTTGCCTGTGTGGATCGACGTGTGTCAGTATGATATTAAAAAAAACAAACAAACAAACAAAAACCCAAAAAGCTTTACATCACAACAATCCCCCTGAACCAAAGTGTGGACAACAGGCTGAGAGGAATACCGGTATGCATATTTGCCTTGTAAGAACTGTAATGGAAAGGGTCCCAGATGGGTATATGTGTGTGTGTGTGTGTCTAATGACCTTTAACATGGTAACCCGTATTGTTTGGACAGCAGCGAAGGGAAGTGGGGTATATCCTGATGGGGCCATGAGTCTAGCCCCTCACAGTGGCAGTATTTGACAGTCATCTGTTATCTAAAAGCATCTGTTGACCAACAGTACTGAGAGCTGAGGTTGATCCACTGATCACGGCGAGTGAATCAGTGACCCTGTGGTCTTTCATGCGTGTGCTTGAACGAGTGTGACTGTGTGTGAGTGTGTTTGTGTGTGTGTGTCCATGGCATGTCCTGCATAACTTCCGTATCTTCACCATAAAACATCTGCTCAAATCTCATAGCCATTGTAGAAAAGCCAGGCTGGCAAGACGTGTTCTGAATGACACATAACATACTTGTTTTGCACAATAACACATCTGAAACTCAAAATGATAAGAGGAAAATTAAGAAAGATTTGTTTGTACTGGAATGGAAAGCACCGTTGATAACCATGAGATGAATCTATATGATCTAGATTCAACCAACATCTGTTAAATCTTTTCCTTTACAAAAATGACCCCCTTCCCTCCCCTCCCTATCCCTCTCACAGAACCTGCTGTTGTTGACCTTCTGACAGAAAGCCGCGCTGCCTTGCCCTCAGGACCGAGGAAGGTTCAGGCTGAACCAGTTCCAACATTCATTTAATATTTGTGTGGAGGCCAAGGCTCTGCTGTACGACTCGGAGGACAGGTTGAGTATTGCTATGGGGAGGACCCGCACACAAGGCAAGAGTCCAGACCAGTGTTCAACCATGTGTCGACTTGACGTGACGAGGAAAGTTCAATGACAAGGATCTCTCATGACCCCTGAAGCCCAGGTAATACATATGTCAACTCCCATCATCAGCAGCTTTCAATGAAAATGAGATACTTTACACCCACTAATGTACAATCCAGAGCTCCCCCAGAGGTCGTCTTGTGTTGGTTTTCTAAGAAAATGTACACCTAAGAGAATCTAGAGGTTGTAAAATCATCTTTGTCAGTTGGGCAGGGTATCTGAGTGGGATGTTGCTTAAATAATGTGTTCACTGAGAGAGTATCAGTCTGAATCACACGCCCACACACACACACACACACACACGGGTGTGCGTGTTTAGTTTGACTCAATGGAATCCGCTTTAAGAGCACCCAACCATCCAAGAGACTGAGGCAGGACTAGGAGAAAAGAAGGATCAAGGCGTGGTCTGATGTGGGCCTGCAGAACCGGGGCACTGTTCAGTGGTGCTGTGGGGCCCCTGGGCCCTTGTCAGGTGGGGCCATGTGATGCAGGTAGCTGCTGTCCTCATGCCCACAGTGGTTTAAGGGCTCACTCTTAAAAAGTGCCGGGGGTGGGGGCAGGTGGGAGACGGGGGGCACGGCTAGGTGGTGATGGGGGTGAGCAGGGGCGTGCTGGGGTGTGTTTGAGAGGTGTTGCTGGGTTGTCTGGGGATGGGGGTGGTGGTGGGAGGGCGTTGAGTGGAGCTGTACATGGGAGAATGTGTGTCCCACAGGGCCTCGTGGGGGTATGGGTGCTCCCGTGGGGCTGAGGCCCAGAGGTGCTGAGGTGGTGGCTGTGGTGGCAGCTGAGGGGCCGGGGCCAGAGGCTGAGGAAGAGGAAGAGAAAGTGTTGGCAAAGATGCGGACAGGCACAGGGGGGCCGCTGGTTTGCAGAACGACTGGGCTGGTGACCCGGAAACACTTCTCTTTGTGTGCTTTCAGCATGTTGGAGAAGCGGAAGCGCTGGCCGCACACCTCACAGGGATACGGCTTCTCTCCTGTGTGTGTGCGGCGGTGGCGCTTCATGTTGGGCCGGCTGGTGAAGCTCTTCCCACAAATCTCACAGATGAAAGGCTTCTCTCCTGAACAGAGACAACAAATGAGACTAATAAGTGAGGAAGACGGAGACACTTTTGATCATCATAGAGGAAACGGCCTCACATGGAAATGTAATGATACCTCGCTCTTTTCTTCTCTTCTCAATTTGATTAAAAATGATGAAATTCTTACAATCACAATGACAAAGTTAACTTTTTCCTCTAACCATTTCTCTCCGCGGAGAGCAGTTGTTCTCTTTTAAAAATGCAAATAAGTTGCCATTTTGTATTGAGAGTGTCTGCTGTCAACCCACCCACTCCACAGGAAGCTATTACAATTCACACTTTGAGGAGAGGAGATGTGAAAGTGAACAACAGCAGCTCCGTTGGAATGCCGCTCTCATTAACCTCCCTCCATGGAGCCGCTGAATGTGCCTGCTACCACCCACACAGTCGTCTATTAACAGGCTGCTGAAGGGCTCTGTAAATGCCTCATTCTGGTGTGTTACATGTGAAGCTGCTCCAAATCTACTAAATATCAAAAGGTGACACTTGACGCGCTTGTCTTCTCTCACTGTTGCACCAAACTAACTAGAAATCATCAAAGATCTTTGAGCACTGAAGCAAACTTTTGGATTTGGTGTTTAATGTGTTTCTAGTACAGGGCACTACTGGGTGTGTCGCGCAAGAGGCTAAACTGGTTGCTAGTGGCAGGCAGAGGAAAGGGTAGCATAATTACACCTTACAAATAGAACCATGAGGGCCGATGCAGAGCAATGTGTCCACCCACGGCAGGCAGGGCTAGAGGATCACAGTGAAGGACGTGCAGCCTGCATGGCTCAGTTTGGGCTTAGAAATAGCAATGCAGCGGGGACAGAAAATCAGAAGGATGTAATACAGCATGTGTTTGGGTAGCTATTATAAACCACAATGTATGCAAAGCTCTCTCTGATGTCGAAACTCCCCTGTCATTACAAAATCAGGGCGAAGGCCTCCTGCTCTTTTCCACTATAATGTTCAGCCTGAAACATCCCATTTCCGTCTTTTTTTAGGTGGTGTGTGGTGACCGGCTGGCTGGCTGGCTCTTTGGGCTCAGGGAGAATGCTGTTGGACAAAGTGAACTTTCAAGAATTTCAAGGGATCTGTATGGAGGTTTGTAACAGCTGGAATGAAAACAAGAACGTTTAAGTAAAATATTTTGAACCAAAAATACATAAACTTTTTAAAATCCTTTCTCACATGTAACAGATGAAGTGTGAAAATCAAGCAAAGTACACAAATCTCCGTCTTTGTTACTAACTACTGCACAACCAGGTGATACCTGAATGTAGATCATGGAAAGGAAATGTGTAGAAACAGCAGATAAAAGTGAAAAAGGCGAGATGTAGTAAAGCTCTGCAGGGTCAGTCTAGGGATGTTCTTTTTTTTAAAGCCAATATTTAACTCCAACACTTTGTGAATCATTTTCTCACACTTTCACCTTCTGTGACTTCACTCTTTAACAAAGGAAAGTTGGCTGCATAACTTCAAACCTATAAAATGACAAGAGGTTCAGCATTCAAGCACTCCCCACTAAGTATTAACAGCAGTACACAGTACATAGGTACTGGATTTAAATTCTGATCCCACACCCTGATCTTTAACTGTACGCTATAATCTCAGGGCCAAAATGGTCTATTGAACAAGAACAATAGTCTGAAAACTGTTTTTAGAATTTGAGTTACTCATCCCTACTTTATTCATCCCTACTTCGCAGGATCCTGAGAAGACAAAAGACTGGTTTGGTTCCCTGTGGTCAAACAAGGCCTTAACAACAAGTCTGCAAATGTCGGTCTGCCTGAAGGTTGATGGGTGCGCTGAGGACACAAACTCTCACCTGTGTGTGTTTTCATGTGCTCATCGAAATACTGTTTCATGTTGAAGTCTTTGCCACACCACTGGCACATGAATTGCTTGTGCCCGATGTGAATGCTCATGTGGGAGCGCAGCTGGTACTTGTATTGGAAGCGCTCGTCACAGTTCTGCAGCAGAGACAACAGATAACATGCGTCAATACATATCAGTCCCTCCTCTTTCCGTGTTTACAAACTTTTTTGTTTCCTCAGATGGACTAATAATATCATCCCCACGCCTGTGTCCTTCAAGTGTAAACAAGTCCTTATATTCAGGTGCCTGGATCTCTAATACAGTTGTCATCTAGCTTCTCATCATGGTCCACTTTGTATTCTATATGCACAGAGTAAACCAGGTCACTTGGACCGGTTGGGCGAGAAAGTCATGGTCTTATTTTTTTTTGCTTCTCTTTGAAATAGATCAGAGCTTTAGTTAGACACAAGCGTTGGATTGAATTACTGTCATCATGAGGATCCCAACCCTAAATAATTATCTACATCACTAAATCTGGTTTCTCCACAAGTCAAACTAGGTTCCTCCATAATACTTTCACCTGATAAAGAAGTCAGTATGAACAAAATATTCTGCAACAGTATTACAGTTATTCATGTGCATGTAGCCCCACCTTATGTTTGTTTTCCAGTGGTTTCAGGTCTGTTTCTACAGTTCGATATTTATACTTTCTCAACAGCTCCACCTGGCTAATTTAAATGCTGTGGTTAATTCCCCTCCCAAACCAATGCCCGTATGAGACTCCAGGGCGGGGAGAATGGATTTTACATAGCATATGCTCTTAAAAAGCATGTAATCACATGTTATAGTGTTCAGAGACTCTCAGTATTTAATTAAAGCTGCTCCACCCGTACATACATGCTCCCAGTGTCCTCTATTTATGTAGCTCAACATTAAAAGGTCTTCGATGAAAGAAGATGCTAGCTTTCTTTGATTTAGTCAGACTTTAGTGGAAATAAACTCTAACATCTTCACACACAGCCTTACACAGTTCTTCCATAATCGATGTTACACACTGAGCATTTAGTTCTTCATTTATATAATGCATGGTTTGCTAATATTTGACATGGTCTGGCTCAAGCTTGTCTGTACAGTGCGTGTGTCGTAACTTTCCGAAGAGTTTTCACACCACAGGAGGAGGCTCCCACTCTGAGAGACGACTCTGGGGCAAAGAAATTAGTCCCAACTACCTGGAGGCTGTTTTTGAGGTGCGCAAGAGCAAATCTGCCAACACTGAAACGATTCTTCTCTCCACATTAACATTAAGCATAACAAAGACTTTTGTATTTCAGTCATGTAGTTTCTACACTCTGACTTGTTTCTTTAAACTCGTTTGGAAAAGACAGTAAAAAAAATAGAAAACATGACTTCAGAGAAAAGACACTGGATATTCAGCTGCTTAGAAAATGTTACATGTCTATTTTACTGTTGCTGTGAAGAGAGGCAGTCTTGTGTCCTTAATGTTGTGTGACTGACTGATTTTGATAGCAACATAGAGAGGCACGTGTTCCGCTGAGATAAAATAGATGGAGGCAGAAAAAAACAGACTCTATTAATCTCTTAATGTCGATTGTAAAGATAGTTGCAGGTGAGAGGCACTAAAATCTGCATTACAATAGAGACAAGACTTTATCGGACTGTTACAGTCACTGTCAGGGATGTTTTTCACTTTATATAATGTCCACCAGAGTATGAATTCAATCGTGTCAGTGTAATTTGGTAAAATTGTTGATGAATAAATGGCATTCAGAGTAACAAATTTCTCAGAAGCAGCTGTAAAATGTTGCCCTGAGGTGTTTTATCTTGAGCTCCAGGAGAGCTAATCCTGTGTTGAAGTTGCAGGTAAAAAAAAAAGGCCTTGGTTTCCGCAGATCCAATCCAACTTTGAGAGCTATGATGACACTATTTTTAGATGTGTATGTCTCCACCCTGCATCGCCTCAAGTTATTATGTCTGAGAAGAGCCACCTTGTCACGAAACTTACCTCACAACGGAAGGGCTTCTCCCCAGAATGCTGGAGTGAGTGAACTTTTAGAGACATGCTGCGTTTAAATGACTTGCCGCATGTCTCACAGGTAAACGGCATGTCCTTTGTGTGAGCTGGGTTAAGACAGAGAGGTGGACAAAAAGAGAGGGGGATATAATGAGCCACCCACCAACACTTTCATATGAAATCTATCTGTATATTTGGTAACACATCAACGTGTTGCTGTTACTGCCTCCAGTGAGAGATTTTCTGGTGACAGAGGGAAGCTCAAATATTTGAAAAAAGGGCCTCACTTACCGACCATGTGCTTACGGACGTGAGCCATAGTGTAGAACTTCTTCTCACAGATTTCACATGAGAACTTCTTTTCTGCATAGCCGTGCACAATCTTAATATGCTCATGCAGTGACCACAGCTTCTTAAAGGACTTGTTGCAGGAAACACACTGAAAGACACATTTACAGAGGGGAAAAAAAAACAAGAAAAGGCTTATTGTTGCTGAATAATGTAAAGCACATCCAAACCTGGAGGCCATGGGAGGATGAGACACATTTCTTTAACTGTACTACAGCTCCCTCTGCTGGGGGGAAATCATAATGATGCTGGTTTTCTGAATTCGCTCAACAAATCTGATAACCTGAACCTATAACAGCAAAACATAATAGCTGCCATTCAAAGACAAAAGAAAAGGAAATGTGTGGATGCTTTTATCAGCAATGTTCATGAGGTGATTCTTGAGTAAAGTGAAGTTCTGAATACTTTAAGAGGAACGTTTCTTGACCAATCATCTTTATTCTGATAAACTAAATCTCAAAACTTTGCAAAAGTTTACAAATCCCTGAATGTTTTAGAGTGACTGGACCATAACCAAGTGTAACCTTGTTTTGTTTGTTTGTTTTTAAGCCATTGTTGTTGAGCTTTGCCCCTGTGTTTGGGGTTGTTCTCCGGTGGCAAAATAAATCCGGTTTGAGGGTTAAGTTCTCTTACAGACTGCAGGGTGTGCAACAGTGACGCAAGCCCATCAACAAGACCAAAACCAAAGAATCTCAGGTGACTGCCAGAAAGCCTAAATATTGGCTCATCCAATCAGAGTCCATTACTTTGTTTCTAGTGTCTTCTGAAGTAAGCACTGGCCGAGCTATCATGTCAGCTTCACTGTTTTTATTTTCCTCTTCAATAAATGATAAAACACTGGGACAGGAGCTGTTTTTAACCCTGAACCTTCTTTGGATTGTTTGTAGCTTTAGCTGAACTTCAATCAAACAGAAATTCAGTTTTTTGTAAATCCCCTCTTTTAAGACGGATGATCAATGTGTCATCACCAGCATGTCTTAAAGCCTCACTTTGACAAGCGTCGCTTTTGTTTCCTTCCTTTGATAGTGATGAGGAATTACCACATCCAAAGAAAAACACACCTGCTACTTGTGAGCAAAAGATTGTTTAGTTGATGCTTGCAGTTTTTTTATGTAATACATTTGGATCACTTGGTTGATCTTGGTCTTTAAAGTGTGCAAAGAAAGTACGATAAAGTCCCTTGTTATACTGAAAGTTAAAAACAACATATAACAGAATTCAATTTGCATAAACTGTGAGTGCCGATAGTTTTATATTTCTTTAACAGACGGATTAGTCAGTAATAGTTTTTAGAGCAAGTATGTAAGTATGGTTTAAAAACCCTGATGAGTCAGTGATACAGAAATATGTCATCTTCTAAAAGAAAGCGTGTTGCATTAATAAAATGAAAATTTTCTGCTCCACTGATGTACATAAAATATTGAGGAAGTCCCCGACCGGAGACAGTTTCATCTGGTGTGACCATCTGTGGAGGGAGGTGAAATATTCTCTAACAAACCAACAAAGCAAAGTGGAAAACGGAAACATGGGGCTCAGTTAAGATATTCAAAATAACCACATCACCCTCGGGTTTTAATGTGTCGCATCATGACTCTCAGTTTTAGAGAAGTAACACCAAATTAAACCCACTCAAAACATCAAGAATAGTTTATTTTTAACATTTTCTGTATATCGAGCAGGTAATAACAATATGAGTCACTTTTTAACCTGCTTTTACCTTTACTGTGCTTCAGGCTTTCCTTCTTAAATATTAATAACCTAAATCTGGAGCGCGTGAACATGATGATATTATCAGGCAGTATTTGATTGAAATTACTCCTAACTTGTTACTTTCACTGCAGCCTTTTGATGACTTGTTTTATGAACAAAGTTGAACATTCAACATTGGATTATAATCTTCAAGAACCTTACTCACTTCAGTAACGACAGATTATTTTGTAAGCGAAGCATCAGGGTTAGTTTGACTTTACCTGGATGTTCTTCTCACAGTCAGTCTGCTGATGCAAGGCCAGCTCACTCTCCAGGACAAACTTTTTGCCACACTTGTCGCAGATCTGCATTCGCCTGTGTGTGACATTCATGTGCTTCTCCAGGTACCAGCGTGTGTTGAACACTCGGGGGCACTTTTCACATGCCAGCAGCTCCTTCTCCTCCACCTCTGCTCTTCCTCCAGTTGTTGTGGCGCCAGCAGACGATGGGGCTGACCTCGCTGACCTGCGCTTGCTCTTTGGAGGCTCCAGGCGCTTCCTCCGCCCCCTGGTGGTCATTCCTGATGAGGCCGCGCTCAGAGATGTTCTGAGGCTTTTCCTTCGTGGCTGGCTGGGCGCTGCTGCGCTGCTCGTGCCCCTGCAGACCCTCTTTGACCTCGTTCTTCGACTGTCGATCTCATCTTCCTCATCTTCTTCTTCGTCCTCTTCATCAAGGCTCTCCTCCTCCTCTTCCTCCTCCTCTTCCTCTTCTTCCTCATCATCATCGCTCGCATCTCTGTCAGAGTCATCTGCTGCTGTTCCACTTTTGTTATCCCCTTTGGACACATGAAGCGTCTGGTTGTTCAGGTTGACCTCCACGATGATCTGCTCACGTTTGAAGCCCTCCTCCTCCCCATCTTTGCTCTCCTCCTCACCCTCCTCTTCCTCATCATCTTCATCGTCTTCTGTTTCCTCAGAGGTGCCGTCATTTCCTGCCTGGGACCCCTGCGTCCCTACTTCCTGCCCTGCTCCCCCTTCTCTGCTAAAATACTGCTGAGGGGTCACATGTTGAGAGGGCAGCTGACCAATGTTCTGGTCTCCAACGGATGTCTTGGCTGCCATTTTATTGTCCACTAACACAGAATAAGGCTTACCCCCTACCTCCCTCTTATAAAGCTTGCCTGTCAGGTCCAGATCCGGGTTTGGAGGGTGAAAGTAGGACTGCGACACCGACACCCTTCGTCCGTCCTCCTGTGACATCCCGTCAAGGGTGGGGATGGAAACCTCTTCCTTGAGGGTCTTGCAGGATTTCATGAAACACAAGGCAACTGGAAAAGACTCACTGCAAAGGTGCCTGGGTGAACGAGCCCACTATGTAAGGAAGGGCAGGGGATGCCACACCAATCCCCCACCCTCCTTCTAATGAAGATCCAGGAAGGAGGGGAAGAGGTGACAGACGGTCAGCCTGATTCAAAAAGAGCATCCATGCTGTCCAGGGCAGGAAACACAGTTGCAAAGACATACAATCTGCTCCAAGTTTTTTTCCATATGCTCAAATATCATCAGACTGCAAAATCCAGAGCTCAAGTGTCTTTGATGCTGAACATCTGACGATGAATTCCTCTGGTGTTACTATGTAAGACTTAGGCAGCTGCCAGATTCACTTTCTCTGAAATCTGCCGCCCTGCAGAGCGCCGCTGTCTTCAAATTGCAGAGCAGGTAGAGAGGAGCTGAACGTCAGACATGGAGCTGCTGTGAGGACGTCTGTGTATAGCTTGAGGAGCCATTTACAGTGCATGACCTACGAGAGAAGAAACATGAAGAGTTAAGATGAGATAAGATGCAAAGCTGCAGCATCTAGAGAGTCGGAACTGAAACTACAGCTCTGTTGCCACATTTTCAAACTCAAGCAGCACATTACCCACAAATGTTTTAGAGCAGTGTGTAGTAGTCAAAACCACACAAATGAATGTTTGTGGGATTTAAGTAAGCACTCGAAATATTGCCAGGCCACAAGTGCAACACCTTACAACAAGATCATACTACAGAGGTACTTTGCTTTCTCATTTGAAACCCCACTATACAGCCTAACCAAGGAGAACATCAACAACACATTTAACACAGAAAACATGACAAAGATCTACAAAAGGTTCACTTAATTCAATGATTTCAAGCACCTTGCAAAAGGAGGAACTTACACAGTCTTGATGCAGAAAACTGATTGAGCAGAGGATCATCTTTTTCTTCAACAGTGCGCTCTATCTTGCACTTACACCGCCCATTGACTGTTGGAGAGCATAGTGTAACCACAGCTCAGGAGCGTGTATTGCAATCTAACCACAGGAAACTGAATTTCAGCCTTACAATGTAGACTTAGAGCTGTGCAGTTTGGAAGCTCCAGTAGTATCATGATGTTTATGCATGTTCAAGATGAAAACAAAAGCACCAAAAACGCTCCAATCTTCTCTCTCATGATGTTCTTGTGGTCTTGTCTGAGCCTGGGGTGTCACTAGCTGACGTCCTGATGACCTCAAACAACCTTACACCCCATTTTCTGTGATGAGAAAGCACTAGGGCGGTTTTGTTCAATACAAAACCTGCCCAAGCACGAAACAACACATTTCCTCTCTACGAAGCAGCAAATATTCCACCCTCTTAACTTAACCAATTTCACATCCTAGCTCACTTTTCACTCAAAGCACCAAATCATCCTTAAAGGACTACAATTCCCTGGTTTAATTTAAGCAATGATAATTAGGTAGAGTGTGTGGAAATACCTGCGTGGGAAGCAAAAAACGTAACGTCAAAAGCTGTTCAATTATGGCAAAAACTAAAAGCACAAATATTTTCATCAATGCGACCACAAAACGTTTTCCTCAATCCTCAGCGCTGGTCAAAGTCATCTTGATAAAACCGCTATAAACGCCTTTTCTAGCTCTGGAACTGCTTTTCCAGTTCTTCCCTCAACCTTGTCTTGCTGGACAACACAGGAAGACGTGAAAGAGCAAAGACAGATCTAAATGGAATTAAAGATTATTTACCAGGTTTTATCAAAAGCTGCTCTAACAAGAATCTTTTGCAAAGTGTAAGTACAAGTCATTTACGTAGAATTGAACAACCCGTGCACCCAGACACACCTGTCTTCCTGTGAATACTGGCTCTGATCCCTTCTGAGAACTGGACAGCAGCTCTGAGAGCATTAAGACCACAGGGGAAGGGCGAGCTCTGCACTGATAGAGCAACCAAACTCACATGGCTGTCTTAGACACAAAGCCTAATAGATTAACTCACGTTTGGATAACAGAAGAGTATAAGTTGCAAGAGAAACCACTGCCTGAACCTGATTTGACATGCAGTACGGGTTTCATGTAAAAAGGCATTTAGGCAACTGAGTATTTTGCGAGCGTTTCAGAGGCAATTTTTGCTCTGCACATTTTTAAACTAATCATTAGTTCCACATTTATTGCCGACAGTCAAAAACTGAACTTGGACAAATAAACAAACACACACTGTGGTTATGTAACCCGTACTGAGTAAAATCCTTCCACCCGCTTATCATTTTCAGTGATGAGTCATTTCAGAGTTTCACTCGGAGTGAAACGATGAAATCTTTTGATGTGGGGAGCAACTTCTGTGCACTCTTTTCAATATCACTGCTAATTAGTCAACACCCTACCCTTCGCAAATTTGGAGGTCAAAACGCTGATCACTCGTGGATGTTTTTGAAGTTAAGACAGCTTTCAAAAGATGAACTTTGCACCCTGATGCAAAAAAAAAAGAGGAAAAGGATAAGTGAGTCTCTCGGTCAGCATATTCAGGTAATCCAAAGCATTACTAAAGTTCAAGAAATCAAAGTCATTTAGTAGTATCTTAATTTACAGCCTTCCTTTGACACCACTTTAATTAATGTATGGTCACTTAGATATACCAGACAGATGCCTCTTACGGCTGAGTGACAAAGGATGAGACCTTTTCTGCAAATGCCAAACACAGCAGCTAAATCAACTACTCACAACAATACAAAGATGAGACCTTGAAAGTAGTCAAAATGTGTAATGTTTACCTGTTATTATTCAGCAGTGCTCCTCAAATCCATGCTACCTCTCAAGTCTAAACTTTAATGAGCTTTCCCTTTTGCAGCTTGTGGAGGACCGTGTGAGGGTTCACATTCCTCACTCTGTCCAAACTCATAAGACCTTAAACAGCTCACTGTGTGGTGCACTGCAGGGGTGCTCCATGCCTCTGTAGGTATTTGGCCTTAAAGCTCATAATCAGGTCATAGAGCAGTACCTGGTGGTTTTTCGGTCTGCGATAAATCTTTGGAGTATCACAGAAGTGGGAAACTATTACCCCTGCCCCCGGCTCTGCCAGCTTCTTTCATGTCATCACTGCACAGAGAAAGACGAAGAAACCTGACAGCAAAGTTCCTCACAGACATGCCTGTATAAAAAGGTGAAGACTTGACAACTTCCAGCATTGTTCTATGTAAAATACTGATGCATGAAGCTACCTAAATCTTGCAGACGAGATGACTTTGTGCAAAACTAACATAATACAAAATATAGGCTTACACAACTAAAATAAAGCCTGGTGCAGAGTCACTTTGTTTTAAAGAGCTACGTTTTCAGAGACAAACATTTTCAGGAACAATTCAAGGAGTAAATGCTGCACAATAGCAAAGAAGGGGTTAAAACAAAAAAGCAACATTATACACGTTACAGCAGTAACACTGTAGGCCTAGCCAACTTAGGCTACTTAGCTAGCTAGCCCTGCACTCCAAAGGTAATAACCTGAACACACATGACAAGCTAACCTAGCTATATTAGCTCACAGTGCAGCCATTATATGTTTTACAGCAGTTCAGGGTCCCGTGGCCACAGAGAAACATGTTACCGTGCAGAAACAGCACCATCCCGGTCCTCTTTGTTGACATGTATTGGCTAACAGCAGAAAGAAGACTTTCGCTTGTTTTAGACAGAAAACCGCCCAGATAAGGGCTAGTTAGCTCCCAGCTAGCCTCAGCGTCAGATGTGTAGCAGTAATGTTACACTTAATTTCGAAACTGCACTTTGAAGAGTGAAGTATGACAGTGATTTACCCCGCATGGAGCTAGACGACAAGTCGGAGGGTTTGCACTGTTATCGGTGTATCTTTTTCCTGGTGCATAATAAAAAGCGCCTTTTCTGAACTCAATCCTGCTGGACTGACAAACCCCCTCAACTCGACTCTGTCACAAAGTCAGGGCTAGCTCACCTCAGGGACAATTCTCACGGTGGTCTCGGCTACCGGCAGCCGGTGACCCGCTCGTGCAACCCTCGACACCCGTGATGCATGTCATGCATGTAAATGGTCACAATTGAGCCATATCAAACATTTGTGATCGGTTTTCTTGCTTACCTCCGTCGAGAGCGACCTCCCTCTTGCGTTCATGCAATCAGAGTTGCACAGATTCAGGGTTGCACGCGCACTTCTCTCGCTGACTCTCCCTTTACATTCGCGGATGTGCATGTAGAAACGACCCTGTCAACGAGTCTTTGTGCAAAATACGGTGGACCCAAACACTCATATGCGGAACGGGCTGTGGAAATACCTGCGCATTGGTGTCTTCAGCCCAGCTACGTGGCCCGGCCAAGCTCTCGCGCGTACCTCTGCCGTCCCGCGCTCATCCCATGCATTCAGGCCGCCGTCTGGGCAAGCGCGCGGCAGCGTGTCTGGATTTCTTTTTTTACGTCTCCCTCCAAACCAGACAGGGCACAACGCGCGCGCACGCGCTGAGATGAAATCATTGATTGATGAAATAATAATGAGAATACTCCAAGGATCAATCTATCATCTTTAAGAAACAATCCAACAAGAGTGATTGATGTTTTATGTTTTACCAGCAACTCTCTTTTCTAGGTTTAGTGGGAAGAGACTGAAGTCTGAATAAGGGGTTTTCAAGTTATTCATAGGATATATTTTTATGTAAGAGAGTAAGCTCTAATATTCCTCTTTTAAATAAGGCAATTCAGCTGTGATTTGTACAACTGAAAATTCACAATGTAAAAAAATAATAATACATTAGATCACATTCAGTATATGCTTATATGGCAGCACCTTTTCAGTATATGTCACCTCCTCAGGGTCCAAATGTGATGCACCCCCAGGTGATGACTGTGATTACACTTTAGAGCAGTGGTTCTCAAGTCCATTCCTCAAGGTCCACTGTCCTGTATGTTTTGGATGTTTCCCTGCTCCAACATACCTGATTCAAATGATCAGCTTGTTATCAAGCTCTGTAATGGCTTAATAACAAGCTAATCATTTGAATCAGGTGTGTTGGAGCAGGGAAACATCCAAAACATGCAGGACAGTGGGCCTCGAGGACCGGACTTGAGAACCACTGCTTCAGAGGAAACTATGTACATTCACAATTAAATGCTCAGGACCACAGAGAATTAGAAAGATGATTTTTTTTAATTGAAGTTCAGCCATTTCCGAAACATGGGGCATACATTTGCTCCACACAGACACTAAAGACACAGCGAACAACTGTAAAGAATGAAGGAACATCCTCTACTATCTGACAGGCACATTCCTACCAATCAGGGGTGGTAATAGAGAAAGAGGAACTTCTTAGCTATAAAGCAGATTTTCAATTAATTTAAACTTTCTTTCCCTTCAGAGCACAGTCAAAGAACCAACCACTTCTTCTCAATTATGTCATTAAATACTTCAGAGAGCATATCATTCCGGATTGAATATAGGTGATACAATTTGGTGAAACTGTTTGAGCCAATAATCAAAGCTGAGTAATGACAGTTATTATAAGCAATTGATCCTCTTCTCTCTTGAAGGAATTCCTTGACTTTCCTTGGATAATGAAAACTAAATCTTGCTTTCATTACATGCACTGCTGTGAATCTTAAACAACATGGCAAAGACATATCTTAAGAGAATTTACTGCATCTTCAATTAATTCCAAAACAAAGAGCTATATATGTGTATGTGTTGCCTTCCACTTCTTTGCACATTAGTGGACTTCATAAATCTCTTCGTCTCCCACCATGCTGCTGTTAGAGGAGCCCAGTCCACAGATGGGACGAGAAAGAGTGGAAGGAATGTGTGTTAAGTTAGAAGTCCTATATTAACTCCAACCACCCCTTCCATGGCCCATGCGAAGGCAGGAGACAGCAAGAGCAGAATGGACATAAGGTGAGATCTTATCACTGTGGCAACTGTAGCAATGTGCCCTGTCCTGAGGGCAGGTAAGTGACGTTACGGGAGCGCGAGAGCTGGAAAGCAATATCCTCAGCTGCCTCCAGTTTACGAAGCTCGACCAGACCATCTCCAGCTTCCATCAGGGAGTTGGCAATGAGTAAGGCAGCCTGAGAATCACCCTCTGCTGAGATGATCGCTGCTTGTTTCTGTTGCTCTGCCTAAAAGCACAAAAGATTATTTAAGCTGCATGACTTCACACAGTCTTCTACTTGTAATTTTATCAAAGACCTCGGAAGGCGTTAATCTGGACAACCTATGTGGGAGAAATACCTTTTCTACGACAAAGCGGGCTCTCTCAGCCTCCTGCTGGGCCACCTGCTTCATCTCAACAGCTTCTGTGAACTCCTTTCCAAATGTCAAATGTGTCTGCAAGCATAAAAGGGAAAACATTGTTATTAAAAGTTCATATCTTTCTGAAAAGACAGCGTGGTCAATGCTGAAAATTTTCAAGAAAATACATACCAGCGAAACATCATCTAAAATGAGGCCGAAGGTGGAGGCTCTCTCTGTGAGGTCCTCACTAACCTGCCGAGATACAAGTTCCCTCTGGGTGATGAGCTCACCAGCATCAAAACGAGCCTAGAGAGAAGAGAGAGACACACGGCATGGTAAATGAATCGGTCAACTCATTATCACTTATTTATCTTCCCTCCAATCAAATGACACTCACCACTACGGACTTGAGCACCTCTGTGGTGATGGATGGCAACACCCTTTCATCGTAGTCTTCACCAATACTGGTGAAGATGCGTGGCAGCTGGCCGGTCACCGGCCGGAAGAGGATACGCAATGTGATGTTTACATTCTGCAGATCTGCAGAAGGAATGAAAAAAAAATTTAAAATTTTACAACATATATTCTCTACACCTTTAAGTATAGGTAGCAGTTATAACTTTCACCAGTGTCTTCTCTCTGTAGAGAAATCTCATTTCCTATGTGGTATTTGTTCAGATTGTGGATATAAAAAAACCCGTCATACAGCATAAATATGCTTGGATGTAAACCATGTCTACTTATGTTCTCCACATAATTACAAAGTTCCTAAAAGATTAGTTGCACTGACAGGGAATATATTAAATTTCCCTTTAAGAGAAGAGACACAGATTATGTATGACCCAGAGTGACAGCAGCATCATAGCACTTCATAGAGATAACTGAAATACCTTTACTGCCTGTGATGACAGGCACATTGCGTGGACGGGAGCGGCAATCAAAGATGATAGGTTTCTGAACCCAGGGAATGAGAAAGTGGGTTCCTTCGCCAACAACTGCATCTTGCACTCCTCTAAAGCGGTCAAATATCACAGCCCGGTGCCCTGCATCAACTGTAGCAAAGAGGAGAGTTAGTCTTGTGTCAGAGGTCTGTAAAGTTTTTAACCACAGGCATTGTTTTCCAGATATCCCTAACTTGTTTAACAAAGTGAATTTGATCCAGAATAGCAGAGTGCTTCAAAAGAAGTGATTGGGTTTATTCTACACATATTAGAAAAGAAATGTATGGTTTGACAATTTCAGACTCAGTGATATGAAACACACTGTATTTTATAAAAAGAACAAGACATCAGCATATGCTTACAGTTTCCCAAAATAATATTGATAAGTGCAGTAATGCATGTGATTAGCAGAGAGTAGTAAATGTGTCAGTTAGTACAATGATATTAAAATAACTGAACAAACATGGAAATCAAAGCACATCACATTGTCTCTGATGCATTGACTTTGTTTCATTGGCCAATTAACTTTAATTTCTTTATGTCTGCTAAAGTTGCTTACAATTTATCATGCCTTCATCATTATTAAGTATTTCTAAATGTTTTATATTTATGTGGTCATTATTTGTTTTCTGTTGGTTGAATTCTCCCTTAGGCTGCCAATGTAATTCTAAGTCCTACATCTATTTACTTTTTGTTTTCCTGCGTGTGCTCTGTTAAGCTGCTCTCAGATACAGTATTCATTTCAAACACATGGTACTGTTTAGAATATGCTGCCACTGAATGTGATGACGATAAATCACAGTGATGTGTCTTGGGATGGCTGTGACAAAAATAACGTTTAGTAGCCCAGTAGGCTGGCAGATGTTTTTTTAGGTGTGACTCTGTGATGCTCAGAAGTCTTCAGCTGCAGAGTTCAATTCAGGGATTCAAGGTCAGGGATTACTTTAGTCTTCTGTAAGTAATGTGATGTTCGGTTTTCACTGAAACAGAACTTACCGTTGAAAAGTGCAGAATTAACAACACCTCCACCTATGGCCAGGGCCAATCCCAACTTTCCAATAGACTCAAACAGCTTGGCCATGACAGCAATCTACGGGCAGTAAACAGGTTCATACAATTAGATGACATTATCGAGATTAATCCTACACAAGGAGACCATTTGAATGTTATTGACGGTACTTAGAAAGTCTTAATCCTTCCACCCAGTAATAAATGGCATTGGCCTTAAGCTGAGATGCCAAGGCTGTGGGGCTGAACTAAGGTAGCACCCTAGCTAACATTAGCTTCACAGACTGAGGCAGCTGTCGAGCTCGATCAACTAAAGTTGGACTGTTTTGGTGCCCGAGAGTAAAATCCTGCGTAAAACATGTTAAAACACATTATTGCGTGTGTGTGGATAACGAAACGGCACGCCGGGTAAGAACAGGCATGTTAGCCGTGGAAACATGCAAACAGGCTGCTCGTGCTCACCCCATCAAACTCTCTTCATTAACCGTCACAAACAGACATAAACAACCTCATATGTCTCATTTTATGTTGAATAGTCACCACACACGTGCTTATTTGTAAAATAAGGCATCTCCCGTGTCACTTAATCACAAAATCTTTAACTCACCTCAGAATTACGCAGATGTCTATGACCTCCACCGGACACGACGTAGAACACATGAAATACCTGCTTGACAGCGCCTGCGCGTTGCACGTAAGGACGTAGCCTCTGATTGGACAAAAGGCTTGTCTCTTCTTCTATGGCCTGTACGTAATTTGACCACTTCAGCGCAATGACGCTTGTTACTGCCACGTAGTGCCAGGAGGTGGTTACACAACTCACAGAATTGTTGATCAAAGTTAACTCTTCTGATATTAAACTCATCCTTTGAAAGACAGTTTCCAACCAGATATGACCTGAAAGGAGCTACAAAAGTACATTTTTTCATTCCTGCAATAGACGTTTGCCAGAGCAGATAGCAGAAACCACAACACAGCTGCAAAAGGGGAAGTTTATTGTTCGCAAATCATTTAACCTATTTACCTCAGCTAAAATACTGAAACCTTAATTATTGTACCATTTACTAAAAATAGCATGCTCTTTTTACATCTAATGCTAGCAACACATTTAAAATTAGCTGGGACAGGGACATTGTGAACAACACTGTGATGCATCACTGCTTCTTTTTAACAATACTCTTTAAATGTTTGCAAAGTGACTGAGCAGCACATTTGCTTGTGAATATGTTCCCATTTTTGTCTCATATAAGTAGTATTTCCATCATTAAACAGTTTGGCCTCCTTTGTGGTATCTTTTATTTCTCTCCATGCTGTTGAAATACCTGCAAATTTTGTTTTGCATTTTCTTGCTTTAGCTTATCATTTTAAGTCTTCCCAGAAAAAGAAATAAAATAACAATAACCTTTCCAGCTGTACAAACAAACCATGCCATTGCCATGGCCACTTATGCATCCCTATACTACCAGGGATCATGAATATTTACTAAACTGGATCATCCCCAAGATGTGTATCAGGTTGCAAAATTGTCCAACCTGTTAGACCAATTTTAGCCACATTATTCATATGAGGTCAAAGTAACAAATATTTATGTATTATTGTTAATTATTTTATCAATCCTTGTAGTATGTGAAAGTATAGTAAAAACTACGACTGTAGAGAAATATGCTTGCTAGAACAGCAGGTGTATGAACGAGCACTGATCTGTATGTAGGTATAGGCTGTTATACACAAGAAGACGGCAGTGCTTCGCCCCCTGGCGCCGATCTGTGAAATCACATGATACTCTGTAGTTTCACTTTTCTCCTCGGCTACGAAAGTATGAAGACCTTAGCATGATCGCGACACAACCCTTGTAACAATATTAAGGTCAGTATTTCTCATAACTGTTGAATTTGCCTGAGAGGTTTTGCGGCCGCTGGCTCCAGCGTCGCAGCCTTGGAGAAGACAGGTCGATTGTGCGTCAGTCAGACAGTCAGTTTAGTGATTTTTTTTTTCACTTCCTTGTTACTAAGCTCTGCGAATGTGGCTTTCCCCGTCCCCTGAAACGCATCGTTTCTGACATCCTGTAACGACATTCGGTCAAAATTTAACAAACACATTGCCATATGCGTAATAGATAGCCAGTAAATGAGAGTCCCCAACGTAGCTGAATGTGAATGACTTTTTCTTTATGTTTATCGTCCTCCCATTAGAGTTACAACACCCAATCTGGCTGATTTAGGGCAGTTCATATTCGTCAGTTATGAATTTGACAGTTGCATATCAGAGTAACGACTGGGTATTAGCTGCTACAGTTGGAAATATGTAGTTTATATTTATTTAATCAATAACACATCTCTAAAAAGGTCTGGGATCTTTTTTTCACTCAGCACTGATGTTTTCCTTCAACAATATATTAGTGCTAAAAGCTTGGAAAGAATAAACATCTATTATCACAGCTTGTCTTAATCTTGGCCTGGTATTGTTTAAATCACCTGCTGTTACATAACTTTAGTAATCAGCTCAGTATTTAAATGAAGTCAATGTCACAAGCAAAGTTCAAAATCTCGGGTTATGTTGATGCAGTGTCATAGTAACCCCCATGGGTGGTGTAGTATTATCAAATGTCTCCACCTTTTTTTACAGATGAGATTAATTGAAACTTAATCACTTGACAAATCCCAGAGGGAGGGTGTGATTACTGTTTTTGTTATTATCATGTTGCTGTTCACAATCATGGTGACAGCGTAACATTTTTTAACTGTGTATTGCATCACTCTGAAGAGATTTTTTTTTAACAGCAGTGGTTGTGTTTTTCCCAGCAGATGGCAGAGCTAGGCAGGACTGTAAGGGTGAGTGGTCTGCCTACAGACATTGAGGATAACATCTTGAGAGACAAGCTATTAATCTACTTCCTGCGAAGAAAGAACGGCGGAGGGGAAATAGAGTCTGTCACCATCATCAAGGCAACACCAGTCTGTGCCCTTATCACCTTTGAGGACAGTGGAGGTCAGCAAAGTTGGCATGATGTGTGCATACTTCTGATCATGATTCTCTTGCAGAAACACATTATTGAAATCATATTATTCCAGTAACTACTCAAGTGTAGCTGCAGATTCAACATAATTAAGTTGCAACAATTTGAAAATACTGAGAACCATTTTCCTAATGGTACCACTGATTAAACTTTGACTGACTCTTGGCTCGGAGCAGCTCAAGTGAAAGAGCTCAGTCACAGACAAAGATTAATTTCTTTTTGGTGACCCCTCTCAAACAGTGGCCCAAGGAGTTATTCAACATGGCCGGCACATTCTTGAGGTGAATGAGAAGAGGCATGAAGTCATTGTAACAGAACATCAGGAAAGCCTGGACCCAGAGAAGGTATATTTATCAAGAATGCTGGGAAAATATGCAAGAAATGAATGCTGAATATAGACTCTGATCAACTTGTTTTCTTCTGTCATTTTAGGTCATCCTGAGTTTATCAGCAACTGTTGACTGCAGCCAACTTCCTGGGGGGATGAGTGCACTGAAGAGCCTTCAGAAGAGCCACCCTGATATCCAGATAAACCGCCGTACTACTGAGGAGCTGTGCACATTACATGGGGCTTATTCCAAAGTCCAGGCTGCCTTGGCACAGTTACTCGGCCATCCTGGAGGCCTAAAGTCTGCAGAGAAAAAAGACTCAGATCAACCTGCAAACAGCGGCCCCTCCTTTGTGCATATACCCCACAAGCCTGATACCCATGAGTCGGACCAAAACAGTAAACCTAGGAAACAAAGATATCTAAGAGAGAAAGATCACAATGGCAGATTGACTGATGAGTACAGATCAAGCTCTTCCAGACCCCTGACCTCTGCTGGTTATGGTTGGGAAGATACCAGCCAATCAGAGGGAGCAGCGTCACAGAATCCCGAGCGTCATACAACGCCAGAGGAAGACTTCTCTCTGATTGTTGATGCAGACATGTTTCAATATCTGAAGAGACATTGCAGGAATGAATACCAGAAGATCCTCAGTCAGTATGGTGTGGACTTGGTAGATGTGACCAATCAGGGGTTGACTACTCTATTTTTGCACGTTTCCACAGGAGATGTGGAAGATGGCCCAGCTCAGGAGCAAATGAAGCTTGCAAAAATATCAATAAGTAGGCTTTATCAAGAGAATGAGTACAAGATACGCAGAGCCCAGATCCCTAAAACCTGCCTGTCCCTTAAGGGTGGGCTGCAAAGGGCAATGGAAAATTTAAGTGTCAGGCTTCCCAAGCTTCTTCTGAATGAAGATGAGCAAAATGTCTATGTTATCGGGAGCAGCAGTGACGTGTCTGAGGCCAAGCAGTTTCTTATCCTGGACCACGGAGAAGAAAAAGAAGATTTAGCAAGTGTTCCTAAATATCCTTTGTATGATTCAGGTACACCATCTCATGCTGACGTGCAGAGGTTCACCCTCACCTCTTCCTCTAGAGTAGATCCTGCGGAGGATCGGTTAGATCAGCTGCTGAGGTCAGAGGAGGATGAGAGGAGAGACGAAGGGTCCAAGAGGTATAAACTAGCAGCTCGATTTAAAGATTCAGGACTGGCTGCATTAGGTAATCGTCCGACCGACTTCAGTCTACGCGGGCTGTCATCTCCAAGAAAACAAGCAAACAATGGGCCAATGTTAGGGCATGATGTTTTGTCAGAAGCAGCAGATACTCTTGGTGGAGGAGTCCTCAGAGCAACAGCTCAAAACACAGGAGAAGACATCTTATTTAGAAGCTTGGATCCTCTGACCCCCCTTGTGTCTGTGAAGAACAAAACCTCCTTAAACTCACATTTAGCTGACACTCGACCCAAGAGTTTAACATCCCCACACGGCACCACTCAGTCCACTTTATCAGGAAGCTCTCTAGGTCCACCAGCTGGGTCTGGATCCAGTCTAAAGAGAGCAAGTAGTTTCTCTGGAACACCCCAGCAGAAAGCCCAAATTATAGGACGGAAAAGTCAAGAAGACCCCGGAAAGACCAGAACCAGGTCCTCTAGCTTCAGTAACCAAACAGGTGGGCACAAGCAAGAAGTCTACATTGCAGAGATAACAGTGTCCTCCATGATGTGGCAGCACATAAAAGCAGCCTACGGCACCCGCGTGGATGACCTGACCTCTGATGTTCAGATGAAAGAGAGCAGCTCCAAGGGGGGTACTGATCTGACCCTCACCTTGAGAGGGGCAACCTGGTCTATAGTGAGTTCATGTCAGCAAGGTTTGCAGAAGCTGGTTGATTCTGTTAGTGTGGACTTTAACCTGCTGGAGCTGAAGCTGTCAGAGCTGGGGACCAACAGCGCTGATGAGACCTTACAGGCTTGTTGTGCAGAGGTGCAAAGACAGTATAAGAAGGTAACTGTTCAGGTTTTCAGCACAAGTTTATTTGTCTTTGGTCCCAAAAAGTTGTGTTCTCTGGTAGTGGCTGCACTGCGGGAAGTATTTTCTCCAAATCCTGAACGACATGGCTGTAGTAGCCTTCCTGCCTTCAACCGGGATTCATCCATACTTGTACAAACCAATGAGCACCATGATGCCAGACTGCAGACTTTCAGTAATCCACAAACAATACATGAGAACCATGCAAGTCAAACTGATGGGACAGGATTTAGCCTTGAGAGAGGAACAAACCATAGAAGTGAGCCTCAAGAGACAGAGGGTGTGAATGGATCTACAAGTCAACCATTAGTGAAGAAAAACCCTGTGATTAAAGAAAAAGTGAAGGTTGTAGGCATGGCTGAGAAGAGTGGACAGAAGGCGCTAACGGAAATGAACAGCAGAGAGAGCCATGATGATGGTGCAGAGTCAAGAATGACAGCAAGTACGGATAAAGATGTGGTAAACCTTCAGAGAGAGAAAACACCCAACTCCAGTCTAAAGGACAACATACAGCAGAGCCAGAAAGACACACTTGAGGAGTCTGCTGCGGGAGGCCTGGGGTGCATATGTGTGTGTGGGGAGAGTGATGAGTCGATGACAAAAACCAAGTGTGGCGCTACCTTCTGCTCTAAGTGCTTGAAAACAGTGCATACCCAGTGTAAAGTTTGCTGTGAGACAGAGCCAACGCCACAAGGCATCCGTGGAAAAATGAAGTTCTCTAAAATAAACATCAAAATCCCGGGTCATAAGAAAGACTCTGCTATCAAGGTCACTTACACCATTCCTGATGGGATCCAAGGGGTAAGAGACAGACTCTAAATGTATTCCCTCTGATATTTCTGATAGAGGCCTTTCATATAATAGCCTGTTAAGTTTTTATTTTGTTCTTGAAAAATGAACAGTTCATTGAGGTTAAACTGTAGTTACACATTTGATCGGGTTGGAAGTTTTAGAGCAAGCACGCTTGGTGTCAAATATTTATGGTAACGTCAAGATCTCATGGGAAGTTATTTTAAAGTACTTGAACTAGATGTAGGACATTATAGTTTTCTTCAGCCTGAAAGACTCAACAACTTTGCTCTATACTTTCTCATCAGAGTGGACACCCTTCTCCAGGAAAAGCATTCAGTGGAGGGAGGTTTGAATCTTTCTTTCCTGACTGCGAGGAGACCAGAAGGCTTCTGCCCAGACTGGAAAAAGCTTTCAAGAAGGGACTTACCTTCTCAGTAGTAGAGACGGAACAAGGGGCCAAAGTCACTTGGGACTGCATCCCACATAAGACCACCACACTTGGGGGCAAATCGGGGTGAGTTTGGCTAGTGAATTTAACAGTTCTTTGTCTCCAGTTTCTGCAAAACATACTTTTCAGAGGACTTAAATCTTTTTATCATTTTAAAGCACTTGAACATGCCTCTCATGAACCATGAGTGTTCAAAATCTAAAAGAGCCTCATTATTAAAAGCTTGACTCGTCCTTTTAAGATGAACAGTCGTATTTCTGTCTGTTTTCAGGTGCGGTTACCCAGATTCCACTTACTTGAGTCGTCTTTCGGAGGTCTTGACCAACCAGGGAATTGAAGATCCAACCGTCAAGTCTTCAGAATAAAATTAATAACTCTTTGAAGCAGTTATACAGTTAATTTTTTTAATCAAAATCATGTGATACCACCAGTATTTTCGTGTGGCTGATGTACTCATTTATAGATATTGGTTTTGTAGCCTTTATTTCAGCTACTTTGATTTTTTTTTAATTTGTTAAGTCGACATACTGTTCTGCAAACAGTACTGTATCATTAATTGTACAGCTAAACTTTTTCTACTGCCTTCCATCCTTCTGTTGGACCTAGATTCAGAAAAAATAGGAATTAGGTGAAGTTGGAAGTTGCTTGGAAATAAATGAGAACTTTTAGTCTGTGTTTTTGTTTCTTTTCTGCAGACTGGGTAAAAAAAGAAAAAGATCACATCTTCAGACATTTTGTTATGCTTTTTTATTAGTCCTGGAAAACATGTAAGGCATATGGTAACATTACACACTGAAGCGTTACAAGCTCTAGAAGCCATGTGGACAACATGGCACCACGCAGTAAACCCAGAGTCAAGCACAGAAGCAGCATCAATTCAAAGGGTTTAAAAAACAAAGTTGAGATGAGAAGAGTGTTTGCAACCAGGAAAAAAAAACAAGGAGAGGAGAACTAGCTTGGAAATCAACCTGTTTGGGTATGCCTTGTAGAAAATTTCTAGCTGGAGGTTTGTGAAGGGACGGACGTGAAGTGAGTTTCTGAAGCATTCCCAGAGATAGGTTAAGGTGTGTCATGACAGTGCCCACGCAGAAAGTGAGAAGAGGAAATCAGGTGGCACAGAGGGGCAGTGGATTGGCTTCAGTTGGCAACTGTTAACGGCTCGAAGGGCTTTCTCCTCGCTCACACCACTCTACATGACGACTTAACTATCATGGAAAGAGACCGCAGGCTTTACAGAAACATATGCTATAATTTCAGGCTGACTAAACATGCATCCAACTACTACACATGACAAGCCCAGCCAGGTTGTAGTTATATAGCATCTCCATAATGTTGCTTCAATGCGATACAGTAAAGAGTGAAAAAAACAAGAAGAATAGCTGCGAGAAGATGTGGTTGTTTGGGTTCTCAGTGTGGATGAGTGAACACAGTGGATCTGAATTGAAAAATTATCCACTGACTCAGAATGCTAAAGCTTGCATCAGACGTGGAAGGTGAGCAGGAAAATCGGTGGGACAGCTTGTGCAGTGAGACAAAATGATGTGTGGTTTCTTACATGAAGAAAATGCTGTTTGGAATGACCTGAGAAACCATAAAAACAAAGAAATTCACCTCAAAGCTGAACAGTGGGTGTCTGTGAGGGACATCAGCTGTACAAGACAAGACAGACAGAAGAGGAGTTATAGGAAATACTACACTCATCGTCTTAGTGCATTCTTCTTACCTAAATCTACACGTGTTTATATCACATCTAGAACTGAAAGAGTTCAGATTTTTGTGTTTGTTGTTACTCTGAAACTCTGTTTTTCTCCTTTGCATCTCTTTGAGTTGCTAGGTACTCTTGCATAAGTGTCTGGAATGACTTGGAAAGCGTTTACAGATGACATCCACTGCAGCTTCACTGTAATAGAAGTGCTCTGAGGCAGCAAGCCATCCGCCCAACTGATTGAGTTCATCTCGAAGGCATCTTATAACTCCAAAGAACCGAGGGAAATGTTGTGAGAAAGAGAGAGATCACAATCTGTTTTCCACATGTGGATGAATGCATGCAATTTCAAATTCCAGATGTCATAGTAATGTTTGATTTGAATGAATGTGTATGGAGCAGGGAAGGGGGAAATGGAAAAGAGTTTTGGCCGGCTGCTGCTTGACTGCGACTGCTGAACCAGCCAAGAGGCTCTGCGGATGCAGCACAGGAAAAGAGGAACGTCTCGAATAATCCTTGAGTGAACTGAGATCAGCTGTAAACCGGAAATGTTGTGTCTGGGGGAGGCCAGGGCTGAGCTACGATCAGCCAATAAGCTGGGGGTTTATGCAGCTGTGTTACAACACTGGCATCCCTGCACAGCTGTCTGTGCAGACATCTGCTCCCTCACTTTATTGACAAGCAAGGAGGAGAAACCCATAGAGAGAAAAACCATGGACTTGAGGATTTTTTGCTAATTTGTACAAACCTTTGTAATTTTTGGCGGAGTTTTGCACCATGTTCCTTTTCTCCCCATGATACTAAAACTATGATTGTAAACACTTTTAAGGAATCAGCCTGTTGGTGTTGGCATGATGTGAGAGCTGGTTAAGCACAGTGAAAAGGACTCAAATATGAAGTGTGGTGCCTCAGATCGAGGTTAGCTGCGTGCAAGGAGAGAGAGGCACAGTACAGGCCCACGATTTAGCAAGACTGCGACCAATCCAAAACGGCACATTTTTTTGTAAACTGCAGCAAAAAGTCTGTCAGCACCCATGAGTGTTTGGGATACAAATCTGACACACTGTGACAACTCTTTTGTGTTTTCATTTTTCCTCAAGGCTGATGGAAATGCATCCAAAAACAGAACTTTCTTCATATCTTTTATGCACTGTTAATATTCAAAGCATTGACAGAGGAATATACAATTTGGCACACATGGTTTGGACCAACAGAAGTCACATTTCAAAGGGGTGCAGGTTGGCAGGTCCCCACATAAAGAGCATGAGCTTTGAACTTTAAACCCTTGGATAACGAAACAAACAAATAAACAAACAAACAGGAAAAAAAGGTAAAATTAAAATAACATATTAAGTAAAACATCCTTTTTTATTTTTTTTACTGAAGCGTTTGTTTCTCACATGGCACTCGGAAACAGAAGCACCGTCCACAGGTTCACAAAGGGAGCCCAGCAGATTAGAACAGAACACTAACCAGAGGCTGACAGGACACAGTCACTCCCCACACCAGCGTGGCATTCGCACTCCAGCCCGGTCCACTCTGCCCCGCTCCATGTTTTACCTCAAACTGTCAAGGATGGATGAATGCTTTGATTTTAGCTGCCACCCAGGAGAAGTTGGCCTAGCAGGGACATCAGTATATGTGTGTGTTTTCTGTGTGTATGTGTGCCACCTGTGCTTTCAGAGAGCTTCAGCAGATACACTGGGAGTGCATGATGGGAAACAGGGTTGCAAACCTGGAGCAGAATCAAAGCCTGCGTGGGACTGGAGTGCGACTGCCATGCTCTTAAGTGCATTAAGATCAGCGAGCAGAGTGCAAAATACTAATACCAACTGTCCTCATAACACAGGCCTCTTTATCAGACAGGAGGGGAGGGAGGGAGGGATGGAGGAGGAAGGGATGGAGAGAAGGAGGGTGGGGTTGGAGCCACATAATACTGTAGCAGGGTAGTGTGTGAAGGGGGCTGGATTGGGTGCTTTTTAAAACCTGACAGACGACCTGAGGACACACACATCTTCACACACAATGGCACACCACACACAGCACATGAGGGAGGCCACTCATGCTAACACAACAACTTTTTATCTTTTTTTCCCAAACATTTTCTTTTTGTTTTTTACAAAGTCACTAGTCACCATCTGAGTCTGAACGCTGAGGCCGGGCTCACAGACAGGCAGGTAGGCAGTGGGGTGGGCTAGGGTGTGAGTGAGTGGGTAAGTTGGTGAGTGAGTGTGTGAGGGGTAGGGGGAGCAGGTAGATAAATGTCAGGTTTAATGCGGGGTTTAGAGTTGATATCCTCCTACTTGAAAGATTTAGAGTCCACCCAGGGGGATTTGTGATGAAATACTGGGGATTATACTGAAATGAATTTACACCAGTGAGACTGAATCCACACTGGCCATTAGGGGGAGCGGTGTGCTGCTTTATCCTGCACACACACACACACTTCGTCAATACTGGGTTTCAGTTTTAGACTGGTTTGTGCAAACAGTGATACAAACACCCCCTTTCTCATTTTGCACCTGTTGAAACACTGGATCTACAACAATGTGCACTGGCAAATTGAACTCGAAGGCAGAATAGAGACACGCCGATAGCGAGAGAGTTGGAGAAGAAGGCCACAGCCTCCTCTGACGAGCCTGACGCCTGTTGCTATGCCGACTATAGAGAGGGAAATGGAAAGAGGAGGGCGAGAGAAAAGCAGGGGAGGCGAAGAAGTGTGGACGCCTGCTTGAATTGAATCCTCCTCTCTCAGGTCAGGGTGATGGACAGGCCGGCGGTCACTTTGAAAGGAGCAGAATGCCGAGGAATGCCTCAAGGAAGAATTAGGGAGAGGAAGAGAGAGGGGGAGGGAAAACCAGACCGGTATTCACCTTCTCAACTCGCTCATTTCAGACACTTCACTGTCTCAGCGTGACAGTGCCCCTTTCATCACATTCACAGTGTGTATGTTTGTGTGTGCATGTGTGTGTGTGTATGTGTGGCTTGTTTGAACAGAAACAAATTCTCTCTTAATTGGCACCGCACACTTCTTGCCAACAGTTGGTCAGCTAGAAAAATCTGTAACTAAGGAGAAGGAAGCTGAGCAATGATTTCTGCCTCCCTATTCAGCACTGCACAGAAAGGCTCATTATGAGGGAAATTCATATTCAGGCGAGTGCAAAAACTGCAGCCAGTGTGCTCAAATCGGATGGGAATGCATGCACTATGAAGCCGATTCCCAGGGAGTGGTACAAACCGATGTAATATCGATGCCGAACAAAGTTGGAGCAGTAATACTTGAACTGAGCAAACGTCATGGTCACAAGTGTGATGTAAATATCTCCAGGGGAGGCGGGAGGCTTCAGCCAATCACAAGCTTCTCTGACTCATCCTTCAGTGACATAACTAAGCGCTGGACACTAAGAGAGCAACGTGTGTGGGTGGGTGTGGTTCTCAGTGTATCTGCTGCTCTTTGTGCCTGTCTGTGGGTCTGGCCCAGGGATGGTGGTGGTGTTGGTGGTGGTGGTGTGGGTGGGGGTGTGGGTGGGTGGTGTGGTGGGTGGACTCAGCACAGTGATGAGGAGGGAGGAAGAGAAGGTGGCAGGTGGAAGTCAGAGCAGAACAATTTAGTGCTGTGGGAGTTGAGGTGCGTGAGGGATGAGGGCGGGGCAAGAGTGAAAGCGGGGATTGTGGTTGTCAAGGAAACAGTAATTTGTCCCACGTCTTGCTCACACCCACAATCCTCTACAATTGGCAAAAGGTAAAAAGTGATCAAATTTTGCATTTGTTTTCATCTAGTGATGCAAATAGATGAGTTGGAGCTAGGAGGCGTCACACGCCATCAAAAAAATCATTTTTTTTTAGCTGAAGGCAAGAAATTGGGGGGTGGAGGGGGAGTGGGCGGAGCTAGGCTGGAGTAATCACTGTCAGAGAGGACTCATGAGGATGAGGTGATGTGGAGGGGGAACAGATGAAAAACTGACAGCGGTGTAATAACATTGTAATCTACCTTTCTAACTCCCATCCCTGCCTAACCTCCATCCCCACTCTCCTATCCCATCCACCCCCCACCCCCCCTACACACCCCACCCTTTGCTCCCAGAGAACAAACTCCCTGCTGGTCTACTCGACTATCCCTCTCCCCCTCACTTCTCCTCTTTCTTGGCCTCTTCTTTCTTCTCCTCCTCTTTCTTCTCCTCCTTCTTGGGCTCCTCCTTCTTCTTGTCGTCCTTCTTCTCCTCCTTCTTGCCATCGTCCTTCTTCTTGTCATCCTTCTTCTTGTCATCCTTCTTCTTGTCCTCTTTCTTATCCTCCTTCTTGGGTTCCTCCTTCTTCTCCTCCTCTGGCATGGGCTCCGTGGTGAGGATCACTTTGCCGATGTTGTTCCTCTCCTGCATCTTTCTCATGGCATCACCCACCTTCAGAAGGAGAAGAAAATAGAGAAAGAGTTACACAAGGCTCGATGACTGAGTGATCGGTGAAAGGAGGCTGACGGAGATTTTTTTTAAAAAATGTCATTGAGTAAAAAGCCATCGAGTTTCTCCTCCACACATGTTTGCAGATGCACAACATTACTCACATCCTGTGCCTTTAATCTTCTATTTTGATATCACAGACGAGGAGCACATTTTACACGGTCTGGAAATATCATTTTAATATGCAGTTTATGAGAAACTACGTCTGTTTAGATGAGACTTTAATAATGTTGGAGGGGAAATGAAATTGTTGCAGCAAGCTACAAGCCAAAAGTAAAAGAGGAGAGGATGACAAATACAATAAAAGAGAGAAATAATGCACTGCAAACAGATGCTTTCACTCCCAGAGTCATCAGGTGGCAGAAAACCAAATGTTGTGAAACCCTAGAGTTAAATCATGGCTCTAATGAGATGATCTGTCTCTTTTTAATCTTTACTTTTTTACAAAATTATGTTGTGATGAGTTAATTTCAGAAAAGTGATAGAAAACAAACAGTGCACTGAGTCATTTTTGTTGTATTTAGCCATTCTCTCAGATGGAAGAGTCCGCTCCAGATGAGCCAATCAATAATCCGCTGCAGATCCCATTATTGATAAAATCATATTTTTCCCAATCTGCCCTAAAGCAACATTCACGCCCCCACACGTGCTGTAAGAATGCCTGATTAAGTACTGTTCATACTGACGGATAGAGATCCTCTTTAATGCGATCCAATCTGAGTGTTAAACCACAAACTCAAGAGGGTTTATTTAGCTTAAAATTTCATCATCCACATCAGCTTGGTTTAGTCTAGGCTTAAGTGATCTGTGTAACAATTATCCAGAGGTAAGTTTCTGAATAAAAATATCAAAATGATTTCTTTACTGCAAATTGGCAAGGCAACTAAAATTGTGTTTAATTTTCTGTCTAAGCTCAGAGGATCTGGGAACTGGGTTTTAGTTCTCAGCACATCTACCGCCTGAAGAAGAATAAATGTACATCTAGTCTTTCCACATATTTTTCACATTCCAGTGAGAAGTATCAGCTTGTTTAAAACACATTAAATCTAATGCTGGTGTCTCTTTATGACCTACAAACGCAAACAAGACCATTAGCAGCAAGATTGATTATTTCCATACAGACATTTTTAATGCCTGAAAATGCTGCCATGGGTTTAGGAGTCAGATGAAGTGATCAACTGTTGTTGACTCAAAGAAAAATGGCTCCTGCATTTGAATGTTGGATCAGGTTTATCATGTGTTTAGGACAAAATCAGGGAAGAATTAAGAGGTACCAGAGTCGTCATAGAAAGACAGTGACCAAAAACTCTTGCAATGAATATAAATATAATGTTGTTCAAAGATAGACTGTAAAAAATGGAAACCTAACCTTTAAAGCACTCAGCTGCTAACTGGTTAAACTGGCAGGGATGCTGGAAGATGTTTGTTACAGAGGATCACTTCAACAAAGGAAGGATAAGTCTTCACTTAAATGTGACTCCACTGATCAAACATTTCATTCTTCAGGACAGAGATATTTGTTTTCCAGAGAAAGATGCACTGATTTGTTCTCACAGACTCTCACCATTGTCACGAAGACAAGAGGAGACTCCTAGCCCAGCCACACCAACCCCACCCTCCTCTTGACCGCTGCTCTCCGTCCACTGTCTGCTCCTGCCCCCCCCCCCCCCCCCCTCCTCCGTCCTCCCTCTGCGTGCGAGGCAGGCAGACCACCTAGCGACCAATGCCACGGCAACAGGGCCATCTCCTAGCAACGTAAAGCCTGGCTGAAACGTGGCCCTGACAACTCCGACACGCGGGAGGAGGGAGGAAGGAGGGAGGGGGGGTTTGAAGTGGAGGCGGGAGGAGGGTAAATGGGAAGCAACTGGTAGAACACAGCTTACCAAAAAAACCAACATGGAGGAGGGAGTTTGAGAATTATTAGAATTATATCTGATGTGAATGAAAGTCCAAAAGGGAGAGTGATGGGTCCACCCACTACTACCCATCACTCTCTCTACCTCTCTGCCTCCCGGGCATCTCAGACTGGAGTGTGTGCTATTTGTGGCCACAGACAGGACCGTGATCATCTTGGGTATCAGCTGAGATGTAGATAATGATACACGGGAAAACCACAGGATGACAGGATAATGCTTATTTCCTTATGCCAATATCATCCAATCATGTGTATTGATTATGGAAACAAAACATGGACGAATAATGCTGTGAAGAATGAAGTCTGGGCGTGGCCTTTCAATTCCTATAATCCATCATTTATGCAGATAATCCCTGAAAATCATTCTTCTTCTTTGTGTTCGAAGATAAACACTCGAAACTTAACACACCCTGAGCTTTACCTTCCTCTGTTTTTCTGCGCTCTATCCATGTCTCTTTTTTCATACATCAGGGCCCCTCCCTGAGACAGACGCACACACCGACTAAAGGATGTCACCATAGCAACAAGAGAGAAAAAGCAAAAAAGATACACTGTGCTGAGGGAGAAGGAGGGAATAAAGGCAAGATGGAGAAAGACAGGGATAGAGTCAATAACCTAAAGACATAGAAAGAGAGAGATAGAAAGAGCAGACAGATGGAGAGGCAGAGAAAGAGCGTCAGATGGCGGCGAAAGACAGCGGGTGTTTCTCTCAGGCCAAAAAAAAAAAAAAAAAAAACAGTGACCAGCTCTGACTTTGACAACAGAAGATGTCAGCCTCAGACTCCCTCCTTCTCTCTGTGTTTCTCACACTCTCCCTATTCAGATCTGTTTGCAGTGTTCATTTTGTCAGAAACAAGCTGACTGTGTCTGGCTGAGTGACTGATGCTGGATGACACACAGAGCTTCTTGTGGACAAACTTCACTCGATGGACGTCGAACCACACCCAGCTCCTACAGACCTGCTGCAAAGCTCACACATGCACACACAAACCCACCTTACATTCACATGGATCTAGGTGACTGGGCTGAGAACTCAGGGCGTAGAAATAAATGCGCAAATGTCACAATGAAACACTCTGAAGAGCATAAAAGGCTTTATATTACACTAACACATATTAATGGATCTCGATTTTAAATTCAGAACCAGGTTAGTAGAAACATGTATCTGAAGAAGTAATGAAAAAAACTGTGGTTCAAATATGAGCTCATTTATGCTGCTGAGTAGTAGTTAAGTCTGGTTGTATTTACTGGATTTCAGTGTGCTAGCAGCTTATTGGATGGAAATGACTATTTTGAGTTTTAAATCAAAGAGACAAAGAGTTAGGGCCATCACATGAAAGCTAACATATCACTTCTCTTTTAGTGGCTGTAGTGGATAGCTTTGCTGTGCTCCATGGATGCAGTTTCCTCATCAATTAAACCTGATATTATAGGTGCCTTAGAGGGCATAATCTCTCATATGAGGAACAGTAAACCTAGAGTGACCATAATCCGAATTCTCAAAAACAGGACACAGCAAAATTTGAGTGTTTTTTATGCACTTCTAACTCAGTCAAATGCATATTCTGAATTACCAAAGACAGTGCATTTGTATGTTGCGTCAGTGGCTTTGTGTAGAGTTGAGCAGAGGGGCAGAGCAGCAGAGAGCACTGATGCGCTGCACTGTTTTATACTGAATGAATACAGGTTCCAGGTTTTTTGGAAAAAAAAAAGACTTTTTATCTCATCTTTATTTTTTTTCACTGGCGGAAATGGGCTTCCATACAAAACCATGAACAGGCCGGACAGCCCCCCCCAAAAGAGGACATGCCTGGGTAAAAGAGGATGTATGATCACCCTAGTAAACCTCCTCTGAAGGTAACAGTCATTGCCTTCATTGCCAGACCCAGTCTACAATCTACTCACAACCTGCAAACAAAAACATGAAAAGCCTCAGTGGGACACAAACCTGCTCCAGATGCCAGGTGGAGTCAATGCGGGGCTTGACTTTTCCCTCCTTGTACAGATCCAGGATGATGTTCATGGCCTGGCTGATGAGCTCTGTCTCTCCATCCAGGTAGCCCAGGTGGAAGCCGCACACTGACTTGTTCCCCTGAATCAGGCTGAGGGTGTGGATGGAGAACTGATGGTACCAGTTCTTGGCCACAGCCAGCAGGTTCTTCTTCTGGCCAGCAAGCATGTTAGCTGCACCTGAAATAGGTGGTTCATGGTGTTTCATTTTCTCACGATTTAGACTTTTATCTTCAAGTTTTCTCTCCTCTTAAATCATGAACGTTATTAAAAAGAGCATTTATAGATTTGCAACTTTCTTGGTATCTATCTTGACTTTTGAAGGTTGGTTTGTAAAAAAAATCATTTAGAAGCTTCATTTTGGGCTTGGGTCATATTTCAGGATTTGTTTTCATCCCATTTTGAGATTTTGTGAATAAAAGAAACAGCCTGATTACTTTTAGTACATTGTCAAATTAGCAAGAGCATTGTCAGGTGTTTGGAGTCTGTAGTTACTGTTTACATCATCCTCCCCTTTCTCTTTTTATAAAGATGTCACACTTTAACCTACACCTTTCACTCTGGAAACCTTTTTCTCACTTCCCACTGTCACTATCATCCTCTTCCACTCCCATCTTTTTGTTTTCACACATCCTGCTGCTCTCCCTGTCTCTGTGTGTGTCTCGGGGGAACCAGGGGACACAAAGCTCGCTGTGAGAGAAGAGAGGGACCCGGCCTGCTACATTCAGACACATTCCAGGTTTCGTGTGGATAAAACACCCATTGTTCAGCCGTGCATACTTCTGATAAACTGGAAGAGGAGCAGGCAGCGCAGAGGGACCGGGAGGGTTGGGCGAGGTTGGTGTTGGTGGAGGCGGTGGGGATTTTGAAGGGTTGAGAGAGGGTGAATGGGCAAGGGTAGGGGGCATCATGCTGGGTAGTGGGTTTTTTTGTGTAGCATGCAAAGGCAAGGCCCTGTTCTTCATGGATGCCGGTCCCACCCACTGTTGCATGCATGCTGGTACAAGATTGGCATCACAGCAGAGTGAGCCTGAAGGCCTTCCCACGGGTGACACGCTGAACACTGAGGACATGGACCTCGGCTGCGAGGTCACACAGCCCACCAGAAAGCAGCCTCAGCCTGTGGCATGATGGGAACTATCCATATTTATATATAATTCAAAATTCTCCATAATTCTAGGCAATGCCAAAAGACTGAAGATGTACATGTTTTTGTATAGATGGTATTCCTATGAGTTTCCCCACCTTCTGTCAGACTATCATTGCAGCCACAGCGTGTTCATGCTCTCCTGCCTTTTACTTGTCTGATTTTAAGACTCTAACTTGTTTTTGCCTCAGCTGCTTTTACTATCACTGCGTGCAAACCTTAAAAAACGTTTTTTCTTATTTGCAGTCTTTGTCCTGGGCCTTCCTCTGCATCTAAGTCCCAGTTTTGTTTTGGATTGTTGCAGCTATCTCCAAAAAACAGGAGATACTAAAAGTTACTATAAAAATGCCACCTATAGGGTTAGGATAAAATAGAGCTCATGCATGTGCAGGCGTATCTTTTCTCTGTACAACCCAAGTCTCTTCGGATTAAGATATTTACCCATCTCTCTTTATATTTATGACTTACCATAGGTGATGAGTTTGCCCATAGGCTTCAGCAGGTTGTAGGCCTTATGGGTGTCTGATCCCCCCAGAGGGTCCAGGATAATGTCCATCCCTGAATCAGGAGAGAGAAGAAAGGGGGCAGTTATCACAGGTCTGGATTTAGTTAGAGCAGCCTGCCAAGTCTCCTCAGCAGCCCCCTCCACATGCCAGAGTTCACTAGGAGTAGCAAGTGTAGCCAAGTTGTGCCATGTTTACACGAGCAAGAGCCCGCTCATATGCCAAGAGAGGAGAGGAGGAGAGAGAGGTGAGAGCCTTCTTGTTTTTTGTTTTCTCATTCTTGTCACTGATAAGAAAGGAGGGATAAAATGTCTCTGTCATTGTTCATTCCTTTCCTGGGTGGAGGGAGAAACAAACCGACCTTGGGACGAATTGCGGTGCATTGCGACCTAACTATGAAGCTTTCTCTGTGTGCTTATTAATGTCTGGCCATGCAAGCTCAGACTTAATGATGTTCCTTTGTGCCAGAGGGGACTCCTCAAATTGGGCTACCCCTCCTTGCTCTGCTAAACTCTGCCTCTATTGATTGCAGGAGGCTCACAGCAGGATTCTGCCATGACCGCAGCACAGATGAATTGACAGAGAGCCAAAGAAGGGGAAGGTAGCGGGCAGGGTTTCACATTGATCCAGGCCTCTAATTAGATACATTCTGTCCAAAGTGTCAGCTCCGGCTCTCGTCCTATCCGTCTCTGAAATGTCTGTCTGTCTCGCTCCATGTCACTGAGAACAGCTACAAGAGGGAGAGGGGACTACAAAATGAGTCTGCCTCACGAAACTGTCTCCATCCTGCTGGAGACACAGCAGACGGCATAAGAAAAAAGAATCAGGAACAAGAGTTTGTTTAATTTTGCTTAAAAGCCTGAAACAGTCACTGCTTGGCCTGATGGGAAAAATGACTCTCCACATACTGTCAGTCAGTCTGACAAACATGGCAGCCAACTCTGCTGAGAACTGTGTCATCAGAGAAGAAAACAAGCGTATGAAACGTCTTCTCACTTTATTAATCACTGATCAACAAATACTGCAGTCATCCAGAAGACTGTTTATCGTGTTTACAATTTCTGCTAGAGTCAGAGTCAGGATTACAGCTCCAAAAAACATGTAAGCTGTCATCCTATTGAGGGGTGTGGGATTTAGGTATAGTTAATGTTAGCATTCAACCACATCCATCTAACTTTACTATTTGACATTATCACAGGCTTTGAATACATCAATCCTGATTGGCAACACAAATGTCAAACTTTGTTAGAGGCGGTGCTTTTGGAAAAATCTATAAAGTCCATCTGTAGTCTATCAGAGTAATCCCAACAGTGTTGTAGCAGCACTTTTAGTTGTTTACTTTTTTTTTTGCATTTAAGTTTTTTTTCATCGTTTAAAATGTGGAAACACTGTCAGATCAACTCTATATCTGTTGGTAAATGTTTAAAATGAGGAAATGTGGCCAAAAATGTTCTTGATTTTACAAGAAATTGAATCGAAACCAATTATCAAATGTCTTTATTCGTACAACAGCAGGCCTAAATACAGCAGCACGACATGGAGACTAGGGGTGGGAGAAAAAATCCATACAGCATAGTATATCGTGGTATATCGTATTGTCTCGTTTACCAAGTATCGATTTTTCAGATTAATTGTTAATATAAAGTCAAATCTATGGTAATGGAAAAAGAAAATCAACTGTTTGTCCAGTGAGGTTGGCAAAGGTGACATCATAGAGCAGAAAAAAGTTTTTGCAACAAATATATATAAGGTTTTTAAGATGTGCTACATGAAAATAAAATATTGTGTAAATAAGACAAATATAAAGGAAAGACAAATGCTAAATTAGCTAAACAGTTGAACATTTTTCATAAATCACAATATATTGTATTGCAATACTCACGGTATTGCAAAATGTTTAAAATCGCAATAATATTGTGTAGTGGCCCAAGTATGGTGATAATATTGTATTGTAGGGCCACTGTTGATTCCCACCCCTAATGGAGACAGCACTGGAGACGCTTTTCTCAAAGGGAAATAGTTGCAGGTTGAATGCGGTGAGCTCTATAATGAACAACGATGGACAGTTGAAGTGTGAACTCTAGTTATCCTGCTCTTTTTCAGGTGCAGATGGGCGACTCTCTCACCTTTGGGACTGATCTTGCGGACTTCCTCCACATAGTCCTTGGTACGATAGTCAATTGGATGCGTGACCCCACCCTGGCTGATGGTCTCGTGCTTGCTGGCCGATGCTGTGCCAAACACAGTTACGTCCTTCACTGTCTTGCAAAGCTGAGTGGCTGCAATGCCAACCCCACCTGCAGGAAAGCAACACAAGTTATTATTGTTATGATAGACGGCTTTTTGAGTGTGTCTCTACAACAGAAATTCAGGCAACATGGTGAAACTTGGCTGAACAAAACAGTCACTGGAGATATAGAAAATTTGACCATTCCACCACAGGTATTTTCAGAGGCAGGTAAATGTGATTTGCATTATTTATTATCCCAAACAAGCTGGTAAATAACATCTGTTTGGCTCCAGGGTACGTGAAGAGCGAATTAAACACAATCACATTACCTAGATTGGCCTTGGGAGAATAGATGCCCACACATGAATCCACAGACACACAAATCCAATTTCGGAGAAAGTGGACACTGCAGCTCAAATGACAAACCTAATTTTTTGGATCCCTTATTAAAAAAATCAGCCCAAATTCCTGAGGACAAAAATGTAGCTGAGGGATCTGTTTTGTTGGAAAAGGAGACACTCTGTTGTCAGTGACATAAACACGACTCCTTATGACGGCGCCAGCTGAAAACAAAATTCGCTACATAGTCCAAAAAAACAAGGTACTGTGAGGCCGTGTGCTTCCGTGGATGTTTCACATATCTGTGTTTGTGTTCAGTGTATTTGAAAGTGTGTACATAGTTGTGGCAAATGCCTCAGCCAATGTTTGTGCAGGCAGCTGGAGCAAGAAGTAATAGGTTACTGATAAGCTGAGGTTTGTTTGAAATGGAGGCTGACTGGAGGACTTGAAGTGAAAGGTTTCCATAAAGGTCATCTGAGTCTGACCAAATAAAGAGCAAGTCTGATCTGATACTAGAGGACAAAGAAACACCTGCGTTTACATCACTACTACATACTGCAGCGACTGTACAGGATGTATGATAAAGATGTATGAATTCAACTTTATACCTAACCACAAAGAGAATAAAGAAGAAAGGAAGGTGCAACAAGCACTGTGGACTCCAGGAGCAAGAATCACATTTAAACTCTGGAAATGTCTGAGTAAATCATGTCAGATCAGTAAAATATTTACCACATTCTTTTAAAAAGACAAAGACCATACACAAAAATCCAACATACCCAAACATCCCCTCATAAATCTCCTAAATATCTGCTTTTAAGGGAGGCTGATTTGTTGAGCTGCATTTGTCAAAGGTGGATCCAGATGTTTGTCTTCAACTGTTTTGTGTTTATTCTATAGTCATAGTAATTTTCTGGACACAGATGACAGGACCAGTCCAGTTTTTTCAATAAATTCACCTCTTCATTGCCTTATCTTCTGCATGAACACACCTTCATGTCTTCTGGTCCTTTTATTTCAGCATGGGTTTTTTCTTCCTGCGTCACTGATCCATAAAAAAACTACAATTTCCCCTGTAACTCCCAGGAGGCTCATCTCTGGTCCAGAACTATCACAAAATACATCTTCTGATACTGATAAAAAAGTACCAAATAGACTTTGGTTTAATATCTGAACAGGAATTGCTCAGCATGTGAAAAAAGAAAGGAGATTTTATGACTTTTTCTGCCTAATTATGATTCTGTCTTTCTCAGCTAACTCATGTCTATGTGAGATGAAGAAACCGCTCTGCATTACAACAATCCCTCCTGCCAGCTCCGAGGGGAGAGCTGATGAGGAAAACAACAAAATCAAGGCTGCATGTTGCTGCTGGATGTGAGCATTGTTGCGGATGCGTTATAACAGCTCCATCTCTCCTTGTCCTCAGTGAGAAACCAAGTTTGTGTTGCCAAGGAAACCTAGGCCAAATTGCCGGCAATGACTGAGCAAAGGGAGCCATTTTGTTTCATTGACTGCTCTTCCTTTGGGCATAAAAAGATTCACACTGAGGACAGTTTCATGCTGTCACTGCTTTAAGTTTGTCAGACTGGGTCAGAGCTTCCTCTCAGTGAGGATGTGTCCGTTTTTTTATTTGTCGGGGTTGATTTAGGTGAATTGTAACTGCAGAGCTGCATCTTTTCTCTTCTGCACCGGTACTCTTGTCCATCTATGGAGCATCTGGTTGAGTTGAAGATAAAATAAAGGTGAGTAAATATTGGATATGCATTGTCTGAGTGGAGGTTAAAAGCTGCTTTCACTGAAAGGCTCTGCCTCGTAGTAGCAACCCTCACACACAGGTGTGAAAAAGTGTTTAAGAGGATGATGCATCCATTAACCCCATGTGCTTACAGCCAGACGCTCACACATTAATATTTAACTCATGCTGCTGTCATAAAAACACAGACTCCTCTCCTGCTTCTCTTGAGGAAAAAGAAAACCTTACTAAAAAAATGACAGAGTCCCACTATGATCGTTATTTATTTATTTATTTATTTATTTTTTAACTTCTTAAAGTGATATCAGTGGTCTTTGAATGACAGAGTCCCACTATGATCGTTACTTTATTTTATTTTTTTTAACTTCTTAAATTGATATCAGTGGTTTTTGAATTGTGATCATGCAGTTTTTAGTCAAAATCGTGTTACATGTGTTTTTTAAGGACTTTTCTTCTGCAGAGCTCCAGTCGCTCATTAGCAATTTGCTTCTGAGTCGTGGACGGAGACAGCGCTGCTCTGCACTCTCCTCTTCACGCTAGTTTGAAGCCTAACATTGCCGGTGTAGTAGAAGTGGGAGGTAACATAGGAGCTATTCAGCTCTCAGACACTAATGTCTTTAGGGCCATGATGGAAGCCAATATTATTATTAGCTTTCTTAGGAGCATTGCAGTCTGCTAACGCATACTCTGTTTCTCCAAGTCTGGCCTGGGGGCGGAGCTTGGAATTGTGACATAGGAAATCTTTCTATATTCACACTTATTTGTCTCATGATATGTCCTGTAGCATCAGAAAAGTGCCATATGAACATGTAGACAACAAGAAAAATATTTCATCAGAGTGGGTATTTAAAATCTTGAATAATTAATCTTTTTTTGTGTAAGATCGTTAAAATCTACTTTAAAACTGGACTTTCAGTTTGTGTGTGTGCGTACAAATATCTTTCCTGTCAAATAAATTTGGCTCCGAGTGAGGGAGATCGTACCTGTTTCTGAATTCCTCTAAGAACAAACTCCTGATCTCTCATCACAAGACTGCTGATCTGTGCCAAGAACCTCGCTCGCTCACACACACCTACACACATACACACACTCATACACACACATCTATACATCCAGAGACAGATCATAAAGCAGAGAGGAGCTGGCTGCAGTCTTGAACAGTCCTGAATGGCGCTGGTATCGGTTAATCTTCACAAATATGCACAGATTAAGATATTAACCTTTGGTTAACCTCCTACTTCAGTCCTCCTTGTTTCCTTTCCTTGACTCCTTGATGTAAAGTTTCTCCATCTAGAGCTGCTTCTGTGGACCAGAATCATTTCTCTTTAGGTGGGTGTTTAGGTGTCGATTTAGGAACCATCCACAAACACTTAAATTCATTGCTTAGGGATGAGGAAGCAGCTCAGACAAATTCTTGCTGCTAATAACATTTATTTTCTTGTTCACGGCTGACTCTTAAAAATTAGGAAATGTTTAAAAATCCTCCACCTTCCCGTCTTGTTTTTCTCTCTGCAGCAACAGGATACACAGTGGGGTTTTGTCTTCCCTTCAGCCCTTCTTTACTTGCATTTTGGCACAAATTGGACTTGGCTTCCATATCATGACTGTGAGGAGCGAAGAGGAATTTTCCCCAAAACACAGCGGATTCCAGGCTGACACTGAGGCCGCTGTTATTGCTCCACACCCAGAGTTCAACAGCAGGGGTCAGCGAGGACATGGAGATCATTTATATGTCGAAATTAAGATGCCTGATAAGCACGTCTTCAAACTTACTCTCAGGCACTGCTCTCATGTGTGGTTTTAATCTAAATTCAAAAGTAAAATCTTATTTTGTCAATGGTACGAGTTTACAATTACATTATGGTGGCCATGCTGTGACAGTAACCCCACAGAGATGACTGGTCTGTTGCCTTTGAGCCACGTTATTTCTCATGTGATTTCTCCTGACTTTATTTCCACATTTCCTCAAGGACTTCCTGAACCTATCATTAGCCCGTGGCCTCAGTGGCTGACAAAGAATGAAACACAAATGCAGATCCTAGCGTGTCTTTTTCACCCGAACTTACGTGGCTACGTTACAACACCAACAAACCCAAATCAAACCGAGTAAATTCACTTTTTATTGCAGCAGCCCCACAGCAGAGTTTAGGTCGGAGTCCTGTTTCGGGGATAGGAGCTGCGGTTGCCAGTTTTCGAGCCTGTACTCTTGAGGTATTACACTGGATTATGTAACCTTTGTGTTTTTCTAGGATGACTGTGTGTGTGTGTGAACACAGAGAGCTTGAAGAGCACTTTAGTGTGCTTTCACTAATGGCGCATTTCTCTTTGTGCAAAATAAAGGAAGCCCATTTTTAGTTAGTGGGTGAGTGGATTAAAAAAACATCCTCTGCCTGAGCGTGAAGGTGGTCCCTGTGATTTCCTGAGGCAGAATTTTCACACTGCAAACCGCCACAAACACAACACCTACAAATACATGAAGCATGCAGCAATGTAGTGCACACTGGCGCCGGTGCACACCTATGCACAACTTCTGGAGGTTCACACATGCACACAACAAACAGGTGTTTCGCATACACCTGCAACTGTGTACGGTGGTTAGAGCGGGGGTGGGGTGGCCGGGGTCATTTGTCAACGGCTGCACCAGAGAGTAATGTGATTGGCGGGTCAGAGTGGAGGTTGCCCTGGTTTCCCTCTCCTATCAGTGCAGCTGATCTGCCGCCGGCGATGCCAGGCCTGGGGAACACAGAGACGGTTCAACCACGCAGCCCAGACTCCTGCTCAGTGGTCAGACTGAATTAGCATTCTCTAAAGTAGGGTAAGACCTCCTGAGAACACAGAGTGGGTAGGAGGAGACGAGAGAAACCCATTTGATCATGGCTCCCAGGAACAATTGGGTGATAAAAGTGAGAGATATAATACACATCATAGGAGAGGCTTTGTTAGCTGGTGAAAAATGAATGGCAGCAATAACCTAAGAGGTAGTCCTGGGAGAAATAAGACAAATTAAAATCTATGTCCTCTGTACAGGTCAAATATTTCTGGCAGCAAACAAAGCTGCACAAATATTAATCCCATCCACAACTGACAGGAAATCCAATCCAGAATAAAGAGATCAACCAAAACGCAAGAGATCCAGCTCCTTACTAAGTTTACTTTATGCATTCACACAGAAAAGGACACCAAAATCTTGTATATTGGTCCCATCATGATTAAACTCTGTTGTTATGTTACCTACAATGCAGTATCTCCTTTTGAGAAACTGAGATTACCTCTTTTTTTGCTCTTAATATCATGAAATAAGATGCTAAAGATGGACTTATAAGATGATGTGGTTTAAAGGAATTGCAATGGGATATTATCTCTAAAGGTCAGACCAAAACTATGTATAAAATTCAGGATTTTTGCAGAGAACATTATGCATGTAGAGCAGTTCTGTACTTCATTTAGGATGTTAGGAGCCAGAGATGATCCTTTCTTTACTGGCACAGCTGATAGAGTTACAGAGTAGTTTTGGCCGCAAAGTAGAAATCCTGGTCTGTGGTGAAAGATCACCTTCAAAGCTGAAAAGGAAAATTATTCTTTTTGAATAGTTCAGTCAAAAAAAGAGAATCCAGCAGTGTAAGAAAATATCTGCTTCTTTGGTCAACAGAACAGATCACTAAAACAGGTGACTAAAAGTGCACACTGCCACTGCTGCTGTGTTGAATACTTCCTCAATAATATGTATAAACATATATATGTATATAATTCTTAATATTTATCTTCCTTTCTTATTCTTGTATATAGTTTTCACTGCACTGTTTGCACTGCACTTAAGAATATTATCTTGTATAAAATTTGCACTTATTCTTTTTTTCTTTTCTATTTTGTACTTTTAATTCTGTCTCAGTTTTCTTTTTTTACTAATCTATTGCACTGGAAATGGAGAAGCTCTCCAATCTCATTGTACTTCCAGTATGATGACAATAAAGGGCATTTTGATTCTGATTCAGAAAAGGGTTAAAAGGTTAGTCAAGAGTCAAAAAGTCTGTTTTGACTCTTGACTGGGACAGGATTAAAACACAACATTACAGAACATTATCTTCTTTGTGATGACCAGAGAAGAAAGTGGATTAAAGCTAAAACTATTGATCAGTCTTTGTGTCTTTGGGGGATATTTTTCCACTGAATGGTTGAAAATGAAACTTTTATTTAAACAACATTGTGACAGAATTATGAATAAGTAAGATAATTATAAAACTTCAGAGGGCAGAGTAACATATGATTTGGCTACCAGAAACTTTTAAGGAAGCTGAGCAGTTTCTATTCATTATCAATTATGCTTTCACATTAAGATCAGAGCTTAAGAGAGGCTAAAGAGAGTTGGCAAAGAAAAACAGTGACAAGTTGGATTAGGTGAGAAAAACCTTAAAATAGTCACTCAAAACCCCACTAAAAAGCATCTGTGTTTGTCACAGCGTTGACTCAGTCTTCCTCTCACTAGCTTCTTGAAGCAGTCATCCAAAACAAATAAGACTGAAAAAAAGTCTGTTTTCTAAAAGGGAAGTTAAGCTCCTCTGGACCTTTAACCGATTATGAAACGCACTGGAATAAATATTTAACCCTATTCATGACTAACAGAGAAAGAAAGAGAGCAGGATGTTATTTTACATCTAAGATATATTTACAAATGTAGAAGAACCAAAAACAACAGGGGACACCAAGACTGACAGGATGTCCTTACAGTATCTCTAAAATCAAAGACAAGATAATTTTCAGGCTAAATGGGATAGCAGCTTAATACAAGCTCTTTTAAGACGTAATAATTTCTACCTCCATCCATACTGTTGACTTTACTTTTGATCAACTTTACTTTTGTATGTGGAGGTACCTACAGAGTTTTCAGCTGCCATATCATCACTAACTTTAACTTTTTCGTTGGAAATGTGTTGTTCTATGAAGAATCCACCTATATGAGAGAGGACACCTCACAGGGATTAACCGGCCACACACAGGACTAGTGTCTAATAGTTTTTCCTTTCTGAGTGACCTGTTTATTGCATTTTTGTGTTCATCAATGAAACAATCCAGTAAATATCATTCGTCTTCGATAGCTGACATGCTAATTAAGAAGTGAATGTAATCACTATGGCCCTGCTGGCAACAAAGAAGTAAATAAATCAGGAAAGAAAATAAATGCCTGATGAATATTTGTATAAAAATCATTTGCAGATGTAACTATTCTACGGATTAAACTCAGCTGGTAAGCAATCAGTGTTACTGGAATGGTAGATTATGTTAATGAGTGGTGGTTACGGTTATTTAAGCACATCTTCTTCCTTCTCTGTATCATGAACCTTTGATCATGTCCAACTGGCGTCTTTTCTGGGTGTCCCTGAGCTCCATCATCCTGTAGGTTGATCTGGATCGCTGCTGCAGACTTTTTGCTGGTGTGGACCTGCCTGCTTTACGGCTGCTTCAACTATGGCCATCAGTCTCTCCTCTGTCCATCTCTCTGTTTTTTCTACCTCCAACACAGCTCAGTCTCAACAGATGACTGTCTAACATGAGTCTGGTTCTGCTTGAGTTTTCTGCCTGAAAAAGGAAGTTCTTCCTCCAGCTGGGTTTTGAAGCAGGGATTGTGTTGCTATGAGGCAACAGGTCAGACCACTTTAAAAACTTTAAAAGTGGGTGAAACACTGCAGTTAGTTATCGTGAAATTAAAAGATTTAACATCATAGTGATTAAACAGAGCTGAGTATATATGAAGAGCATTATGAGAAGAAGTGATTGATAACATATGCTATTTAGCTGTCCATAGCACCTCATATTTCCATTAGGGAGAATGATTTCCTACAGGTTGTAATTAAACCACAAGCTCTGGCAGTGTTGGTGCCAAAATGTCAGACAGTCCTGACACACACACACACACACACACACACACACACACACACACACACACACACACACACACACACACACACACACACACACACACACACACACACACACACACACACACACACACCGTTCATGAGCAGGAATTTAAGATGAATTGATGACAAAAGCCTCCCATAACTCCACCTAATTGATATTGTGCATTCCACATCTGTAACACAATGCATGAAACTTGGCGTCGTCCTGCAGTCACAGGAAAACTCATAAATACAATCTAGGTGGACGTCATCATTGGAAGCAGAAGAACCCCTTATGTATGCAGGAATGTGTAGTGTGGGTGTGGTGGTGAGGGGGGGTGCTGGCCTGGGTTCATAAACATTCAGACCAGTTCAGGGAGAGGTCAGGGGAAAGGATGTTGGCCGGAGCACAGAGGAAGACCCACGAGATACATCCAAATGTCACCAAACTCCCCCCACCCAAGTCCTCGGGGGAAAACAAACGGTGGAGCGTGTGCATGTTCCCAACAGATGATGAAGAGCAAAAGAGTAATGTTTCAAGGTCACAAAGAGAGAGCAGAAGGAGTGGAGGTCATGTAGGCCAGAGGACGGGGGGTGAGGAGGATGAGGAGGATGAGGAGAACGGAGGATACAGATGTGTGGCGCAGCAGGGAAAGGGAGGCACGATGGGAGGAAATACAACAAGCTATTGTTTGGAGAGAGAGGACAGGAGCAGAGCCGCGAGAGACTGAGGACTATTCACTTTCTCACACACACACACACACACACACACACACACACACACACACACACACACACACACACACACACACACACACACACACACACACACACACACACACACACACACAAAAGCATGACCAAAGCTCAGTACCGGTCAGCCACGCTCTAGTCACCCTCCTCAGAGGGAAATGATGCTCTTTAATGAGAGCTCTTGATGAGTCATGTGATATCATCCATCGTGGTGGCTCTGTACAGGCCCTTTTACACAGATCAACAGGTTACTACACACACACACGGCTAACATGCCTCAGCTAACATTAGTAATATTTAAGACAGGTAAATTTATCAATCAGAGTTTCATTTCTACCTGTAGTCTGTCTTTGGTCAGGATTGGTAACGTCCATGAATCTCTGTCGGATGCAGACATTTCCTGGTTTAATCCAGGCTAGTTTATTATCAGTCTCCATTCTAAGAAATGCTGTAGGCACATTTTGACTACAAATACTAAGAACTTTTGTTTCCAGGAACTAAATGATACCTCTGGCCCATTGTAGTCTGCATTTCCACTGTAGCAAGAATTCACATGACGATTATGCAAAAAAAGTTGTCACAAATCTGTTTGGCAGTAGTAAAGCTGTATTAATGACTACAAAACAGCAGGTTATGGGTAATATTTGCCTTTTCCCTCCACCTGTCTTCTCTATTTGCTCAGCTAGCGTCAGTGTGTAAAAATCAAACACTTGGTTTTAATATAAAAAAAGTTCACTTCTGAAAAAGACCATCTCTTGAAACCATCATGACGTCTGAAAACTTCCCCTGATATGGAAAAGACTGAGTCATATAGTCACAGTTCATGTTATTCCAGTAAAATCCCTCCTCCTTTCCCTTATGTATACTGTCCTGTCAGCTTTCCTGTGTGCACAGCTATTTTATTTGTAAATTAAGGACCAGTTTTGATACTAATTACAGGGTCATAACCAATCTAGCACCTGCTGGGATAACAATATTAGATGAATATCATTCAATTATATACTTTTGAGATGAATGATCTGTTTAGCTCATATATCAGGAGCTTTGGGGAAAAGTCATCTCAAAATAATTGAAGGTAAGAGGATGTTTTTCCTAATTTGATCACATTAGTTGATTAAATCTTTATTGGGGAATAAACAGGCCAACCGTGACACAGATGAAATGATGACGAAGCCCTGAAGCATTCACTATAAAAGATGCTTTGATGAAAAGATTAATGATACATATCATGGCTCCTAAAATACTGAGTCTGTTTCTGCTACACAGCTGCTGATCTCATATGGCCTTCGATTAAAATTACGCTGGTTTGAATCATGATTACCAAACTGTGACCGAGGGTGAAAAAACAAATACTGTCTGTCGTCTGCACCACGGATACTCCTACTCCTGAGATAAAAAGCTTACTATTTTATCTTCACACAACATAAACTGATCCAGCAGGAATGCAGAGTTGTGTAGGCATGTCTAGAGCACAACATCCCTGCTGTCTGCAGGGATATATGACTGTCTGTGCAATCGTCAGTCTTAAAGTCACATGAAACAGCGTGTCCACACAGAACTACTGCGTGTGATTATCTTAAATGTCCATTGAAGCTGAAGGCAGGGTCAAACACAGAACTTTTTAATTGCTGTTTCACAATCTGAACACAATACCAGCTCTGTATCCTGATGTTAACTGGAAACAGACTTTGGCTTAATTCTTGAAGAAATTGGGTCCATAAAGGAATTTTAATTAAAGTATGTGTGGTGAAAATCCTTTTTAATGTTAAGCATTGCAGTGAACTGTTACATAATCAAGGACACATAACTAGAGGGCAGAGGTCGTTTTGATGATATCAAGGGTAGAAAACCCTAAAATTAAAGGATTAAACCAGGATAAGATGTTCAAGATGAGTTACTTTTTGAAATAAAAGTCTTAGTGTTTGACTTTTTCAAGCCGAAGACATTCATGGGGGAAAATTTAGGGACCACAAAGGTTGCTTCAAATTTCAACTGCCAGTCATATTTGTTAAATCCTGTTTAATTGTTAATTGTTCATGTAGTTATTTGATTTCGAAGATGTAAAGATACTATGAAAAGGTGCCGAAAAGTTGTAAAAAAAAACAGGCACTGCAGTTTGTCTGGTGGCCACTAGAGGCCGGCTACAAAATTCAATGAAGCCCCATTAAAGCCCATGTTTCCAAACAATAATACATTTAAAAAGCTTAAAATGTCTTTCATGTTATTAGAAAATATCAAACTTCAGACACGCATTCTTGGTTTCGCTTCATCTGCTCTCTATCTCACTTTCTGGCCTAGCACAAATTTTTCATCTTGCTAACCAGACTCACCCACACACACACACACACACACACACACACACACACACACACACACACACACACACACACACACACACACACACACTACGCTTGCCATACAGCCCATGACCCACTGAAACACTGTTAAGAGAAGCATGTGACAATCTCTCACACTGCTAACACCTTTTCCACAACAGATACAACCATCATGCTAACATGCTCATGTTAAAATCTCTCACTAAGGGTCAGCGATAGATAATGACTTGCACACGCAGAGAAGGACTGAGTTCAGTGAAGCAGACGGGTGAGCAAATGTTTTTGTCATAGCCTCAGTAATGTGCTTTTGCTATCCTGATGTCCGGACAGCCGGTGAGCCAACACTGGCATTCCGCCGCCAGAAACCAGAGACGCCGCCTTGACCAAACCAGCAGGGAAAGTATCTCTTACCCCACACTTCCTTGAATTCCTCCTCTAGTGCACATACTACGCACAGAAAAAAAACACATGTGACATCAGCAGGGTGATATAAGGAACAAAAGTATTTTGGATTCCTCTGTAGACCACCAATCCCACAACTATGAGAGTGTTCACTGCCTCTTTCTCTGGGGAAACTGCACATTTTAATGCTTTTCTTACAAATTATCCTTTTAATATTGTATTGTTTCCTAGCTTAGGGAATTATCCACCTGGACTAAAAGCTCTTTGTCATTTTTTCTCCCAAAGAAAAAACAGGCTCAGGTTCCATTATGTGCTTGCTTCACTCACACCCACACTCTGTCCCAAATGCAGAGGGATCCCAATCCAGCTCCCTCGGCACAGAAAGAGTGGGAATAAGCAGAGACGTGAAAGCTGCACAACCGACAGATAGTGAAAGAGAAACAGGCGGGAGAGCAATTTCTTTTGGCTAATGCACCCCCCGTTCCATCCAGCTGGCCTGATTGTGAAAACACAGCAAAAATCAAATGCATCCCACCCCAAAACAGGTGCTTTTTCTCCCCACATCCATATCTTTCTCCCACCCACTCATGCTAACCTCTGACCCCTGAATGCAGGTGGCAGGTGCTCCAGTCGAACTGTAGCCTTGGCGGGTGAGAATCACAAAGCCATTCCTCATACTAATGAACTCTGGGACCTTCTGCAGTCATAATTCATATAGAAAAATAAAGCTTCAACAGGAGGAGCTTATCCGCTATAAACATTCAAGGGCGTTTCTCTTAAAGAAGAAAAATGAGCTGTGCATCTCTGTGGCGCTTCTACTAAGACTTGTAAATCTACATCTGCATGAAAGGCTGGGTGTATTATATTGACTTTATTTGGGCTTCAAACAGGGTTTGGCACTGAAATGAAACAGAGTGAATGTGCTTTTCTGCTGCTGAACAGTAACATGAAACTTAATTGAAGCTTTGGGTCGTGCTTTTTTACTTAAAAGCCACGACTTCTTAGGGATTAAATAATCAAATGAAACTAATTTACTTGGAAATAAATCAACATGATAAAACAAAACTGTAAAGGCAGAAACCATGCTTGTGTAAAACATATTGATGAGTATATTGATTTTTGTAGTTTGACTCATGTCCCATTTGGTAACATGGGGGAGGCTGCAGTAAGTGGCTCCTTTAATTCTTTTTTGCTTTACTTTGAGGAAACCACCATGTCATCCCCCTTTAATTCTGTGGGTTAAACAAAGAGTGTTGTAGTTTGTGAATGAATAATTAATCATCTTATTATAAATTCATTCATGATTGCAGTGAGTTCTCCTTACTGGAGGATGTTTCATCCATGCCACATCCTGAATGACAATAGATCAAAGATTTAATGCAATGCTGTCTATCTGTCACTCTTCTTTTTTATTTATTTTTTTTTACCTGCAGCAGCGTGGACGAGGACGCTCTGGTTTGGCCTCAGGTTGCCAAAGTCAAACAGCATCATGTAGGCAGTGATGTAGTTCACAGGGAGGGCTGCGGCCTCCTCAAAGCTCATGCCCTCGGGGATGAGGAAGGTGTGGCTAGCAGGCACCACGGCCACCTCCTGCCACAGACCGAAGCGGTTCAGCACCATCACCTTATCACCAACCTGAAACAGAAGGAGGATACAGGGTAAGAGGAGGGTAAAGCAAAGAACTGTACATTATTTCCAGGTAATGAAAGCAATTAACAAATGCTAAAAAAGTGATTCCTCTTCTCTAGGGGCAACTTTCTTTGCTGTATGATAAAAAAAAGTCTCAGAGTCAAAGAGTTTATGAGTACATGAGCAGAGATAGCAGCATAAATTATTGGAGCTCTGGACTATATTTTGCATGATGGGCCAACTCTTTATTTCCCATACCATTCTGCGCTCACCCAGCCATAATATCCTGCTGTGATTGGCTGTCCTCCAATGTCCATAATTCACCATTTATATGGAAAAAGACTGAGTTTCGAATTGCAACCTGTTTCTATTTAAAACAATACACACTGTAACTGCCCTTACAGAGTATTTACTGAGCATGTAGTCTTCATATTAGTGAGACTTCTTCATGGCATAGACATATATATACTGTATGTTTGTATAACTGTGGGTCCACATATTCTAAAAATACCCCTGGTTTGCACAGGCAACAGGCATCCTGTTTTTAAGATATTCTGTCCTTACAGGACATGTTATTGGAGATACTTTTACAGCCCTACCTGACAGAATGGAAAAAAGATATCTTAATGTTAAGGTCATCTGTCCAATAGCACTACAATACCACTCTTTGGCTATTCTTATCAGCTGTCATTCATTTGATCATTTTTATAACCACCTCCGATTGCCCATCACCACTTACTGTTTGCAGTTTTATCAGCCCTGTCATTTCATTGGTCAATACTTAAACCACAATGCACTTGCCAATGAAAATGTTACTGCAACATTTTACCGAGAAATCTTCTCCTGTCCCATGATTAATCACACGATAAAATTCACAGATTTAGTGGCTATTTTCAAGAAGAATCTCACAAATTTAGTGACTGGGACAGTGGGCCGCACAACTTTGGCCACAAATAAAATCCCAGTTTTTTTTCTCTGAAAACTCAATTTTTCTATTTCAATTTTTCATTTAGTGACAACTTCACCAAACTTGACTTTGAAAATAGTACGTTTTTCTTATCATCTCTCAAAACGAAACCACTGAAAGCAATGTAGTGCATATGCCAAGCCAGTGAGTAGCGCTGTAACGCTGCCCAGGAAACGCACAAAAGACAGAAGAAGAGTACAGAGGATGCATATAAAGGTTGTTTTGGCCAAACACACGCGGCGACTGTAAAATAGTTATGCTGTGTGTCACAGAATCGTTTCGAGAGAGATGCAGATAAGTATACACAGAGATAAGATGGCAGTCGTTTACGGATTGATGCACTTTCTGACCCGTTTTCAAAAGTACTTCGTTCCCGTGTGGACAGGTAGATACTACCTTCAGACAGACTTTGCAGTGGGGAGTGGTTTACTCTTCATCCAAAAATGCAAAGCCGTACCAATTCCACACGACTGACTTGCTCTCGCCTTCTTTTGCAAACGCCATGTTTGTTTACACTGGGGAACTGGGAAGCACAGGAAGGGGAAGCCTACGGTGGCCTGGAGGCGTGAGACATGATAGGGAGGAAAATCGATTTGATGATTTTAATTTTTTTTAACATAGTCATAATCGAGTAATCCGATTACAATATAAAATTGATTAATTGTGCAGCCCTACTGGGACAGGACAGAAGTCAAAAAAGTTTCTAACACAGTGAAGACCTACAAAGGTTGTTTTTGTTGGTTACTTTGTTGGTTAAATTACTTGTTTAATCAAGTATGAAATATAAAGTGTAGTGAAATTACATTTTGGCGCATACTACTACTTTGAGCAGACATACTGTGACACTCCTGTGGGGAAACATCTAAAAAAGGGTTGGAAAACACTGCCTGATGGCACTAAAAAAGTGAAGTGGAAAGTGGTGGCTGAATGTTTCACAATCACCATTTATATACAGAACACATTACACAACATCTGAAGTAACTAGATGAATGACAAGTCTTATTTTTAAAGACAGAATTATGTCAGGGGGTCAAGAGGAGTTTTCACTTCAACAGCAGTGTGGGAACAAGAGGGTTAAAAAAGTCCCATTTTAAAACTATTTGATTGAATTAAAACTAAACTCCAGTACAGCTTATTAACCTCTTGAGCTTTTACAGGATCTCCTGGCAGCTCAGCACCCCAGGAGGTTTAACTGCTAGATCCTAAAGTGGTCTGGAGCTTCCTGCCATCTGCAGCTTGACGGTTTCTTTGGCGCTGTGGGAATGCTGTGAGCCGTGCAGCAGGCGCAATAAGATTGTGGTTTACTGTTGTCAGATGTGAAAACATGCAGCCATCAAAACCTGGAGGAGCTGCTTTTGTGAAGAATGTAAAAAGTCAAGAGAGGTGATCATGTTTGTCACAGTGAGGTTGTAAACTGTTGACTCTGAGGAGGATGGAGGTTCCTGTCGTAGACGACGTTCTACGTGCCGCTCCACACAGTCTCCATCTTTCCTCCAATCCATCCTTATCAAAGCCGGATCCTTTGATTCACACTGTCTCTATCAAAAGGACCAACCTCCATCTAAACTTACCCCCTCACCAACCAATCAGAAGCGCCCGCTCAAGGAACACAGGAAACAGAGACGACAGCAGCATTATAACTCTCTTCCTGTTTTCTTCCTCCCCCCTTATCCTCCCCTCTCGACGCAGCTCTCCCTCCCCACCATGTTTCCATTCTTCTCACTTTTTCTCTTCCCTTCTTTCTCTTTCACTTCCTGACTGCTTTTCCTCTGACAACTTTAGAACATCTTCCTTCCCCTTCCCCCTGTACCCCTCACCTCATCCTGTCTGTGTCTCAGACTTTCTGACCCTTTCTCTTTCCTCCTTGTTTCTTCATCATTCGCTGTCTTGGTTTGTCTTCCCTGTCCTCTTTGCTAGGAGTGTCCCGCCATCCCCTCTTCTTCTTCCTGATCATCAGTGAGACAGGACAATGGGGCCCATCTTCTCCCCTGGCCTCTCTGTGCTCATCAGAGACCCTGCCAGATTCTTCCCCATGGATGAGCATAAGACAAGCTCTCTCCTCCTGGGAACAAACCCGCTCCACCCGGGCCTCTCTAATGGTCTGGAGGGAGCCATGCGCCTCACTGTCTATCCACTCCAATTAGAGAGATCTCCCCCTCTCTCCCTTTCTTTCTCTGACTCTGTCTCTCTTTCCAGAGCCGCATCTTTCTGTCTGAAGCCTGGTCATTTAGTTTATTTTCAAACTTTCACTTTTCCACCGAGAGCTGCTCCTCTTCCCTCCCCTCGCTCTCCATACTTCATCCTCGTCTGCCCCCCCCCCCCCTTTCTTCGACTCTTCAAACTCATCACCCTCGCTGCTGTAATTGCGACTACAGAGGGCCCAAATCGATAGACGGGGGTGTTAAGGCTTTTACCGGAAACACACACAAATATGACTCACACATTCAAACGCATCGACAGCTATTCTCCTGCGCCCACGTTGAACATGTGAGTTTCTGACAGTCACAGAATCAGGGGAGAGAAACATTCAAGGCTGAGAGAGAGAGAGAGAGAGAGAGAGAGAGAGAGAGAGAGAGAGAGAGCATGCCTTGTGACAGTTCTGTTACAACATCTTCGCAGTGTGACACACAAACACTCACTTCTTGCATTTCCTCTCTCAGCTTTCAGGCCACTGCTTAATGTAGTCCCAGTCGGGGTCAAGAGTGCGGGGGGGCAAGTGAACAAAGACACTTCCAGTTAACTGTATATGAATAGACTTAATCAGATGGTGATTCAATTTTGGGGTATGCAGGCCTCTTGAGTCAGCTGCTTCATGGCTCTGAATTTTGATGAACTCAGCAAAAAATTATCAGTGGGGGCAAAAAAGGACGACGAGACTCTTTCTCTCTGCTACAGTGTTTTCACGAGTCAGGTCGAGGAGAGATGAAGGTTAGATGTTGACGGCCGCGAAGGCTGCTTGACTCCTGTGAATGTGATTAAAAGGAAACCTAATATCTCTCTGGTGTCAGCGTAGGTGTTATCCTGTTTTAACAGGGTTCGTTAGATGGTACAAGATAAAGGCCACGCCCTGCTTTCATATGTGCTGCATGCTGCTTTCTGCACTTGACTGCACCTGATTATGCAGATGCTACCAAAAAACAGTCTGACTGTCCCTTCTTTTTCAGCTCTGTTTGATACCTGAGACCCCATTTCAACTCTGCACCATCAGTCTAAGAAGAAATGTAGAGGCTTGAGGCTTTACAGCCAGCCATTTTTACAGATGCTGATATAAAGGGAGAGCAGCATGACAGAGGCATCCACTGACAGCAGAATGAAGAATCAAGAGATTATACAAAAGGAGGAGAGATAGCGGGCTGGAAGGAGGGATGGAGGAAATACCAGACTGACAATGTGGGCCAGAAGGAGGTAATTGAGAACATGTGGGTCAAATCCGACCAAAACTCAAAGAGGATGAGAATGAAAATTTTAAACAAGTCCTGGAGGTAAAAAAGTGCTGAGGTTTGGTGCCAGGGGAGCTTCAGTGTGATATCTTCCCTTGCTTACTCACTGTTACACTTCTCCCCTGCCTTCCCTCTGGGGTCATTTGAGGTGAGGACACTGTAGTATTACTTCACTCACATCGACTGCTCCTCTAAGGGATGCTGCTTTTGCAGCAGCTATTGAATTACATTGTGAGGCTTGCAGTGGTAAATAAGTGTGAGTATAAAAACGACCATGAAACAATAAAAAAGGCAAAGACAGAGGACTACAGAGAAAATCATAATCAGTTTTTTTCTCATTTAGCCATAAAAAGTGAAAAAACTGGGCAGGGTTCTGTGCGGTGCTTGAACACTGTCAGGATAAAAATCAGTCAAACTTGACTTGACTGTTCAGGGTTTATGATTTTTTCTCTAATAAAACATTTTGAGTGAGTTTGAAGCTTTCTGTGCACTGTTCTGTAAGGAGACTATCAGACACACCCATTTTTGTCTGGCTGTATGTGAACATGTGTGTGTGCTCATGCTGCAGTGACTGTTGAGCCTCCCAAAAATTTCGGTGCCATCAGGGTCAGCACATTCCCTCGGTGTTAGCTAGCTCTGTGCCAAACCATCTCAGAGATCTCCATCCATTAGCAAGATTGGCTCTTAATTCTATAAACTAAGGACTGCAGGGGGGATGCAGACAAGATGACAAGAAGTGTGTGAGTGAGTCTGGGTGTGTGTGTGTGTGTCCCTGTGTGTGTCTGTGTGGTGCCTGACCTTTAAATCCAATCTGCATTACTGACAATGTGGAAAGAAGCTGTAAAGTCATTTGGAAACACAGCCTCTTGTGATGTGTGGCTGTGATTGGCTGACCTATCACCAATCATTGTCCCATCACTTTGTATTTATTCCCTATCCATATGGATTGATGGCTGACAGACAGACATATGTGCCACTCCCAGCCAGATGTAGTGATGCTGCTCTTGTGCCCCTCATATGATCCGCGTGGTGTTAACCACACATACTGACAGGCTGATGTGAGAAAATGTGGTGCTATTACAACAAACAGCATGATTCATCACTTGCTGATGTGTAATATTATGCCTTTGTTTTCAAAATTCCCAACAAAGGCGTCAACGTGGAGATGCCATACTGCAAGGAAGCAGATTTACGGATTAAAAGGAGGGAGGAAAGTGACAGTAATTCTCCTCACCACTTCACACACTGGCTGAACATTAAAGAAAGCACTTTGAATGCCTAAATGAACTTTGATGAAGATGTATTGATGGCTGTACATTGAGACTCTTATGTTGACAAAGAGGACGCCTGCTCATCTCTTTCTCACACCAGGCTGTCTGATGCTGCCTCGCCCTTCCCAATCACTGAATCTGTCCGCCACCGTCGCTCCCGGTAACAAAAGGCGTCGGTGACTCCTGTCTCCGCCGCCCGAGTCAAGTCAGCTACATTACGACCAGTGGCGCCTAAAGCCAGTCTCCAAAATAAAATCCCTTATGAATTTGATTTCTCCAGCGATCTAGCAATGGATAAATGTGCGTTAAGCTGTTCTTCTGTTTCCCATCGTTTGGTTGTTTGAGCTAAAGATAAACTGATGGGTGTGAGGACCACAACTACAAACACGTCCAATTTAATACTGTGAATGCTCTAAGGTGAGTCCACACATTTTAATGACCTTTTCATCCACCTACCTGTTTTCTATTTATGATTTGCTCTTATTACACATTCAATAGAAGGGAAAATCCGGCGTTATTCAAAGCTTTTATTTAGAAAGCACACCGGCCGTGTTTCCGGTCTCATTTTGGCTGCCTTGACGCAGCTCTCCGCGCTTTGGCACACATCAAAGCGCAGAGCGGCGTAGGTGCTGCATGGCTGGAAAGCATCTAGCGGATTAGCACGTGTTTGTTCAGACTTAACACTTACAGCACACGCGAACGAAACCGTGAATTCATCTCCATTTCGGCATTGGCAACTTTTTCTCCCCCTTTCGAGATGCTAAACCAAAGTGCGCACGTACAACGCGGTTTGATATCAGGGGGACAAGAGGGGCGACGCCTGCTTTTGCTGCTGCTTTTTCACACAACTCTCGTCATCTACTTTGTGCATGTCTCTAAGAAAGAACCTCTCAGCAAAATACGAGGCTTTCTCCTCCACTTCCAGACAAGTGCTGTCTCCTTACGCACGACTGACTGACTGAATGAATCCTAACACCCATGACAGCTCACATAAATTATATCATTATGTGAAGCGCAAACTCATTCTTTTTTAAACGACCTCACTATATCCTGTTAGTATTTAATTCATCAAGTCTTTAATGAGTAATAAAGCGCCACCAGAACCCTGAGCTGCGAGCTCAGCCTGACACGCCCATATCCAGATGTAGCAGTTCAGCACAAAAAACAAGTAAGACACATATTCATCACTTAAACAACGCCACAAACACATTCATATCCGACTTTCAGTTCAAAGTAAATGTGTTAGACGCGTGTGTGCTTACTTTTCTGTCCGTCACTTCTTCCCCCACAGCCTCCACCAACCCGGAGCACTCCATCCCCGGGGTGACCGGTGGGGATGGCATTCGGTCGTACAGCCCCTGTCGAGCCATCAGGTCCGCGAAGTTTAGCCCGCATGCCTTGACCCTTACCAGGACTTCACCAGCCTTTAGCGTGGGTTTCCCCTTCTTCACCTGCAGCTTGACTTTATCGTAGCCACCGTGGCCGGTGAGCACCAGGGCGCGGTACGTGAACGTCTCCTCCTCGGGGGCCTTCTCGGTGGTCGCTGCGGGGGTGGCCGCTGCTTCGGCAGCGGCTGCGGGTGGGGAGTCCGTCTTGGCCGGCTCAGCTTTGGGCTCCTCGGCGGGTTTGGTCTCCTGCTTCTGGTCCACAGCGTTTTGCTGCTGGGCAGGTGCGTCCTCTCCAGACATTGTGCAGGGAGCTGAGAGACAGTGATGAGTCTAGAAAATGACTTCAGAGGTTTTTGTCACTTGTTGTGCTTGCTTGGCCGTGCACGGGCTTGGTTGCTTTGTTTGCCTTAGCAAATAAAAGAAAAGGACAATCAGGAGCTTTTTTTTCAACAGTCTTGCATGGAGACTCAAACCCCGACAGAGTGGGCTGCTCAGTGGCCAGTGGCTGTCAACGCCGCGCTCTGACAGAGAGTGTGAGTGGGACGAGACACAGGCAGACTGGAAAACGCGGAGAGCTGATGAAACCCAAGGATTGGCGTCTGCGATTGGCTGGGTTTGGTTTGGGTAGGGCTATAAGATTCAGCATATGTTGCATCAAGCAGAGGGGTGATTTTGCAAAAAAAGGCACAGTGCAGCTAAAAGACAAAGACCACTGAAGCTAGCAGTCAAATCAGCTGTTTTACATGTTGGCTCAGAATATTCAAGTGAAAATGAAATTAAAGACTTTAAAAGCAAAAGGAAACAATTCTTTACAGTTAATAAAATCATTAATTTATTCACATCTAAAATGCAAGTTCAATCATAAACTGAAAAGCAAATATTTAATAAATATTTGTGTGCTCTGACATCCTTTAAAGCGCTTCTCTGAGAAGTCTGTAAATGAACAGACATATTAATGCACTGATATTTGCGTCAGTGTGGTATTTTCATGCTTCTGTATGTTTACAGCGGCTTGTTAAACAGTTCAGTTCATGGTGCTGGCACACCAGCAGCTGGAGGAAACGTCTGTTTATGCTGCCTATTCAACAGTAGGATTTGCAGGAACTTTGGGCCTGCGCACGGCTCATTGTTATAACTTCCCCGCACAGGCAGCTCAGAAAAATATGAGTTTGTGTTGAGGTCAGGCCAGCTTTTGATTAACGATACAACCTGCTTTGTGTTGTTGAGCGTCACTACAGGGAACAGGAGCCACAGGGTGGGATGACCTCTCAATCCAGAGCAGCGTGAATGATAGGGCCACTAAGAAAGCTCTGACTATTTAGAAAAGTCTTTTGTGATATAAAAATAGTCAAACTTTGCATCCAAAAGGGAACCTGATCTGAAATTTCCAGCCGAGAGAGCAGCCTGGTGTCCATTCAGAGAGTTTGGACCACAGGAGCAGCAGTGAGACACCTTGTGGCTGTAAAGTGCCACTCAGTACTCCTGAGGCCAAAGTCAGCAGCGCCCTGATCGATATCCCACAGAGGTTTAATGATGTAGCATTCAGACACTTATTGATCTCCCTAGACGGAGGCAAATGTTACTAAGCAGATTGCCTCTTCTTCTGCTCACTCTTAAATATACAGTACATCAGCATGCTGTGTCTGCCCCCTGAATGTTTCCTCATTAGCTCCTACAGGGACTGTATGATAATGGAGCAGTCAGAAAATGACTGAAGTTGATGTTTATATATAAAAAGCATTTCTACATGCTTCACTTTGAGGCCTAAATGAGAATTTCAGAACATGTTCCAGCAGCTGAAAACAGTTTGAATGAAAAGTGTTCAATACAGGAAATGGCTGCAGTTAAAACAGCATAGGAACAGGGCACAGGAACACAGACGGTCTGCCTCGGACACCTGGTGCAGTTCGGAGACCTTCTCTGTTGACTAAGTGGGTTACTGGATGCATAATGTTGCTCAGCAGTGTAATTTGGCCTGGATAGAGAACTGTGTTACCGCTCTGCCAAGCAAATAGACTAAGTCTGCAGAGAGCCTGAGCAGTCTCTGAGGGTGTGTGTGTGTGTGTGTGTGTGTGTGTGTGTGTGTGAACTACAAACATGTGTGTTTTACTTCCCTGAAACTGTCATCTACTGCAAGTTTAACCATATTAAGCAGAGGGAGCTTGGACAAATGTCTTGTTTAAGGTTTGCAGAAATACGAAAATAACAAAGCCATTTGAACAACAGAGGCCAACAACAGAGTAGTGAAAAGGGCGAACCATGGACTGTTTATACTATTGACATCTTGGTTCTGCCTTCCACCAGTATATGGGTTTGAAGCCCAAAAGCTCTTTGATTTTTCTCCATTTCCTGAAACCAACATTGCGCAGTAGCACTGTACGCATTCATTGGGAGAGTCGCTGTGATGACATTCGGCTCAAACAACATAACCCCAGAGTGAGCTACACAATCTTCGTATGCCCATAGGCTTTATCGAGTGTTAATCAGAGAAAACCTGAACCTCCTTGTTACTTTTAAAATGGAGCTGCACAGAAAAAAGAGGACTTGAGCACAGACCGGTCTTACAGTAACTACATGTCAACATCGCAAGCAGGGGGGAGAAAGATGTATATTCTGTGTAATAAATTTCTGAAATTTGTCCACAGCTCCATAAGGATTGCTGGTGGAGACAGGATTTGTGACCTATACTGCAGCCTGTCACCAGAGGGTGCTGTCCTCGCAGTGGCTTCACTCAGCGAGGAGGCAGACGGCGCCCATCCTATTTACAGAGTATGGGCCAAACACATCAGAAGTCTTTGCAGCCAGGTTTTAAATGTACACAAAGGCTTATGCTATGTGTCCCAAGGGAGTTTCTTACAAGGAAAATAAGTTGTGTAGTTGCCTTTCACATGTTTCACCAGGAGTTAGAGGCTTGAGGGAGGTAAAAAGTTTGATATTCCTTTCAAAAAAGTTTTGCAAAGTTTTGTATCAGACTTGTCCAGAAGTAAAGGAGGCTAATTCAGGGGCCGCCAAATTTGACACAGAATTTCTGTTTAAGTCAACTTTGGCTCCCCCTGTGGACAAAGCAGTCTTAACTTATCTTTTCCTGTGCATGTTTGAGCATTGTCTCCTGACAAAAAAATCTCAATCTGCTGTTTTTTGACAGTCAAATCTATTATTTATGAAGAACACTTTTTGCTAAAATTGTACATTTACAAAAATAGATGCTTCTCCAGTTGCTTGAATAACACCTGCTGCCTCGGACTGATTTCAGATGTTACAAATTACAGTATATAAATATCTAATCTTATCCCTGATGATCTTCTTAGCTTATGGATATCTCAAAAAAGCATGAATATAAATTTCAGTCAACTTCATCAACGCAAAAAAAAAACCTCCTCACATGAGCTTTAAAGCGTGGTATTAAAACTGCACGTTTTTAAGTTTTACCAATGAAAGCTAATTTTTGGTAATGCAAATACCACTGAAACATAAATATAAGTCAAATATAAAAATTGGAACAACTTCAGCTGTTATTGCTGGTGGTACATTTATAGTCTTAGAGTTAAATATATATACTTCTATTTCACAGACAGTTCCTGTAACCTGTATTTATAAGCTTCCAACATGAGCCTTCACACCTTTGCCTTCACTGTATTGTATTTAGCTGCTCTTTGATTGGCGTTAACCAGACCTCGCCCCTAAGTTAGTTTTATGGCTCTGGACCTCATGAGACAGGATAGTATCCTTTAACCATTCTTCACTCTGATGCCAAAGTGTATCTACTTAACAGATGCTAGAGTCATTGACAGAAATATAATAGCTAAGCCCAAAGGACTTTGTTCTTTTTACAGAAACAGTCTTGAGGATGGAAAAATTCTTCCTGGCAAGTTCACGAGCTGCATACTGGCACTTAACCAAATCATTGACTGGCCAAATAAACGTAAATGTTTATGTTTGATATTATTTATTTATCCTTCTGTTAGTGATCTGGCTGTGTTTCACTGCTCTCTTGGGTTCACTTGCGCAGTAACACATCTATCAAAGCATAATTTAGCCCAAATCATTCAGCACAGTCATACTGAAACACAGGCAGTAGTGCTGCAGATCACTACACCCACCTGTGGGCAGATACAGCAGACTGTGATAGATATTCAGCAAGAGCACTGAGTGTTATCCACCCACCATTAGTGTAAGTACTTTTGCATTTATCTACTGATGTATGTTTTGGTAAATATGCTGATGCTGGTGTCCCTCTGGTTCAGTTTTAAAAATAAATACTCGCGGTGAAGACATGCAGGAGGCACAGCGTGACTTCTGTTCGCACGAAAAGAAACTCATTTCAATGAAATGAAGGATGTAGTGTGAAGTATTCAAAAGTAGATTTATGAGCTCCAGCGGTAAAGTTTCCTACTGAGAGATTTTTGCTTAGCTCATTTTTTGCTTGTGGTGAATATTTAGTGCCATCTGCTGGTCTGTGGAGCAGGAAAGGTGTTTTGACTTCAGAGGGTTAGTGCATCTAAATCACAACAACAAACACCAAAGCTTTGAACTTTAAAAAATAAAAAAAAATAAAAAAAATAATGCACTCATTCAGATTTAAGAGCATGCTTTCAAACTGTTTACACAAAACTCTCAACTCTGACATACCTGCTCCTGTACAAATAATGGATTTTGTTGAAAGACAATGGGCAGAGTAATCTTTTTTTTTTTTTCTGTAAAGTAAAAAAAAAAAAAAAAGGCTGACTTTTATCGGAGTCGGCCTCTTTGTAGGCCTTAAGACACAAATGCTGATATGAGGTTGAATTTAAAGGTAGAAAATGTGAGTATTTCAGTTTTTAGCAACAACAAACAGCCAATGTGCTGGCCTGCCAATAACTCGGGTTCATCCAGCCGAGGCAAGTCCGCTACAAGGCTGACAGCAGAACCCTTCTGGAGCAATACATTTTACTGTGTTTTGGTGTATGAGCCGGTTTGCTGTTTGATGATTATGCTTTAATGAATTCAAGTCAATCCTGTGATAATAAATTTGAAAGTACCTCGTTGTTAAAATGGTCACATTACAACTTGGTATAAAAAGTGAGTTTGTCAAAGGTGCGTAGGCTGTGTGCATGATCTGGTTGCAGCCCACTGCTCTCTGTCTTTCTCATCTTCTATTGCATTTGCAGCCATGATGTCTTGCAGTCTCTCTAAGGCTGCCCTTGGAAGCATTTTTAAGGATCTCCATCCAATCCTCTGTTAAGTAATCATAATAAAAACTTACAGCCCAGGACTGCTATCAAGACCTGATAGCAGTCTGGTTGTTTTTTTAAGGGAATAAGTAGTTGCCCCAATCGTACATCCTGTACTACAGAGCCTAATAAAGCAGGGTGTAACTGTTCTTACAGTCCATTTATCCATGTCGGTTTGTGGTGGGGCTGTGGAGACACTCCAAGAAAAGATTAAACGTTTGGACCTGGACCTCCAGAACCAGTCAAAATTGCAAAAACTGCAGGCCACAACACTCCCTGATACTACCAAACCCCCACCTTCAGTTGGGAAACAAACTCGACGACCTCTGGGGTTGAGAAAGCCTGAGAGGTGGAAAAACAGTAACATCCTCCTTGACCTACCTGACACTGTACTTCTCAATCCCTAACACCCCAAGTCCTCGGATCAATAAACTTTCTTCATGGCAGACATTTTGTTTTGTCATAGTAAGCCAAAACCACTGCTTTGAAAAGGTTTATTGAACAACAACAAAACAAAAAGGTTATGTTGTCTGAGGGAGAATGAAGGCTGAGGGGGTTCACAATGTCACCTCACAGGGAGAATCAGCTGACCAGATTCCCAGCTTTGGGCCTGGTAATGAAACTGCACACTGCACACAAAATTTGGATTAGATAACTGTTTAAGCAAAGTAAAGTACAGAGCAAGCATAATGACAAACCTGACTACTGTAAGAACTTTTTAATTTATTTCTCCTCAATTTAAAGATCCAGTGAGAAGTTTTCTGGCATCTAAGGAATAAACGAAAATTCATTTCGATACGTTTTTATGATGTTCAAGAGCAAACAAGAACATCAGCAAATCATAATTGTTAATGCGTGAAACTTGGACGAGGGGGTAGGTGTCAGCCAGGAAATTCCACATTAAATGGCACATTTGACATTCAAAAGTCAGCAGTATGAGATTTTTTTTTATATGTGTGAGGTAGGGGACAAGATAAACAGACTGTTCTGTCCACAGGGGGCGCCATATTTGACACATACTGAAAGTTACTGTTAGGAGCTTTAATGATTTAAAGGTTGAGATTTTAACCACACCAAGGGTAAAAAGTAGCTTTTCACATAAATGAAAAGTCATTTATCCATGCATTAAAACCATATCATGTACAAATCAAATGCACAGGATGTGACCATAAGTAAAACCTCCCAGCAAGCACTGAAACTTTCATATTTTATCATCCTAATCCATTCCTTCATACCAAGTGTGGTGAAACAGAACTGAATATATAAAAAATAGATCCCATCAATAGTTTGCTGGTTCTGCTGAGTCTGTCCTTGTGCTTTTCCATCTTTGCCAGATCTCACAATGACCCAGTCTCAGCATTGTCATAATCCCTGACAATAATAATAATAATAATAATCTTGTTGGATGTTGGTTTTAACAAGTTAGGGGATTTCAGACACAAACTTGGGCTCTAAAGAAAAAGTCTGTGCTAAGCTTACCATCCACCGCAAGGAGGACGCTGTGGGAGGACTGAGGTCAGGGACCATCCACTGCTCTTACTGACAGTAAAAGCATTAATGCATCTGTATAAAATGTGTTTGGCATTTTCAACAAAGTGGCATTTATAAGGACAATTTTTGAAGTTTTAGTCGGCTATCATATTCATATTTTGCTTAAAATAACCTTAAAGGTCCACGTTACTCTGTGCTCTTTTATTTAGACACTACAGCTGATTCCCTCTGGTACTTGCACCATTAAAAGACCAATCAAACAGGAACAATGGCAACTAAGTACTTTTTTTAAAGATTAATTATACAAACAAAAAACCTGTTTGCCACTTCAGTGGGGTAAATCCCATAGAGTGTAAGTCTATTAGTTTCCAGACGAGGGCAGTGTTGGTCTCCAAAATACCTACAGAAAGATGACTCAACAGTGGTGTACGTGGTGCCGCGTCATTTAATTATCCCATTCACAAAAGCAGTCACTCCTCAGCGGGGCACCTCAGAATATCCACTGAATATACGGCAACTAGACCCATAAATACAAGAAGTCACCTCTAGCTGATTAATTTGATAGGTTTCACTATATATAGCCTACACGTATGCTGCTTTTATTGTCCCTCCATTAACAGGTCAGACTGCCACTAAATCTGGAGGAGTAATGTGTTGAGAATTTATGCTTATCTCTAGGCAGTCATAAAAAAGGGTCTATAGGGAATAATTACCATAGGGAAAAGAAGCACAACTCTAATCAAATACATATTATGGAGAAAATTATTTTTAAAGTAGCTTCACTATGGCAACAATACTCTTCAATTATGGCACTGTCAATGTTATATGCTCTACTGAGAAAGAGCAAATGAATTTAAAGCCCTGTTTTTATGCTAATACATTTTATCAGTTGTCTGAAGATTTTAGTCACAAATATTTACCCTTTTAATTCTAAACACCAGTGTCTCAAGTCCAAAATACTCCAATAAGAGAGCATCAAAATCCAGTGCTGTTTGTAATTACAGTTTACATGTGGAAATATGAGACATAACTAACACATCTGTAGGAGACAAGATAAAATGGCAAATAGTTCATTTAATTAGCTTTTACTATAAAAGGGCCAAGCAGAAAAGACTCCGTGGGTCTTAAACATTTAGGGGATGACAACAATTCATTGTTGTAATAAGTATTAATAATTTAAAATTAAATATTAAACGACGTCACATTAGGAAAAAAAACGCACCAAGTCTTGAGTCAGAGCCACTTAATTTCCCACAAAGCGTATCACAGCTGACTGATGGGACTCAGACGTGCACATTAAGAGGGCGTGGCCTGTAATCAAAGCACCAGTTTCCCAGAGAGGACTCAAGTCCTCTCTCTGGTTTTGGAAGCGGAGCAGCCAGTCAGAGCGAGAGTGTCAGCAGGACCCGAGAGCTGCGCGTACAGGACAGGACAGGAGCAGCAGCTGGATAAGACGCACCAGGTCGGCGCATGTATTTGCTCATTCCTGACCCCTTCTTTGGTTCTGCTGCGTCTCTTATCGGAGGCTTGATGCGATCCGCACCCGCATCAAGAACACACCTCTGACGGACAAACCATGGACAGTCTGGGCAGCCGCTGTAAGATCGTAGTGGTCGGAGACACGCAATGTGGGAAAACCGCACTTCTGCATGTTTTTGCAAAGGACTGCTATCCAGAGGTGAGTCTGTCTAAAGTGTGGATTTAGAAGTCCTGTAAACTAAGATGGGATGTGGAGTTTGGAGGCTGTATAAGTACTATCATTAAAATGTAGCTCTGAACAGTCCTGTATTTAGTAAGTTCATTACTTGTTCAGCAGCTCACATCCACCTGCTCAAAGACAGAGAAGAGAGTGAACTGTAATTAATGCCTGTCAAATTGCCCTCGCAGTGCTGCAGTGACTTTAATGTGTCTTTATTGCTGCCCATAAAACTCCATGGTAATCAGCCATAATAATAAAATCCTAGAGTATCCCCATAAGCTTTTTCTGTGAAATGAATTTTATTTGCTGCATTATTTTCAGTCTGAAATTCCCATCGATCCACTCCTGTGAAACCCATGTCTGTGTAAACACCAGCTTACTTTGTGCCACTTCATTAAAATCAATCCTTTTCATTTCAGAACTATGTGCCCACCGTGTTCGAGAACTACACAGCCAGCTTTGAGATCGAGAAGCACCGGATTGAGCTGAACATGTGGGACACATCAGGTAAGATGCTTTCATACCAACCTCTGATACTGAACTCTCTGTAATGGTGTCTGTCTACCGCCTCCAACTTCTCCAGCAGTCATCTTTGTCGCTCTGTCAAATTGTTCTGACCTTGCCAACTTCATGTCTGTCTTATTTTAAGCTGAGTACTCTTGCTATTTATGATTGTTGTCTTTTCTGGAGACCTCGGTGCCACTCATGACTCTAGGTGCCTTGTGTTTGCATTCCTGCCTCTGCTGGTCTCAGTGTGGGGCTGGCTCTTCCCAGGCTCCGGCCAGTTGTTGGGTGGCTGTAGGGAGAAAGAGATAGAGACAGGGGGGAAGGAGGAAGGGTGAGGGTGTGGAGAACGGAGACAGGATGGGCCTGAAGGCATCAGTTACTGTAATTACCGCTAAAGTGTTTTCATCAGAGGATCAATGAGGTTGGCTGCTGCCTCACACCGAATCAGATGCTGTTTTCTCGCTAATTTGATTGAATGGTCAACTTTTGCATTATTTAGGAGAACACATTTTCAACTTTGGGAAACGTTCTGATATTTGATCAGTAAATAGATTTTTTTTAGAGAGTTTTATTTCTTTGAGTTTACACCTCCCTCTGTTGTGAAATCAATTCACTCATTACAGTTTTAACTGAAGTGACTTGTAATCTCTAAACAGACTTCTCCAGCTACCCAATACATCAAACTGTACGTGCTGAGTTGCTCACAGCAGTGTTGACATGAGTGTGAGACATTGCTGCACTGATAGGAATCTATGTAAGGAGTGTCCTGCCATCCGAAGGGACTTTCCATGGCATCCTTTGTTTGGCCAAATACTTATAATGTGACTCAGTGAGTGGAAGTAGTTTTGACCATCAAGCAGCTACTTGTGTCAGTGCAACTCATGCACAGAAAGCTCGCTCCTCCTCATCCCGGTTTAGTCAGTGTGGATGGATTAACAGCTCTGAGCTACCCTGAGATCTGCATCTCATCATCTCAGAGCGGAGGCTCCTGCAGCTATCGGACCGGTGACATGGCAGCCCGCCTTGAGGACTCTGTTTGAGATCCTCCCAGAGGGGAATTCCTTCTTTTACCATAAACAGTCTCAAACCCAAAACTGTCTCCCCTGGGAAAGATGATGAGAGTGTTTTTATGTAACCGAGAGAATGTTGTTTTTCCATGAACCGCATTGTGACCCCAGAGAGTAAATCTGCTTTAGTCTGTCAGTCAGGGGTCAGGGTCCTCTGGGGCCCAGGGCCACAATTTAGCTGAGTCCCTTATCTGTGGGCTGTAAGAGCCTAATGATGGAGTGGGAATGTTGTGCTTCTGTCCATCTTTAAAAACCCTATGTCACCTTTAGCGGTCTTTAATCCTCAGCCAGAGGCCACCCACCCCACAACAAACATGACGTCACCCAACCCACAGGGCAAATGTGTGTGTGAGTGTGTGCGCTCAGAAGTCCTTGTGTGCCTTTATTCACCGCTTCACAGCAAACACAGATGCTCATATTTCATCTCTTCAAAAAAATAATTGGCTCATGCTCGAATGAAAAAAGTCTTTAATCTGCAAAGGAACACCACGTCTCTCCTAATTCCTCTTTCAGTGTGTTGTTTTGCTTCACGCCTTCTCCTCCTTGTTCACCTGTGTTTTGGTTTGAATTTCTCTCATGTGTGCTAGCTCCAGCAGCAGTTTCAGGAGCTCCAGCTGAGGATGTTACAGATGGTCACAGCAGCTTTTGTGGGAGGAAAACTTCAGATTCAAATCAATTTATTTAGCTGTGCCCTCGCTGCATTCACTCTCTGAAGTGAAGCGAGTGTGCGACGTGCTGAGCTTGAACATCATTGTGAGAAATGTTGTGCTGGATAGGAAACACACGACATGAATTCGAGTGCTACAAAGCTAATAAGATGATGATCACAGAAACACAACTACTATACATTTATTTTAAATGAGTGAAAGCACTGCTGTGGGGTTGGGTGAAGTGAAACAAGGCATGGACTCTAAATGAGTGAGGCATTGAAAGTCCCACTCTGACCGTTTTTTTTTTTTTTTTTTTTTTTTTTACTAAAGCGTTATCAGTGGTCTTTAAATTGTGATTAAGTTTTTAGCCAAAATCATGTTACCTGTGTCATTTTCAAGGGCTTTTCTTCTGCAGAGTTCCAGTAGCTCATTAGCAATTCGCCTCTGAGTCGTGGGCAGGGACAGCGCTGCTCTGTACACTTCTCTTCTCGCTGGCTTGCAGCCTTACATTGCTGGTGTAGTTGAAGTGGCAGGTAACAAAGGAGCTATTGTGCTCTCAGACACTGATGTCTTCAGGGACATGATTAAGGTTTATATCATAATTAGCTTTCTTACGAGCATTGCAATCTGCTAACGCACACACTTGTTGCGCGATTGTCTGCGAGCAGGGCTCCAGGGGTGGAGCTTGGATTTAGGACGTATGAAATCTCACTGTCTCTGAACCTGCCGTTTGAGTCTGCCAGAGATTCACAGCGATCTGACTGCGGACTCAGAAATGCAATTTCACACTTACTTTTCTCATGATATGTCCTGTATTATCAGAAAAATGCCATATGAGCATGTAAAAAAAAAAAAGAAAAACATGATTTTCATCAGATTGGGTCTTTAAGCGATAAAAGGAAGCAAGATGCCTTTTTTTTACGAAAAGAAAAAAAAAACTCGAATCAACATTAGCATTGAGGTGGCACTTTTTTTTGTCCACAAGAGGGCACCATAATTAATCCAAACTTAAAGTCCCTCACAGAGGCTTTAAATTCACTCTGGATCACTCCCAAACTGTCCTGACACTGTTAACTGCCAAAGTTATTCATATCATTATTTTGGGCATGTTAGCGACCAAACAACTTGAAAAAGGACGCTGTTGTTATCAATCACATCGTTGATATACTGATAATGGCAGACCTAAATGGAAGCTCTACAACCTGGATGTAAACAAGCACAGCTGACAGGTAGGGATAGCAGGGTTTGTCAGTATTTCCCTAAAAAAACAGAGACCAAGTTGTAAGAAGGCAGTGTCTACTTAAACTAGCATTTAGTCACTTAACAGGGTCGACCTGTAACTAGCACATACATGTGGTCACTTACAATTATCCACTTTTTTCTCTACTGCAGCTACACTTAGGAAAAATGGAGGATAAGTAAGTTATATCTATTTGTACTCATCAAGGCAACCTTTGACCGACTGTATGTAGAGCTGTGAGGTTTAAAACAGAGGACCCTTTCATGAAGCTACCAACAGCTTTCCTCTTATTTCTCATGCATATCTTGGCACCACAAACAGCACCTCTACACAAAAACATCCCAGTGCTTACTGTACCTGATGTTTAAGGGGGGAAATATTAACTGGTTTCTGCTGTGTCACTTTCACTGTGGCTGCAGTCTGCAGTGGACTCTTTCAGTTCAGCTTGACATTTGCATCACCCACGGCTCCGGTCTGCCCTTCTGAAAACACTCCTCTCCCCTCGGACACAGCTGCTGTTTATTTCTGACAACTCTGTCCACATAAAGTATTGTCTACCCTTTTAATTGCTGCTGAAGTCTGCCTGCTGTGGTCTAGCTCCGCTCACAAAGCATTATTGATTGCCATCCGAGGCGAGGCTATTTAAACAGCTTGCGTCTCGCCTGGCTCGCGTTTCTCCAGCGCGGTCAACTGCGCTCCGCCATTAAAAATGCTTCTAGCCTTCGTTGTAGCAGCGTGGAAGTCAACCATCGATTCGTTTGGTTTCATTTAATTTGGGTTCCTCTGCAAGGTCTAGTCCTTGCAGGATGGGTTAGAAGAGAGGTGAGGTGTTCATCTAGCTGGGGTCGTTACTAAGTGGGAGTCTGTGTGTGTGCGCGCTCTAAATAGGTGTTTGAAGAAACAGCAACAAGGAGCTCTTTGGCTTCTGGGAACCTGAGGACAACTTTAAGCTGTGTTTGTATTCTGCCCTGCACCCAGCTCTAGACTATGTGGAGAATTAAATCAATTAGGAAGTGACTGAGTGGAATTCAAATGAGAAAAATGCTGTATTATGAGTGCAGCCATGTTACATGAGTGATAAATGAAATTATCTGTTTCTCCACGACTAGCGTTGTAATTAAGTTTTCAAGCAACTCAGGTTGTTAAGCAGTCAAAATGTCAGTGTGACTCAGTGATAGCTAATTTGAGAGCCATTACTGATTACTGTTGACACTCACAGGGTCTGCTGGTAGTGAGCCAGTCTGAGGTTTTCATAGAGCCTGAGGCACTTATACTCTCTTCCTCCCCTCTCAGTATGGTAGGGGTGCCTGCCTGGGAAACATCCCCTGCAGCCTCGGTCACACACTACAACTCCACTTTAGGTGTGTGTGCTGTTTTCTTGTAAGTCCAAGCCATGACAGGCCGGGTTTCCCCAAACTTCTTACAGCAGTACCCTCACGTCTCTTTCTGTTTCTCTTCTCTGCGGCCTCTCTAACTCCTGACCTGATTCTCGTCTCCGGCTCAGTTGTGCTACAGTCCTCCTTTCAAGTGGCAATCCACAAGAATCTTGTTTTTCTTTTGGCAATTGCTGACATCTTTGCCACTAATCGCTCAAACTGTGGTATTTTTTCCCAGCAATCACTTGTCATTCAAACCACGTGTTCTGCACTCTCATACCGAAATTTTGGTTTGTGTGCCTGATCGTTGATGTTTGCCATACCATCCCTTCCCTAACCACCCAGCTCTTTCGAAGTTTGCTTCCAAAAAGGCTGCTGCTGTTGCTGGGAACATGAAATACATCACTTGCTGTGCAGCAAAGGATTTTTCCTGCAGTAGACCTGCCTGACATGGGGCGTTCACAACAACAAAAATAAAAGCTTTTATGAACTGGCTGCAGTTTGAGCCTCTATTGTGCTGCACAGTTGGCAAAAGAAAGCAGAAAAACATCTTTTCATCTGAAAATGTCAAAGATTTTTACACCGAGTCACCATTCACACAGTGTTCTGAGCCAGTTTTAACCAAGTGTCCTTTTTCAAAGTTACTTGAATGATTTCTTTACAGTACAACTTAATGACTCAGACGTGTGTTCATTTATGACTCGTGAAACAATACAAGCGTGTCACGCTACACCCTCAGTACCAGAGTCACACTCCAGCCGCCTCCCTCCTCTCACACCAACTTCCCAACATTCCTGGTGTCTTTGTGCTCCTAAAACTCACATTCTCTGCGCACTGAACCAGTGTGGGGCATCCAGAGGCCTGTACAAACAAGCTGAGGTCTGTGGGCTCTCTGTTCCTCCACACTTTCCACTTGATTAATCTTTAATAGGGAATGAGTGAAGTACAACCACAACGCGGAGCACAGATAAAACCAACAGACCCCCTCCCTGCCCTCAAACCTCCAGTGCCGTGGAGCCAGAGGATGTTCAGTGAGAGCTGTCAGACCCGAGGAGCGAGCATGCTAATCACAGAAGATAAAATTATCTGAATCACCTCTGTGATGCTAAAAGATTAAGAGGCAAAATGCTCCACTTCCCTGTCTTTGCTTTGAACAATTTTCATTTTCAGACTGAGATGCCGCTGAGGGGGTTGGGAAAGGCAGCTGCATATAAAACTGCAGAAAATAAATACACCTTTTGTTTATTTTTGTCAGCATCCTGAAGGGAGTATGACGACACCCTTTCATATGCTGTTCACAAGCCTGAATGTATGCACCCAGCCTAAGCAGCTCAAAGTGGCTGCTGCTCTCTGCCTAACCCGCCCAGGGCAACAACTGCCTGAACCAAACCTGTTTTGATGATGCAGAGGAGGCTGGAAGGCACTCCCCTGCACTGGGGGAGAGCGCCTGCCTGCATGACAGTTTCGGGTAATGAGTAAACAGAGGATCGAGTAAGGATGGTGAAATCCTGTTACTTAAAATAACTGTTTGTAAACCCATAATTAAATAAACACATTTTGAAGACGTCTGAAAACTCTCTCTTAAACTATCAGTGCATCCTAACTATGACTGAGCATGTTCTTTTAGCTTAAATATCATGTCCCAGACAGTTCACTTCATTTCTCCAAGCCCAAAGGACTTCTTTGGACTCTATTTTTATCCAAACAATTGTTAAAATTACACACACAGAGAAACATTTTTGAGTTGTAGTCTTGAAAAGAAACAAAAAAGCTACGAGTCATTAAACCTCAGGAGATGGAACCAGCGATGCTGAGGTTTTTGTTTGAAAAATGACAAAATACAGAAGTAACTCTTGATTTACTCACCCATTCCTGAATTAATGTCCCAGCTCACATTTTTAGTGTTTCTAAACAGCCATTTCTACAACATGTTGTCATGAAGATAGACAGAAACTTCTGGAAGAGCGTTTTCATGTGGTCATTTCACACAGACACATTTTAGCTGACAGTAAAGAAGCTTGTGTCAATTTTATTGACATAAGTTTGTCCAGACAAACATGGACACAAGCCAGTGAATCCTAATGACTATTGTGATTGACTGACTCTCTTCTGGTTCTATCATCATCTTGACATGAGCACTTTACCCACTTAGCTGTGCCTGAGCGCAGACTCTGACTCATGTGGCACTAAAAGACATGTCTAGACATAACGCAGGACTAAGTAATATCGAAACTACTCCTTTAAAATGAAACTTCAATAAACCTTTTTATCACTCTGAGCAAAGAAATGACTCCTTGTGTGGATTGGATCACGGCCATTCACTTCAGGTTTGCTTCAGTTTAAATGAAAGTGTAATTGTCCCACCAATGAAGCAGCTCTAGTCTTGATTTCAGGGTGGTCAAGAGGGGTTTGAAGTTCAGGTTGGTGAGATACTATCAAAACACCTGTCTGTAAAGGCTGATAAACAAACTTCTGAAACTGGACACAATATTTATTTATTCTCAGTCCAGCCACTGATTGGCTGAAGAGTTGTTTGGTATGTTTCTTAATTACACAGTGTGCTCATAGACTGTATATAGAATGGACGCCGTCTGCCTGTTCTCTGGGTGAAGCCACCGCGAGAACAGCACCCTCTGGTGACGGGCTGCAGTATAGGTCATAAATCCCGCCTCCTCCAGCAATCCCTATGGAGTTGTGGACAGAAACTCCATAGGGTAGAAATTTATTACACATAATATAAATTTTTCTCCCCCCTGATTGTGATGTTGACACGTAGTTACTGTAGGACTGGTTTGTGTTCAAATCCTCTTTTTTCTGTGCAGCTCCATTTTTAAAAGTTATTTGGGGGTTCATGTTTTCTATGATTGTCACTTGATTCAGCCTATGGGTGAACAAAGATTGCGTAGCTCACCTGGGGGTACGCTGTTTGAGCTGAGTGTCATCACAGCATCTCTCGATGACTCTCCCACTGAATGTGTACAATGCTACTACGCAAGTGGTGGTTCCAGGAAGTGGAGAAAATCCCAGAAATACTGAGAGCAATTTGGCTTCAAATTTGTACGATAACAGAAGGCAGAGCCAAGTTGTCCATAGTATATACAGTCTATAAGCGTGCATAATTGTCATTTGTAGAGATTTTTTAAGCATTTTATTTAGTCTCTGTTTCATTTAAATGGCTGCAACATAAGCACAAAATTATTCAGCACTCATTGCAATAATGTTCTTAGAAGAACTTAGAAGTGCTGAACTAGCTGTTTTGAAAAGTTGGAAAGAAACGTGGCTTTTCTGGTGCCAGGTGAGTTATCTCCCCTGACAGTTACTGGGATGACACTGGAGGTATTTTTGGACACAAGGGGGACCATTGTGTCCTCTGGGGCCTCACGAGCTTGACAGCAGCACCGCAGAGAATAGATCCAGACTGTTTTATGACTTTAGTCCCTCCTGGTGTCGGGTTTGGGATCAGCCTATAGTGCCCCCTGTGACAGGCTGCACATCATGATCACAGGACTGCAAATGGAGATGGTAGTTATTGTACATGTTTTCTCGGTAAAATGGAAGACGCAGCTAAAAGCTTTAAATGTCCAGGTTGTTTCCATGTGACACAAAGCTGTACCATGAATGCCCTTTTTCAGACAGTATCTATGTGTCATTTTTCTACATAATTATAACTCACCTCCTGTGGGCTTTCTTTTCCATTTTTCTAAACTCATCCACACCTTAACATCAGAAAATGGTCAGTATTTTAACTGCACTCTGAGAGGGATTGTGTGATTGGATAAAGGCTGCTGGACAGACTACAGTGAGGGCTTCATCCTGTGCTTTACAAGAGGGCAACCAGCTGTGTTTCATCCTTGGGGATCAGGACTCTGAATCATGCTCCCCGTCTATTACATGAAGGGTTGACAAGTTGAAGAAGAAAAGGCTGTACATTAGTAACCGTAGGTGGACCAGAAGGATTGTTGGAGTGGAGAACAGCGTGATATAACTTTTCCGGAGGTGGTTATCCTTTTTTCTCTGTTATTTATCCTTCTTCTCCATAGATGTTCTCCATCTCTGATAGCCTATTAGTCTCAGCGGCTGCTGGAGCGCTTCGCTGAGGTCACCAGCAGTCAGGGGCCGTGTTAAGCAGAGGGGTGGGCTAAAGTGCTGCATGGAAGGCAGCCAGCTACACTGACAAGAACACACAGGCTGTAATTACCACACCGGGTATTTGCTCTCCTCAGTGTCACAGCAAAGCACACACACACTCGCTCACACAGACACCTATACTCAGGCATAAACCCTTCGTTTTGCCTGTTTTCACATGCACAAAAAGGTCCAGAATCCTCCACGTTTACTAGCATGTAAACCAAAAAGGCAGCCTTTCTCCCTTTGTCACCAGAGGAGACTTCTTCCCAGTCCTCCTGATCTCTTATCTCTTTCTGAGGAGCCTGTAAATGTGACCGTGGATACACATATAAGAGCCTCCACACATTCCTAATGCACATCTCAGCCCTGGTGCACTGTCAGCTTTCTGCCGAGCACCCGGCGAAAGTGTATAATCTGCTTAAAGAGCATGTCTGCAGCTGAACGCCACTGCACACTGCTGATAGGCTGTGTAAGGCTTTTACTTAGTTAATGTGCCAATGGAATAATCAAAGTGATAAGTTATTAGGGAATGAGCTTTAACCAGTCTACATTAAAAAGGAGTCTTCTGGTAGGTTCGGAGGAAAAAGAGCTTTTAAGGCTTTTGATGAGCTCACACTCAGATTACAAGCTCTGCTTTGAGCTTCAGCATGTTTGCTTCTAGCAGAGCAGAATGGAGCTATTATAAAGACTGACACGGAATAAAAAGGATAAAATGGAGATTTAAAAGTGGTTTGTTGGCATGCATAAAAGGTAACAGACCCTTAAAAGAAAGTGTATGAGGATAAACATTATTTAGCAGTAGGGATACACAGCACTGACATGGGTATTATTATTTACCATGACCGTATGTTCTTATTCTGTGTCATTTTATTTTATTTTGTTTTATTTCAATGTTTATTTAACAGGGAAAATACATACAAAATTGCCACAAGAAAATGGAAAATGTGATGCATACAAGATGTCTAGCTTCAGCAAATTTGCAGTCCTTGTCCTTGGTCAGGCTTTAGTGTAGGATAAAATATACTGTATTCTATAAATGCAATAATACAAATACAGTGGATAATACAGTGAATGGCTAGGTGATATGAATAGAAAAACGGAGCAACAAAATTTTGGTTAAACAATTACACAAATTATTTAACACTAAACATTAATAAAGTGGCGACATTTAACTGCATCTAAAAAAGCCATTTCAGTCAGTTTTAGAGTCATTTCTCTGGGGGTGCTGAAATTAACTCCTCTCAGTTGATAAAACAGCATACAGATTACCTGTCACTCACTTTTTTTTTTTTTTTACCTCCACTTGGCTGCAGAGATCTGCAGTTTGATGCTACAAACCTACAGGCTAATGCAAGCCATCTCTTTATTACTGACAAATTATTTTTCTTTTGTCATTTGATGCACCTTTAGATGATTAATGCAGCTGTAACTAGCTTGACTTGATCTGTGTTTGTTGATTTTATGTATTAAACATAAAAAAACGTGCAAATGTGATGGATCTGTGTGAGTGCATACATGTGCATGGGTATGTGGGTGAATGAGTGGGTTAGTGTATGGAAATTCCAACAGCTCTGACCTCTGACCCCTCCTTTTGTTTCTCAGCTGACCAGAGGCGTAATGAGGGGAGCTGAGATGGTAGCTGGGGCACAATGAGACCAGAAAGCGCAGCAGCTGCATTGTTCAATGGGCAACCAGATTGGGGGGAGTGAGGGGGTGAGACGAGTAAAATCAGGGAAGCGTGGGGGTGCTGCTTCCAGAGCGTGAGCAGCAAGTGTTCATTAGATGGAAAACTAGGAGGTAGGACAGAAGGAGGGGACAGAAGGGAGAGTGTACATATGTGCTTTCCCAACCCCACCCTTCACCCTTCAAGGCTTTTTTGTTGTGAGTAAGATAAGTCAGACGCACCCTTGGGACAAAACCCCCTGAGGTCTTTGGGGATCTGGACACAAAAACGCCAACTGTGTCACGCTTTTAAATCACAGCAGCACTCTGGTTATATGTTCAACAGTAAGCTACATATGGCACCATTAATGTAATGCAGTGCTTTTGTCTATTGTGTGCTATGTGGGCGAAGACGGCTTTAATCATGCGACCTCTGTCTTAATTGACCCAAAGAAACATGATCTATGACACCACCCAAAAGAGTCCATTCACACAGTAGGAAGTCATGGATCCTGAATGAGGAGCTTCAAGGGCACATAGACTTGACCAGAGGAAGCAGGATTTCCCAGCAGTGAGTGAAAACTACCCAACTGTTTCATTCTTGCAAATTTTTAAGTCTAATGTTTGAGATGGGCCAAACACAGACCAAGCTTTTGATAGGAAAGACTTATCTTTTTTCTTTGACTCTACACTTGATGTGAGTCACAAGTTTTTTCCAACCAATCAGATGTTCTGAACTGTCTACTGCCTTTCGTAGTTTATAAACCAGGTTCAAAAAGCTCTCCCAAAAAGTCAACGACAGCCACCACAAGGTACACAATATGAGATGAAATGAAAAGAAACAAAAGAAACTATTCGATACGAAACAATGCAATACGAAAGGATAGGATACAACATGGCATGACACAATACAATACGATACGGTACAATACAATACAATACAATACGATATGATACGAAACAATGTGGTACGATACAAAAGGAAACAATACAATACGATATAATACAATACTGTACATTACGAAACGACACAGTACAATACAATACGAAATGAAAGGAAACAATATGACATGACACAATACGATACAGTATAGTACGATTCGAAACAATACGAGACGACATGACATGACACTATACGATACAGTGCGGTATGATACGATACAATATGTATGATACAATGTGATACGATATGACACAACACAACATAATGCAACGGCACAGCACATCACATCATGATACAATATGATAAAATACATCAAGACACGGAGCAATATTATCTGATATGATAAGATATGGTATCACACAATACCATACAAAACAGTCCAGTATGATGCAATACAACACAACATGACACATCACGGCACGGCACATGACAATACAATATGGTATAATAAGACACAGCATGGCATGATACTGTACAATACAATACAAAACCACAAGATGAAATAGGACATGACAGGATATGGTTCAATTCAATAAGACATAATGTGACACAGTAAGATACAATACAACACGAAATTATACGCTATGATACAATACAATGCATCATGATGTGAAACAAAACAAAAAGATTCAATAAGATTCAACATTATGCAGCAAGATATTAATCCTTACCATACCAAACCATACAATCAATAAGGTACAAGTTGATTAGGTAGGGATACTGTTGTTGTATGTTAAGCTTATTTACTCTAGAGAGAGTAGGACAGAAAGGGGAAGAATATGATTATATGATATGGGATGGTACAACATAATACTTTAAGAGACAATACAGTACAACATGATAAGACATGTTGCAAGAGTACATGTCTGACACAACAAAATATGCCAGAGTGAAATGATGTTGCTGGATAAACATGAAAAAAGCTTTTAAAAACCTGGAGGTCTGTAAATGGTTTCACTGCAAGGTGCTGAAAGGAAGTGAGAAGCAGGTGAGCGAGGGGATCGTGGAGGCTAATGACTGCAGTGCATTGATGGCGAGAGGTGACTGACAAGAGGAGAAGAGGGTTGGTGATACATCCTTTAAAAGGTTGAGAAGACTTTTCAGTGCTGGTCTGGACTGTGTTGTGAGCTGTTGTGGCTCCTCCTAAATCAAAGTTCTTACACAAACAGAGATAAACACAGACTGTGGCCAGGACTCTCTATGGAAAGAGGACTCTGACCCAATGTACCACTCTGCCATATTATGTGAATATAAACCTATTTGAAGGTTTTTCTTGGACTGTCTGAAATTTTGAATTCACACAAAGTGTTCCTGGAAAGGAGGCGTTACACTGGTGCTACTCTTGGAAATAGTAGTTTAGGACTTTCCAGTTAGTCCCGGGGTCCAGGTTGACATTATTTGAAGAACTGAAAGTATGACCTTAATAGATTTTTATTCATGGTGATATATATAGCTTATACAGTTCAGCACCAAGTTAAGATGCTGTTAACGTGTGAACGATACTTTGAATGTAGTCGTATTCGCTTCCAGTGATAAGTAAATGGTTTCTGTATTTCCTCTGTCATTGGTGAAGTGACTACACGAACACATTTCATTTACAGTAACTCAACAGTAGAGTCACAGACTAACACAGCCTGGCATTAACCAGGTATGTCTTTCTGTTCAGCTGCAGTGAATGCTTCAGTCATGCAAGCAGACAGGAAACCCACCCAGGACACTGTGGCTCTGCATGTTTTCCTCCCTTGTCCACTCCCTCCTCTGAGTGCAACAGTACCCCAATGCAGCGCCCGCTTTGATCAGCCCACTTCAAACAGACACACTGACTGGTTCTGCTGCTCCAAAAGCTCATGCTCAGCCCCCCCAAACCTCCAGGGGAGTGAAACCCTCTCAGCATCCGTCTGCAGCCCATCCAGGCGTAAGGGGATACAGGGAGAGAGGCCGTCTTTCACCTCTACCCGTCACCCCCCACCTGCACCTTCACTCACGCACACTCAACAGATCCCATCATTTATGGATGACTTTATTTATAAACAAGATCCAATGCGCTCCCTCTCTGGCTGCTATTGCTTTTGTGGAAGTGAAATTGCTCTTGAAGTGGTGCCATGTCTCGGCGGTGGCCTCCCTGGGGGGCCGCAGAGTGGCTGCAGAGATGGATAGCACCAAGATAGGGGCTGTGTTTGGATGGTTTCACACCAGAGGAAGAGGAGTTGATGGAGCAGAGGTTGTCCTTTTTCCACTCACAAGTTTTTCTTTCATATGCTTGTGTAGCTGCCGTCTGAATATTCTCTCTTCCTCTTTCATATCAGAGAGACAACTCTGAAAGGAGAAGCTGCAGTCGGTGTTATTACAAGTTTTAATGAAAATCTTCGAGCGGGAGAGAACAAGTTTCCAAAGGAGGGAATGAGACTGAAAGATGTAGGAGTGGAGATAAAGGGTGTGATCTGTGCTGTTTTACAGGAGGACAGGAATAAAAAGAGATGAATAGGAAGACTGTGTGTGCACATGTGAGGAGATGGCTGTCATTGAAGAAAGATGAGAGATTTTCAGAGCAGAATTCACTGTGGCAGGAAAATCACCATAGCTTGCTCTAAGAATTAGAGTAGTTGTCAAACATTGGCGGAAAACTTTCTGGGCTGTTGAAAATTGGACCATAAAACAAATACCTTACTCAGAGCAGCTTGGGTTTTTCTGCAATCACTGGTATCCTTCCCAAATGGAGGTGCTGTTAATAAGCTGCAGGCGCAGAAAGCCAACGTCATTACAGTTTTAGAGGAACATTTTCACTTTCATTTATACAGAGTTTAATTGAGTGCATGAAACTTTCTTACTTTATTGCTTTCTGATGCTTCCTGAGAATGGTATGTTTGCAGAAAGCAACGAAAACTCAGTTAATATTGAGTGTTTGCACAATCTGCCAAAGACAGTGAGTGTTAGACAGTCCTTATTCAGCTTTATTTGTTGAAAAGGTGCAGCAAGGTTAAACTTTGTGTCTTATTGTTGCCTTCTTTTAGCTCTTTGCACTAAGCAGCAGCTCTTGGATGCAGTTGTTTTCAATACATTTCCATTGGTGTCCATTTGAGACTCAGAAGCTAAATTAGATCCAGTAGAGCATGTGTTAGAACTTTTACTGTTGCATGAGAGTTAGTTATACTGGTCTCTATACCTCATGTCTTTAATTATAAGAAGTGTATGCACAGTTAGATATAATTAGGGACATGATTGATTTGAGGGTTTGCGTTATCTCCATAGACTGTATATACTATGGACAACTTGGCCCCGCCATGCGCCATTATACAAATTTGAAGCGGAATGGCTCTCGGTATTTCTGGGATTTTCTCCACATCCTTGAACCACCACTTGCACAGTAGCATTGTACACATTCGGCAGGAGAGTTGCTGTGATGACACTTGGCTCAAACAATGTATCCCCAGGTGATAACTTCGCATGCCAATAGGCTGTATCAAGTGTCAATCATAGAAAACATGAACCCCCTAATAACTTTTAAAAATGGAGCTGCACAGAAAAAAAGATGACTTGAGCACAAACCAGTCTTACAGTAACTACATGTCAACACCGCAACCAGGGGGGATAAAAATGTTTTTATTCTGTGTAATCAATTTCTTAAGTTTGTCCACAGCTCCATAGGGATTGCTGGAGGAGGCGGCATTTATGACCTATACTGCAGCCTGTCACCAGAGGGTGCTGTTCTTGCAGGGGCTTCACCCAGCGAGGAGGTAGACGGCATCCATTCTATATACAGTCAATGGTTATCTCAAGTAGCTTGTGCCACCATTAAAAAACAGGGAAAATGACTGAGACTGCACTAATGTTTAATACTGTCCATGCTTTCGCAGACAGTTTTGTGATATTTTCCTCACAGTGTGGACGATCAAAAGGACATTATTAACCGGTCCAAACAGAGGAACACTTTTCTGTTTAATTCAAATTTTATGCTCTTTACTGTTTGTTTTGGTGTCCAATGCTGCCCTCTGAAGCCTCAAAGACGAGGCTGATCAGCTTTTCAGAAGTAAAAGTGGTCAAACCAATTGGGTCCTCTCTGTTGAAAAAAACACACCACTCTGAAATACTCTGCCTCTACATCCTCAAGTTGAGCATCAAAAAGAAATGAAGGATAAAGACTGCCAGACTGTGTTGGGTGTATTGAAGCAGATGTAGTGCAACACTGATTGGTTTGAGCAGTGAAAGGGGGTTATGCAAAGTACAGATAATCTTCAAATTGGTGAGTGGTGTTTTTAAACTATCTCCTCTCCGTTTTTCTTCTTAACTGTTCTCGTCTGGACAGTTTGCCACTGCAGCTTTGACAAGACTCAACGATTCTACCGCAAGAGAGCCACAGAAACTCATAAGAAACAAGTTCTGGACGTGCCATCCTGCAGTTATATACTGCTACTTGACTTCCTCGCACAAACAAAAGCCATATAGTGTTGGTGTTGTAACATCTGAAGACATTCGCGTCTCCATGGAGTTGAGTGTATCGCTAAGAGGTGCCGCTCTGCACACTGCTTCACTAAATCTAAAGTCATGTCTCACATAGTTGGAAGGGAAACACCAAAGCAGAGATGTGACTGGTGTGTTTTTTTCTGAAACACGACAGGGAATAAATAGATCAACAGAGGAAGTGAGCGACAAAAGACACGTCACCATGTTTAAAAGCAAATCGCAGCGTGAACTGGCGCCACAGACAGACACAGAGATCAAACACAGGGAGATGAAATGTGTCGCTGTTTCTGTGGTGGGATGTGTGTGTCTGTGTGTGAGATTACGAAAGAGGAGCTGGGGGAGAGGAGGCACTGAAGGCGGACACACTACATCTTCATTCCCCCAGGGCGAGCATGAGACAGACAGTAATGCTGCTCTGTACGCTGCCTGTGCTGTCAGCAGCGCGGCCGGCCCTGGCTTTTCAACTTGTGATTGGACGACAGACACAGGCATTAAGTCCTCGCCGGTGCAGCTCAGAGCAGATCCCTGGAAGGTGCTTGTCGCCCTTCAAAGGCTGCACTTCCTCCAGAGGGAAAGCACAGGGGGCTTTGATCAATATCCCCTGTGTGATGGCTGCAGACGTGGAAGGTTAATGGCCATTTAACCCAGTGACACCTCCACTGTCACAGCTGTGAGCTAATGCCTTTGAAAACTTGACACTGGTATCTATATTACAGATCAACAGTTCTATCTGCGTGCGTATTTGTGAGAGAGTGGTGGTTTAAACATGTATGTACATATCCTTGTTGTTGAACTGATTGAACAAAAACATAGATATGTGTTTTTTTTTTTTACATATTATTTTTATCTAAAGCTGTGAGGTAAGGTCTCCAGTGTTGTCTCCAGTAGGGCTGCAAGATTAATTGGTTTTATATCGCAATCAGATAAATTGATTACGACAATGTTAAAAAAATTTAAATCGTCAAATTGATTTTCCCAGTTCCCACAAACACCAGTGTAAACAAACATGGCTTTTTGCTAAAGAAGGAGATAATTTTGTGGCTAAATAGGGCACAGGAATACAGTAGTAAATGCAAAAGTTCTTTTTGTCTTATCAGCGTTTCATCCACACCGAAACGGTGTTTCCAGTGACTGTAAACGGTACTTTTTGAAAAATGGGTTCGAGAGCGCATAAATCCGTTAATGACTACCATTTCATCTTCATGTTGATGCCTATCTGCATCTCTTGAAATGATTATGTTACACACAGCGAAACTCTTTCATGGCACCTGTGCGTGTCCAGCCAAAACAACATCTATGCACATGCTCCACACTCTTCTTCTGTCTTTTGCGCAATTCCTTGGCGGCGTTACAGCGCCACTTACTGGCTTGGCATATGCACTACATGGTTTTTAGTGGTTACGTTTTGAGAGATGATAGAAAAACTTGTTAGTTTTAATGGGAAGTTTGGTGAAGTTACTGAATAAAAAACCGAAAGAAAAAAGTCAGGATTTTATTTTTGGCCAAAATCATGCAGCCCTAATTTTCAGTGCTTTGGTGTAAGGAACACACTTGGAGCCCAGATCAAAAGTGTTTTTTGAGCATATTTTTGCTCTAAAACAGGCTTTTTTTGGCTCATTGTGTACTTGGCTTCCTTGGCTTCTGCAGCCTCTGTGAATGTGGTGCTCAGGGAACTGAGGTTTTTAGCACTTGTGCTTAAAAAACTCCGAAACCGTAGAACATGCACTTGAAAATAGTTTTTTTTAGTGTTGGTACACTTCTTCACTTACTCATGTTGTCTGTCTCAGTTTGCCTGTTATACATGAACACTAGTTTGATGCCTCTTTTCCAGGTAGGCTTTATGCAAGTTCAAAGTATCTGCCGTAGGTGAAAGGTTAGAGGCTCCATCTGCATTAGACTGCTGGAGTCCAAATGTGGGACTGTCGGATGAAGCTTTTCAAACAGGTTTAGGTTCACATTATAAAACATAAGCTGCTTCGTACAGCAGAGTGGTACACTGGGTCAGTGTCCTCTTTCCATAGAGATTCCTGGCCACAGTCTGTGTTTATCTCTGTTTGTGTAAGAACTCTGATTCAGGAGAAACCACAACAGCTCACAACACAGTCCAGACCAGCACTAAAAAGTCTTCTCAACCTTTTAAAGAATGTATCACCAACCCTCTTCTTCTCTCGTTAGTCACCTCTCACCATCAATGCACCGCAGTCATTAGCCTCCACGATCCCCTCGCTCTCCCGCTCTCTTCCTCCTTGCCTCCTTTCAGGATCTCACAATGAAACCATTTGCATCCCTCCAGGTTGCTACGATACTCGGCCACCCTGACTCGAAATGTTTTCCCTTTGCTTTGAAGGTGGATTTCAAGAGGAAAACAGCTGCACAAGAAGAAAAAGACAGTGTATGCAGGGCTGAATGTGTCTGATTTTAAGTTTTAGGCACATTTTAGGTAGTCAAACTAACTGGTCTTTTATTGATCTAGTCTGGTTTTAGCTGTCTGCTTACTTTTTTCCTCCCTTTGTTTGTTTGTTTGCGTTCCCGTTTTTTAGTGTCTATATGGCCTAATGAGGCTGTTAGTTGCTGCCGAGTCCCTGCCATATGTGCACATACATACACAATCGAAGAGCCTCAAGGCAAAGAGCAGTCTCTGGCTCACCATGATTTGCTTTTTAGCTGTGTTTGCAGTGAGCCTGTAACCAACAGAGTGAGAAATATCCTACTGTGATGAAACAGATTAATTCACTAAAGACCAGAAGGCTTCATTAGTGGCTGATACACTCGTAAAACTCACAGGTTCCTGGAGAAGCGTCGGGATCACAGTGTCCCTTTTGTGTTTCATTGTTAAGTTTAATACATTCACTCTGATGTCATGCTCAAGGTGGTGCAGCTCTAATGTTGTGCCATTGTTCCCAGTTTGCCATTGTTTCCAGATGTGGAGACCTTGACAAATGCTGGGATTTTACCTTGTAAATTTGCAGTGACTGAGAGACAATAAAACAGCTGAAAGTTGCTCAGAAGTTCTCTTCGACCCGGCCTATCGCAGCTGCCTAGGCTGTTGTCTGGTGGCCCCTGGGTATGAAGTCAAAAGAAAACGGCCTCCGTCTTAATACGCAAGATAATTTCATTTAATTATTTATTATTTGTTCATTTTCATTCTAATTAAAGAGAAACGTTGACAGAAGAGGATTTCTATTAGCAGATAGAGAGCTGTCATGTTTCAGATGGATTAACCCTCAGGGGTTGTGGGTGTGTCGAGGGACAGAAGGCACAAATGAAGTCATACCACAAACCCTCAAGCCTTATTACTTTACATTAGCGCTCCACTAAGTTCCTGTCCGCCTAAACATCCTCTGGGATATATCGAGCTTTTGATGAAGCTCAACTGACAGCTGCTGAGAACCACTTTCCTCCTACTTCTGTCACCTCTGCTCGGAGAAGCCTCCTCCTCTGCGCTGCAGTGGGCTTAGCGCTTATTAGTCCTGCGGTAATAAAGAAACTCTGAGAGATAGTCGGTGCTAATTCAGGCTAAAGCTAATGCTGGAAGAAGAGGCTGCTTTATGCTTTGGCACGGCTTGGCAGGGTGTTGTTCCTTGCCCTGTGTGATGATTTTTAGAGGTTCCTGCCAGTGCTGCGCTCCCATCCATCTCGTCCGGCCTCTGTCTGAAATTCAATTGACCTTTTGTTCCACCTCACAGTGAATGGGCACAGGCCACCTCCACCGATAGCCAACCCAGAGCTCTCATACCTCTTTATTTGATCTGTCCTGCTGGGTCCTGTGCTTTTATTACAAACCCAAACACCCACTGCCAACACCCTGCTCTTCTCTACAACCTTAAAAAAGTCTGCTCATGTCTCTTAGCTGGAGAGACTTTTAGGATGTGAAGGTGATATATTTTACAATCAGGAGAAAACCCTTTTTCTTGCTGCCCCGCTCGTCAAGCTCTTGATTCTTACAGTGATTGGATTTTATTTGTGCCTGCTCCACTCGTTGTAAATGTAGTACTTTTCCTCCTCTCCCTCTGAGGACTTTCTCTTTCTGACTTTGCAGAAGTGCTGAGCTGGCTCCCCCATCGCTCAGGGCAAAAGAGCTTCGAAGTGCTGCGCCATGACAAGGCCTGTTGTGACCATGACCTGCCAATCATTTTGATCTTTGGGATTGACAAATTGATCCCTGAGGCCTTATCCCAGTTTTCTAATTACATCTTCAGTCAAACTGGCGGCATTGTTCTTAACTTTCCTCCAGCTGACATCTCCTCCTCTTCTTCATCTGGGTTCTGCTTTAATTCCCTGGTTGCTTCTGTTCATATCACATGCTGCTGCACCTTGCCCTTACTGCTGCGTCAAAGTCATTAAATCTTTTCTGTCCCTGCTGCACCTTCACAAGCTCTCTCTCTCTTCTTCTTCTTTAGTACTAACTTCAGTCCAGGTCTGCTGCTCTGTGATACATACTAAAGACCGACTTCAGCTGCTACACCACCTCATGTGTGACCACTACCAATCAGAGCCCGCTGTTGTACAATGTGTACTTTGCTGACTGCTAGACTCTGTGTGATTGGGTTTTTTGGTGGTGTGTTTGTAAGTGTGTGTGTTAGTCCTGCTTCCTCAGCAGTACAAAAAAGTAGCAATCTTGTTGGTAAAAAGAAGAGGTGACTAAAAAACACTGATACCGTCTTCTGGTGCAGACTACTGCAGTTATATTTATATACCATCTTGCTTTAATCACAGTGCATGTTTTTTAAAAGATCTTTCAAAGTCCCCTTTTATAGGTTTTTCAGCGGTTTGGGGCACCACTTTGTTAAAACTCAGACGGCTTTAGATGCTGGGATTATTGTTTTGATGGTGCACTTAAATCAAACCTTTAGAAACAGCACTGTTGCATGCAGCCACTTTGCAATGGTTTCTTTGGTTAGGATTGCAAGTCATATGTTTATGTCGACGAGCCTGGAAACATTTTTCCCATAACCAAGTATTACAAAAGGATCTGCTGTGGATACAGGGAAAAGGACATTTTTCGATCACAGAAAAACTAGAAAGAGTCGTGGGAGAGAACTTTTTCTTGTCCTTTTACTCATGAGGAAATCTAATATCACACAATACAAAAACTTGATTGATCCCCAAAGGGAAATTCGTTTGTCTGGAATTTCATCTCATCTACTGTTTATAAAAGTATTAAACAGTTTGATGACTGTGAGTACAAAAGATCTTCTGAATCTTTCTGTCCTGCAGCGAAGAGAGATAAGCTGTCCACCACCATTTTTTTTTTTTTTTTTATGGTCCATCAAGGTGTTATGAAGTGGATGATCCATGTTTTCAAGAACAGCCTCTTCCTTCCTCAGTGTGCATGTTTCACCACCATATCCCAGCAACAGTATCATGGAGAACATCACACTGAACTTACCTGAAAGTTACCTTGGGTGGGAGGTTTCATACAGTCTGAGGCATATATGTATATATGTGTATATATCTTTTTATTCAATCTTTTTGGTATATATATATATATATATATATATATATATATATATATATATATATATATATATATATATATGTACCAAAAAGATTGAATACCCTGTACAGATTATTTTTATGTATACTTTTCAATATATGTCAATATAAAAATTCTATATGGGTATCTCATAAATGTTCTCAATATTTGAATGTACGTATGTGATAGCAGTAAATATGTAAATATCATGTATCATCATCGCTGTTGATACATGAACGCGTATGTCATACATTAAATTCCTGTGTGGGTGAGTGCAAGATAAACTAAGCAAATTTAAAACACAAGGAAAATCAGAGATTGGATGATATTAGGGGTATAGCAATGGTCACGGCCAATATTCTACATAAGGCTGATTATATGGCTGACTATGTTTGTTGGAAAAGTTTAACTGTAAAGTGATTTTGATCAGGGAAGGATGCAAAGAAAACTTCCCTCTTTGCTCATGGACCCAAAAAGTATCAGTATAATTGTGCTTCTCATGATATTCTGATAGACAGCCTGCTTTATTGTTCTCATTGGGGAGGGGGGCAGGTCACCATGAGACAGCCAGCTGAATGATGGAGGGCTCCAGGCCGCGTGCAGCTATTGTCACAGTCTCATTCCATCATTAACAAAGGGAACATAGTGATGCTAAAACAGGCTGTCGCAGTTTTGTGCAGACTCCATTTAACTGTCCAGACAAAAGCACGCCGAGTTTTAACATGCTGGCTGCCTATTGTGCTGATCTGTTTTGAAGCGCAATAACAGCAACGATTAAGATAATCTATAATTTATCATAGTCAGCTGGTGTGACCTTAACGATTTAACACTATAATGGACTTTTTTCTATGCAAATGTGTGTGCAACATGCATTTGCAGTGTTTCATCTTGATAAATGCATATTTCTTGCATTCATAGATGACAAATGTGGTGGTTTGTCACCATCACATAAATTTATGCATCTGGTGTGCTGTTATTGCCATCGAAATGAGGAGTTCAGGTCTGCAGCAACTCCCATGGGTGTCAGGAGGGCGGGTGCCCACAGCCTCAACCACGTTTCCAAGAAACCTCAGATATTTTTATGAGCCGCCTAATGAGAGCAGTAAGAGAGCAGCTCCTGAAAGCACAGGGCTCTACTCTGCCCTCAAATGTGATCAAGGTGCAGAAATTAAATGTAAAACCAGAAGAGGCGTGCAAATGCATGTGATCCTCGTGCAGTTAGGAAAAAATTGAAGGTTTTAAAATGGAGACCATTTACCGTGGAGACAGGAAGAGGGATGAGTGGAGAGAATTAAGGGGTTCAACCTTTAGTTTGGCCTTTGAGCTGGCATTCGCTGTTGTTTCAAGATGATAATGGATTGTGTGCACAAGTCGCCCGGTCCCCAACCCTCTTTAATTCACTTCTGCATGTGTGTGAATGTGTGTGTGTATGTGCTTCTCCGAGTAACCTCTCAACACTCCCTGTGAAGCACTTTGATAAAGGGAGGCCACAGCTGTGTAGAAGCTCAAGGGACAATGATTCTCGAATATATGCACACAACTGTTAAGACAGAGACTCATTTGCATCTGCAGAGTGTATTTAAGCATGAGAGTGTCCAAGTTCATGTCCCAGCCTCTGCTTTAATTGGGTATCTGTGTATTAATGACCTATAGATCACCTTCCAGGCTTGTGTAGCATGTTTCACATTGACAGATGAGCCATATGGTTTGGATGAGAAACCTCATGGGGTGAAAAACAAGTAAACAGAGGAATTTCTCAGAAGACAGCGTGACCTTATGCCATATGTTATTGTGTGTCCACAGGTTCCTCTTATTACGACAACGTGAGGCCGCTGGCGTATCCCGATTCAGACGCAGTGCTCATCTGTTTCGACATCAGCCGCCCAGAGACTCTGGACAGTGTCATAAAGAAGGTCAGTGTTTCTTATTTCGTCTCCTCCTCCTCAGCATTTAATATCTGCTGTGACACTGCAGAACGAACCGGAAAAAATCCTCCTTTTTTCACCTCGATCAGCATCCACTCAGGTTTCTGTGCCTGCAGCTCGCATTTTCACAGCTCAACAATAGAGCAAATCAGCGCAGAGGTTAGAGCCCCCTGTTCCTTTATCTCATCAAAATGTCCACGGATACTTGACCCTGGATCCCTCTGAGGAAAAGAAGGTCAGAGCGAAGAATGAGAGGAGAGGCTCTGTAGACGGGCGGCTTTGGGAGGAATATCAGATACGCAAATTAACCAGAGCAGCCGTATCAAAGAGGAGCTGTTGGAGAGGCTGTAAAAGGGACCCAGAATTAACTTTCTGTAGGGATTCAGCTTTTCAGTTTAATGCATAGGAGTTGACCAGATTGGTGGAGCTTAACATTTGTAAAGTGGCCTGTGGTTCAAATGATTTAACGCTTACGTTGAAGTGGAGGTGGTGTCTGAAATTGTGGTGCTTCTGAGGCTGTTGTGTGTTTTTACTGTCAGTAGTAATACCTGCTATAAACGTGGACACACCCAGCTTTAAGAGTGTGCATGTGAAGTGTGTGCATGTACATGCCACTCATCTTGAAGCCATATGTGAGTGTCTTCCTTTGAGCTGCTCTCCTTGTGGGGCAGAGGACTGTTCCCACGGCCCGCCTGTTGACGTGTTTAGTGGTCTGAGGGGAGCCGCTAAAACACTCCTGCAGACTTTGTGGATCTAACCCGAAACACCTTTTTTTTCAACCCCCAAATACTCCACAAGCTCCAGCCTATTCTGTCAACAGGGGCAGCAGAGCTGCCGTCAAATCTTAGGCTTTCCCATGAATCCCTTGGCAGGGGTTGCCATGACCTCTGACCCCTTGCTGTCGCCTAAGTAATCTCTAAACCTCAGGGGCACATGGAAAACCTGTTGCACAATCACCATCCCAAATTAGACTCTTGACCTGTAGAAACAAGCAGGTCAGAGGGGTTGCAGGGTGACAGTCGAGGAAGGGGAGGGGGTTAAACAATCAGGGCTTTTGATTGGATGTTCTTTGAAGGATAAAGATGGTCATGAGAGGTCAAAGGTTGATTTCAGCATGAAGGATGAGCGGACACCTTGACATTCTGTGTTTGGCATGTAGAAAATTTCAGCACTGGAGGCTGTAGTGGAGTATTTGTGTCAGACAGGAGACACTGTGTTGGTTCAGCTGAGTTTCAGAGGTGACATTTAATCTCAGGGTGGTATGAGGAGGAAGACCGCTCTGCCTTTTCTGTACAAGATCTGGAATAGATTTGTCAGCAGGGACTGAGAGATGAATGTGTGCTGCTCTTATGGAGTTCAACTGATCAGCCAATGAAAAGCTTAAAAAACAAACAGTCCCATACTGTACAAAAAGGTTTTTAAACTATGTAATGATTTCTAGTGTTTGTCAGACATGGCAACAAATAAAGTTCAGGACAATATGGACGTACTGTCATTAGTTCTGGACCAATATGACACATTTAAGGGTTGACTGACACTAATGCTGATGGAGGAGGTTGGCTGATGGCTTTTATAAAACGCTGATGTTATGCTTTTTCTGCATTTGACAACATGCAACAACTGAAATCATACTACAGAAACAAAATAGTTGAACTTAAGTCGATATTGTATGAAATAAATGCAGGTGGAAGAATATTAGTCTCAGTAAGATATTGCCTCAAGAAACTTTTTGAAGGTAAACATTGGTGTTAAATTAAAGAACGAATCTATTATTCTTCATACATTAAAATCTAACATACATGATTATCTGAACTAAGAGCATGTTGTTAATGGATTTTAATAAATTGATGAAAAATACAAATATATAGGGTTTGGTTTGCTGTCATTTATGTTGGGGGAATTTTTATTTTTTTATTTTTAATAAATACACCAAAAAACTAAAACTGGGACAGAGAAATAGAGAAATTAATGATAAATAATTGTTAAATAAACGAGTCCTCAGTCACAGCCCTGTCACTATCCTGTTTTTAATGCTGCAGATAAATATCTCTGTAAATTGGTTATGATGGGTCATATCCAAATTTATAAACATAAACATTGGTAATAAGCAAATCTCAAAAGTCTGAATTTACCAGAACAAATTGAGCCTTTCTCACTTCTCCTACTTCTACAACTCCAGAAAGGTACAGCAAGTTTTTAATGACTGGCAAACTATCAAAACTTTGAAAAAATCTAATATCAACATATTGCTGAAAAATGAACAGATTTGTGGATTAATTTTGTTGGTGAAAAAGACTTGTGACACACGCAAGTATTGTACAAGAGAGAAGTACATCAGATAAACACAAAAACTAGCTAATACAGATTCTGACATATTTTTATACACTTCATTTTATGGGTGATTAGAGTCAGTTATTTTGTAGTAACTGCATATTGAATTTTTTTATATATTATATTGTGTAGGCCTGTCATCTAAGTGTATGATATGATAGTGAGTGATTAGAATTCCTTTCACAGTATCCCAAAGTGATGCCTCTACACACTGTTTGTTTTGTCCTTATTAAATTCAGCACAGCACAAGATAAGGAAAACATGAGGCGTCTGTTTAGCTTGGCGTTTGAACTGTGCACCTCGAGTACCAAAGCAGGCAGCCTTGGTTTAAACCAACCAGTGGGCTTTTGCTGCATGTTATCCTACACCTTCTTATCTTAGTTTTTTCTTTTTTGTTTGTTTTTCATAAAAACAACAACAAAAAAAACACAAAAACTGTTGTCTGCTGAATGACTGAAATGATAGAAAAATCATCTAAAAGCTTTACTTTTGTATTGTGTCAGTTAAAAATACCTATAAAATGACTGAGAGTTTCAGCATTAGCTCTATTTCGAATCCCATCTTTGTATTTAAAATTATGAATGCAGATACAAGTCAGCACAAAGTTATGACATGAAAACAACCTTAATGCCAGAGGAGCCAGATCTGTTTCAGTGAATCTCAGTCAGTTCAGGCAACAATCGTCTCATATTTGACACAGTCATTGATGTGTGTCTGTTGTATCATGTCTCAACAGTGGCAGGGGGAAACACAGGAGTTTTGTCCCAACGCCAAAGTGGTGCTGGTTGGCTGTAAGCTGGACATGAGGACAGACGTCAGCACCCTGAGGGAACTCTCCAAGCAGCGCCTCATCCCTGTCACTCACGAACAGGTGAGAACAAGAACATGATGGAAATATGAGGACAGAGAAATAATGAGGAAAGGTGCTCTGGGAACAAACTTGAAAACAACAACGGATGTGAAAAAGATATTAGAAAGCAATCAGGCGATTATACCGGGTTTTTTTTTTTTTTTTTTTTCTTTTTTTCATCTTGGATCATTTTCTCTCAAGAAGGTCCCACGGGAAGTGAGTGTAAGAGGAGGCTCAGGAAAGCCAATCAGGCGCTGCAGAATAAGAGCCGTGTGAAACCCCCATGGGATGTGTTGCTGGGGTTGGCATTTTGACTGAATTTTGCTGACATCCAATGTAAGGTTTCTCATGACGAGGCCAGTATTGGGAAGCAGTTAGTGGACTTGGGTGTCTGGGGACAGGTTTTTTCCCCCTGAAATGAAATACTCATGCAGATTAAGGGAGACACAGGATGAATAAAAAAACAGGATGTTGATAAAAGAGTCAGCTCCTTTATCGCCATGACCTTACAAGCTAAAGGAGCTGAAGGGGGAGAAGAGGGAGGGGATGATAAACCATTCTGTAAATCTGTGAATTTTAATCAGCTTTCAGTGTGTTCATTTTCTGCTCTCTCTAGTGTTGGCTGTGGAAAAAGTGGAGGGGCTTTTTCACCACTGCACAAAAGCCCCCAGAACAAAAGAGCCTTTTTTCCACTGCTGTCTGAGAACTCGTTTGAGGCTAAAAGCATGTAGCCTGTACAAAAATCAGCAACTGACAAAACAGGCTACTCATGTAAATAAGATCCATAAACAAAAGAAGGAGTGGGGAAGCACAGAGTTGATGTAAAATAGCAGGGGAGCGTTTGCAGCCCGGCCCACATCAAGCTATTGTTTTTGTTCATTCTCGGTCTCTGTTGTCACCCGGGGCACCTCGTGTTTGTCCCCCTGACATGGCGAGAAAAAGTGTGTCACACAGCCCGAGCCAAAGCACATTAAACATGTGCTTTGACCAGAATGTTCTGGTGGTCTAATCCAATAGCCTGCGTTGTTATCCTGCCGCCGATCTTAAATTGAATTCCAACACAGCTGAGGAGTCGCCAGCAAGAGAGTGACCACTGGGTGAACTCTGGACGTTTCCGCACTAATCTGCCTAAGATCCTATCAAGTTTTTCCGCTTGTCACTGCAATCTTTACCTTACACCCCCCTCACCCTCTCCTCTCACTGTTATCCCCCAAATCTAAAATCTGCCGTTTCACCTAATAAGGACTTCATTGCGCCTTATATGTGGCTCACTGCACATCCATGATATAAATCAAAGAGCATCCTCTGGGAATGAAAAGCTCTCTGTGTTTGAGAGCATGCCATCAGAGGGTCATGGGAAATGCAGTCCTGACTCATGTGCTACTACCTTTGCAAGTGTTGATGCAGCATTAATATAGGAACAGCAGAAAGAGAGGCAGGGGGGAGCTTGAAATTAAATTTGTCTGATTTGATCTCGAGCAAACAATTTACGGTCTTAATTAACTGAGTGTATGGTTTCATTACTCTGGGGAAGCTCTACTGCTGGAGGACTTCTGTCACGGTTTCATCTCTTCTCTCTAAACAGCTGCACAGACCATCTTAACAGCGACTCTCTCACCTTACACTGAGGAGTCAGAGCGTTTCCATTATTCATGACTCAGATGGAGGAGCTTCATTTGTCTCCAGAACTGTTTGGATTATTGACATTCAGTCTGCAGTTTAGATCGACTCTTTCTGGGACATTTGGCCTTCCTTCCGCTGTGAAGATGCAGTGCCCGCCTAAGCCAGAGTCCAATGAAACATGGCGAGCATATTTTAAACTTTAATTCTCTTTGTGAAGCACTCACACTGCACCCACAACAAAACCAGTAAAGGCCTGAGGAAACAAGAGAAAAGGCAGTGTTTGGTTAGGAGAGCAGTTCAAACAAAACCAAAGAAAACAGTGAAACAAAGATGTTTCTTGAGGTTGTCAGAAAGAGTACATTTGTGCAATGTAATTTGCTTTTTCTTTCCACTTCTTTCTTGCAAAGTTATATGTTACCTGGAAAAACTAAGTTGGATTTTTTTGCCTTCCAGGGCAGCACGATAGCTCGACAGATGGGGGCGGTGGCCTACGTCGAGTGCACTTCCAAGGTTTCAGAGAACAGCGTCCGAGACGTGTTCCATGTCACCACCCTGGCGTCTGTTCGGCGGCCTCACAAGCCACAGCTGAAACGTAGCAGTTCCCGCAGAGGCCTGAAGCGAGTGTCACAGCTCCCTCTGCCCCCGCTGCCTGGACGGACTGAACAAATGGACCAGGCCCCAACCATGAGGAAGGATCGGGCCAAGAGCTGTGTGCTCATGTAGTGACAGATGACTATGAATATATATATATGTAAATACATAAACACAGAATATATAACAGAGGAGGTCTATTTATTGTTCTGTTTTCCCTCGTATTTTGATTTATTTTTTTGCACTGCAGAGGAGTGAGGAGGAAACAAACACGGTGCTGTGGAAAGACATGCTTCAGATTTTTTTTTTTTTTTTTTTTTTTTGGTGTTTTTTGCAGCGTGTGCATATTTTCTGAGCTGTCTACATGTTTGTTGTTGTTTTGAAGTGATGACAAATGGGGAGAAACTTCTGGATAAATGGAAGCTGTGATGGTCGAAGTCCCAGGATTTTAAAGAGGAGTTAATGTCCCCGAAAACTCTCGAAGATGAAGACTATGGAGAGTGAAGCATGTTGAAGCAGGACATCTGGGGATGAGGCTTGTTGTTGTCACAGACAGAGTTTCTCAGCAAACACGATGACTAAGCGTCTGGCTGTGCCGTCTAAAGTTGCTTCCTGTTGTCATATGTGAGATGAGAACCTGTATGTACAGTAATGCTAAAAAGGGATGTTAGAGATTAGACGAATGATGGCTCAAACCAAACATTAGAAGCCAGAAAGGAAGTTTTCTCACCGAGAATATTGTGAAGGTGCGTGTGAGCATTGCTGCCATAAGTGCATTTTAGAAAAAGTCAACATATCTGATTTTCTTTCCATTTACTTCTATTTTTCTCTTCAACTCTGACTGTGTCAATTTGATTCACTGAAGTTAAAGCTGTTGTCACTTCTTTAATGAAGTTTCTTTGTGGAAAATAAACCTGTAAAAAGTTGGGGCTATTCTGTGGTACCTCTTAATGTAACTCAGCAGCTTAAAGCTCCTGTCAGGATCTTTCAGTTTGAGAAGAATTTGGTGCCCCCTGTGAACAGAGTGGTTCCTTTAAACTCTTGACTTTTTTTCTATAATTTTGAGAAAATAATCCCACATTTTTCTCTTTTAACAATCAAATATATCACTGATGATGAATATGCAGAGCAGGAATATAAGAATTGTTGTTTCGGGAGCACTGCTGTCCTAAAACCTCTCCCGACATTGGTTTCAGTTATTTATTGCAACAGTATGAAAAAAAAAAATAATAATTTGCAACAGATGATCCTGCTTGACTTAAGAGGTTGTAAAGATGCATTAGTGTTAGTTTAAGTCTTTCTCATAACCAGCTAAAAAACTTATCAAAGGAGCTTAAATCTACATGTGAATTGACTGAAATGTTCATTTATTTATTTAGCATTAAAGCTCTCATACACTGGCCGAGATTAGCAGTGATGCTCCTTTAAGACCTAGAAAAGTGGACAAGATCATTACTTAAAATAAAACAACAGATTATATCCGCATTGTAATTTTTATTGCCTGTTACATAGTCACAGCCGCTCACTGTTTGATGCACATCATCTTCCTTTGTTTTCCCATATTATGTGCCTCTGTCAGGCTTTTCTGACAAGTACAACAGAGTATACGGTCACATCAAAGAAAAAACTGTTTTTAAAGATTTAACCCTTGTGTAACGCTGTGGCTAAAATCAGCCACTAGGGGCAAAATTTAGCCACTGATTTCCACGTAACTTTTTTTTAATGCAGCAAATGGGATGATTTTTTGTGCAGATGCTTATATTGATGGACACTTTGAGAATATGACTTCAATATTTTAACCAGGTCAAAAATACACGCTGGGCAAATTTTCATCCATTGTTTACGCTCAGTGGCTAAAAAAGCCACTAACTTTGACTGCTTTAAAAACATATTGGGTTAATATTTTTTTCCAATTTTATTTCATATATCTCTTAATTAACTTCTGCTTTGATCAAAACTAGTAAATGTTTAATCTAAAAAAAATGTTTTAACCCTTTGAGGGTCCATTCAAAACATAATGTCACTGATATGGTAGAAAATGAATCTAATAAAAATCAGTCATTTTCCTTTTTTTCCCCCCCAATATTAGTGACTTTATGTTTTAAATGAGTCCTTAAAGGGTTAGAATTTGATGCTGTTTGGAGCAATTCTGTTTGGAGAGTACAGTTGGGGTAAAATTATTTTCTTTCAAGAATTAAGTTGTAAAAAAGTATTCTTATGAAAATTGAGTTGTCGTTAATTCTTAGATGAAATGAGATGAAGTAAGGCCATCAGATAATTAGGTTAGAGTTGTGAGGAAATAAAGTTGGAATGAGATTAAAATCATATTGTAAAAAAGTCATAATATAAGAAGAATATAGACATTACTTAGAAGAATAAAGCTGTGAGGGAGTACTGTTTGGTTTAAGGTGAGCAGGAAGTGACCTCTACTTCTTAAACTGTACTTTATGTTTTGGCACATCCTCACCACACTGTTAGTATCAGGACTCTGAGGTTGTGCGAAAAACTGAGACTTAGACATAGTGTCCCTGTTCAAAACAGCCTAATTCTCAGACTTTATTCTCATAACAAAATAATATTAGTATGACTTTGTTATCATAGAAAAATAATTTAATGAATGTATTTTTTTAAATCTTTAAAGCTCCTGTGAAGGTTTATTTATGTTTATGAATTAGACTGAAATTCATACTGATGTCTTTTCATGATACCCCAAAGCAAACAAGATCATCAAGAATAAGAATGAAGGGTTTTTGTCGTTATTGTAAAAGCCTGAAAAAGGTTTGAGGGGGTAGGTGACAGCTGAGCAGCTGAAGAAACAACCCTGCACATTAAATATTCATGATGACTGATGAGATTTTACATTTTTTGTCAAATGTCATTCTTCAAGTATGTAGACAACAAGATAAGCAAAGACTTCTTGCTCTAGGGGGCACCAAAACTGACTAAAACCAGTTCCTCACAGGTGCTTTAAAAAAGACTTTTTGTGAAATGTGTCCCTACATTTTAGCTGAGTGAAGACATAATCTAAAATATCATCAATTTTCCCATAATTGGCTAAGACACTAGATGCTCACTCCTGAGTAAGAGTGTGACCAGTCATGGACATTGCTGACAACAATAGATTTTAAAATAAGTTACAAAAAATCTATTTATGAGAATTAGTCTAGGGTGTCATTGCTTGTGTTTCCATGCTGTGTGACCATCTGGAGTTACACTTCTTGCCGAGAGTGGCTCATGTGATAGAGCGTTAAAGGACAGGTCAACAAACATATCAAAATTAGTCACTGAAGAATGAGACATCCTGTAATGTTACTATCTGTGTTTGGTCTTGCACAACTGCATGTGCAAGAGTCAACTGTGAAGGTTGACAGGTTTACAAAACGTTGCAACATTGCAGCAACCAACTAGATTTCTAAAGGAAGTCCAGAGTTTAATGTTACTTTACAAGCTGATAGCCCTTGAGTAACTGCTGTTCTTTATTTGATTGGTTGATCGGTAGTTTTAATAACCAATCAATTGTGACCAATAAAAATAAATGTAAGTTGCAGTCCTAGGCCTAAGAATCAAGCCAAAAGTCACTCACTGGAGTTTTAAATGGCCTTTAGAAAAGTATCCCATGTGAACTATCACTACAAGTCTCATTATGCTCACACCAAATCAATAATTCACAGCCTTCAACCTTTTCTCCACATCTTACCCTCTGTGCTCTCCTTCTTCAGCTCTAAAAATCCTCTCTGTAAATAACCTTCACTTCCTGTTTTAATGTCATTCCTGTGCGCTCATGTCGCCTGGCGAGTCAAACAGCCCTGCAGACCGAGGGATGAGTCAGGCTTTGAAGGTAATGAGCACACTGTGCGGACCCCCTCAGCTGGCAAAAGTTAAATTGAACTGCAGTGCAGCACCAGCAGAGACATAATGTAGTGTTTTTAAATGACTGACTCCATACTGCTACAGGAGCTTCAAGTCCATTCAGTGTGACAGATAACATGACATGTTCGCTCTTTCATCCGCAGAGAACAATTTGACTGTCTAGTTCATCCTGCAGCTTTCAGAGTCCCTTTTTTCCTCAGCTGTTTCTGTAAAAGAGTCCAACGGTCAGCCATAGAGTCGACTGTTTCCAGCAGAATTTTTGTAGTTGGCGAGCTGATGTGTCCTGACAGCATTCAGGAAGGAGTGACAGCAGAAAGACTCATAGACTGTATATCCAAATGCTCTGATAGTCCTTGAAAGCTTTACCTTTATTACTGTCAGTGTTGTCTGCTAAAGTTACTGTCCTGACATCCCTGACAGACAATAAACCACCGACAAGATTGGCCCAAATGATGAATGAAACATCTGTGGGCAGAAGAGGAAAACAAGCTGAGACGAAAAACTCATGATGTGATAGAAAGATTTTCAGCTTGTGTCTGTTGAGAGGACAGAATCTGATAGGGATAAGATTTGAAGTCAAAGCAAAAAAAAAAAAAATAGCCCACTATAACAACTTCATCCTTTTCACTATTTAAATGCAATTTAATGCAGCAACAAAAAAAACGTTTTTAACAAAAATGAATCAGTTTTTTAATCAATCTTTGTTCATAGCAAGCTTTCCTTTTGAAAACCTCAAAAATTGAACTTCTGGTCCAAATAACTTCTGTCTGCTAAATTAACACTATTCTGCATGTTTTGGAGCAACATGCATGGAGTTCCAGTATTCTGTGTCAAAATCAAACCGGAAAGGTACCAGTATCAGAGGAACTTTTCTCTGCAAACACTTAAAGGTGGGGTAGGCAGGATCTGAGGAAGTGCCAGTTTTTGGGACAAATCTTGATTGTAAACACTACCCCTCCCAACCAGTTTTCCCCAAAGCTCCTCCTCTCCCCTCTCTGCTCCAGCAAGCCCCGCCCACAAACAGACACTCCTGCTCGCTCATATCGTTTCAGTTAAATTCAGATATAATGCAGATAGATACCTCAGATAATTACAAATGGGGCCCAGTCAACATGAAAGTAAAAAGCACTGGTGCTGCTGTAGATGATAACAGACTACCAGCAAACATAATGTTTGCAGGACTTCTACAACTAGAAGCCTCCTTTTTAAGCGCACGTTATTCCGCCAGAGTCTCCGGTATTTACTTTGTTTTCCTGCTTGTGTTGACAGTCGTGGATAAAGGAGGATTCAGACAATCTTTCTGTACTTTCTGGTCGGTTTCTACTGTCCGATATTGTAGCACGCTAACTTTGTTTGGGCTTGTGAACGACAAAAGGGGGAGCAGCGTCTGCCTCACAACCAATCAGCACGAAGGAGCAGTGTCCACCTCACAACCAATCAGGTTGGGGGAGGTGGAGAGTGGCTTTGTTAACAGTCAGACAGTGCGGGCCGCTCAAAATAATTAAAATGTTGACCACACAGGCATAAGAGAACACAGCGATATCGTTGTATTCCCAAATGTCATCAATTACTGATAGCTATTGACTGATATTAAAAGCTTTTTTGTTTATACACCACAAAAAAAGATGCTTCTTTAACGGAATCCTGCCTACTCCACCTTTGACAAGCTTTAAGCTTTGAGATCCAGTATTTCAGAGGTAGATGTGCGTTTTCAGAGGGTTTTTAGTCAAGTGCCTCTTTTTGCAGAAAAAAAGGAGGTGGGACATTTTTAAATGTACACTGGAGTCAGGGAGGAGCTGCCGTAAGCAGGAAGTGAGCAGTAGAAATGAGGCCAGCACCCACAGCAGGGGCAGGAGACCTGCTGTGCCCCCACGGTTTGGCCTGACACTTAAAGAGGATTAGGCTTGTGGTGTCCGTGTGTGTTTGTGTGTTTCACAGAGGGGGCAGTGGGCAGCATCATTTCCATTGCTCTGGCCTGCTTCTCCCCATCAGCCTGCATAACTGTCAGACAAAGCAGCCATGCAGACGTTGATTCGGACACGTGTTCATCTCAGCAAGATGAAGACAAAACGAGCAGCCGCCTGGTTTGTAAATTAGAAGTTTATCTCCTCAATCTCCCTCTCACAGGCAGGTTTATTACAGCAGGATGTTGAGCCTCAATTTCAGCAATCTGATCAGCCGTTTGCCCTTTACCGCTGAGACGCCAGGAGGATTAGAAGTACCTTTGTGGGTTCACGCTCTGATTCTGCATTCTTGAGCCCCCCCCTCCCTTTCCTCATCTCTGACAAGCACAGAAAGCCCAGTCATCTTATCCCTGATGTCATCCGCACAGGAAGTACACGATTGGACGGCGTTCTTAGCTAATTAGTACAATTTGCAAACAGTCTTGTGGTGCTCAGAAATAGCGGAGACAGAGATAGTGAGACAGAGACGGTACGACTGATGGAGACACACATAAAGAGACGGAGTGATGAGCAGTGAGAGAGACAGTACTTGGCCCGCCTGCTGACAAAAGCCTTCAGAGCAGAGCCACAAATTGCACACAGTCATGAGAGGATTTGTAATGAGAGGCAGTATGTGACCATGCTGAACTCAAATGCACACACACTTACAACATCCCACATTCATGGTGTAGGAGTTGACCTCTCTTGTATGGTACAAGCATATATGTTCATCTCATGACCTTCCCCCTGTTAACTCCTTAGATGTTCAACTTGATTGTCTTTGATTCCCAGTGTAGCAGAGACCAACCTGGGCTCCTCCCCGGATGGTTTAGCCATTAAAACACAGACTGTGGAGATTAATTATCCCGCGGTTTAGTGCTTTCTGTACTAAAGTGCTGCCAATTAAAATCGGAGCGTTCCTGCTTTCATTTATGCGTGTGTGTTTATCATCTTTATGTCTGTGTTTACATATGGGACACTTTCTTATTACAGAGAGGAGATATTCTTTTTGTCTATAACCATCAGTCGAAGCTATTGATGTTTCAGAGGGTAGTGTTTCCTCCATCATGTGTTTTCAGGTGGAAGCAAACACACTGTTCCCCTCAGGGATTACAGGCCGTGTGAGAGAGATGCTTATTTGACCGAGCCTTCAGATGGAGGTCTGCAAAGAGGAGAGCGAGGTGGAGTGGTTTGGCAATGATACTCCAATATTCAGAGCTGGAGTTTAGATTTCACAGAGCGATAAACATCTCGGAGGCTGTCCATGAAATAAAAACAGCTTTATCTATGATTGTGGAGGACACATTTTGAAGGTTTATCAGGAGTTGCATGGCTGCAGCCGGTCCAGATGAGATGGTATCAGAGGAGCTAGATTTAACAGTCCAACACAGCAGACTCCCGTGTTTAAGTTACCGCAAATGTAGGATGGGTTAATGACTCTGGAGTCTATTTCCTGAGATGAAGAAACTTTAAATTATAAGAAGGAAGATATACTTGTGGGCGATGTTTACGATTAGGATGTGTTTTAGATCGTCATTGAAAGATCCATTCCGATGAAAATCTTGTTTTTCTTGTTGTCTAAATGTTATTATGGTATTTTCTGATGCTACAGGACATTTCATGAGAAAACTAAGTGTGAAATTGCATTTTTGAGTATTTCTGCATTTAAATCACTGTGAATCTCTGGCAGACCCAAACAGCAGGTTCAGACACAGTGAGATTTCCTACGTAGCAAATCCAAGCTCTGCCCCCGTAGCCCCTCTCTGCAGGCCAGACTCAGAGAAATAGAGAGGATGATTCAACAAAAGAGTGTGCCTTAGTGGATTGCAATGCTGGTAAGAAAGCTATTTATAATATTAGCTTTCATCATGTCCCCAAAGACAACAACACAGGGAACGTGATTTTGGCTAAAAACTTAAAAATCACAATTTTAAGACCACTGAGAACACTTTAGGTTGAAAAAAAAAAGATAAATAAAATAAAATAAAATAAAAATAATATTTAATGGGGGACTTTAAACCTATGCAGTCTTAGTTTAGGTTAAAAAGAATTGGCAGTTGCCTAAAGTGACATTATTCTCCAGTAGATCTTAAACTAATGCTAGATAGTAAAGATCCCTTGACCTTTAAATTACCATATGCGCAGGTGAAGCATGTAACCAGAGTACAGCCCTGGTGACAGAGCAGAAGACTGGGTTGTCTTTGTGACCCAACACCTCTGTAAAACAGTCTCAGGTAAAAGATTTAATATTAAAGGTTTGGGGGCGAAATCTGATGAATTGCCTGTTACCGTTTGGTCGAATACACTCACCAGCTGTGTGCAGTTAATTATGTGGTAAAAAAATATATAGCAGCAAGTTGCAGTTGAAGTACTTTGTCACCTTGCAAGCAGCTGTTCTGTATTGTTGGACAATCTACCAGATTGAATTGTCAGTCAAATTTAAGGACTGTAAAGTTTGTCAATCTGCTGCACCGTCTGCTGCTTAACACCATGAGGGAGGGAGACAGATCACTTTATATGACTGCTCTGATCATCGGGCTCTTTATGGACTGACTATAATAACGTCCACGGGTAAAATAGATTGAAACATCCATCAATAATCTACGCTCGACATAATTGAATGATCAACAACAAGCCCTTCACAATGATAAAGTAGATGGAGCTGATCGGCTGAGACTGTAAATTCTCATCTTAATCGGATTATTGGTCAGATTATTGGTCTATATAAACAGCCTACCGCCTTTTTGTGTTGCTTGGGGAAGGTCACTAAATCCCAACATAAGCCACTCAGCATCTTCTGCTGGAATTTTCATATTTGCTGCAGGGTGTCTCCCATTTACATAGTCTCACATTAGGGAGATACCCTTTTTAGCTGCTCACTGTTTGGCTGTTGAGCAGCTCGTTCGGTGCCTTTGGGGTTTTAGTGCCTTAATAAAGGTCACGTCACTGTCAACCACAGACAGATGGGAGAGCGTTATCTATTCACAGCTGCCAATAGGGTTGAACAATTTCACTTCTTCCTGTTGCTGCTTGACCTGCTGAGTGAACCTCTTTTTAAATAAGTTTATATTCATTTCTTCAAATATGTCAGAGATCTGAAAGTCAATGTCACTTGAGCGAAAAAAAGAGATAGTTTGTTTTCTCCAACCATGACTGACTCAAATGAAAAAAAGATAAGAAACTAGAATTTCTTCATAAGTACTTCTCATCGCTGCTGCCTGCTCCACCAGTAAATAATATCAGTGCATGAGAATGATATGTAGAAGCAGGCAATGAATCTTCTCTCTTAGATTTGGAGAGCTGCAACTTTAGAGCAAAAAATGGCACCATCAGTAATTCTAAAGACATATAAAGGGTAAATGAATAGGAATGAAGGTAGGTACATATAAGCTTAATAGCTTCAACCAACTCCTTTTCGATCTCTGTTTTGTCTAATTTGTACTTAATGTATATTCGATTGGATAAACAATATTCATTCATTTATTCATTCATTCCTTCATTCATTCAGTCAACGGTTGTGAGTAAGTTAGACTGGGGACAGTTGCAACATTTTTTGCTCTTCTGTCAATAACTCAGAGATGATTTGGACCAGGCCAACCATTTATTTATGTAATAAATTTACATCTGTCCTCTAATTCCCCATACCATTTAAATATGATTACATCAGACAGATTTTTTTTACAATATTCATTCAAAAGAGAAAAAAAGGAAACTGTTGCAATCCCTGGGATGGTTGCTTCACTACTCAGGGACAGTTGCAACATGTCACAAATCCATTCAGTTTTAATTTGTTTTGTTTTATTTGTCTCAGTGAGCAAATTGGTCTGAGAATATGTATTATTTATAGTTTTATAATGACAATTTAATATACAAAATATTATAGTATTATTTATTCATTCATCTAATATCCAATATTGAGTTTTGATTCTTCCTGCATAAAACATGGTCTACTTCGAGTCAATGTGCAAATGTTACAGATTTCAATGTTAGTCAGTGGATTGTGGATTTTACCGAGATACCAATACAAATCTTGATGCA